ATAATCAAAATGCCATACAATAAGTATACAAAGAGTAGATGATCGAAAGAGATCGCGCAATCAAAGGGCTGCTTATCAAAGCTGGAATGGCGTATTATATTGTAGAAGTAGCATGTAGTAGAATGTGTGCCTGTGCGTCATTTGAGATGTGTTTTGTACTGAGTTTTCCAAGTTTTTGAACGGCTCCAAAACGGCCTTGCCTAATTGATGATATGTATGTGCCAATAGTTTTGGCTTAGACTTGTCTTTGACATCTGAATTTTTGTTTTTCAGTAAACACTTCAAAGTCCAAGTCGGTGCTTGCCTTGCATTCTGTAGAACAGATTTTAAGTCAGCATCAACTGACTGTCTTTGTTGGCTCTCTGCTAATTCAAGTCAAACTGTATGATCATCGGGCTGTCAAAGAGTTACCGGATGTAATATATTATGTACTTGCCCTCTGATTACCTCAAATCCGGTAAAAGCACGTTTTGTAGATGACGCACTGCCTGTCACTGTGTACAAATTCCGCTCCTTGTTCGCAAAAGCATCATGTAGTTCTAAATATGTTTTCGATGTTTTAGTCATCATTCCACCCTCTCATAATGTCAATTTCATCATTATTTTGGTCTCCCTGTTGTTCTGACGTTCCAACTAACCTTACTCTCCATACATTTGCTCTTAAATCTATTTTGTCACCCAATAATATGTATTAGGGTGTCCCATAAGTCTTGTGTATTTTGGGGTCGTTGACTTGTGCGAATTCCTGTGAGCTTTGTAACGCATTACGAGATATGTTAGACATACGGTTTTGAAGATCAGGAATTGCGCTTTTAAACCGTATGTAGCAAGGCTGCAAAAAATCCACCTGCTACCCGCACTACCCCAATATTGTACTAGACATCAAAAAAATTTTTGCTTGCTGATGTTAAAATGGGTATATACTTTGGAAAATCAGATGTGTACGCCTATTAAACATGAAAATAGGACGCACAAGAGCCCTAGATGTTATTTTAATTCGCGCTGCAGCACGGGCGGGGGTACCTTGGTGGTGGTGTAAATAACATGAGAACTGCTGCACTCATGCTTTTCAGACTCAATTTTCCAATAGTAGAAAGTGTTGGCTGTAGCTGCGTATGGTAGCTAATCTACTGTTGTTTGTGAACACAACGACATAATAATCACCGCCTGTGTCACTTTTGTTTCTTGAAATAAGCTTAATTTAAAAATTTCCTAATTATTTTAAAAATTTACAGAAAATTTTTTAAATTGAGTGATTTTTCAGCCCTCAGCACCTCTATTCCAAAATCCTCTTGCTAAAATAAAACACATATGACACTGTTTAGAACACACTACACTACAATGTTATTTGTGTCCATACCGACTTTTTTGGTGTTGAGTAAATGCATCACATTTTTTCAAATTTTTTTGGGTTGGTGGTAATTCAGAACAAGGCAGCCAGCGGATTCATAGTTAGGACGCATGAACGTTATGTTTTTTTCACTCTGGTATCGGCGCGACCTGAGCAACCACCCTCAAAAAATGTTATACGCAAAATTATGTACATCACAATATTCACCATGGTGCCTAATACAAGAAACCTGCAGGACAACGTCATAAGAACACATTCAAAAGGGAAAACGGTTTATTTAGAAACAGGGTACTTAGTAGATGTGTTAAAAAATGCAATTGCAAAGGTGCAGCCCCATTTATCAAAAAACGGAATGGTTTTCCCAGCCCTTCCCAGAAGTTGATGATATTAAAGAATTTCCAGTATTATCCCGGAGGGCATGTTATTAGTTAAAACTTTTATGCTGCTTATAAGTGTAAGAGATGGCGGTTTCAACAATGCCAAACATTAAGGGATGCATTCATTTAGGCCTGCGAAACGAGACTTTAATTCACAAACCCAAAAATACACAAGACTTATGGGACACCCTAATAATAGTTGTTTATAACTGCCAAGCAGTGCTGTTCAGCATTGTCACCTGTCCATTTAGGTCACTTTATTGAGACGTCAGCCCTACATTCTTGTTTTTGGCGACGTCAGAAACATTTTTTTCCGTCAATCGGAAGCAAAAGTGGGCGGGGCTTGGGTTGCAGCCAATCAGCGGGCTTGGAAATGAAAAGTAGGCGGAGCCAAGGAAATAGACGGCGTCTTTTGCAAACAATGGAATGATGCCTGCGGGCATTACGAACTATACTTCAGAATTGCGCATTCGACTTTTTTGGGTGATGAGTTGTGACATTTTTATGCGCATTTTAGCCGATTCTTTACTACATGCCTGACTACATGCTTATTTATGCGGGATAATAAGCCTGCGAATTAATGGCCTGAGGGTATGGTTGGTGAAGGAGTTAATGTCATTTGATTCAAGCGATTTTTTGATAAGGGGATTTGATTTTTTGTGAGAAATTTGAATAAGATCTTTCCAGTCGAGAGAGTACGTAAAATGCGGAGAGCGGATGTGAAAAAAAAGATTTAGCCATTTCTTTTCCAGTTTTGTGTGTATATTGAAATTCGATTTTTTCTTGAGAACAACACCTTTCTATGGTAAAAATAAGCATGAAATTTTTTGTGTCAAAATTCGCAAAAAAGTATCACATTTTTGCAAACTTTTGATCTAAAAATGTCGGTCGTTTCTTCAAAACGCAAGCTAGACGTCTCGCATATGTCCTATCAAGAATTATTCTAAATTTGTGCCAAGTTTTATTAAAGTCTGAGCGTCGCAGTTGGAACTTTTTAAAAAATAGATGGTAAAATGAAGTTCGACGTATTTTACAAGTCTTGAAATCATGCAGATCTCTTTTTGATTTTACAAGTGTAAAATAGGTTTTTAATTTTTGCCTTTTGCAGAATCTTTCTATTTTTCCCACAAGCATTCCAGACAATGATGTTGCATTTATACCACAGTTCCTACTGACCGGATTCTTTTTTCCTTCAGGTGAAATGGAGTATAAAATTCTAGGTAACAAGTTCCGCGAACGTCTAAAACGATTTTTTCTTGCATCAGTAATAGCCAGAGTAAAAGCGAGAAAGAGTGGGACAAGATTGGTTCGCGGAACCGTTTTGGGATGACCATTATACGTAACAGTCCCCTGAGGACTCAAAATGTTCCATTTGATCGCAGATTTACCATGAAAAAACGTATATGAAGGCTCGTATGATACGGTATATTTAAATTTGCACTCTTATCCTTGCTCTCTGCCATGTTTGGGAGCGGGTTTTCCGGAGGGGGTGGATTCTGACGCGGGACGGTGGGAACCCCTGATTGCGGAGTAGGTTGGAACATAACATAGGAATATAACAATATAACATGGAGTCTGGGTGCAAATTGCATGTGAAAAGAGCTGTTACAGTATTGTTTGTCTGATGGGGAAGGGAAAGGCGTGGTTGCAGCCTAATAATTGAACAGGCAGAGAAATGAAACTGATGAGAATTTTTTGAAAAAGCTTATACATGGCGACGCCTAAAAATCGTAGTGTTTCATTAAAGAAAGATGGGCGATTTAGACGAAACTTGGACAGAATTATGGCCACATGTTTTTAGGACAAATACAAAGTTTTTAGGTCGAGTTTTTCAGACGCTAATCGCATTTTGACGTCTGAAGTGGGTCAAGACTTTGGTTATTTTTTTGTTTTTCTTCTTGAAAAGGTCATTGATAGTGCAATGTACAATTTTTATTCAAAAATTCGCTTTTTGCAGAGCAAAAATCAGATTTCTATCGCCAAATGCACTTTATCTTTCACTTAAAAAATCTTGTTCAATATCTCGGCAAGGCCATATCAGATGTCATAAACGCTTTTGATAGCTTTTTGTCTAAAATTTTGGTCATCCAATTGTAAGACCAAATGCAGTAGGGAGACACTATAGGGTTCTCTGGGGAGTAATTCACAGTTTTGATTTTCATTATGTTTAACAATGACTACAGAAAAAAAACACAATAAACCTGACACCTTAACTATAACTCCCACCTGAGCGTTGTGGGAGGGTGTTAAAAGTAACCTTAGATGGCATTTTTTGAATGAGTTCAAATGACTTGTTTTGGGAAGGCACTTTTTCAAAGTGGGCCTTTAGGTTGTATCTTCGTAAAAAGGAGAAAATAATAAAATTTCGACATTTTTGATCGCTTAAAAATTGAGAAAACAAAAAAATTTTGACATTTTCCATTTTTCAGCCATAGTAAATCTCAATCTCCCTTTCATTTCTCAAAAACAAACAAAGCAGCCCTCATCATTCAACGTATCAAAAATCCCTCCAAAAATTGGCAATTTTCATTTTAATATTGTTTTATTTCCTCATTCTGTTTCTCAGAAATTTCATAATAATTTGTTGTGAAAAGAAACAAAATGTCATCATACAAATTCCTTACTGTTTATCTGAGACACTGCTTCCTAACTGACCTAATTTTCGAGATTTTTTATTCGAAAAAAGCGGTCAAGTTGTTTGTTTTTGCTCAATCCGGAAGGAGAAGTTTAGGGTCCATTGGAAGGGCATCAATCTTGTCCCAATTTGATTATCCCATACCGTATTTGTTTTGTCTTGTCTAGAGAAGATTTTAGAATGCTTTTCTGCGATTTGCAGACTAGTAACAAGACATTTTAAGGACATCAATCTTGTTCCAATTCGATTATTTTGTACATTGTTCAATTCATCTTGTCTGGAGGGCATTTTAGAACGCGTTTATAAGATATTCCAAGTAATAGTAATAAGGGGTTTTTTGAGATTTTTTGAATTTTGAAAAAAATCTATGGTTGTTTTAAAAAATCTTTTCAACTTTTTCAACGCCGTATTTTACCCATTTTATTACCTTTTTTTATTTTTTGGACCGATTTTTTTGTCGAAAAAATTTTTTAAAATAAATATTTTTCTTTATTTTTTTATCCTTCGTGCATTTAAAAAACATATTAAAAAACATTTATTTTTGAATTTCAGATAGAACTTGGCAACGTATCTCGACTTGCGATAGTCTCTTTCCTCAAAACCTCAACTCTTTTTTTCTTTTCCCCACAAAAAAAGGATGAATTTCTTGACGATTGTATCCCTCTTCCTGGCTTTCATCATGACCATCGTCAGTGCGCAATGGGGTAAGGATTTTGTTTATTTTATATGTATACTTCTATATTTATTACGTATTTTACGCAATTTTTTTGTTTTAATATTCAGAATTTTTTAAAGAAAAATATTTTAGCCGTATTTTACAACTCATATTTCAATTTTTCACTAAAAAATATTATATTAAAAAAACTCAAATTTTGAAATTAATTTTTTTTTTTTTTTTTGAAATTTTATAATTTTCTAAAACTTGTCCAGCCCCACTAAAACTACATCTTTCCACTCCTACACGCAGTAAAACCTAAAAAAAGTGTCCAATTTTCTCTTAATCCCCTCAAAAACCATTTGCCAGAAGTTGCCCCCTTAGGTTATGAATCGAAAAAGATCCCATTAAAAGTTTTGTTGGGCCCAGAAACGGCCAAATTAGTTTTGGACCGCAAAAAGTTTCTTCAAGATGACTAACAGGGATCTTTCCTTTCTTGAGTGCAAAAAAAGGGATGGATAATATAAAAAATTAAAAAAATTAATAAAACTATGAATAAAATAAAAAAAATTAGAATAAATAAAAACGTCAACGGCATGATTTTTTTTGTGAAAACTATTTTTGACATTGAAAAAAATCAAAATTATACATAACATTAATAGTTTTTGAAAAAATCGAAAATCGTATTTTAGGTCGTATTTTATAAAAAAAAATTATTTTTATCAACTCTAATGATAATCTCCTTTCAGACCTAAGCAATCAAGGTGACGAACAGATCATGGTACCATGTAAGTTTTATTTTTTTTCACCTGAAGTCTAGTATAATATAATCTTTTTCTGAGATCTTGCCAATCTTTATTTCAAAGAATTTTTGATGTAATAAATCTCCTGATCTCTTAATTTTTATATCTGATCATCCTATTTACCCCTTAAACTACGACTGACCCAAAAATAATTAATTCTGGCCTGAGGCATTTTTGCAACAAATCCCAAATAAAGGCTACAAAACAAAACCTCCGTATGAACTCATAAAGGACTCTATTCTCGGACGTGGAGCATTACGTGACTCCCAATTGAGCCCTGAAGGCCTAAGGGGGGTTATGGGTGGGAAAGTAGCCGTTTCATTCGGGTCGGCTGCGATTATATTGACGTATATCGAAATTTTTTTTTGCATTTTTAAAAATTTGCAAAAAATATGGTTAAATTTTTTCAATTTCAAGGCTAACAGGTTTTATTGGATAACAGGCGTCACCGTATTTTACCCAAAAATTTTTTTACAAGCCTTTGCTTTTTGGTCACTTCAGACGTCCAAAACAAAGTTTACTTTTCTGTTTTTTCGTCTAAGCGGTTTATAGTTCAAGACCCGAGACTTCCCTAAACTTGAGACAGACCCAATGTTTGAAGAGCATGGCAGATCTTTTTTGGTTGACGTCATCAAATTCATGGTCTAGCCGAAAAGCTTGGGCAAACAGAGAAGCGATACGGTATTTTTGTGACGTCAGAAATGCTGTAATATATTTTTTAAATGGTAGTTTTTTAATTATTAATCCGTTCGTAAACTCGCTGTAGTGATTTTGGCGACGTGCACTGTGCAAAAACAAAAGCTCGCTTTGCACTGTGCGATTTTGGGCATGCACGGTGCAATAGGTCTTTTTGGGCAAACGCCAAAAATGACGCCAGCGACTCTATAAGCGGTCTAGTACCATTAAAAAAAATAGTTTTATGTTGTAACTAAAAGTCAAAATAAAAAAAAAATAAAAAAATCTTCATCAAAAATTCAGGCCTTTAGGAGTAAATTTTGTGCCATTCAAACAGGTGTTTATTCTGAATAAATGTAAAAAATCAAACGAATAATTTATGAAACTTACAAAAAATATATTAAATAAACTAATTTAAAATTTGATTTTTCAAAATTTTTATAATTTCTTAGTTCACGTTCTCCCTAAAAAACGAAATTTCAAAAGCTCAAACCCCCTTGGATTTTGAAAAATTTTATTTTATTTTTTTTGAAAGGTATCTAATTCAGTTTTCTTATCCCTCATTATTTACGGTATTTGATGACAAGTGTAAGGTCAGCAGGCCATTTCCATTATTTTGTTATGACTCCTACTCAAATTCTGCCCTTTCTCAGACGGTTTTCGGAATTTTACAAGTCTGTGGATGCCAAAGATCCAGTTCTTTTTGAAGATATTTGATCTTTGAAGTGTTGAAATAAATTTTTAGGCAAGAAAAAAATAAAAAAAAAAACTCAAAAAAATATTATTTTATTTTTCAAGTTTTCTGACCAAAAGGTTTCAAATTTTTGAATGGCAATTTTCCCGCTTGACCGGATATCGTATATCCTCGTCATCCCCTAAATAATGTCTTCAAAGTCTAAAAATAAGTTGGTAAACAGTAGCGTAATGTTGTTCCTCGTCATTTTCGGAATTTATTACGAATTTTTGAAAAAAAACCAGCTCAACCTTTTCCCAAAGATCCCATTGTTCCGGGACCAAATATTACTTGAATGCAAATTCAATTATGTTTTCGGTTCTGGAACGAAATTACATTTCCTTCCAAATTTCCGAACTTTTTTGAACCTTATAAGGTTTGGGAATGGGTAGGTGGAATTTGGTTGAATAGAGTTTTTAAGAATAGTGAGGAGTGACGTTGAGAGGAAATGGATTCGAAAATGTAATGAGATCACTAGAATTTGAATAATATATACATATTATATCACACATATACTAGTCCGCATGTAATGTCGCTGGAGTGATTTTTGAGGCATGTACGTGAGAAAATAAAAGTTTTTCTTTACACCGTGCAAACCTCTTCCTTGAGCTGTCGCTCACACCCTGACTTTTCTTGCACAATGAAAACCGTAGAAATTGCCCAGCGACTTGTAAACTAAACCGATAACAAGATTGAAAAAGTAAACAAATTGATTACGGTAAAATACGTGGGATCAAACAGGGCCTTAAACACAGCGCTGATCTCGGAATAGCATATCGTTAGAACCAGCAGGGAATCACAATTACTTTCACAAGTTATCATGGCTTCACCCCACCTAGTGACAAAGAAATGCAAATTTTTGTTGCCCTGGTCCAAACTTTTCCGACAGCCAAAATTAAAAAATCCGAATATTTTTCCTGTGCCTCAAGGCAGAGGAAATATTTTGCTGCAGTATATAAGCCCAGCGAGTCGACCAATCCAGGAATTCCCCATCGTCTTCGATCGGTATTAATCTCTAGAGATCTTGTTATTGTCATAGTATACTATTGTTGTTGTGTTATTCGAGCTCATAAAGGTACATAATATTCTACGTGGGTATTGTATTAGACTGAAAGCTATCCTTGCGCTACGTTGCGGCTTCAGTATTCTGAAGCAAAGATCCACCGACAGTCTAGTCAAGCAGCCCACAGGGTAGGGCAAAGGTAGGGCATCTCGCTCCCTCTTATTCATCTAACTGGGATTTCCGTTGAAATTGCAACGAGCAATGACAATTTCTCCATACAAACAAATAAGATCTTGTCTGAAAATCCTTTTATCATCTTCTCTTTTCACCCTTTTTCTAGATTGCATTTACATTTCCAATATATATTCAGATTAATCCCTGCGATTTTCAGTGAAGAAAGGCCGACCACGTGGCCCACCCAGATTCGGCAAACGCTCCAATCCGCTAGCCGACCGGTTGTTTGGCGGCCGCGCGGCCCGCGCCGTTCTCCTTCCCGAACCTCTTCCCTATTACTACGATCTCGAATGAATTTGAATAATTTATGCAAATTTCTTGGACTAAACCGTGCCCTCCTCCCTCCTCTCTTCGTTTGCCAGCCAAAACGCCGGAGTTTAAGTAACTAGCAGTAGTGAACCCGTTTCCAAGTGTCCTCTGATCTCAGATTTAACTCTTTTCTTGTATTCAAATACTCAATAAAACTTTTATATGTTAAATGGAGCAATATTCATTGTGTACAGAGAGTGGTGAGAGAATAAATACAGTGTTACAAATGAAGATACAGCTATTTTAAGGGTTTAAAACTGAATTATGAATGAGCAATGTAGGTAATGTTGTGTAAGGCGGAAGAGCCTGTAAAGTTGTAAGTGTAGAACTTCGAAAACTTTGTAGCTCGCCCAGGTTACACATGAAATTGTTAAAAAACCGTTTGGCAGATAGAAAGTTAAGATGAGCTCGGTAAGTTGAGGTGTTTCGTTAGATAATAGATTGATTGATCAAGCTCCTTTCAAAAGGGCTAACGGTTACAAGTGCGTGCTGTCGTGATTTCAATAGAATTCTTTTCCCTAAACTCTGTGAAGGTTTTCATTTTGAAAAAAGCAAAAACTTTTTGGATATCTTCTAGAGCAACGCCGTGGAAAATGCCAGTCAAGGAGGAGCGTCCAGGAAAGGTAATGTTTCTTGCTCAGCCTGATCAAAAACCGCAAGGTAAACAGGAGTGAAGTAATTCAAAGCTCTGTGGTCAGTAAAAGTCTTTGTACAGTCTGTCGGTAAAATAATGAGTACAATGTCGCCTCGTCTCATGTTGTGTGTTGACAAAGTAATTAGATTTTGCCCCGCGACAATTTAGTTTTGGTTGTACCAAGATAAGTAGCAGTGATCATTGAGTTGTTTCTTTTTGCGTATTTAAAAAATCCCACCGTATCTTACAGTTTGAAAAATGTCAGCTTCTTAGCAGGCTTCCGACCTCAGAGAACACTTTATATACCATGTTGTCCTTTACGACATCCGCAATTTTTTTAAATTATAATTTTGACGCTTGAGATTGCAAAGAGAGCCGGAGGCTATAAAAAACGTAATGAAGTATAATATACACATTCCACACAAATTCATTGACATTTGCAAGGAGTTTAGTTCGTTACATCCAAAATTATTACAGTGTAAATAACCCGTTCACCGTAATGACTTTACAACGTGTTCCATCTTTGCTCTTCCAGATGTAGGGATGTAAAAAACAGCCCGAAAAAGGGTCGCTTCCCCTTCCCAGTATACGATAGTCGAAATAGAACGCAGATTTCTGACCCAAAAACAATAACCAGTAATGGGTGCTGCTGATTACCAGCGGCACACGCGATCCTGAGAATTCCGGAAAGAATATTTAAGGCCACCTTTGCCACATACACTTTGTTATTAAACGCTTTTCAGCGCCCAGGATGGACAAGATACGGTATTATTTGGCGGAGTCCGTGATCCTCGCCAATGGAACCAACATGATGGTCACGTTGTCGACGATTGCAACGCTATGGCTTTATGGCGTGGTAAGTTGGGTTTGTGACAAAGTGTTTTTCAAACTTTGGAATCGCGTTTTTACAGTTTTTGGAAACAAAACTTCCCAAAAAAATTATTTACCGATAATGTAGCAATAACAAACAACAGGAAAAACTTACCGTAACATTCAAAATTTGAGTTGATACTTATTTATTTTTGCTGTTTTTGAAGAAAAAACTTTGTTGATATTATGTTTTATAAACCGTGAAAGCCCGATTCAAGTGTGTACTACTACATTGGGTCATTAAATAAAATTTTGTCAAATTTGCATACCACGCGCGACTAATTGTAGGCCTCTTCGCAATGGTCGATTTTAGACTTTTTTTCGAAATACGATGGCTATAACATCGTTTGTTTTCTCCCCAAATTGATGACAAATGTCATCTCAAATTAAATTTACATTTCTTTTGTCTGTGCTCAAAGTGGCCGCACGGTGGAGCGGCACTTCAGTTTAGGTGATTATTCATCATCCCAATTCTTAACTTGCAAACTGTACATGTTGTTCCATTATTCTCATCAAATCTACGGCTATTTCTTGTATCACCAACTGGGACATATGTAAATTAGTTCATAATTTTAGCGTTTTCACAAGGGAAGTCTCCCCAGTGTGATGCTGATATTTTTTTACGTAACTTTTCTGACTGGCAAGGTCTGTTTACCCACTGTCGCATATTATCAACTCCTGATAATTTTAGTTATTGCATTGTCCGGCCAAGATGATTCTACGATCTTTGTCGATGGGAGAGTGCGCAAAGTGCGCAGAACGGTGAAAAATAAAACGCTTTTAGCCAAATCTCTGCCAATTTGACTCTGAAAAGTCGGTTTTTGTGAAACGTTTTAGAGAATTCTGTTTTTAATAGAAGCTATACACAAAGCTCAATTTTTTGTGTTTATCTTTACAAACTCCCAAAAAACTGTCAAATTTTTGGTGATTTTCTGTCTCGATTTTTGCGCACATGAAAAACTGGCTGCATCCAAAAAAATCAAGTTTGTGCCATTACAATCAAGGTGTTCATAGCATTCCACGAAGTTAAGACTATCTACAGGGTCTTTCAAGAAATGTGCAGGAAAGTAGGAGGCTATAACTTTCGGCGGAGGCGGCGCAGAGAGTTCGTTTTTGGAATATGTATTTTTCAGTGACATTATTTTTTGCCTACGAAATAACAAGATTTTTAAGTGCAAACTGAGGTCGCTACAACCTTTTGAAAAAGGGGTCTTTTACCCCGAAAACCAGGGTTTTTCGGTTGAAAATGATCGAGAAATTTCAGAGTTTTTCGGTCGAAAATCACCGAGAAATGTCGGGTTTTTTGGGGGGTTTCGATAGAGCTGACGTTGAAAACAGGGAAGGAAATTGCCAAAACGTTGAAAATTAAGCAAATATTCGGCTACTCTTTATTCTGACACTTTACTGCTAGCAAAAACTGGTTGGCTAGCCAACCAGTTTTTGCTAGCAGTTTAAAAGTTTGATTGTCATTCCTGCCCTTTGACGCCCATTACACCCCTTTGACTAGTTTTTTAAAGACTTCACAGACATTCTGGTGCCTTGTCTAGCCGATTCCAGGTCCCCCAAATCCACAAATGAAACACTGAAAATAAACTCGAAATCTGCCCCAAGTTGAGGCTAGCCGAATTTTTGCTTAATTTTCAACGTGTTGGCAATTTCCTTCCCTGTTTTCAACGTCAGCTCTATCGAAACCCCCAAAAAACCCGACATTTCTCGGTGATTTTCGACCGAAAAACTGAAATTTCTCGATCATTTTCAACCGAAAAACCCTGGTTTTCGGGGTAAAAGACCCCTTTTTCAAAAGGTTGTAGCGACCTCAGTTTGCACTTAAAAATCTTGTTATTTCGTAGGCAAAAAATAATGTCACTGAAAAATACATATTCCAAAAACGAACTCTCTGCGCCGCCTCCGCCGAAAGTTATAGCCTCCTACTTTCCTGCACATTTCTTGAAAGACCCTGTATTACAGTTTGAGACTCCGACATCTTCTGCAAGAGCATGTTTAAATTTTCTCGGAATGTTTTAATTTCATTTTATGTCAAATTTTTTCAAAATTCATTAATTTTATAAGATTCATCTCTCAGAATCTCTACGTGAGACATCTGAAACACGCACGCGTATAATACTGAATGCTGTGAAATTAGCGGTGCAACATATGGCTTTTAGATTTATAGAATCGGGTCGTTTGAATGAGTTTGTGACGATAATCAGCTCCCTTTTCAGCTTCGGATGCCGTGGGTTGCAGCCGAGCGTTGCAAAGTCTTCAGGATTCATTTTTTACCTAGGATTCCTGGAAATTGGTTCGATTTTAGAATTTTTGTCTAATATTTGTCCGTCGTAGATTTTTAGAACTCTAAACTTTTATTCGTAAAGGAAGATAATTTTGCACTTTAAGGTTGCCATGTTCCAGAATGTTCGGTGATGACAAGTCCTAGGAATTGGGGTTTGTATAAGGTGTATAAGAGTAGTCTGTGTTTGAGTTTTGGATCTCACAAACATTATCAGACAAGGAACGTAGAGCTGGGAAGTAAGCGAAGTTGATTGCAACCCCATCTCAAAATAGGCTTTGATTTAAAAAAAGGGGAACCCGTTGCAAATGCATGGTGTTAATTTTTGTTATCGTATCAGTCTAGAACGTAAGGAAAGACTCTTTATTCGCAACCTGAACGTACATATGAGGTCCTGGTTCGGACTAGTTCTTGCCTAGGAATGTGCGGGATCACCCTTAATACGTTTTTTTCTCAGTAATCAAGGATTTGAGAACTTTTTGATTATTATAGTTTATAAAGTGCGATTGAAATGAATGTAAAACACTTCGTAATACCATAGGATACACGATGGAGTGAAATCGGGGCAGGTTAATTCAAAATCCAAGCCAGATTGGTCAAAAAACCGTTAGGGGTAGGTATCCTTTTGAAACCAAAAATATTAAAATAGTTGCCAAACCGATAAATAATTTTTTGCACTGGCTGATTCCATGCGGTAATAGGTCTTTAGACATGCTCTTTCGAATGGCATTAGCAGTTTTTCGATATCCTTTACCAAACCTTAGATACTTCAATTTTCCATGGGGTAAGTATACTTCCGTAACGGAGTGTATGCCGAAGAAAAAAATGCGCAAACGTTATAGAATTCTCCAGGCTTGGGCCAAATTTGGAGGTTATGAAGAAAACCTGCGCTCCAAGTGTCCGACCCGGCTCAAGGTTTTAAAAATGCGGTAACGGTGATATCAGGTTCGGCCCGGGGCTTTTTTTTGACATGCCTGCAGGTGTCACCGTGGTAGAATCTTTGAATTAGTTACTATTACTTGTCTTCAAAGACGGAGAGAAGTCTAAAATATGCACTATTATATTCTGCAAGGTGCCTCCAATAGAGTCCTCATAATCACCGATTTTTTGGGGTTTCATACGGCTAAAAAATTTGCGGCAATGCTTCTACCGACTTTTACCGAGGTTTGATAGTAGTTAGAACACATTTAAAACACGCGTTTTTCTCGGAAGACACAACTTCGAACGTGGTCTCTGTTTACTTCTGCGACTTCCTTAAACAAAGTTTGTATCGTTCATAAGATTCTGCAAAGTGTCTGTGCTTCCGAACGACTATATGTCTGCCAAATTGCGACGTCCCAGGTTAAAGTACACGGGATTTACGTGGTTGGAAATAAATTGCGATGAATGAATGGATCGCGTTCTGCACGGCTGCTTCAGTTTCCTTTTTATTTTGAATGCCCCCAATTTGAGAGGGCTAATGAGATGGGGACGATGATAAGATCGAAACATCGTCTACGTTTTTTACAAACTAACACACATTGCGATCTTCAAAATTTCTTGAGAATTGTAGGGATGAGAAAGTCGCGAACTTTGATGTTAGGAGGATCTAAATGGGGCAGGACCGCCGTCATTAGCAGTCTGAATATCTCTTAAAATTGTCACATTTTGGGTATAGTTTGGGTTGGTGCTTTTTGGAAGTTGTTGATGACTAAAGATACTATATTTACCAAGGTTAAGAGGGTCAATTTGTACACCGAAGAACTGGCAATTTCTTCGCCCATTTTTTGCAATTTCAAGTAAAATTTGATCAGTGTAAGACACAATGTCTTAAGTTGTCTTTTATCGTAAATGTGTAGCTTTACTCCACATAACATTTTGTTTTTTACTTTTGAAAACTAAACTTAATAACTTGCAAAAAAATGCAAACTGCGTTATCAAACATTGGACTGGGACTCTTGAAAAAAAATCAGCGGCAAATGATGTTGCAATAATATGTATATGAGGCGATAATTTGGCTCAGAAATGCTTTTTTCCAAGTCCTATATATAAATATACATATCTTGGCTTCAGAAGTGCTTCAAATGACTTAACGCTGTATTTACTGCGGCTATAATTTTTTCGTTTTCATGCTTTTTATGTACAAAGTCAAAACCTTTAGAAACGAACACTCAAAGATGTCAATTTAAGAATAAAACTATTGGTTATCGCATCCTTTTATCGCGATATCGATAAGAATAAAATTATCGCTGAAAAGCAGCGATAATGGCCTTCACCGTTTCGCGGAATCATAATCCCAGCATTTTTGGTGAAGGTCAATATTCAGGCTATCTGAATTATAATTTTCTTTGGGTATACTACTCTGTTCGGAAGTCGTTGGGGTGATTTTTGTGGCATGTGCGAAAAAAGTTCACTTTGCACCTTTTGCATTTTTTACGGTGCACTTCATGTCGCCAAAATCACTCAGCGATTTTGCGAACGGACTATTATGATCCAAGTATCCAAGTCATCATCTAAAATTTTTTTTTTTAATTGCAAAAACTCGTCGCCCAGATTTGTAGTATCAGTTTGAACTTTTCGCCCTTTTCGCATAATCAGCGGCACATTTGGCTCTCCAGGATTCTCCCAGTTTCTGCTATTTATATCCTCTTCAAATATCTGAATCTCCGTCCCCTAAGGCGTCTAAATTTATTCAACTCCGCTTGAATGGCGGCTTTAATGAATTAAACGGGCCATTGGAAAGTCAATGTTTCCAATCAACTAACTCTGTATTTATATTCAACCTTCATGTTGTGTCAGGACCCTCAGGGCATGAGGACTCGTCTGTTTCGACGTTGTGTAATTGAGGTCCGAGATGCTGAGCCCGAGGACTTCTTTTTTTAAGAGGTGTAGACGGAGGCGATGATGTCTGCAGCTTGGGGAATGTTGACGGATTTCCCTAATTTTTCGGGGTTGCGGCATTTTTTTGATGTCTGTCTTGTTGTGGATGTCTGGGTTTGACGTGGAGTCACATTTGCTGGGAAGTCGGGTCTTTTGCAGCCAGATAATTTCTTGTGAAAAGGAATGACCCCTTCGAGAAAAGCTTTTTTTGCCGAAAATCTTGCTTGATGACTTTAGAAGTTTGCAGCAGCCACATTGCATAATAGCCTTGTTTCTGCATGTTCCTGGAGTTTACGTCTTTGAATTCTTATCTTGAACCACTCAATGAGAAACGTTTGTCATACTAAAGGATCAACCGCATCTGTATTTGTTAGATAACAAGAAAGTACGCTCAGAGAGCACGGTGTGCTGAACGTAGATAGGTAGAGGTCGATGTAGATAGGATTTGAGAATAGACCCAAGATTAGGAATAAGGTTTATTGAACCACCGCACACAAAGAAAGAGAATGGGGAGAATGTTCTTATAATTGGTGACGGGACGTTGCTTTTATATGAGTTGGTTTATGCTAATTTGTTTGGGAATTGTGGACACTTTTGAGGCTCCACAACACAAGGTATCCCAAGTGTCACGCTCAGATTTTCTTCAAATTTTGAACACAGTTTGAGCAAATGCCACATTTCAATCACTGAAAGTTCTAGCTGGTCCCGCTTTGCAGGGAAATAATTGATATTGGTCATTGTAAGCCTAAGCGTTTTCTACGCTTTTTCAAAAGTGTGTAGTCCTTTTCGCCTACGCCGAAGCGTTATTTGGAATGCGCGGTGCAGCTATATTTTCCGGCAAGTCTTATAAATTTTTCCTTTATCTAATACCTCTAAAACCCCGGTTCTTTGAGGACTGCAGTCCAAATTCTGCAGCCAAATTCCTCGTGTAGTTTACTGCAAACCATATAGTATGTCGTAGCCCCAATTGCCGTCTCATTTCGAGGCTAATGGCCATTATCCACCCATAAATTGGTTGTTTCCGGGTACGTGATGTCCTCCTTCTCCCTTACTCATTTTACTTTTATTACTCCATCGAGATGACCTCAATATAGCGCTCAATTCCCCATAGTCCCCTGTTTTTAAGGAGTATTTCCTTGTTGTTACGGCTCGATTAATTTTTGAGTTTTTATTCTTTTTTTCTTTCTTTTTTACTTCCGTGTAATCTCCTCGAAATGTAGGCGAAAAACTGTGGATGCAAAGATACGAAAAAACTGTGGGTTTTTTAAAAATATTCTGTAGTCCCTGGGGGCCTGTTGTCCTTTTGTTGTCTAAAGTATGTGGGTTTTCTGTAATTGGAGGCCACGTGAAATGTGTGAGGAATGTCAAATGAGGCTATTTTTGTGGCTCATCTACGTCGCCTATCAAATTGTAGGTGAGGAAATTTTGATGATTACTAGTCTAGTTCAATCGAGGTTGGTTGAGAAGCTATAGATGATTTTTTGAGCCTCTCTCACAGAAGGCGGGAGAACATGGCGGGAGCCGCTGTAGAATGGGAGCGAAAGTATCGAGGGAAAGTTTTGTGTCTAGTTGAGGCTGCATAGGCAAAATTTGAAAGAAAATCTGAATTTTCTTCTTCCATACTCGTGGCAAAAAATCTTGATATCAGTATATCAGTCTGTCGGAAAAGTAATCGGCACTCTGTTGGATCGAAAATCCTGCCGTCTTGAAAATTAATTGTGTCACGACAAAACTTCAAATTACCTTTCACTGGTTGACTTTCGATGCGACATTGCGCTCACTATTTCCCCGACAGACTGATATTTTCCACAGTCGGGGTTTTCGCGCATCCCTGTGAAAGTTGTGAAAAAATGTTTTGCACAGTGCGTTTTGCCGCAAATTTTACAATTAGAAACAATGCGACAATTTTTTCAAGTTATCAGGACTCTTTGGCGCTGGTATATCTGTTTACATAGATTTTTACTTGCGACCAAAAAAGCAACAGCCCAAAAGGTTCAGAATAAATACGAAATTCTCAGTATTTGCCCGAATTAGAGAAATGATGATATTCGGAAAACGTAATTGCCCCTTCTTCAGCAAATTCTCAACGAATCCGCATTCGTTTTTCAAGAGAGAGCAACGCGTTTTCCTGGAAAGTCCGTTCAAACAAGATACTTTTTGGATGTCCCGGAAAGAGAGTAATGTAAATTATGGAGCAAAATGCAGGTCTTGTAGATCAAATTAGAAAGGTTTTCTTATTGTTAGAATAATGATGGAATTTTGCGATATGGATGAGCATTAAATCACCTTATTTCTGGCAACAGGATAACGTATTTTACACTTCTTTTTTATCTGATATTTTCTTACTTTGTATAGCCTCTGACTTGACTTACCGCATACAAAATTTACCACCCCAACCTTGCTTTTTCAGATGGTTCTTCTCAAGCCGCAGAACCTAGCACCAGTAAAGCGAACACTAAAGGAAATCTTTGTCGACTCTCTAATATACAACGACGTGATAGCATTAATACTTGGTGTCATCTTCAACGCCCTCCTCATCATGGCGATTAGGATGTCGAGGAGGAAATCGAGTGCACAATACGTAAAGCTGGTGCTGATTGCGGCAGTTTTCGACTTTTTCTTCGCGATTGAAGAGCTTTTTTCACAGCATGTAAGTTTGATTTGACAGTATCCCTCAAAATTGCATAATGCCTAAATTTTTCCTCTTTTAATACGAGTGGAGTTAGTGCTCTCTTCCCGCTTATGACACAGCCATTTCAATAGTTACAACCCAACTTTCGTTATGTTTAAAAATATTTTTCCCCCTCCTCCAAATTAATTCCCCTTTGAATTCGTCTAAAATACGTATACGGCGAGTTCATTTTCACTCGATTATTACATCAGAACGTGTCGGAAATTGTGCCAGCACTCTTTGAAAGCGGCGTTTGCTTAATTACTATACATTATGAACATTGTAAATTACCGCTTTTTAAGCATCTTTCCACCCTCCGCCCGCATGTTTGTTAATCAAAACAGCCGAATGTTGACGCATGCAACCCGCGCTCTTAGGACATTAAAAATCACTAAATTAAAGTGTGCACTTAGTGTTAGATTACAACAAAGACCCCACATAATTATTCTTTACTATGACATTTGCCTGTAACATGTTCGTTCTTACAGCAATTGCACGTAAAAGGCGGAGTAATTTATATGCTGGCGCATGGAGTGGAACAACTCATGCCCCCACACTTATACTGGATCTGTATCATACCTCACGGCTTCTTCACGGTGCATGGATTGTTTATTCTCTCGGGATTGTATCACTTCCGATACAAGATGATGATTGAGTAAGTTGGGAAGATTTTGGAGGCAATTTATTCTATAATTGCTTATGTATAGTCACAACAATGCCTATAAGAGATAATATGATTTTTGAAGCGCTTAGAGGGCCTTAGCTACACAAGAAAGCATCTAACACATGCCGTTTTATCTTTGATAACATTTAAAAGGCGGAAAAGTGCTACGTCGATCCTGCGGATTTCCTGAACCGTTTGACATTTCGTCCATACACTATCGATTGACCAAAAGATTTTAGATACAAAAATTCTTTCGACAGATATTTGGAGGATAAAAGTGGACTAAGAAATCAAGGACAAATTACAACGTTATTTTCTGACCAGAAAGCAAGATTTTGCCCCAGCTAGTCATGAAAAAACAGCCAAAGATTTTTTCCAAATTTTTGTGACGAAACCCCACATTTTTTGAATCTCTGTCAGGAAATACCTTCAAAAAATACCCCAGATTGACGTGCAACGTCTTTCGCGAAAAATTGGGGACATCTTGAAGTCGACAGCCCATATTATGTATTCTATACTACATTCGCTTTCAGTGTAAATACATCTCCTTGGATGTTGGTCCGAAATGTCGGGATTACCTCACTCAGCGCTCTCCTCACCTCCTGCTGTCTAACTTACGGCATATTTCAAGGGATGAATGAGCGAGGATACGGCTATTACTATAAACGGCTGGAAAATGAGTGGTTCGGCAAATATGGGCAACGCTATTTCGTTTATGCCGCGGATTTGGTAAGTCTGTCTGGGAATTTTCGATAAATCATCATCTGACCACATCGTATCTTCATTTAATTTTGAAACAATTGCAGGACTTTGCCGGAATCAAAGCCTACTTTTTCCTCGGCCTCACGCTGGCTTCAGTCTCCGTATTTCTAATATTCTTCTACGCCTACAAGGCCTGGAAATTCGTGAATCCGAATGCCCACAGCAGCAGTGCCAAGACGAAACTCATGCAGGCCCAATTCACACGTGCCATATTGATTCAAGTAGGTCATTTGCAACACATTCAAAATTTTCAAGGCAAAATTTACGCTCTCAATTTTGTTGTATCCTTCACGCACCAGCTGCTGTATGTTGACTGGTGGTGGTGAAGGTACGGAGTCAGCCAGATGTAGTGGGATAATAAGAATAAATTTATTATCAGACAAAAGCAACAATACGTAGCATAACACCAAACATTCACTGAATGAAAATAACAAATGAGGTCCTATTTCTCTTCCAAGCTTCGAGAAGCTTCGAATGAGACGGAATGCCAATACAGTAACCGTAGTTCCTGTTTCGGGACACAACAATTTTTCTCACTACTAAAATCTTATGCAAAAACTAATAGACTTGATTTTTCAGACCGTGAACGCCTTCGTTTTTGCCTTCTTCCCCGTCGGTCTCTTCACTTTCCTCGCGATTTTCCGATTTAACGGCGAATACCTGGGGATTCTGGTGATGGCCGTCGTCTCCTGGCTCCCCGCCGCCAATGGGGCCATTACAATTTATGTCGTCAAGGATTTTCGAAATTTCGTCAAGGGATTTTTGGGATGTCGTCGACTGAAAGTGATGACTGCAACTGTGAGTGTGGTGGGCTCCTCCACCGCTCCCAAATTCTCGAGGACGACCAGGAATCCGACCAGTCAGACGAGTTAACTCTACTTGTGATGTCTTCTACGACTTTTGAGGCTACTTCTTGAATCGACAATTGTAAAAAAAAACGTCTGCAACATTCCGCACATTTCACTTGAACATTCATTTCCATTCGCAATATCTCCGCTTGTTACCTTGTATTCAATACGAAACACTCTCCAAATTGTACTACCTTTGTGTCTGTATTTAATAAAAGCGCCAGAATCTCTGCGTCGGACTCAGTTATGAGAATTCCATCATTCATATACATGTACGTATAAAAAAATTTTACGGGCAGTGTACTTCTGCCCTTGCTTTTCTGTGAACTGCCTCTAGAATTTTCGAAAATTTCTCGGAGTCGCGACCAAATCCGAGTTTTTGTCATCATGAGGTAAGCGAGTTTTTGTCATCATGAGGTAATGATGATATACGAAAGAATGGCTGGAGTCATAAAATGGGCCAATGAATACACGGTTTTTGGTTATTGGCATACAAGAGGTGTTCCGGTTAAACTCAATTTTTTTCGACCATGATGCTCGGCCACACTTTTCGGCCATGGCAATTTCTTCTTCTGCAATGTATAAGGCACACAATAAGCAAAAATTACGCGAAGTGCGAATGGTCCTTTCCATTGTGCCGTTCAGGACGCGTCTTATCCTGTCTTGAGCTCTGCAAGTTGCGAGACATAAAAGTATAGCCGAAACACGTGGCTGAGCATCATGGCAGAAAACAATTTGAATTTACCCGGAACCCGTCTTACATCGATTTTTGAGTGACGAAAAGGAACCATGATGAAAGGAGACTCAATCAGAAGACATAAGATCTGAGAGGAGCATTCAGCGTCGAGAAAATTGACTGTATTATATAGAGAATATTTGTTCCATACATTCAAGATTAATTTTATGTCATATGTATGTGTAAGTATTTATGTCAATATTTTAAAACATGTATCTTGAGGAATGTAAAGGGAAATTTAAAAGAATGGCTGTACGTAGAAACGAGTCATCATACCAATCTTCCGGGACCTTCTTCCTTTTCGTCGTAAAAGGTTGTCTGTAAAACGTACTTGTATATATTTACATATGTATACTAAATATATCTTTTTGGATCAAAAAACCATATATGTACAGGGTGCGCCAATAAAATCTGGACTAATATTTTTGCCTGCCCTGCGGGCTGTAATAGTACGAGAACAAAGTGGGCGATTGTGGACACGTGTAATACGTCCAAGAAGCTAGCTTTAAAGTTTCAGACAAAATAATCGTCTACGACACTTGTTTTGCCATCATAAGTGCTTACAACTAAGACGCCTGAAACACGGACCCCAAATTGGTCAAAAAATGGTTGCGCTATCTTTACCGGTTTATCCTATGGGCTGAAATTTACTTTTTCTTATAGAGCTCTGGTCGGTTTTTATACACTGAAATTTATTTTGCTTCATTATGACAATTAGGCTTTTTACAGCTCGCCAAAGTTGGCTTAAAAACGGGCCTTTTTTCCCGAAAACTTCCGTTAAATCAAAGATTTTTATGTAGAAGTTTCCCTGTGTGATTCCAAACATGTTAAGCACCAGAACTACCTTTGCAAGGATAACCAGAGCCTGCCTAGTCGTCTTTCAAAGAGGATTTTTCTATCTGCTGCCTCTATGGATGAAATAGTGACCGTAGTGGCATAATTTACTATATGCTCGCTATTCGAGTGATCTTGGACTAGATATTTCTAAAAGTGATTTGGCTACATTAGCATGTATCCAGTGTACAACGCTATGTTGATTTTTACGCTTAAGGCCTTTCCAACTTGTTACAAACTGCCAAAACGTTTCATGTCCCGAATGACCGTGCCTTGAATTCCTCCCATGAACTTTTATTTATGCAGAAACTGTCCCCTTGTATGGGCGGATTTTCTTTTACACTATAACCATTGTCTATGTATACGCTCTGTAATCACGGAATTTTGGAGCAAGACGGGCTATAATCTGGCGTTGAGATCCTTAAAAACATAAAAATCCAAATTTTTGGGCCTTTTTTTGTTTCCGCCACCAGCGCCGCACGTCAAGAAATTGCGGGCATTGCAAAGGTTCTCACAGCGAAAAAAAATTCATAAAACCTGTCATCCAAATTGCACATAACAACAATTTTTAACCTAATTTTTTTAATGGGAACTCTAGGGAGTACTACTAGTCGTATACAACTGTTTTTTATACCGCTGGTACATTCTAAATGGGTGTCATCGTGACGCATTTTCTGAACATGGTTCGAGCTAGGCTAAAAATAGTGCAAATTTCAAGGCCAACTATCAAAAAAACTGTCCCATCAAGCGGGACGGGACCGGTGTAGATACTCGAAGAACAGTTTAAGGATTTTTTTGACGTGGAGCCTATACCTCCTTCCAGTGCTCTCTGACTCGGTATCGTCGATACAAACTTTTATTTAGACGTTGCATTCTTCGCCATGGAAAACTGTCAAAATACTACGATTATGGGTATATTTTGGTTCTATTAGCTTAAGCAACTCTCGAGCTTTCTATTGGTATCAATATCTTGTGATTTACTATTAATCTTTATGTCAAAATCTTGCAAACCATTTGGACAAAAACGGATTTGCACCGGGCAGAATGCCAAAAAAAATACTAGGCTTTTTCATTGGGCGCCCGTTTTTCTTTTATTTTTTCTTGACGTGCGCCGCCAGATCGGCCGCTAACCATGATTCCGTTAACTTTTTACTATTTTTTCGCTCTTGCAATAGGCACCGACATGGGCATTACCGTTGCTGTACAGCACGGTTGTTTCCCTTTCTAAAAGTGCTAAAAGTTTCCATTCTTAGGCCGTCCGAAAAAGGCCCCATGGAATTTAGTTTAGTCCAGATTTTATTGGCGCACCCTGTATAATCAAACTTACGAATTCGTCACTCTGATGCTCTGTGTCGTCGTCTGAATCATTTTGAGCCTGCGGAGAAACCTTGCAGTTTTGAAACAACTTGTTGTAGCACTAAATTTGGGGAGTAAGTAACCGCCATAAATCGAAAAGGCATTGAAATTAACCTACAATATCACAGACTCGAACGGGCTTCTTGTCGATCCCTTCTAACGTCAACTTTTTTGTTGAGCATGCCCCACAAACAACCTTTCCACAGGATCGGCAATGATGCTGCAAGAAAAAAAGTACTATAGCACTATAGCAGACCCTTTCACACTCAGCGTGAATAACCTACCCTTCTCTCAAACACTGTGAAATGGGTGCTCTGACAAACCATGCAGACCTCAGCTTGTGAATCAGGCACCCAGACGGCGGCATGTTTGTGAGCAGGTTCCTTTCCTTCTGGAAATTGATATACAGGGTGGTTCAGCTAAGTTCGCGGATGTAAGATGCTTATAACTTTTTATAGGATTGTTCAATTTTTATGAGCAATAGCTCATTTTATTCCTTAGCAGTTACCATTTTGTTTAAAAAAAGATCTTTCGGACAGACGTGGACAGTGATTCACAATTTTTGTGGATACGGTAGGGATATAAAAAAAAATGTTTCGCTCTCGGATCGCTCTCCGTGTTTCGCGTACTCTCTCGGCTGCTAAGATCGTTCAATATCCCGGCGGCGCCTGCAAATTGTGAGCTAAAATTTTCAGGAATTGGTTTGTAGCCTATGCCTGACATGTGTGCAAAATTTAAAGAAAATCTTAGCGTCGCACTTTTAAATTTTTAAAATTTCTGGCGTAATTTATCGCCGGCCCGGATTGCAGCCATGCTTAATACGAGAGAAATTTCCTAATCTTTACCTTTCAAAACGATGGACACACATTTCTCAATATGGTCCATCCACTGTTCCTTCTCCTTTTTTGTTGTCGCATGTAACACAAAACTCTTTGTTCTTGTCTTCACCAGGAACAAGTTCTCGCTCTCTCCTTCATCCTCCACGTTCTCGATCCGCACCTCTTCCAGCGGAATGATTCGTTGTTTAGTGAACTTTCGCCTCGACAATATCGTACCGTACACTAAGATGTCGTTGAATAAGAAGAATTGCCGTGGCTTTGCTTTCTTTCGACACATCTTTATTAAAACTCCGTCTCCGATCAAGACTCGATTAGCATGTTGTAAAGGGACGCCTGATGAACCAAACGCTTCCTCCACGGCCTGGATTCGTCTCGTATTGATATCGGTTTGTTCTAAAAGATGTAAACTTAATAAAAAAAAAGCTACTTACTCAGATGATCCACCATTTCTGATCAATAAATGAACAAGCCAAAAAGCTAGAAAAGATGTAAAAACTAATGATTCACTATTATTTAGTAAGGTCACAACTATTCTTGCAAACGTTTGATCGTTTAAGGAAATGAAAAAAGTAATGTTAAAACAACGAAAGGAGACTGTTTTTGTTTTAAAGTAATAGTTATTAATTAATGCTCTTTCGAATAGCTACTATTTATTACAAATCGAAACTGTGAAGTATTCGTGACTTGTATTGGTGACCAAAGTTTTATTTCTATCCCGTAGGGACCCGGTAAACAAAATGTTCCAACGAATCTTGTAAAAATGCCGGTAAGTCAATAGCCTGCGGGCCCGTACCAAAATCAAGGCTTTCGGGGCCCTAAAATTTAACGCCTTTTTGGCGTATACTGTGAAAATCAGTTGTAAGTGTGGTATCGCTGTAAATCTACTACACTTGTATTAATGATTCATCAATTCCAGTAAACTTTTAGTGTTCATACATATATTGCACTTTACATCATCCTCGAAAACTCAGCGAATTGCAACTCATGCCCGGATGGCTTTGTTAAACCTATTTTTAATATACATCGTTTCCGAAGCTTTGATAAAACGCCATAACCAAGTATCCAAATATAGGACTTGGGTCCTCCTCCATCAGATTTTCGTCGGGCCTCATTCAAGTATCCGTACAGTGTGCGATAATCCCAAGTATACACCTGTGGACTAAAACGTGGATTGATACCGTATTTACTTCACTGTTTGCCACCCTACCTCATTTTCATTTTTCCGTAGTAAAAAATCACTCCGATCATTAACGTTTTAATATTTTTATTGAATACCCGTGAAAATGAAGAAATGTCTTGTTACAAAACAATAAGAGACAAGTTAGAAAAAATTGCACTTAACAATCATAATAGCTGATTCATAACAAATGAATAAAAGATATCTAAAATTAGAGACAAAATATCACAGTTTTTCTATTCTACTCGATATAAATCGTCATGAACTGGTGTTAGGAACGCAATTTACATCTTTAGACGTCATGAGAAAACGTTCTAAAGCTTCTAAAAATGCTGTTTTGGACGGGAATTTTGTAAAAAAAATCTATTTTTTGGGTAAAAAAGTGGGTGAAATCGAGGAATCCAAATTAAAAAAACCGTTGAAAAAATTGTGCATCTTAAACCAAAATACTTCTACTTTAATACAAAATAGTTATTACACCTATCTACCTCATAAATTTTCCAGAATCACAAAAAAAAATTCAAAATCCCTCAAAAATCTTAAATTTTTGTCCGAAATCCCACTAACTCCCCCAAAATTTCGTATTTTAGTCAGGGATAAAACCTCCCATCGGCTGAAGTTGATCCTCGATATAACGTTGGACTGCTTCTTACACCTTTCATGAAGTAATCTTCTGTGTTCAGCTTTTTGTATCCACTGGGATCCCTTTTGAAGGCCGGAAGTCCTGAGGCGTTATTCTTGTGTAGTTGGCGAGTGACGATCAAAACTAATATGGCGATTACCACTAGCAAGGCAAGGATGAAGACAATCGGGTAGAAAGTCGAGGAATTTGAGTCGATATGTCTGAAAATTTAGAAATTATATTATTTTAGGTACCTAAATGTAAAAAAGAAGGTAAAAATGCCGAAATTTTACAGAAATAAATTAAAATTAATTTTCAGTTAGAAAAAGTATCATCTAGATTTCAATATTACATAATATAAACTCCAAAAAACTATGGCAAGAGGAGACCAAAATCAAAAAAATCACAAAAATTTCATTTTTGTTGCAAAAAATCCAGAAAATCAGTCATTATTACGCCGTTAATACCTCCAACCTATTCTAAATTATTTTCTAACAACTTTTATATTCTTATTTCCCATTTATTTTCTCAAAAAATCAAAAAAAAAATGGAAATTTTGAACATCGTATTTTACCCATCGAAATCAAAAATAACATCAAAACTTACTGCGCTTTGATATTCTCTCGGTTAGCTTGCTTCAATGGAAAATACCTCATTTGATATATCAATGCTCCCAGGGCCCATTGAACCTCCTGACTTCGTATTTTCAAGGCACTTTGGAATTGATTGTTCAATTCATTGACATGGAATCCATCATGGAGGATGGCATGAATCCACGCCGACTTAAAGCACTGTGCTTCAAGTCTGGTCACATCGATTTTCGAGTATTCCGTCTTTCTGATCGATTTCCACGACGTTGAGCAATATTTCCGGGCCATTTTTTCGAACTGATCATGGTCGTATCTTCCACCCAGGGAGAGCACATCATGAGAAGAGTACCAGTACTCGCTAAACCCGTACAATTCAATGGATGAGAGGTCTACGGAGGGGGCTGAGACTCCGCCAAAGAAGCATTTCAGGGCGGTCGAACAGTCTCCGGCTTCTTTGATCACTTTCACAACCGAGGAGACACATCCATCCCAGTTTCCAGTGCCCTAAAATAAACGTTTCTACAGTTTCAAAAGCAAAAATTTTTAAAAATCAAAAAATTTCAATCTGTTACTTATAGTGGGGGACCTGATCCAGTGACAAAAAACGTGCCATTTTGCATCCGAGAGGTATCAAAAATTCGGCAAAATACCTCTTTTTCCAAGTGAAAAAACTCCAATTTCAAAAGCTCTTCAAAACAGAGTTTTTTTCACTTGGAGAAGGAAGCATTTTGCCACATTTTTGATACTTCCCGGATGCAAAATGGTACGTTTTTTGCCACTGGATCAGGTCCCCCACTGTATGTTTTAAAAATATTTTTCCCCTTCTCCAAATTAACTCTTCAAAATGGGAGTGTTTTCACATGGAGAGGGAGGCATTTTGCCACATTATTGATACTTCCGGGATGTAAAATGGTACGTTTTTTGCCACTGGATCAGGTCTGCCACTGTATAATCCGGCATTGTTCAAAAAAAAATTTTTTTTAATCAAATCAATCACTCGATTTTAAACAAAAAAAACAAGCCCTTTCCAAAAATCAAAAAATTCCAAATTTTCTCCAAAAATCCAAAATTTTCAAACAAAAAATCCGTCATCATGACATGTATTATACTCCAGAAATCATGTTCCTATCTCGTCACTACCTATTTTCTAACTTTTTCTACCAAAAATCAATCTCAAAAATTCTCCCGAAACTTGGCGTAAAGTCCAAAAATCAAAAATTTCCTTACAATTTTCACAAATTGCGACCCATCTTCCAGCGACGACACTCTGATGTAATTCAGGGGTAAACAATCATCCTTGATCGAGGGTACATCACTCCCATTGGCCGATTTCAATTTTTCGACCATTTTTTGGTCGATTTCTTTATCGTACTTTTTGGCGCCTTCGTTGACTCCAAACCCAAGGAAAGTTGTCACAAATAAGTTGTATTTGAACTTCGCATCATCATCCAACGCTCCCAAATTGACCTGTTCCAAGGCGGGAGCATTGAATTTTGTGTCCTGCGGCAATTCGAACGCGATTTGGACCGACGCTCCGCCCATATCGATCATACCTAAAAATATTTTATAAAATATCAGAACGCTCAAATTACCTGCAGTTTTGTCTCTGATGGAGCTGTGAGTTACATCTTCTCTCAGGTTGAACCTTCCCAACACGTAATTCACGGCGATCCAGCTGTAAATCCCTTCCCATTTCCCATCAATGACTTGGATATGTTCTGGCAGAACTTGGAGGCGAGTCAGCGAGGGGAGCTGGGTTCGAACTGCTCTCAGGATCTCGTCTTGTCTTCTGAAACATATTTTAGGTAATAAAAATTTTAAAAAAATGTCATGTACAATGAAATAAACTCGGATTTGGTCAGTAAATTCCGTTTCGTAATCTTTTTTACATCTAAACTGTATTATAGTCGCGATATCATCAGGATTTCATATCAAAATAAACAATTTTTATCAAAAATTTGCCATGTGTAATATAATTAATTTTGAATTTTGCTTATAAAACCCTCTCAAACAGTAAAAAAACTCTAAAAAACTCATTGTTTCAATATCACCAAGATTTCCGCAAAAAAAATCAGACTTTAACAAAAAAATTGCCATGTGTAATATAACACATCTAATTTTTCCACCCCAAATCACCTCCAATTACTCTCATAACCCCCCATCAGACTTACTGTTGCGGCAACAATCTCATTCCAGCAGTTGCAAAGATGAACACCGGTGTAAATGGCTGCATTTCATATGGAATGTACTTGGAGGCAAAGTCCAGCAGAGGTTTGTAATATCCCGGAGCATCGTTTGGGTTTTTCTCGAAGGACGAGAGACCAGGAGAGACCTTTTTAACTACATCGGCGCCAAATTCATCCTTCACTGGTTTCACACTGATCAATTCATTTGTTGTCCCAGATGTGAATGCGTACAAGAAAAGGCGAGAGCCCGTGGATCCGGCATCAATTACTATTCCATAGCTTAGGTCGGGGTCTGAAATGGGACATACGGTAGTCAGACAGTAATTTGAGACGAATATTTGGTTCTCTTCAACAATTTTTGCCATGGATAAGGTAAAAATACAAACTTTTTGTCAAAATTTATATTTTTCATCAAAATCACAGCAAGTTTCATACAAAATTGGCCTCGTTAAGTCACCTAGAGACAGAAAAAACGAAAGTTTTAAAAAACATACCATGTTTTACATTGTTTTGCATAAAAGTTGGTTCCCTTTCCCCTTCGCTTCCCGAGACCGAAGAAAATATAAGGTAGAGAGCGAAGAGGAAGCCCGCAGACATCAGGACGGACCATAAGCGTCGGGGCATCAGATTCGCGCTAACATCGACCTGAAACTTGACAATGAAATCGATTTATCGGCGGGATCAGTTCGGCGATTCTATTAGATAAGTGAAAATTGAAAATCAAGCTGGATTTGAAGAGAAACACGGCAAAAGCGAGAAGAGCTGTTGTTAATTAGGGTAAAATTAGATGGACTTTCTATTCCAACACTCGCTTAGGGAAAATGAGTGTGAAAACAGTCCAAAATATTGATTTATCTTATCTTACAGCACCTACTACAATATGTATCCAAAAACAAGATAAAATCTGGCCCTTAATCTCGAAATTTAGATTCAAAAGATTCTCTATGACCTTTTCCACACTTACCACATCTTTATTCTCTCCTAACATGTCGAAAACCCACGTAGTTAGCCAAATATCAGATTTTAGGTAACAAATTTGCTGTTTTATTCAAAATTCATATTCAGATAAAACGGAAACGCCCAATTCACGCCTATTAATGACGCCCACTAAATATGGTAATCCGCCCTTTAACAACAACAAAAACGAGAGACAGTCAAGGTCATTCGCAAAGCCCAACCCCGCGATATTATCCATGAGAGAAACAAAACTAAATTTTAATCCTGTTCATAACAAAAATGATACCGAAAACTCACAAAAACTTGGCAGAATAGTCGATTATGTTGTAGATACGACAAAAAAAGATTTTTGTGTCGTGGATTTTCAATATTCGCGAGCTGCGCCCAAGATTTTGCAAGTTGTCAACTCGGCAGTTCGCGCCCGGCACTAGCAGAAGAAAATAAAAACAAAATGACAGAAAGTTTTGTGTGCAACATTGCGAGTGTAGCGCTAATGGGCTGAACGCTGAATAAAAGGTTTTGTTCAGAATTGACAGAAATTTTTGGAGTGTATAAAGGGAAGGGGAGAAGTTTGTCATTTGCAAATTGAGATAGTAAGGAGAAGGTGGAGACGATTAAAAGGTGCTTGTTTTGTTTGGTGAGAGGTGTAGGAGGCTGCTGAACAACTGTAGAAGTCTTATTTATCTGAGGAATGAACTTTGGGACCTATCTTATTTTAGCTTCTGTCATGGATAATATAGCTAATATTTTTCTACTCTGGAAGTCTCTATTTTACCTATTTTTGCTTCAAAATGTCTGTGAGCCCGCGAGCTTTACTTTACGAGTAATTTCACATCTTTTTATAGCGAGTTTCTCTACTAAAAATCAGACTTTCAGTTAATCTCCACCTACGCTACTAACCATGGCTCCTGTTACTGAATCTGCTGCTTCTTGCTCTGCCGAATTTCCTCCTGCGCTTTTTAATGCTGTTGCCAACATGAGACTGGCTGATGATTCCATTTATGCCCTCAATTTGAAGTTTGCTTGCCAATCCAAGGTTATCTACGACATGATCAAGAATCTGGGAATTAACTTTGAAGAAATCAACGAACCTGTTGAAATCCCATGTGCTAACGTTACCAGAGACACAATGGTTTTGATTGAGGTAAGAATTTTGCAATTTTTAGTTTTTCAGTTTTAGGATATTACACTTGACAAGGCTGGTGAATAAGGTCGATTTTGAGTTGAAATTTGTCCTTGACTTGAGTTTGTCAGGTTGCAAAAGAGTCTTCACTATGACCTCTCGTTGTCAGAAACACTCATTGCGGCGTGATTTTTGCTCCGAATACTAAAAATAGTGTTTCAGGACTGGATGGCCCACCACCCTGACGATGATCGCCTTTCAACCACCGAAAACGCCAAGTTTGACAAGAATCTGAGCAAGTCCGAGCTGCGTTGGTTCCGTTTGCTTAACGAAGACGAGCTTTACAACGTGATCATGGCCGCCAACTTCTTCGACATGCCTCATCTACTCGACAAGTGCTGTGAAAATGTGGCGTCAATGATTCGGGGGCGGACTTCTCAAGAAATGGCCGAGATCCTGGGCTTCGAAGACAACATGAGCAAGGAGAAGGTGGACAGTATCAGACGCGAAAATGTCTGGCTCGGTGATTAAATTATCCTTCCATATCAGATGTTCATACTAGACTTAAAATGGCCTTATCATTGTTCTCATTCCACAAAGATTACTGTATTTTTATTTTCGAGATTTTGCTTATTCAAATAAATTTTTGAATATTGTACATGACAAAGGCGAATAATTTATTAATTATTAGTATTTTCCTATAGTTATCTACTGCAATCCATAGATCATGACCTGGAACCATCGTAGTTCATGCTCCTGGAGATTGTGGAAGCTGTGGGCTTTCTTGCTGACGTGTTTGAACGTCTAGAAATATTAGGGTGAACCAAAAAAAAAATCCGATTTTTGTATTACATCTTTCAGTAGTCTAAAATATATGTAAATCCCCAATTTTTGGAAAATTTATTGTATCAATTTTTTCCTCTGAACATACCTCGAAGTTGCTAGTAGTATTAGTCTCTATAAAAAAGCTCTTGTTCCCGCTTTCGTCTCGATCTATATTGTACATGACACCTTTTCCAACCTTGTCCAAACACCTTCGAATCTGTCGATCCCAACAGTTTTGGAAAATTCGAGATTTGGCCAGCATTGTGAGCCCTATTTTGTTGGCGATCATCATGTGAAAGGTCGAGTTTATCGGCTGAAATTTGATTAATCTTTATTAGGTCTAAAGTGGTATTACTCGAAGTCTGCCTGTTCGATTTTAGTCAAATTTTGAGGACATACTCTTAATAGATCGTATAACAATCTCCAGAAATTTCAGCTTGCGATTTGCAAGGGTTGTGGAGATTTTAATTAATCTTTTTTTTGGCGAGAGAGCATGCAAAATAAGGAGAGTCGGTCAGACAGAAATATTACTTCGGCCCTTTGGCTTTATTTTTTGAGACTTTCGCTTAACAAATGGTTTCTATTGAATTCTTATGCAAAATTTGAAGGGAATAGGAAGGGAATTGTTGAGGTGTTCTACCTCTAGATTAGCTATCAAGTACAATATAATTTTATAATTTATGTCTTACATTTTCGACCACAGCGAATGCCGCCGAATCCATTGGCATTTTCTCTAGATGGCTCGCTAAATTCTCCATTAGAATGAAGCTAGAAGTCCGAGTCAAGATATACCAGTTATAGGTGTTGTGCATTACGGATAGGTAGGAAGAGAGCCATCTAAAGTAATATAACTGATATAAAAGATGCTTAGATGGATAAAGTAAATTGAAAATGGACTCACCGTGCCTCAGAGACACCTTTTCGCATATTATTTGGGATCTCGACTTTGTTGTGCTCGGTCCAGTCGAGGTTTTTATGGGTGAAAATTTCGTGGTCGATCCCTTTTAGCCAGGTGAAAAGCGATGTGTTTACCTGAAATAGATCACTTAAAATTTTGAGACACAGAAAGTACTGGTCTAGAAAGGCAAAATATATTTACAGCTTTCCGCGAGGCCCATTGCGGCTCAATTAATGCCACAAAAATGTGACCCTTCTCCTTTTTGACGGCCGTCCTCCGGCTTTGGTTGTGTTCGAACTGATTGGATGTCTCGAGGACAAACCGAAAGTACAGGTATATTGCCCAAGTGAGGAAGAGCCCCGAGAGGTGCTGCGAACGCATTCCTGAAGACGGAAATTTTAGTGTGGGTGGTATAAAAGTTAGGTGTTGCGCAACCAACGGCTAATGTCATCAAAAAAGGAAAAATTTGACGAAAGTCAGGGTTACAGATGGAATGGTCGAATGGATTTTGATAAAAGGTTGACTTGAGTGCAGATTATTATTTTTCTGGAGTATATAAGAGGTCGCTCGTTGAAAAAATCGCTGAAATTTTTTGGTCAGAATCCAAAAAAAAAAAAAAAAAATAAAATTTTTTTTGACATTTTGGATTGCAATAGGTCAGTATTCTAGTAACAAAAATTAATCAGAGTTAGAAAAAAATTATTTCAAGTACCTCTTAAAGTCATTTAGTTATGTTTTTACTCAAAACCATAAAATTTAAAATATTTAAAAATTTCAAAAAAACAACAGCAATAAGAACAAAAAATACATTACAATGATGCGATGATTACAACCGTTAAACAACAAAAATTTCAAAACGAAATGACCGGCAAGAAACAAAGGAAATTAAACCCGATGATTAATGAGTCAACCTCCCTCAGCGCCAGGTATCCATTATTCCGGCGCTTGAGGTCGTCGAGTCTCTTCCTCTTCCTTTAACCAAGTCAGCGACCGCGGTCAGCCAGCAAAAAAAAGAGAAAATTACCCAGTTTTCGTTTTTTTGCGATGCGAGATTTTTTAGATTAGATTCGACGAGATTAACAATATTTACAGGACAAGTAGACAATACAAGAGATATTTACAGTGATTCAAATTAAAGTTAATAGTCAGAAACTGTTGAGGACCTCCGGCAATGGAGGATAAATTTGATAAAATGGAGGAGCGAACAGATGGCCGCGAATGACATCAGTCCCATTAGGATCATTAGGAGCCAGCTCTGAAAGTTTTACAAGTCAGGGGGCATAAAAAAGTCATCGGTAAAATAACATTGTACGGTGGGGGCCCTGATCTCCAGGGGCAAAAAACGTACCATTTTGCATCCGGGAACTATCAAAAAATGTGGCAAAATGCTTCCCTACCCAAGTCAAAAAACTCAGATTTCAAAAGCGCGCCATTTCCCTCACAAAAAGAGCGGGCGCGCTTTTGAAATCTGAGTTTTTTCACTTGGAAATGGCGGTATTTTGCCACATTTTTTGATGCTTCCTGGATGCAAAGTGGTACGTTTTTTGTCACTGGATCAGGTCCCCCACTGTAAAAGATAAGAGGCCGTGAACCTAATAATTTTTGGGTATCACTATTGAACAGTCATCACCTTAATTCGCCCTCTATTTTATGCTCCGGTAAAATAGTCTGTGCACATATGATCTATGGAAAGGAGATGCTTTCAGAAGAAAGCGGAAAGATTGTTTACAAGCTACAAGATTGATCAAACTTTATAGTGTCATAAACAATTGTTCAAGTAGACAACGTATTTTAAAATTGAAGTTAACCTGACTTTTTGATCGAATCAGCGTTAATAATGCAAGTGGATACAGTGCTGGACATAATTACTGTAACTTTTTTGGTTATCAGTAGAAAAGCGTCATATTTGGCACCAATATGCAGTAGTGTACTACAGGGTGTCCAGAGAAATGTGCCGGAAATTTTTTGTCGATTTCTTGGCGCTCAATCAAGATATCCGAAAGATTCCTTTTGCAGGATAAAGAAGAATATGGGCGGTTTTTTGTGCAAAAGAATCTTTTTCTCCGCCAGCGCGGAAGGCAGTGTATTCGGCGGAGACTTTTAATCGCTTTTTTGATCATCGCACCAACTTTAAACGCTTTTTTATGAACTTTGATGGTTGAAACAAAGATATTTGCATATTTTCATGTTTACCAAGTGTTCGGCGAAGGTATGGCGGACGCTCGCCGAATCGGCGGAGGCCATAACTCAGCTGCGGACAAGACATGGTCCAACACAATTTTTATGGCCTGGCTAGAACGCCCTGCTGGCTTCGTATGCCTTCGAAAATTTTGTCACCAAGCTTTGGCAGAAGCTAAGACATCGGAAAACCACTTGGTGCACCAGAAAACAACAAAATATTTTTTGTTCAAATTTCTTTTTGCCTTGCTGTTTCAAACCTCCGCACGGTGCACTCGGACTTTATTGGTGTTGCAGCGACAGGCTGCACCGTGCAGTCGCTATATGGGATCGCATTGCGATGTCGCTGTCTGTGTGATTTATTGCGTCAAAAATTTGAAGACTTTCCGGAAGTTTCAGCGTCATAATAAAGCGTTTAAAGTTGGTGCGATGATCAAAAAAGCGATCAAAAGTCTCCGCCGAATACACTGCCTTCCGCGCTGGCGGAGAAAATGATTCTTTCGGACAAAAAACCGCCCAAATTCTTCTTTATCCTGCAAAAAGAATTTTTCGGATATCTTTATTGAGCGCCAAGAAATCGACAAAAACTTTCCGGCACATTTCTCTGGACACCCTGTACAAATCTTGCGCCAAAAAAAATTATTTGAGGAAAATTCCACAATTTGGAAAAAAGTTGAAAATACCCAAAACTCCCATTCAACAAAACCTTTCTATAACGAAACCTCCCATAAAAAACAGTACGAATTCCAAAGTACCTAGTTTAGAATCTTTCTTTAAACTTTGTAGGGTAAGAATAGAACCGGGTGAAGGCCGAATGATGCAACTACAATAGAAACGTAAACCTAAGTTCCACAGCGTCTTTAACTTACCTGTAGATACAAACAACACTCGTCTTTTGAACAACACTTGTAATAAAACAATGCCGTTGCCTTGGGGCATCCCTCACAAGATGAATTTCTCATCGTTGTGGTCTCATTCATCTGTAAAAAGTAATTTTAAAATACGCCCAAAATCAATGGTCCTACTTACTAAAAATACTTACATTTCTCGCATTTACCGCCACAAAAACGGACAAGACTTTAACCACCCGCAGCATGGTTAAGTGCGTTCTTTTTTAACAATACTTTTTTGATATTTTTACGGGGAAGAAAGGGAGATTGATAATGGAATTCAACTTCTGATGAAGCGAAAACATTGATTGAGGCGGGGGTGGCGGAAGACGAATCGCAATAACTTTTTTTGGGAGCTTTTAAAAGCCGATTCAAGCAGTGTTCAGACGTGATCTAGAGGTGGGAAAGACAGGAGGAAGCTATTTTTAGACTTGTCAAAAAACATCTCGGCTATCGCTCAGACTGAATTTTGTAATCGCAAAATGAAAGTTCAAAGTTCAGAAAATTTGGTTTTTTGAGATCTTTGTTGTTTTAAGAACCTTGAAGATAACTAAAAATATCAAAGGCGTACCCAGGACTATATTACGTCTATTTTGCGACATTTCACACGGTTATAGCTTGATAATTTTCAATTGTCATATTGCAGCACTTGACATCAGATGTTTAGGGTTACATAAATTGGCTTATTCTAGTTTTAAAATTGTTGGAATCGCGCCGCAAATTGTTTTAGTCCATAAAGAATGTTATTTTAAGATATCCAACGGATAGAGAAACACTTGACCCAACAAGACGATTTTGGGTCATGTCTTGCCCTCGAAGAATAATTACCCTGTTTTTGGCAAAATTGATTGCAAAATCATTTCCAGAGGTCTTGCATCCCCTAGAATGAAAATCTTCACAAAATTTGAGTCCATAATCACGATCAAAGTTAATTATATTACCCATGGTCTTCAAAATGTACAGTCATTTATTTCCGCAATAATCTTAATTGAACAACAAGTCCTGATAATACCGAGAGCAATGCAGTAGCCCGGTTTTGCACATCTCAGTCGTCCTCACCACCGACAATCGATCAGCTCTTTCGAAATTCGAGCGGACAAGTTCGTAATATTGCCCATCACTCAGGACCACCGAATGCAGCCTCAGGCACTTCAGACGAAGAACATCGATGAATTTGGAGGACTTATCTGAGAACCGAAGAGTCTCATCGTCCCATCGGATCTCCAGACGTCTGAGTTGATGGCAATTTTGAGCAATGCAGTCGATAAATTGGTCGATATGGATTTTGGAGACCACTTTGGGACAGCAATCTTCCGCGATCCCCATGACTAGGACTCTAAAGAAGCGAGATAAGTCAAGCAGTCCTTTTCTCACCGAATATTCCTCAAATGCGGGATCATGTTCATCCAGAAGTACTCCAACAGCCGATAATGTCCCCCCAAATTCAGCGCATAGAGCTGTAGCCCATGCCTCAGCACCATCTCCGTGACCGCGCCCTCACTCAACGAGTCGCAACTGTCCAAACTCAGGTACTGCATGTTGTTGATCTTCCCCGATTGCATCCACGCCTCGAGGGCTTGGTCGGTGAAGTTCTCCAGCCAGCTGGCGTCGAGCCATTTTAAGTGATTTAGTCGGGTCAAGAGATGGACAATGGTGTCCGTGGAGAGCTCGGTGCCGCGGATATCCAACTCCTCCAGCTGGCATTTCTCCCAAGGAAGTTGTTGGATCACGGCGTTGTCGAGGCCTGGAAAATGAAATTTTTATTTTTTAAAAATCAATTTTACATGACAAAACAACATTGCGAAGTGACAAGAATCGATTTTTGGATTCAAAAATTCAAAATTTCAATTTCCCGCCAATTTTGGCATTCTGTTTCAAGTCATGAAATTGAGGAATTTGACCTAATGTTTCAATTTCCTGGCAAATTAATCACCAAAATAGACAAAAATTAGTTCAAAAATTCAAATCTTAAATTTCCCGCCAATTTTGGCATTCCGTTTCAAGTCTCAAAAACTGAAATTTCATTAAAAATCTCAATTATGTGTTTGCGAAAAGGCTCTAAAAAGTCTAATAAAATCAATTTTATACAAATTTAGGCAAAATTTTCAACTTACGAGCATGCGCCAAGAACAACGACTTGAGTCGTTTGCACCGCTGCAACAACAATTTGAGACAAGTACCCGTCACTTTTTGGCAGTAATTTACACACAAACATTCGAGATGCGCAGTATTCGAACTGAGGGCATCCACATGATCATCGTTCACAAAGGGAACTCCCCAAAGATTCACAACGCGGAGATTGGGGGTGAACTGTTTCAGTTTGTAAAAGTTGAGGGTCTCATAAACTTCCTCTTCCTCGTCTTCAACCTTCTCGTAGGTACCTGCAAATATATTGGATTGAGGTGTCTAGGCTAAATATCAATTCTTGAAGAATTTTGCTTGCGCTTTGCAACATATCCGGTATATTCAGCGATTTTCGTAGACCAGAGGGTACGCTAAATGCGGTCAAGAATCCTCTTTTGGCTGTAAATACGCCAGTATTACGCGGAAAAAGTTTATTTTCCTCAATTTTCGGACCAAAAAGATCAGTTGTTTCTGTCTGCAATCTCGCATATGACTTATCGTTAGAAAAATGTCAAAAAAAATGTGTGCCATGTACTGTAAATGTCAGAGCTTTTACTGTAAAATATTGAGCAGTTCCCATGGAAATGCCACATCTTAAAGACTTTCCTTGATTCCAAAACATGTCCCAAATTTATCCTACGTTCACTACAACCAATATACGAAATTCCTCCCCCTAAAAATGCCAGAATACCCCACCAACTCACCCACAACATGCAGAAACTCCACACTCGAGATGAACGTGTAAACCTTCCTCAGGAACCCCTCAAGGAAAATGTTTTCGCTCAAGCACAAAGTCAGCGTTTTTAGTCGACTAGGGAAGGTCTGGAGATCCGTGAAATCGTGAAGTTGCATGGCCGTTGAGAAGTCCAAGGTTAGACTTGTCAAATGAGGACATCTGTTGGCCAATTCATGGAGAACATTGGGGGTAATTAGGTCGGTGGCCAACTCGCAATGCCGGAGTTTTGTAAATCGATAACCGATCAGGTGGACAAAATAGTCAAGATTTGTCACCTGGAAATGGAAAGGGTGAATATTGATGACTTTGGTGAAATTTTTCGAATGTTTTAATGTTATACATGATGGAGAAGATAACTTGGACTTTTTTTTGCTGTCTGTCTTTACAAATCAGCCTTTTGGAGATGTAAAAAAGGCATGACAAACCTAAAACTGCTGTAATTTTTTTATATTGGACAAGAATTTTGAAAAAACGATTTTTTTCGTCAAAATCATCAAAAATTTATATTGTACTTGGTAAAAATAGAGCTTTTCTGGTTGAAAACAGATTCTAAAATTGCCTAAAATAGCTTTAACATGCTTTAAAAAGTCTTATTTGCCCAAAATAAACTTGATTTTGGCAAAAACTTTTTAATGTAATCATTTTTTTATCATGATGAAAAATTCTCAAAATTCATTAAAATTTAGTAAATAAGCTCAATCCTACCTGAATTCCCCCATGAGAAGCTCTGAACGACACCGAGGTCCATAGGTTTTCGCTATAAGCGATTTCTTTCCATCGTCGACACACCTGACCGGCTGTCAGCAATTGCTGAGGCAGCAGGTACGAAAAGATCTGCTCCAAAACTTTGTTTGGAAGCTTCTCCACTGACTGAAAAGAGAAGAGTTAGGGTTAAGTATGGAGCAGGGATTGGTGCTTTGAAAAAGTTTTTTCAAGTGCAGTGGGAATGGTAAAATACGTCTGCTCTAAAGTTGTTTTTTATTTAGGCATAAACTTGCAAAAAAGTGTCAAATTTTGAATTAAAACTCCCGGTTGTTTCTGTAAAACGCAAACTGGAAATGAAGAAAAAATTGCCTAAATTTGAGACAAGTTTGATTAAAATCTGAGCGCTGCAGTTTGGGTACTGTGCAGGTTAAACCTGCAAGTTTAAATTTTAAGAAAACAGAAGACGTATTTTGCCCCATTCTGCACTTGAAGTCACCAAAAAACAATTTTTCCACTTTGTTGATCAATTCAATGCACTCAGAGTTTGTTAATCTTAACTCAAATCACACAGCTTGAGGGGAAATAACCAAAAATTCAATGGGGAGATCCTAAACCACATTTTTTGAGGGAAAAAGTTGTTAAAACGTGGGATAATCAAATAGTGATGATCCCGAAATTATAACTAAAAAGGGTTCTGGACTCAGTTTGGGCCGCTTGCTTTGAGTGCATCGAAATTCCCGGGCATCCCCGCGTATACTTTGTCCGCCGCTTCCTGCAACGCCCGTTGCATGGGCTGATAGTTGGCCGGCGAGGGTGTGCGCGGCGGCGTCAACACGTCGGTGTGGGGGTCCAGGAACGCGGACTGACGCCGCTCCTCGTCCAGTTTGGCCACCTTCACTTCATCATGCACAACTTGCCGGGAGAGGTCGTAGATTGCGGCAGCCATGACCTCTTTAAGATAGTGTTAGGGGAGGAAAGAAGAACGCGAGAGGTTTTAAAATACGCCCTGGTACTGAAATTCTATTAAAGGATTTTTCAAAAATTTATTATTAAAAATACACTTGTACTTCTTGGCAATTTTTTAAAATTTCAAATTTAATACGATACCCCAAGTTCAACTAATCGATTTGCTTCATATATTACAGTCATACATACTCTAAGGTGGGTGTAATTTTCAAGAGTGTGACTGCTACTTTGAATTCAAAAGAGGAGCATTCAACGTTCCTTGCAAAGGAGTATATGAAACGAGGAGGTCCTGTGAGACAAAAAAAATCTTTTTTGGTTCAAACCTACTGGATATCGATAGGAAAATGAAACTGTTTGGAAAACATTGCACTCCTCTTTTCTAAAGCACAAATTTTTTTGTGAAATAGCGTCAAATTCTTGTCATTTTTACAAGTTAATACAAAAACTTCGGCGCCTGAAATGTAATGGTAGCGCTTTGAATAATTCCCTGTAAATTTCTACTATTGCTTTGCGTTTTGCTACTAACAGTACTATATTATAAATACTATACTATACTACACAAAAACTCTGTATCAGACAAATTTTAGAGCCCTAGTGGAAAATTTGAGACATGAAGAACACCTTTTTAGAACGAAGCTTTCCTATAACAAAACAATTTTCCCATTGTCTTATATGTAATCATAGCTCCTATATTATCTATGCATATCCCCAAAATCCCTGAATATCCACTTCCCCTCCTCCGAAACCACCAAAATCCCCACCAAACCCTTCCAATCCCCAGTCCTCGAACTGGCAAAACAATACTTTCACAGCAAATCTCCCTTCGAAATGATTTTCGTCCCAAAAATCACAGCAATCTGTTTTTTAGCCCCCGTTTTTCTTTCGCTTTCGGCCCTCAGGCCACGGCTGTCGGCCCCGTCACTTGATCAGTTAGGGGGGAAAGAACAAGAACTACGGGAAGTTCTTGATCCTCAGACGTTACGGCTTATGGCTAAATGGTTTTTGCATGCATTGCAAATGCAAAGAGGCTGAGAGATCAGAGATAAAAAGAAGATATATATATTATGAACGGCTGGAAACAAAAGGGTAAAATACGCTGGGTATAGTTGCGTCGGTAAGTTTGGGATAGTATTGTATTAAAAACCAAAATGTATAAAAAAGATGATAAATCAAAGAAAAACAGGAGAGGAACAACAAATACGACGTTTCAATTTTGTCAAGATTTTATTGTTTTACGTGTTTCTCGCAAAACAACGCCACACCGTATAAAAATAACAGCCCCAAAAATGCACCGAAAGTTCTTGCGATCTCAAAATTTTGGAATTTTGTTGATTGCACAGTGCAAAACAACAAAAACAAACGTTTGCACTGTGCAAAACAGGGCACAAAGGAGCGAGAACTAGGCATGGCTCCGGACCGGGCTTTGCAAAATTTTCCGGCCCGGACCGGGCCGACTAATTTCTCGGCCCGACTCCGGGCTTCGATTTTTAGGCCCGGCCCGGCCCGGGCCGGCCCGGTTTTTTTGAAATCTAAGTTTTGCCCGGAAAAAAGGAAAAAATATGCTTTTTCGATAGAATTTTTCATTTTTTTCAACACACTGCTGATAGCGAACGTAAAGTGACCTTATGTACCTAGGTTTTGGTAAATTTTTCTTTACATTTTGCGAAAATTTGCCATAATTTTCCTTTCATTTCCCGCTTTCTTTCTTTCCAACCTAGTGTAAAAATTTTCCGGGCCGAACCGGGCCGGGCTTTCCAAATTTTCCAAGCCCGGGCCGGGCCGGGCTGGCCCGGTTTGCAGCCATGCTTAGCGAGAACCCCAATTTTACGTTTGCGACACACTGTTTTCTTTGGGTTTCCGGCGACATGCGCCAAATTTCCGCACGGTGCAAGGGATTTTGCCGCATGGTGCGGAGATTTGCGAAGGTTGCGCCAGAAGGGCGTGTTCAGGGCAATTCTTTTTAGGCAAGACTGATAGGCAAAAATTGAAAAAAAAACCCCCGAAAGAGCTGAATTTTCAAACTAACAATTTATGTGATGCAAGTTAAAAACCTCAAAAAACCCTTTATAAATGGATATTTTTATTTATGCCAAGCTTTATCAAAATCTTAACGTTCTAACTGGTGTAGTTTTTTTTTCGATTTCCTTCAAAATCAAGTCTTAATTTTCGTATTTTTCATTCCCCATTACATTTGCTACATCACGCTTTAATCCCGTCCTCAACTTACAGTCTCTTTGACCATTTCGCTGCATTTCTGACTGATCTCCTCAATCTCCAAAACCATTCTACTTTCATTCGTCCCCACAACCATAATTTTGCACTAATTTACTTTAGAACAAAGCCGCTGGGTCAGCGTGAATAACGAGAAAATGAGCGAGAAGATGAGAGTCAAGTATTTCGATCCCACAATTTGCAAGAAAAGCTGGGGACGCGCAAGGGAAAGGCTAGGAGATCAAGGATTTCTGGGATTACGGATCATGTGCGGGTTTTCAGTGGGGGATTATTGTTAGTTTAAGTTTAGATGGTGAGTTTTGGCTGTTGACTCTTTTGAGGATGACTTTTTTGTAGAAACGGATTTCGTGTCGTAAGAAATTGATAAAGTCAAATTTTCTTCAAACGTTTTGTATGAACTCTAAATAAGCCATATATCAACACTCGAAAATATTAGCTTTTGCTTTGGAGATGCATCGTAGACGTTAACAATATTTCTTGCGATCGTGGAAAGTGTGGAGTCGGATAGACAACAGACGTTTTTTGCCAAACTTCTTCAATGTTTCTTGGTAAAAATTACGGTTTTTAAATGTACTAGTAACAAAAGTGCAATAGGCTTTTTTCGGCCGTCGCTCGCACTCTGACTTTTTTGCACATTGCATGTCGCCCTAATCACTTCAGCTTCTTTTCAAACGGACTAGTGCTGTAGACGTCATAACTTTTAACAGGGAAATCTTGATCGCTGATATTCAAATTTTCGGCGGCGTCCACCTAGACTGTTGCAGCTCCTAAAAAATAGTGGCCTTACTTTGTGCCAAACTTACTAGGGAAGTGTACAAACGAACCCTCACCAAATAGCAAGTGTTATACACCATTGGAAAGCCCTTGAAAAATGGTGAAAGGTACCATTTTCATTTTTTGCAGAATGCCTCAGGGCAAAAAACTATAAACGGTTGATTTGTCCTTTAAGTAGTTACAATATCTGCTGTTGGGCAAAATAAATCCTATTTCAAAACGCCAAATGGTAAATATGGCTACTAGGTTGACCTAAGAATCATTATGAAGTTTGGCGCTTGCCAGTAAAACCATTTTACATATGATATTTACTGGTTTTAAACACCCATAACGTGAAAAAACACTTTTCACTTTTTTTAATTTTGAAAAACGTGCAGATTTGATGGTTTTAACCGTAATCGACCGTTTTCTAGAAAAATTAAAGCGTTTGTAAAAGTTTAACTCAAATATTACTCTAACTGTGAGAACGCAAAATGTTCTTGCCCAAGCTGGGAATCGAACATAGCTTGGGTTGGCTTATCAACCTGCTCAGCAACCACTGCACTATTGAAGCAACCCTCTTCGAGGATTTTTTATTGCCCAAGAGAAAGAAAGATTTTTGTAGCAAAATGGCCTAAAAATAATACAATTTACAGTATGTCGTCGCGGAAAGTCATTCTGCAAAAAATGAAAATGGTATCTTGCACCATTTTTCAAGGGCTTTCCAATGGTGTAGATCACTTGCCATTTGGTGAGGGTTCGTTTGTACACTTCCCTAGTTAGTCACGGTCAAAAAAATCATTTTTTTTGCGGTAACTTCCTGGGCAAAGAAAGTGCAAAGACGGACCTGATTCAGTGGCAAAAAGCGTACCATTTTGCATCCGGGAATCATCAAAAATGTGGCAAAATGCTTCACTCTCCAAGTGAAAAAAAACTTCGTTCTGAAGGGTTCCCCACACAAACAAAGCGGGCGCGCTTTTAAAATTGGAGTTTTTTCACTTGGAGAGGGATGCATTTTGCCACATTTTTGATACTTTCCGGATGCAAAATTTCACGTTTTTTGCCACTGGATCAGGTCCCCCACTGTATTTTTACAAGGGAATGGTCTGAACTTCCCCCGGCGTTTGGAAAAATGACTAGTACAGGTGGATAGAGCAGGTCAACTTTGCTAAAAAGAGCCATTTTCCAGCTGCGGAATAAGCCCGGCCGACGAGAAAAATCGACCGAAAGTTCCACAAAAATTTCCTCTTTCTCTTCCCTCGGAAAAGAAGAGGGGTGTCCAACGGTTCGGTTGGCCGAGTGGATAAAGCGTCCGCTCGGTATTCTTTTGGGGGTTGGTTCGATTCCGGGGAAGCCCGAAGGACCGTAATAAGACTTTGGTGGGCAAGACCAAACTCTCATAAAACAAAAAAAATATTTTGCCATTTTTATACTTTTTATGGAACTATACCGAAAACACAGATTATCGTTAAAAAATGGTTTTTTTTTGGATTTTTCCAGACCTACAAGTCGATGGAACGTCGAAGTCATACTCGTTTGGTCATAGATAAAGGTATCCATCATATCTTTTTGAAAAGGACTGTACCCCAATTTGTATTGCTTAAAAATTTTTTGTATAACCTATAAAACGTTTAAAAATGGCAAAATATTTTTTTTGTTTTATGAGAGTTTGGTCTTGCCCACCAAAGTCTTATTACGGTCCTTCGGGCTTCCCCGGAATCGAACCAACCCCCAAAAGAATACCGAGCGGACGCTTTATCCACTCGGCCAACCGAACCGTTGGACACCCCTCTTCTTTTCCGAGGGAAGAGAAAGAGGAAATTTTTGTGGAACTTTCGGTCGATTTTTCTCGTCGGCCGGGCTTATTCCGCAGCTGGAAAATGGCTCTTTTTACCAAAGTTGACCTGTTCTATCCACCTGTACTAGTCATTTTGCCAAACGCCGGGGGAAGTTCAGACCATTCCCTTGTTAGCAAATTAAATTGTTAGTTTTAATAAAAGACCTTGTTGGTTTATATTAGTAAGATAACAATACTCCGGGCTTTTAATTGTTAGTAATGTCATCAAATCAACCAGTTGCTTCGTCGATAGATCTTACAGGCATCCTCGACAAGAGAAGATTGAGATTCAATTTGCCCATAACCCGAATTTTGGCGATGATCCGATGCTTTTTCTTTTTCCATTCCTCCGTTTCTCGGAAGTGTTTCTTCGAGGAGATCCATTTCAGATTTTCCGGCACTTTTCCGCGCTTCTCTTCTTCTAGTTCTTGCTGAAAAATTAAAATTGAAATTAAGAATTTTTTCTCACAGACATTTTGTCAGTTCGTCGGGAAAATAATGGGGGCTCTCTTGCAGCGCCTATCGCTGAAGCAAAAAAACAATTCTATTTGGCTGCGACGCCATTCGTTTTCTCGGCGGCGAGGCGGTTTTGGATGCGACAGAGCGCTGATTACTTTCCCGACAGACTGATATTAAAATTTTGCAAAAAAAACTTTACAGAACAATTTTCTTTTTTAAAAAAATTTTAGCCTTCGCTTTGCAATTAGAACCAAAATATTGTCTGTATGTCTGTTACATTTTTTACCGATATGACTCAATTACATGGGCATTTGCTTCCTTTCGCACCGTGCATTTTGAACTTTTTCCCACGCTTGTCGCCAACACACAGAATTTTTCGCTTTTCGCATAGTGCATTCCACAAAAAAGTTGTTCGCACTATGCAGATTCTTCAGCAAAACCGCGGCGACACAATTGGAAAACCGCGGCGATATTTCCGATGCACGATGCAAAACCAAAAAGAATTTGAAATGCACGGCGCAAAATGGAGGGGGTTTTTGTGCACGGTGCGGGCGCAGCAAAATGCTTATGGAATTTATAGAAATATCAGTCTGTCGGGAAAATAACGACGAGTCGTCGCGAGGTGAGGCAAAACAATTTCCACAACGTATTCTACAATTTTTAAAATTATGTTTCCGCCAAAATTATAAATAATTTGGCCAAAAAAATTGTTTTTAGGCTTGCTGGCTCTCCTCAATTTGCTCACTATTTTACAAAAATTTTGCTGAATATCTCCGCTATTTCAATTAGGGCTAGACTAAACTGCCGAGTGATCGCTACCTCGCCTAGTCAGAGCTTTTAAAACTTCAAAATTTGGGAACCACCCTTGACATAGCTGTGTGAATCTGTGAATGTCAAGGATAACATAAATTTTACTATGTTATATGTAGATATAATTAAAATATAATCCAAAACGAGCTCACCTTGGACTTGAATCCCTTGAAGAGTAGCATGAAGACTCGCTTGGCCGCATTCGAATTGCGAGGGACCCCTCCGAATTCTCCGCTGATTTGTTTGTTAAGTGAGCGACGTTTTAAGTGAGGTCCAAATCTGTTTTTTTCGCGTGTCTTCGATTTCCCCTCCGGCTTTTCAAGTGGGAATCCTTGGAGAAATGAAGCCTTACAATGGGAGACCAATCGCGATCCGACAAAAAAGACACGTTGTGGGGGAAAAGTGGACAAGAGTTGGCAAAATTGTTCAATATTTGTTGAATAGTTGAAAAAAAAGTTTTTAAACATGGTTTAAAGGGCAGAGGGAGGTGGGCTGAAGAAGCGTGGTTTGTGATTTATGATTTGAAGAGCACTCAGACAAAATATTTTGGGGTTTAAAATACGTTATCGACATATATGTCTCGAATTCGAAATATTAAAAAGTGTTTTCTTTAGATCCAAAATTCCTTTTTAAACGAATTACTCAAGGTAAAAGGTTCATATTTTCTTCTAAATTTTAACTTTATAATCTATGAAGGCCATTCATGAGTTAATTCTTGAAATTTTTTGTTAACACATTTCAGAAGAGCTCCAATTTTCTGCGATATTTGCGTTGAAGATACTAGACAAAAAGAGGCAAGAATATTTTTAAAAAATAGCGGCAGGTTCAAACTCCCCGAGATGACGGCAAAGTGCATTCTTACTAGTTAGTGCAAAATCTTAAGACTTGGCTTTAAGACTTTGGGAAAATAGCGGAGCGTGTTTAATAATAGCTCAAGACTTCGTATTGAAACTCAGGATTATACTAGTCCGTTCGTAAAGTCGTTGAAGCGATTTTGGCGTAATGCACTGTGAAAAAACCAAGATGCACTTCGCACTGTGCAATTTTGGGTTTCTTGAACCGTGCAGTACGCATTTTTGAGATATTTTTCAAGCCGGCGAAAACGCCAAAAATCAGTCCAACGACTTTGCGAACGGACTAGTATGCACAGTAGAAGAAGTTGATCAGAAACAAGAATGAAATTTTAAGTCGCCATGTACAGGGTGGGCCAAAAAAATGGACATTACTTTTTCTTCAATTTTTCCTGCCATGAAACAGATTGTGAAAAAAGGCATACATGGCATGAAAGTACTGTGTCAAGGGAGCATATTTACTGTAGAATGTTTGTCCTATCTGCAAAAGTTTCTAACATACGGTTGTAAATAGGAAAGTCACCGGGTCAGTGCGCCAATTCCCGCGGCAAAAATTTCAAAATTTCTTGCTCCTAAATTTTTTAGAGCCGTCATAAAGACATACCAAGCGGTCTTAGCAAATCTAGGAGACCTGTACCCTTAGGCTTTAAAAGGATTTAACCCAAGCTTTTCGGAAAATGAAGAACCAGTCACCAAAAGTTAGACACTTGGCGAAAAAAGTTGATTACACGAAGTGGTCCTTATGTTCCATCAAAAATCTTGTATCAAAATTATGGCTAACTATTATAATCTATAATTTAGACGATAAAATTTATCCATAAAATCTCCCATATTTCCTACAATCCCAGGAAAAACAAATAAGAGCGTCGAAGTTACCGATCCGGTTAAAACAAATCTCTACGCGCATGGCCAGTTGCGCTGTTGACCTCTCAAAAAATACCGAGCTTTTACTTTGCAAAGGGCCTTACTATCAAGTTTCTGATGGAGATCAAAGCTCGAGGGTTCAAAAATCATGGAAAACTGTGGCCAGTTTTGTAAGAAGATATCGGAAAATTCCGCGAAGAGCGAGCCAAAAAACATATGTTTCCTACAAGGGGAGTTTTCAACTGATGGGTTTTGAGTTGGGCCAAGTTAAAATTAAATCGTTACACTTGGATTAATACCATTTTAAACTTGATTACTATGCAGTGAAACGTTGATAGAACAAGGACTTTTTCGTTTCTTATTGGAAATGACGCTATTGCCTCATGGCAAAAAAAACAGTCCTTAACCCTAAATATGTCATTTGAAAGTCCTAATGAAACTCAAAAATCCCCTCCTTGTGTTAAAACAAAATTATCAAAAAAGCCGCCAAGCCCTCCGGCCTTGTCTCAAATCAGTTCACCTTTGCCGGAAACGGGCCTCAAAACCCGAGGCGAGAGAGTACTCCACTGCTTGCCGCTCTTCAAAAACCCGTCTACATTTTACCGGGGTTTTATTACCGCCCGCCAAATAACAACTGGTTCAAAAAAGATGCATCCGAAACGATTTTTTTTTTCGAAACGACGGGTCAGAGAATATGTGCGTTTCGGCCGCCTCCGTTTCGGCCTCGGGACCACTGGCCAGTTGTCTTGAAGAAGAAGTCTTTTTTCTCTCGTTTCTCCTCAGGGCATCCGGATGATTGCGATTGAGGTGGGAAATTAGACGTCCTGAGGCAATATTTAATAAACTTTTGGCCGGCGATTTGATGGAAATAGAGCGATTTGAACCGATTCTTTATGGGAAAAAAGTGATTTTTGGTAGAAAAATTTTTTATTGTCAGCAAATTTCTTTGAGATTTTTTATTTTTTCAATCGAAGCATAAGCAAAAATAAATTCATTGTAAAATACGAACGTTTTCAATACTGGGTTTAAAGACAAATTTTTTGAAAAGGACATAATTTTTTGGCCGGCCCAATACGAATTATAAAATTTCACAATTTTTTCCAATTTATTTTTGATTTTTTTTTCAATTTTCCCTCCATTTATCCATAAATAAAATCAAAAAATCACGGCAGATGTCCAATAAATATCGAATACTATTAGCACACTCTTTATTATGGGAAAACACGACAAATCAAGCAAAATTCGGGCAAAAAATCGACTTTACTTACAATTATTGGGGTTTCCACGTAGCTGACCCCACTTTTTCGACGTTCCATTGGTCCAATGGTCATCTTGGAATTTATTTATTTTTCTCTGAAATTGTAAAATACGGAATTTTCAGTAATGGATGAAACTTACCTCAAAATTAGTGAAAAACAAAATTATTTTAGGATCATTAGACTAAAACTCAACCATTAATCGCACTCGTTTCCATTTCAAAACCCTAAAAATAATAAATATTATCTAAAATGCCAATAAATTCGAATAAAAACGCCAAAAAAGTCATTCGACCCTGACAGGACTCGAACCTGCAATCTTCGGATCCGAAGTCCGACGCGTTATCCATTACGCCACAGGGCCACACGAGAAAAGCCTCCTCAAAGAAGAAGGGAACGGTTTTGGGGTCAAGAAAGAGAGCTTCCTCGAGTGCAAAAAAATGTTCTTGATCAAGGGGGAATTAAAAATTAAACTTTGATTCGATAAGCGAAGTTAGCCTAGACCCTGAATAGCATCTCTAAATCAATTTTAAGTCTTTCAGAGGCTTTGACAGAATTTTATGACAAAAAAAGTTGAAAAAAACTGGCAAAAATCATTTTCGATGACAAAACTGATCAAAAAATTGATGTAAAACTTGTAAAACTTATTAATAGAACAATAAAAATCCCTGATAAATATTCTAGAAACGTTCCTCAACTAAAACAAACTTTGAACAAACACTTCTCCAACCTTTTTCAACCCATTTATCATGAGTAAACTCAACGAAAAAACAGTGAAGAACCCACTCGTTCTTCAAAAATCCCAACGAACCGCCATTCGTATCCAAAACCACGCCATATGCCGGGAAGTAAAATTAGAAATGAGCTGAAAAGTTTCTTGACAACACCCGTCACGTAAAATAATAATTATTCAATTATTTGTGGACCCGACAAAACGAAGAGGAGAAGGTATTTTCCAGGAGAGAACATCCGAAATTATAAAAGCCCAGAGAATGCGGGGAACATGCTCTCTTTGATCGGGGCAAAACGTGGCAAATATGATGGCTCGGGGAATGATGACAAGTCCGGGAAATGGAGTTTAGGGCAAAGATTGCGTTATTAATCGCAAATTTGTTGTTTGAAATCTACAGAAGAATGGATAACTGGTATTTTAAAGAAGATTTTTATGATTTTTACGGTTTAGGTTTACAGTTTGGAGCCAGAAAATTTTTAATTAAGTTTCTTGAGATTTTTGTCTTTAAAAAAATGAAGATAAAATAAATTTAATTTTTTAAATTGATGAAACAATCACAAATTAAATCCAGTATTTTCTTAGCATGCCCGATATTTTTTAACGGTTTTACAGCTTGTCACGAAAAAAAAATTATTAAAATTTTTGAGATTTTTGCCTCAAAGTGAAGATAATGGACACGTAAATTTAATTTTTAGATATTGCAAAATCTAGTCATAGAGTAAGACCATCATTTTTTAAGTCATTTTCGAGATTTTTTTAACCTGAGGTTTTGAAAAATGGATTTTTTGTGGAAAACATCCTGAATTCAAAAAGTACAACGCTTTTACAGGAAAAAAACTTTCTGATGAAATTCAGAGAGTTATAGACGAAAAAATCTTTTTTCTTTGGCAACTCTCCTTTTTATCAACACTCTCGCAAGAAATATCCTTCTTCTTTGAAGCTCCCATAAATAACCTGACAAAATCTTTAGGAATGCATGTGTCTTTCAGTAAGCAGAAAAATTGTATAAATTATGTTTGGCCTTGAAAAAAAATTCAAGTGTCGTTGACATGTGTAGAGAAAGCTCCTCTGCAAAAACGGCGATTTTTTGACAAAAATTTTACAGGGTGTACCAATTTTGTGGCCCGATTTGAATTGGCTACAACTTCTTTAATTTTGGGCCAAACGTTAAAATTCTTTTTTTCCCTGAATCCTCAGACGTCCCCATTTTGTTTAATACCAAATATAACATACTTTAAACTCGAAAAAAATCTTTGGAAAGCTTTACAGGATCTTCAGAGCGGCTATGAAATTCCCAAGTACAACTGTAGATGACACTTACTATGTATAAATTTATTTGGTATCAAACAAAATGGGGTTGTCAGAGGATTCAGAGAAAAAAAGAATTTTAAGATTTGGCCGAAAACTAAAGAAGTTGTAGCCAATTCAAATCGGGCCACAAAGATGCCCCACCCTGTATTTTTTGGTCCCGTTTGACACCAAAATATAAAAAACGATGACTTTATTTATTTCAAATCTCAACGAAAACCATCATCCACTACTACATCGACTTTTACACCGTCTTCTCCCATCTTTTCTTCATCCGGATCACAAGCACAGAAGAGGAGTTTAGTGCACACATGGTGGAAACCAGTTTGACAATCGTATTGGGCGATACAGTCATCAGCAGTCCAACACTGTGGCCAACAAACCACTTTGTTCAAAACCACACATAAAACTATGAAATTGAGCAAGAGTTTGGCCATGTTGGAGGCTGAAATGGACAACAGACATACAACAATCTTCTCCAAAATTTTTGATTATCATTTCAGGACATCAATTTTTCCATAAAATAAATGGGTCCTATTTCGATTTTAGCGTTGTAATGAGCCCGGCAAATTAAAAAAATTATCCAAAATTCCTTCAAAATTAAAAAAAATTATTTCGTACAAGCAATATATACAGTTTTATTACATGAAAACCGTTAAGATCGCTTCATAGGAAGAGTATTTACTATAAGAGTAGCAATGTTCATTATAATTATTTGTTCTGCTTAGCGCTTCAAGTGTGGTGGGCCCAAAAATTGAGTCCTTTTATGTACGAATTCAGAGTTTTGAGCCATACATGTTGTTCCTCTTCTGTTACCGTCGCCAGAGTCAAGCTGGAAACAAAAAAATCATTGTAAAAATTCGGAAATCAAAATTTTTTCGAAAAAAAATTATAAAAATTTTTAACTTAAAAAAGCGCAAAACTTTTTCTAACGATGTAAAAAAACTTTGAAAAGAATCTTAGATTCCAAAAAATCCATCAAAAACTACATTTAAAAAATCATCAAAATTCCAAAAAAAGAAAAAATTTCTTCCATAAAAACACACGTCACTTTTGAAATCCCTCTAAAATACCATTCTACCCCTTATCTATCCTTTTCAATCCAAATCCCAATCACTTTTCTACTTTTTCAATTTTTTTTTATATTACACTTGACCTTGATCCCCAAAAACCCTCGCCCAACTCAAATTTCCTACCTTTCCACGTTTCCATCCTCCATGTTCTTGTACTTAATGACAAAAGCATTGTTATAGCACGCCAAGCTGTCAATTTCCTCGACACTGAAAGCTCCTTTCAGATTAATTCTGCTGACCGGCGCCTTCTTTTCGTCATGGTCCCTTTCCGTCGGCCAAAAGTCGATATGCCAATTGCCAAAGGCGGCGTATTCGTTGGCCCAATTCCCGACTCCAGCGATGATTTCGTAGCGTCTTGTGAAGCCTTCGCATCGGTGGGAGGCTTCCATTAACTTGAAGTCATAGGATAAATCGATCCGAGGGCCCAATGGAGGGACCGTTTCGGTTTTCAAGTGGCGGGATCTCATGTTGGTCGAGTCAATTTTGGTGGTCCCAATCCTGGTGAAAGCGCAGTCCATTTCTTTGAGGTCATTTCGGTGGGCATGCCCTCTGAGGAGGGTTCCCATGAACTCGGCCACCAAACTTTTCTTTTCTTCGTCCGGTTTGGCCAGCTGAAAGTGGTCAATATAATACGTAACAGTCAAAAAATGTAGCTATTGTCAGCCATTAACCTTCACGATCCATCACGTTCACATATCTTCACTATCTAACAGAAAAAATCTAAAAATTCAGATCTAAATTATATTGCACTAGGCAAACCCAATCTAAAAATAAATTTCTATTGCCAATTTTATTATCAAATACTTTTCCAGAGACTGAATGTTTCACTTTACAGCCCTAAATCCCCATCAAATCAACAAAAAATCCAAAAAATGACAAAAATTATATTACACTAGACAACTCCTGTAAAAAAATGTCAAAAGCTCATTTTTTCACTCCCAAAATTCCAATCCAACCCCTCTAACTATCCAACATACTAGATAAACTCACCGTCAACATATAAACCTCGACAAAAATCTCGAATCCAGGGCCCACTCCATCAATATTTGTGTACATTTCCACCGAGATCTTTCCTTTATTATGCTTGCGCGCTGAGATGCAACTTGACCATTTTACCGTCTCTCGATGTGTGATGATGATTGCAAAGTAACAAGAGATGGGTTTGACCAGGATATCGCGTTGAAATTCGGGGTGAATGTCAAAGGTAACGCGGTTGAAAGAGAAAGAAGCTTTCATCTCCGGAAGCAGAGCGGCCGAAGGGTTGTACTCGATGATTTCATGCATTCTCATAGCGGCTTCTACACCTGCGCGACATTGAAGCATCACATGATGGGCAGTTACCTGGAAAAAATCAAAATTCACTAATTTAGGTACCTTTTTGTCATGGATAATATAAAAACTTGGGATAAACCTCAAAATTAAGCTATCAAATAGCTCAAAATTAAACATCCAGCTGTCAAAAGGTCTAATACTCACAAATCCAAGTCAAAAAACTTACAGTTTCTTCCTCATCCTTCTGACTTTTGGAACTGATCAACTGAAGAGCTCTTTTCGCCTGATTATATTGCGCTTTGGCCACTTTCATATCATGAGTCAGCTTTTTCAGTACCAAATTTACATACTCTTTCTTCTCTTCCTCACTGGCTTCGTTTGAAACCGGCTTCGGCGATTCTTCAGTGCCCGATTCAAAGTGCCGTTGATGAATTTTCTCTGACAACTCTTTACGATATTCGGTCATCGATCGGTAGGGGGTGCCATCATTGCAGTCTACATCCTTAGAGGCCTTTCTTGTTCGAGGGAGGGAGTTTCTTTGGAACTCTTCGAAATCGGCGTTGATTTCGTCGATCAGCCCTAAAAAAGGTGGTAAAAATACTTAAAGAGAATTCCAAACATATCCAAAAATTAATCAAATAGGTGCATCTAGCCTTTTTAGACTAAAATTTATCAAAATCATGGGCAATTTCCCCAAAAACTTCCAAGAAAAAAAAGAAATGAAAAATACACCTAACAAGGAACGTACTTTTATGGGGGCTCCTACTTTTTGACGGGACATATCTCAAAAAATCAAAAAAAATGTGCTGATCAAGGATATATAAATCTTAGCTGCCCATTTTGGGCTGTTAGGGGTGGAAATGCCCAAAAACTGGCTCAATTTCCCTACAAAAGGCGCATGCATTCGAAACGATAAAAAGCGCAGTCGGTCTCTTCCTTCGGAAGAGAGCGGTGTGGCCGAGTGGCTAGTGCCGTGGTCTGGGAATCAAGAGGGGGACGCTGCACGGGTTCGATTTCCCTTTTGGGCTGAGTCAACTTTTTTTGAAGTTGAAGGTCGGAAAAATAAATTTTTGGGCCAAGACTGATTTATTACGTCTTAGAAACTCAATAAACATCGTTTTAAGCCAAAATAAAAATTGTAAACCCGTTAAAAATTTTACGAAAAGGGGTTCATATAGGACTTTAAGTCAACTTCCGATTGAGTTTTCACCCCTAAAAACCTAAAATGGGCAGCTAAGATTTATATATCCTTGATCAGCACATTTTTTCTGATTTTTTGAGATATGTCCCGTCAAAAAGTAGGAGCCCCCATAAAAGTACTTTCCTTGTAAAATGAGGTAAGGCTTGGTGAAAAAATTATTGAATATCTCAAACTCTTGTACCAAATCGCAACAGGCACCATAAACTTTCCATCAAATCCTTATTTTACATCTATTGCCACTTCGAATACATCAAAATCACCAAAACTTCAAAATCTTTGCCTACTACAATATCCAAAAGCTTTCACTATCGCCCAATTCCAATCAAAAGTATCCACAAAACCTCTAAAATCCTCCAAACCCTCTATAGTTCCTTACCCGATCGACTTGGAGTATCCACATCCCTTCTGTTATTCTTCGGAGTTTCCAAAAAAACTTCAGGTGTTGAATGTTGAATATCGTTCGATCCAAAGAATTTCAGCGGCTTCTCACCGCGGGCAGGTGTTACAATTGGTGACGGGAGCGGTTGGCATTCCGGTTCATCAAAATTTTCTTCATTTTCTGTTGGCTTTGGATCATTTTCTATTGTTTTAGGACCTTCAGCCTCATCAACATGGCTATGTGGAGGGACTGGCGGTGGAGTCGCCGGAGTTTCTGTTGGTTCTTCTTCTAATTGGTCGATTGCATCAAGATCTAACTCTTGAATGGGCTCTTGATCAATATGCGGTATGTTCTGGGCAATTTCTGAGTTGACACTTTCGGCCACAGACGTCTTCCGAGAACTCGATTTTTCTAATGTTTTTGGGGTTCCAAAGTTGATGACATTCGGCTTGAGCGATTGTGGGGTCTCTCCGGTCTATAAAAATATCAATTACAGCAAGAAAAATAAAATTAATGCCAAGTGTAATATAATGGTTGCCATGTGGAATATAAACATTGCTCCAAATTATGATAAAGTTGCTTTTTTTCAGACAAAAGAAGCATCAGAAAAAAAAAATTAATCAGTCTCACCTCAAATTTCGCTCTGATATTGCTCACTTTCTTGAATGGAATGTCCTTTACTTTGGGAGACATATAAGCCGCTTCCATTTCGGATACTCTCGACAACACTGATCTGTTTGGACTCTAAAATCATCAAAAACTCAATGAAAATATTTTCAACATACCTCATGCCTAGAAGATTTGGAACTTGTCCTAGAAACTCGACGAATAACGGTCGTTTCCTGACGCTCCGTGAAGATAATTTTCTCCTCCTCCTCATCGGCTCCAAAGGCCTCGCCATAAGTCCTACGTGTCAATGAACTTTTCTCTTGGACCGAAGCAGAATCACTGTCAGATATCTAAAGAGGAATAACAATAAAAAGAAAATTTAACTTACTTTGCGTCCAAATGTGTTAACCATGGAAATACTATCGTTAAAGCTTCCGTTCTCATCAACTTCTGCGGCTTGGAAGGAAAAACTCTCCGATGTTACCACTCCTTCACCTTCTTCCTGCAGTTTAGCGGACTGAAATTATATCCATATTATTTCTTTTTTATGAAGCGCTCCAAACATTTTTCTTGGATCGAAAATTCAACAAAAATGTAAGTTTCTCTGAAACTTACATCTGTGTCCGATCCATCTGTCTGACTATGGGCAACTCGATTAACATTAGCATTTGACTCCAGTGGATAATCTAAACCATGAACAACATAAAATCTTTTCTTACTCTTTTTGTTCTGCCTTTTGATTGTGTTCAAGATCCCTCCTCGTTGTTCGTACTTAGCTTGAGCCTCTCGCATAAACTCGTCAATAGGCGAGGAGGACATTACACTAAATCAAAAAAAAATATATTCACCATCAGATTAGGTACAAAATTCAAATAAATCAACCTTTTCCGGGTCAAGGATGTCAGATACACGTAAATCAAGTACAAAGAAAGGATAAGGCAGCAAAGAACCAACATTATACCACATTTCTACAGAGAAAAAACGTATAAAACAAAGTAAAATATGCAAATTTCGGAAACTCGGCCTAGAAATTTCAAAGGTTGAAATGAATTTGTCAGTATGACTCATTTTCTGGAAACGGAAAGCTGGGTATTTGAAAAATAAAAAAGAAGGAAACCCGAGCGAATTTTTCAAACAACGCTTTCCGCGCGAATGTTTTCGTGGTGGGACGCAGAAAATGGTCCGATGTTTGTAAAAGGTTGATAAAAAACAGATGAATTCTCGATGTGAACGACGCTTATGACCACCTACATCATTAAGGAGGGTCTGTTATTCTTATGGTTTCTCGATTTCCATACATTACCTCATTTTTATATTACACTACCTTTCTAAACTCCAACTAAAAATTCGCTCTCAACTTCCTTCAAAACCTTGCCTTTCTTGTGCTCAATAATCCTTCAAATGCAATTTATCTGTTTAACCGAAATATATTATCAACAATTACAAAAAATAAATCGAAGAAACTATATTACTTTAGACAGGGCACCGAAAGAATCATCAAGCAACTGGTCGAAAGCCAAAATATGGAATAAACAACAATACAAACGAGTAGTCAACCTAACCAACAATGCTGTTTTCTATAAGATGTTTAACATTTTCTTGAGGCGAATGATCAAGGTCCAATCGGCTTGGGTAAGTTCGTCGCGGAAGTGGGCCTTGCAAACATCGATGCTCTGTCGGCTGATCTGCAATAAAATTTGCATATTAAACAGTAAACCAATAACAATACAATCCTATCAACCTATGAAGAGCACTTACTCTACTAACAAGTGGGTCGGTGTGGGTGAAATGGCGGCCATAAAGTTTGGGGGCATCTCCAGTGGTGTTATCGATTTTGATGGCCAATTCGTCTCCAGTCTTGCCTACATCGACTTGTTCGTGGTTGTGTTCGATAGAGGAGACCGTGCCAAGGAAAACGACCTAAAATCAACTGATATTTACACCAAAAATCAAGCCTCAAATCGATAGTTTCCCGTCTGGACCTTACAGCCTACTATAATATAAAAAAAATCTCCTATTTCCGGCCCCAACTGTCCCACTTTGGCATTTTTCAAAGCCTTGAAAGACCTTCTTATTACTCTACTCACCTCATCCGGAGTTTTGGCGCAGATCGGGGTACCTTTTTTCAGCTTCCCAGCCTCCACATTCACACCCAAAACAATTGGATTCCTCGTGTTGAAAATATGTTGCGGCATGATTCTCAAGATGCACGGGAAGATTGCCAAATGTTCATTAGCCTTTTTCCTCTGCAGTCGAAGATCTTCTCTATGTTTTAGGAACGCATCTTCCAGATGATATATAATATCAGCCTGGAAGATTCGAACCCGCTCTTTATCGGCCAAAACCTGTGCTTCTCGGTCTACCGGTACGTCAAAGGCCAAGATCACAGCATAGTCTTCGTTATGTTGATGCATAGTCGATGCCTTTTGGACGTCTTTTCTATGAACTGGGCCAATGTTTACTCCAGAATATGGGATTTTCTGTTGTTTTAAAAAGTCTAGAAGTGCTTCCAGAGATCCCAAAGTGCTGGCTTGGACGTAAACTCCTTCAGGCTTCTTTTTGATGGCCATGAGGGCATTTTCCAGCTGATGTTTGGCGTCTTCCCTAAAAAATCGACATAAAATTTCCAAAATCATGTAAAACAACATACATGTATACATCCACTTCGTCAGCTCGCTGTGGAACGTAGATCGGTAATCCAGGAAGGGCCTTTTCCAGATTTTTGGCCAAGACCTTGACTCCTTGTGCGCCCTTGATCTCCTTATAATGCTCATAGTCCGCTTTAATTCTAATTTCTCTCAGCGGCGCCGGCATCAACAGATCTCTGATAGTCGTTGCAATTGGTCCATCAACGCCCGACAAGACGATAGCATCGTTGACATGGAGAGTTCCATTCACTAGGATCACATCAATCGTCATTCCGAGACCGGGCAGGGAGCGTACTTCCATCACAGTGCAGTCCAATTCCTCGCTAAAGGCCAGGCGTTTGGCCAACCGGGTCTCGCTTTGGTTGACAATAAAGGCCATCAGGTTGCCAACACCATCTCCAAGGAAGGCCGAGGTGGGGACAATCGAGATATATTCTTCGGGATTTTTGTTATCCTTTGCAAGGGCGACGTTCACGCCTAAAATAAGGTAAAATATTCTCGTAATAAGCTTTCAAACCGATCAAAAATATGATTTTATTCTCAAAACATCCAGAAAAACTTATTTTTCTTGACCAAAGCAATATTAAACATCTAAAAAATAACAAATCCCATCTAAAATATGGTCAAAAATTCTTCAAACCCCAATGATAACTACTCGATTCCCTCAATTAACACCTCAAAATCTCCATTTCAACCCACCTTGTTCCGCAAATTCAACCATAACCTTCTCATATCTCTCCTTGAACTCTAATTGCGTGTTCTGCGGCTGGGATCTGAGATGTTGCCAGATGTCTTTTCGTGGATTTGATTGGTAATCATACAATCTGTCAATCTTATTCAACGCAATAACAAATGGAGTGGCTCTTTTTAGCAACAATTTCAGGGATTCGATAGTTTGGGGTTCCAGGCCATGCATGATATCGACTACGAGGATGGCAAAGTCACATAGGGAGGATCCACGGGTTCGGAGGTTGCTAAAAAATAAAATTTAATATAGATCAAAGGTTCATTTATCTACTACAATATCATCAAAGGCCTAAAAATAAAACTAATTATCCAGAAAACCTCACGCAAAACTTTCGTGACCAGGTGTGTCGATGATCAAGAACCCAGGGATTTTCATGTCATCCGGAGCGAAATCCCGCACCATTTTGCATCGCTCTTTGATGGCGTCGGCTGGGACCCGAGTCGCACCGATCTGCTGAGTAATTCCGCCAGCTTCTCCATCCTGCACATTGGTTCTTCTGATCGTATCCAGCATCTTGGTCTTGCCCGTATCGACGTGACCCAACACGCAAATGACGGGGGATCGGAGGTTATCGGTGCTCCTAAACATGAATAAAAATCAAACGAAATATGCTCACCGTTTCGCTTCATTCTCCTCAGCTCTTTTCCGCAGTCTCTCACGGACTTTGGCCTTGTCTTCGACAGATTCTGGAGCTTCTTCCTCTTCACTTTCTTCTTCACTGGAGTCCTCATCCGATTCTGAAGACGATCCTTCTTCCGAGCTCGATTCCTGCGCTTTGGAAGCTTGTTTCTGAGGCTTCTTCTTCTCCTTTTGCTCTGCTACGACATGTTCTTCGACGGTAATTTCTTCCCAATCATCTACGACATCCTCTTTTTCAGGGCTATCCAACTTCTCGACTTCTGGCTCGGGTTCAGGCTGTGGTTCGGGAGTTGCTGGAGCCGGAGGTTCTGCCTCTTTCTGCTGTTGTTCCTCTTGTTTTGGCTTTCGTTTTCGCTGCCCATAAACTGGCGGCTTCTTTGGCTTTGCATCATCGGCCTCTCCGCGGATTCCAGGTGGAAGAATGATATCTAAAAAGCTCAAATAATAAGTATAAAACACTCACCAGCATTCTGCAAGAGTCTGGCTTGAGCCTGAGCCTGTTGTTGTCGTTGTTTTTTGGTCAAATAAGTTCCTTCTTTCTTCTGCTGCGCGATCAGCTCTTCTTTCTGTTTTCTTGACTCTTCTCGACGCTTTTTCTCGGCTTCTTCCTAAATTCAAATTCAAAAAAGATAAACGATAACTTACAGCTTCCTTTCGGGCTTTTTCTTCTTCTTCCGCTTGTCGTCTTGCCTCTTCCTCTGCTTGTCTCGCTTTTTCTTCTTGTTCTTGTCGTAACTTCAACATCTCCTTGAGCAGGGAGCTAGCTCCACCCTAAACATGAGCAATACTCATTGTTTAACAGTATAAGAGTTACCTTCTTCTTTTTCTTGCCATCATCCTCATCTCCTTCTTTCTTCTTCTTATCCTTCTTCTTTTTCTTTTTTTCCTTCTCTTTTCGCTTCTTTCGCTCTTCAGGGGTTTCATTTGGATCCTCAGCGTCACTCTGTAAAGATCACCGTGAAAAAGGCACAAATTTCTATGTAAATTTTTAAAGCTATCTAGTAGAATAACAATTAATGTTCACCTTGGCATCGTCGTCGTCATCGGCCTCATCCTTAGCTGCGGTCTCATCCTTAGCTGCGGCAGGTTCGGGAGTTCCAGAATCTTGAGGAGCCTCCTCTTCGTCGTCTCCATCAGCTTCTTCACCCTTCTTCTTTTTCTTCTTCTTCTTTTTGTTCTTACTCTCGGCAACCGGCTCTTCGGCCGCTGGTTCTTCCGCCTTGGCGGCTTCTACCGGCTCTTCCTTCACCTCGGTCGTCTTGAACTCCTCCAAAAGGGAGTCAAAATCCTCATCTACATCGGCGGCATTCCCCTAAAAAATTGGTGTTGAACACGGGTAATACCTAAAAGACAGAAAAAACAAAAGAACAGGTTACCTTTCCTCCCTTCTTCTTGTTCTTCTTTTTCTTATCGGCTGAACTCATTGTACTTGGCTGAAATGATAAATTCAATATTGCATCATCTTTATACACCAAAAAGTCAATGTCAAATATCCAAAGTATCTAAATCAATATTCAAAAAAACAATTCCGAACACGTTGAGTTTTGCGAGAAGTCATGTAACCCAACCGCGATCCTCAAAACAGATCCGGTACACTTGGTCAGTCAAAATTAATATTCCAGGATTGGCATTCTGTCTTAAGTTTGGCGTTTGTCGTTTTCGTTGTGGGAGAATTTCGAGCTGTCCTAAATTGGATTGTAGATGACATTTCGATGCGTTTTAGACCTTCTAACGACTTCTGCTTCTCATTTGCTACTATATTAATACCTCTCTCAACCTTTTTGTTTAAAAAATTACATTAATAATCATAGATAATATACCTTTAATTCTCATGTTCTATTCTGGCCAACGCAATCCTCATAAGTTCCAAATAATCCAATCTGATCATCCAGACTTCTCGTACTCACATTCCCCACCAATTTCAATGTCATACAAAGCCTCCAAATCAAAAAATATATCAAAATCTCTAACATTTTATTAGTATCAAACAAAAATAAAAATGGGGGACACAGCGATTGAACCAATAAGTTACGAAAAAAATGATCAGTAAAATACTGAATATTCTTTACAGCGGAACCTGGTTAAAACAATAAGGCAGAACATTGTATATGAAGAATTGTATGACCGGATACTAAAGACCGCTCAAGCGAGCTGGTCTTTCCCGTGGCAAATGAGAGATCAGGACTGCCGATGTTAGACATCAAAAGTATTCGAAATACGTAAAATATAAAAAAACAATCGTATTCATAATCATTTTCGATAATCAAAATGTTAATTTAGGGAGCCTCTGCAGTTCTCGGCGCCGCAATAACAGACAATCTTCTCCTCTTCGAAGGGGAATTTGTAGTCGTAGGTGATCTCTTCGCCCTTGGAGATGAATCTTTTCCCATAGATGCAGATCTTCTTTTGGGTACCTACTGTCAAAATCTTGGCATAACAGTTGGGAGAGCATGAATGGTTAATAAATCGGGCCACATTTCCTGATTTAGTGGCATCAATTACCTGAAAATTGAAAAATAAATCAAAAATTCATCAAAAATTATGTTATCCGTGGAAATTTTAATATTTTTTTTTTACTAAAAATCACCAAGAATCCTCTAAATATCTAAAAATATGACCAATAAACTCATACTACGCCTATTTGCAACCTAAAGATCAAAAAATAAATCAAATATTCATCATAAATTATGTTATCCATGACAAATTTCCGCAAAAAAATCTTCACAAACCCCCTCAAAATTAAACAATCCCTTCAAAAACAATCTCATCCTTACAAAATCAGCGTCCAATCGGAACAGATACGAGGATCCAATGCCTCGTTTCGTGTATCCCACTTCTCTGGCGTCTGCTACTGTAGATCTAATTAGTTCTCCCACGTATTCAATAATGAGTTCATTTGATTGCACATCCTCCACTGCAAACAGGCCCCATCCGTGGATTCTGGAGCGGGCGAATTTGAGCTGTTTGTGGCGGAACTGAAAGAAAAACATGACATTATTTTATATTATCCATGGCAAATTTTTATAAATTTTTGAAATTTCTCAAATTCCGTTTAGCAAAATGGCCTAAAAACTAAATGGAATACCTCAATTACAGCTAAAATTAAGAATTTCACCAAAAAAATCTATCGAAAACCTTGTTTTAGCAACTAAAATCAACAAAACAAAAACCCCAACTTACAAACATATTATTCGACCTAACCAAACTTTTGTCTCCAATACTCGAGAACAGTCCTCTTTGGAGCATTTTGAGTTCCCTCGAGCGTTCTTGTCGATTCCTAGCGGCCCTTTCATCCTTATCCGTGATCTCCAACATGCCCTGTTCCCTCGCCGGAGTCGTGTGTTTCTTCTGTCCTCTGACATAAACCCTAATTCTTGCGCAAGTTAATTCTTCTTTGGCATCCTTTCTTCTCTGCTTCTTTTGCATTTCCAATCCCGTCTCTTCATCAACTCTATTGTAGGTGAATGGATTCGCGAAGAAAAGTTCATGTTTCTGGGATTCTGACGCCACCGAGAAGTGATAGCGGTGTTCTTGGGCAACATTGGCCACGTACATGGCATCTTCTTCGTCCATGGCCTAAAAAAGTCAAGTATGATGTAAAAAATGAAAAATTTTTAAATAAATCATCAAAAATTGTCTAGTGTAATATAAAAGTGTTCATAAAACCTAGAAAACAAACTGAAAATTACTATTCCAAGAATCCCTAGGCTCTTCAAGACTTCTACTATGAGAAAACAATTAATCTAATCAAATCCATAAAGCTAAATTCAGAAATTTATTAAAAAACCTACTACAATATCCAAAAAACCCCCAACTCCTCAAAACAAATCAATTCCTTCCATTTCACAGCTCCCCATGCCCACTAAACCTCATTTCCCATACCTACCTTGTGCAACAGTTCCGCTTCTTCATGCTGAGACCTCCTTTTGAATTTCACACTGCTAAATTTGTTCTCCTTTGGCTTCATTTCCACAGCCCTCTTCTGATAGAACCGTTCATCGATGCTCTTCCGTTTCTCATGTACTGGTACTTGAAACCATGACCTTGGCATTGGATCATACGTTACGGGTTTCTGGTCTTGCTGCTGCTGCTGGAGGAGCTCTTGTTGTTTCTCCTTCAGCTTCTGCTGGAGTTGTTTTAGGAGCTCAGCTTGTGTGATTTGAGGTTGTCCGGGCTCTGGGTTCGGAGTATTTGCTGATTTAGGGGTTGCTTTCACCGATGGGGTATGTGATTTCGATGTGAATCCCGAGGATTTGTCGGCCGCCGAGCCGGATGAGTCTTCTGACCAGGAAGATTCCGAGTCGGAGCTGCTTGCCGAAGACACCGTCTCCGCCGATTTGATTCTCCGAACTTCCGAGGTTGAGGGCTCTAATGGCTCTTCCTTGATCTCTACAGGGACTCCACTCTCCAAAACACCTCCATTATTTTCAATTTCGGGGCTTTCCAATGATTTTTTTCTGGAAATCGGTTCCTCCGGACTTTTACTTGAGCTCTGACTTCCGTAAGCAGCGCTTGCTTGGCTACTTTCATCATTTTCCTCCCGAATGCTCGGCTCAGTCGGTGTTTTTGGTCGTTTTTCAATTTCATTTTGGCTGGTTTCGTCTTGCGAGATCACTTCTTCTTTAATTGCTGCTTTTTCTTGGGCTTTCTTGGAGGCCTTCGTTGTTTTCGGAGCCGTTTCTTTCTTCTGTCGTCTCACTGGCTTTGGTTTTGTTGTTTTCGGAGCTTTTGCGATTGTTGGAGGCGGTGCTGGACCTTCTTCATCGCTGGATTTTTTCGTCCGCTTTGTCTGTTTCTCTGAAAAATCGAGATTTTTTATCATCTACTCTGTTATCAAAATTTAGATTTTTTTATATTGTACTAGATTTATAAACCCATTTTCTAATACTTAGACACAATTTTCATCAAAAAATAACAAACTTTTTATATTACACTAGCCATCTCCTGTTCTTCTGATAAAATTTTTGCCCAATCTTATTTCAAAAACTCAACTTTTTTATATTGTACTAGGTTTTTTAGCCCATTTTCTACTACCTAATCTCAATTTTCACCAAAAATCACAAATTTTTTATATTGCACTAGCCCTCTCCTGTCTTTTACTAACATTTTCGCTCAATTTTATTTCAAAAACTCTACTTTTTTATATTGCACTAGCCCTGTCCCCACTCACTTTTCTTTTTCTTTCCTCCAGCATCTTCCCAGTCGCTCTCGTGCTCCTCCGTGTTGCTGCTATCATTTTCGCAGTAGTCCACCTTTCTAATGATGCGATTTGACCCTTGCAAAAATACATTTCCATTCATTCCGTCATCCTGTTCCTGTTCTTCCTGAGATTCCTCTTCTTCCTCTGCTTCCTTATCCTTCTTCTGAGCATTTTCCGTTCTCCACGGGACGGATTTCTTTCTCGATTCCTCAAAAGCTCTGGCAGCGTCTTCAATAGTGCAAACTCGAGGTTCCGAAGAGGAGGAGGAGTCGCTGGAAGAGCCGGATTCACTCGAATCCGAGTCCGAGGATTCGCTTTCCGAGGTGCTTGTGAGTACGGCGACATCTTTGGTGGTTCTCTTTTTCTTATTCGTCTTCAAAATCAGACTTTCATCCGAATCCGACTCTTCTTTTATTGTTTTTTGGACCTCTTCTCCATTTACCGTGGGCCCAGGCGTCGGCGAGTACATTCCCCGGTCTTCCGGGTTGGCTGGGCTTTGAATTCCGGACGAAGGGGACTCCGACTTTATATTGTACATGTCATTTCGGATCGAATTCGTTGAAGAAACCGAGTTTGCATCGTCCATGGCATCTTCATCGGCCGTGAATTCCTCGGAATCGCTGAGAACGGCTCTTCTTTTTCCGTCTCTGCGCCTGGATGTTTGACTTTTGCGTTCCTTCTTCTTGGCGACAATGTTGTTTTTGTTGAACTGGAATGGAAAAAAATTACAATTTTCAACAACAACCCCTTTCAAATTGCAAGACCCACATCTGACACCCCAAATTTCATCCAAATTCGTCTTATAATATATAAAACTTGCATTTAGAGACAACTTTATACAGTGGTGGATCTGATCCAGTGGCAAAAAAAGTACCATTTTGTATCCAGAAAGTATCAAAAATGTGGCAAAATACCTCCCTCTCCAAGTGAGAAAATCCGATTTCAAAAGCGCGCCCGCTCTTTTTGTGAGGAAAAAAGGCGCGCCCTTCAAAACGAAGTTTTTTCACTTGGAGAGGGAAGCATTTTGCCACATTTCTGATACTTCCCGGATGCAAAATGGTACGTTTTTTGCCACTGGATCAGGTCCCCCACTGTATAAAGTTGTCTCTAAATGCAAGTTGTATATATTATAAGACGAATTTGGATGACTGGATCAGGTCCCCCACTGTACCTACAACAATATAATTTTCTTACCGAAACTGATCCAAACACCGACTGTCTTCTCGATTGGCCTTCAAGGTATGCTTCGAGATCAAATTGCCGTAGCTGAACCTTCTGTTTTGCTTTTTCGGCGTCTTTCTTCTTCTAAAAATTGAAAACACTAATCAAATTTTGAAATTCTTACCATCTCCGCTTCATAAACATTGTGCATTTTTTCCATTTCCAGGTACAATTTCTGCTCGATCAGCTGTCCCACTGCTTGTGTTAGATGGAAAAGCATTTCCGTTCTCAAGCTCTGCTTGGCAAGGTCCACATTCTCCTTCATATGGTCTACGGGAGGTTGTGGATACCTAATTTTGGTGGTATAATATGCGTATCCCAGTTGAATATGACACGTGGGGAACCTTAACACATCGCCGGGATGCTGTTGCCATCCATATTCGATGACTTTGGCCTGATCTTGGGCAGTCGCGAAGCGATTAAAGTACTGCAGAGGGTAATCTTTCCAAAGAAATGGGACTTTCGGGTCCCAGAAGATGCCTTCCTGGCTGTTTATATAGTCGGCATAGTCTTCTTTGGGAACATTGGTTGGGTCGATGAGTTTGGGGCGGGGGACGGTCGAGCTTTGGGAGCATTGGCTGTCCGGATCGGGCTTGATTTGGAAGGACGGGGAAGGTGCGCGCTCCAACGTGTCGAATCGGGATCGCTAAAAAAGTATTGAAAATGAAAATTCAGCCTCAAAAACGACATATCGCTTACAAATTCCCTCTAAAAATTGAAAAAAATAAAAATTTATATTGTATTTGACAAAACACCTCAAAATCCCACAAAAAAATCCGCATTTTCTCCCCAAATCACATTTTAAAATCCCACTTACCCTCTTTCTATCGCCTTTTACACCATTATTGGCCTCAAACTTCGCACTTTTCCTCCGATTAAACCGTTCCTTTTGTGATTCCGAGTCCGAAGATGCGCTCTCCGAGCACAAAGACCGCCGGCGTTTCCTGTCCCGTCGTCCATAGAAGCTTCTGTCCGGTGATTTATGTCTGTATTTGTTTTTCCTTCGATAATCCGGCGAGACAGAGCTTCTTGAGGATATTCTGGACAAGGATCTTCTTCTTTCCACTGGTTCGGGGGTTCGTGGACCTTTTCTGATGGATGACGGAGGTAGATCGGGGGTTGTAGGGCCTTCTAAAATACCGAAAAATTGATTTTACATTCGCTCTGACATCAAAAATTAAAACTTTTTGTCAATTTTTTTAAAACCTCCAACCTTCACCTAAAACAATATCCAAAACACAAAATTCAACTCTTACCCTTATGTTGCGAGGTATCTACACTAGTCTCCAAAGCATACTGGCTATCGATGATATTATTTTCGCGATTTTCCACCTTAACCAAATGTCTAATTCTAGCAATGGCAATCGGATCCGTCAGATTTTCGTGCCTCGGAGGTAAAGGAGCGTCGAATCCAGTGACTCTTTTATACTCTTCAATGGCCCAGAAGCCCAGAGTGTCCACAAAGACCTTGACTTGGAATCCCATTATAGTTGGTCGTTCCGTATAACACTTTACAAACTCCATCAACGCTGATTCCGAGTCGAATTCGATCAAGGCGAATCCCAAATGGGTCCGCGACTTTCCGTCGGGATTTGTGTAAATGTGGAGGTAATTGACTTGGCCAAACTTGCTGTAATGAGTGAATCAAGTCATCGACCACATTCCTAAACACAAAAACAAAAGAAATACGTACCTGCAAACGGAGAGGAGGTAGTCTTCTCGAACATTATCATTCAATTGGGTAACACAGGCTTCACGACGAGGCGGAGCGGCACAAAAACTGTTATCAATCACGATATCGAGCTCCTAGAAACACATTTTATATAGAAAATGGGTGAAAACACCATGAAGAAACAACAAATCAAAATTTATATTGTTTTAGGTACACCAGGTAAATCCTTGGGCAAAAATGAAATTTTTTGACCAACAACTGCTCGCAAACAGTTTGAAAATTACAATACAGGCCCTTTTTTACCTCAACGATGAGGCAAACATTACTATTTTTGACATCAGTCATCTACAGTTTCAATCAAAAAATAGGCACCAAAACTTACCAAATAATCTTTAGCGACATTTTTCCTCAACGAATTTTGATTTCTTGGATCCGAAACTTCTTCTCGCGTATATTCCGGATATTCCAAACAAATTCCGTTGACTCTTTTGGTCGCCTTCAGGTTGCCTTTGCTATCTTTCACCATAATATTGACAAACGAATATTTTCGGGGTTTATCCCCGAAAATTCGGCTCTCAATCAATGGCCATTCCTTCTCAGGCTCCTTGAAGATGTTGGTCAAGTCGCCGTACAAATCCTTCCCTTGTATCAGGGCTCGCCGCTTCCTCTCGGAGAAATTATGATTGCCATACCTTTCCAGCTGCTGTTTATATTTATTCCGGCTCTCCTGGTCTCGACAATCCTCAATGCGCCCGAGAACTCGGCGCCATGGCAAAGGCTCCGAATCACCTGTCTCCGAGAGCAAGGGAGGAGTGGAAGGTCCTCGACGAATTGTCGTATCCGACGATCTTGTTGGCAAGTTGGGTATAACTTTGGTCGAGTAGGAACTGAACGAAGTTTGTATCCTAAATAAAGAAAAAATATCGAAACAGCAGTTGGAGACATACGAAGTGCGATGAGTCGAAAGTTCGGCTTGAAACGAGGTCGAAGGTTCGCATCCATGAGACCCATACGAACTTCGAAATTGGGACATTCTAAGCGCCTTCAGAGAGCATAGAGAACTCTGAAAATAACCAATTAGCAAGAACAGACTACGTTGACCTCAAAATACAATAAAATATACATTTCACAAATTTTTAGATATAAAACCAGATCGATATACAAAATTTCCACAGATGTTCAGTTAGTATCGCTTTTATTCAACCTAAAACACGTCAGGAAAGACAGAATCTAGAACAATATCGACTATTTTCAAGTTTCCTACCTAAAAAACTCCAACCGCATCCAAAATTTTTATATTGAACTAGACAGACAACTCATCAATTTGCACCATATTTTCTAATATTTTTTACCCGGATTTTATAACCAGTACGTCCTAAATTTGACGAACAATCTATTCTACTGCAGATAATCCAATAATGTCGCCATAGTTCTTGGAAACGACAGGCTAAAATAATTTTGTCTAGTGCAATATCTAAAAGACCTATTTCCTGAAATAACTGCTAACACAAAGACAATAATCGATTCTACACACGGTGTGTATTTTCACGTATAATTCTGGAGTCGAATTATAAAATCCATCAAAGCGCCAAACACGTTTTCTCCTTGCGACGGAATGCCAAAAACTTGTTTTCGTGGTGGGAGAAAACAAGAGCTGTAGAATCAGGTGGTTGAACAGACAAAATGTAGGCGTCCGTTGTGCTGAGGTGTCGAATAAACTAATTCAAACATTTTTCTTTGTTTTTAATAGTTTGTAGCAGTTTCTGCAAGATTTCTGTAGAAAAGTCTAGAAAATTGCCTAAAAATTGATGTTTTGGTCTACAAAATGTTCGAGAATTAGATTATAGTATTATAATTTATTAGACCATGGGAAATATTGCACTATATACAAATATGACAAGCGATAAAAGGCGTATGCGTCGATTATCAAAGGAAAAATCGAATTTCTAAGCCAAAATTCTTCGGAAATCATGTTCGACGAAGTCATCGTCGCTGTCACTGTGCACAATCTGTCCATGTTGCGAGCGAAGGCCTTTTCGGAGCATTTCAACTTCGTCCATTGGGATTTTGGAGTTCTGAAATTGGGAAAATTAGTATTTTATTCGAGGATTTTATATTACACTTGATAGCTGATGTTCGACTCGAAGAATCTCTTACCTTTTTCGATTTTTTGGTCTTGGTTGAAGTTACAGGGGTTGGAGAAGGTTCCCGGAAGAAGTCACGCTCAAAAGAAACGTGCTCCGAGAATTTTGGAATGGTAAATCGGACGTGTTGATCAGAATGGCTGGCCGTTGAATTCTGCGAAACCAAAATTGATGATTTCGATGAGGAAGAGGAGGATGAGGCGTTGGAGCAAACCGAAATTTTAGACATCTTTGTAGTTATTCTAACTGTAGAACAGTTGATGGGAATTGGAAAACTTTGCGGGCTTTTATACTCGAACGAAAAAAGGATTACTTTTCCAAAGGGAACGCCCCTAACAACTACAAACAAAAACACAAAAAAGTGCTGACTTTAGGTGAAGGTTCTGATGATTGAACACACGTTGGAAGAGCGGGAAATAGGACTAATTCTGCTTTGAAGTAGGTTTTTACAATTGTGTCTTCAGAATCCGTAGTAAAAACAACTATGAGTGCTTTTCGGTTGACTAGAAAGTCCGCGAAAACGTTGAAAATGACTTAGAAACGTTGAATTGTGGGAATGGAGCACACAGTAAAAGAAACATCGAGCAGCAATCAATGATCATTTCTTATTTTTATACCCAGGTTCATTTTGAGGGCACCTGGTTGATAAAAGCGGCAAATATAATATTTTGAAGCATATTTTTAGATGCTGTATACTTTTTTGCATATCACATCGCATTTGATTTACAGGAGCACAAGGAAAACCCTGATTGCTCTTTCGTGTTTTTCAAGCGGCTTTGAACTTTACTTTCAATGATCATCACGGTATTTTTGGGTCAACCACATGTCAAAACGAGTTTGTGGGGCAGACATATCCACCGTTAATTTTGTTTTTGTTATTGCCATGTACTATGGGTCTGATTGTGAGACTGTGAAATAAAATTTTATGAATCTGAAATCTGCTTTTTCGAGCTCATAAATCCGAGCTTCTGTGAAAACAAAAAAGGGTGTGGTCGCCTGTGGGGTCACCATATCAACAATTTAATTTAAGATTGCCTTGGTTGTACTACCACTGTTAGATGTGATTAGTACAAGCTTCCGAACCGCATGAACTGTTGTTGAATCCAGTCAAAACAACCTTTACATGATTTCAAAAACAAATTTCTCAACCAAAACACTGTTTCTTCCTACAACCACAAACCGCCACGCTACATTTTCTTTGCAAATTTGCGATTCAATCTTCACGGATTGTAGTAGAATTACAAATTTTGTAGTTTTCTTAACCGGCTTGTTCAAATCGAATGTGTTTTGTATTTTCCGAAAAATTCGTTTGTTTTGTGAATGTGTGTGTTATTCTGTGAGAAGTTTGTACCCCAACCCACATTACTCTGCTTTTATTTTATTCTTGTCTGATCTTACTGCGTCACAACGGCCCCTTCATCTATAGACTATGATACACCTGATGTGTGAGCAATATGACGCGTATAGGTTAACGATCGATGGTGTAGACGGTTCGACAAATGGTTCACATGGCATTGGAACAATATTAGTTTACACACTGCTTGCAGAATGCATGTGGGGAAGAGCAATGTGTAACGTTTTCTGAGAAGGGCAAGATGTTTTTGAAACGTCATAAGCCAAGTTCTTTTCGGTCAATTGGCGGTTGGAAAACTTTATTTTACACTGTGAAGATCTTGTATCGCAGATTTGTAGCGTCTTGCTTGCATCCCTTCCTATCGGACATGATGACTTTCCAGAATGTCGGGCACAGGTTTAGATTGGCATAAATATTATAATGTCTCATGAATGGCTGTTAAATGCAAGATTTTAGCTCGTCAGGAAGAAAGCATGTAGCTCCAAAGCGCTGGTGAATCTTTTTACGATATCTTAGATGGCCGTTGGTACATATACATGAAGATTACGGGAAAGGGTAGATCGCGAAGGGGGAGACGAGGGGATTGAGGAACAACCGGGCATCAGAGATGTCGTTTATTCCACATACACGCACGAGGAAAGAACGAGATGAAACTTATGGCTTTATAGGCGCAATTCATTATTAATATTTGGCACTATCGCCAGTAGCTCACAATCAGCAGTCTCCATCGAAAAACATAAAAAATTAAGACCATCCGGCAATATGTGACTTTGAACATTTATTGCATCCAAAGAAGTATGTACATACATGTTTAAAAAAATCTGAGATCATCAAAAAAAAATCAACGACAAGTGCGGCTTAAACACAGATAGTCAAGTCGTTGGTCCTTCTAGTCACCTGTTCTAGAAGATCATCTTCACTATCACTGGAGTGGCAATGGCCATGATGATTTTTGAAGCCATGTCTTAACATTTCGACCTCATCCATGGGAATTTTTGAGTTCTGAAAAAGCAAGGGTGACTTTCAGTGTATAGATAAATGGTAGAGAAGAGAAGTAAAAATGTAAATTAACTCACAATTATGGACTTTTTCTGAGGACAAGGGAGAACTCGGTAGGTCTCATAAACAATATGATCACATCTCTCGGGAAGGGTAAATCGGACTTGCTTGTCAGCATGGACAGTAGGATCAGAAGAGCTAGCAAAGTCGTTTCTAGCGGACATTTTAGGGTACAAGTTTAGAATCAGAACTGTAAATCAAACAGTAGATACAATGGTGGAAACTTTTTAACTATTTATACTATTTTTGAGACCTAAAAACGTGACTTTTCAGAAGTAAAAACGTCCCCGCCCACACCTGTGACACCAGACTAGAACGGAAAAGAGGTTTCGCTATAGTTTAACCACGAGCAATTGTGATGATTGAAGCGAGCACTCAATAAAAAAGGGAACCAAAGATTCTGGTGGATTCTCTATTTTTGAGTAGAGAATTTAGTGTTAAAAAAAATGTAGGTTGTGCAGTCATTGTTTTTTGACGGTCCAGAAAAAAGAATGGAATTGCAGAACTGTGCTCTGTTTCGACAGTCATTACAGACAACATGCAAGGAAATCACGGGAAAATAGAAAACACATTTCATCGGAGTAATTGCGTGTTCTTCATGTGAAGAATTCAAGGTTTAACGGTCAGAATTGTTTGAAATTTTTGTATATGGTCTGGAGTGATCATAAAATAATTTCTGAAAATTTGGGTTTACGAATGCTGACTAGTTGATTGCAAATTTTGGACCCTGAGGGTCTCGAAAACGTTTCTAAATTTTGATAAATTACAATGTTGAAAGGTCGATTGTCTATGCAAAGCCTAAGCTACAGTAATTTGACTTGAACTTGAAGCAATATAACCTATATTGTCTATGTTGTATCAATGTTTGACTTTAATAATTTGTTTTATGCTACTCTGCTTTTCCTGACGGCTCTATAGCATCTAGTATAACTTGATGACAACAAAACGTTTGGTTGATGTAATGACTTCTGTGTAAGCATCAATCAAGCTTTTCTGATCAACAACGTATTTCGTCTTCAAATTCTTTTTGCTTTTGTTTTTCCCATTTCTCTACTTACATGAGTTTGTAGTCTAGTTTTCTTCTCTGACCTTCTCTGGCTTTACTGAATAACAATTACTGCTTGCTTTTACAATTAATTTGTAAACACGTTACTGTTTTGTGTTAGAATACATAGGAGAATCTTGGTTCAAAATAATGGACCAGAAATATAATATAGTGTGGAGTCAATCGAAATAAAGATTATCCTCCCTTACATGTATCGTGACAAAAGCAGTTGTAAAACACTAAAAAACTTTTTGCTAAAGACTTGAAATTGTCACGTAGGCACCAAGAGTTTGTAGGCTTATTTGTGAAAAGTTGAACTGGTGGATGTTTTGAAGCGTCTACGTGCAGTTTTGGAGGTTACAACGGCGACAAAAATAAGGCTTTTTTACAACACATAAATTTGGCAGGTTTATGGATGTAGAAGAACTAGAGTTTAACATTGAATATCGTTTGTATACATAATTACGATGGATTCCTGTGTGTTTCTATGCCTTGTAGCTGAATGCATTATTGTTGTGAAGGCCGAACAGTTGCGTTGACTGCCTCTGATGTTACAACGTTTCGAAGAACTCTACTTTCACAAACCTTGGATCGGAAGTGCAACTTCATAAGTCACCATTGAGTTTTCATGGAAGTTCGGAAGGCGTCATTTTCTATCTGAATGCGTTATAGTACAAGGAAGTCGACTCTTCATTTTATGATGTATTAAAGTGTATTTATATAGACGCATCACCACTAGTTTTTACTCACAATGAGGCTTTTCGAGAAGTGTTGAACACACGACGGTAGTTTAGGAGCAAAATTTAAACCTTTACTATGCAATCTTACATTAGCCGGGTTGTGCTTTGGGTAGGATACTCAGTTATTTTTCAATTACTACATTACTATTCAGGCAGCTCTAAAATCAATATACCAAAGTAAAAATAGTTCATTTCTATTTATTATTTACATAGAATGAATATATCAAATAGCGAGATCATTATGTACAAATATTCTTGAAGTTCAAGGGATTCATATCAGCATTGACAATCCGCTATTTCTCCTCGAACTTGACACCATCACATCCATGGCGCTGGTCAAGCATTGGCCGTGTTCGCTTCTGAACCCATGCTTCAGCATTTCAACCTCATCCATTGGGATTTTGCCGCTCTTCTTGGATTTGCGGCACACATTCGAAGCAGGGGAACGGTAGAAATCGCGTTCAAAAGAAACGTGTTCCGAGAATTTTGGGATGGTAAATCGAACATGACGTTCGGAATGGCTGGCTGTTGAATTCTGCGCCACCAAGATGGAATGGCGAGGGGAAGAGCATTCACTGGAGCAACCGGCAGACATGTTTAATAGTAGTTGTAGCTGTGTTAGCTTTAGCAATAGCAGAAAAAGTATTGAGAAACTGTATAGTAAACAGTGGATGGGTCTGTGGTCACTTCCCGAGCTTTTATACCCCACTTTGAGGGCGAAGTACGTGACTTTGGGCAAAACAAAAGTAGCCCGCCCCCGAGAATCGCTAGAAACTAGAAGACAAAAGCGCTGACTTTTGTTTAACTTGGAGAATCTTGGTGATTGAACATCCATTGTGAAGAGCAGAATACACTTAACAGTTGAACATTGCAGTGTTTCAGAGGTGTACATAGAGTTGATGGAACAATACAGTACAGTGTAAAAAGGCTAAACATTGTTTTGAAATCGATAAAAACGAGGAAATTTTAATCAAAGGAATTATGAAAATGGTAATTTTTTTGACTTTGACCAGTGTTGAAAGGTATGACAAATAATGTAATAGCAGTCATCATTTATGTTATGTCTTTTCAAGCCTTGAAAAGCTAAATCAACTCTATTTCAAAGGTCTTCAGTGCCGATTTTACCGCATTTTTACGAAGTTATTAAGCTGTCAGGCTTTAAAAATTCAAAAACTGTAGCTTTGTTCCATAATTATCGCCATTTCTGAAGTTCCAACACTTTAAAATTTATAGCATTCCATTCTGACCGTTATGATCATCGTTTGCAAACGCTACAAAAATTAGAGTCTGATTTTTCGCGCATGTGTGGTAATACCCATCACGTAGTCCATGTACCTGACTCATTGTGCTCTGCAGGATCATTACATTTCTGCCTTTTCATTGTTCATTTGGATTCTGAGCCAGCTTCTAATGTGCTTCCCTCTGAACCTTTTTGCTCTTACAACGTCACTGTTCAAGTTAGAAGTTTAGATTCTCAAGGTGACAATTATGTATTTAGTTTTGTTGTAGTTTTGGCGGTGATATGGAAAGTGTAATGAAAACAGCTGCGATCAAATCAATTAATATTGTGTGGCGAAGAGAGCGTAATATGTATTTAATAATATCATCATTTTTCGGGTTCGTTCGATTCGGAGAAGAGATACGTAGACAAGGAAAGACACGATGATACGTATGACTTTAGCGGCGACTGGACAATACTAATGTAGTGTCTTTTTTAAATACGTAGATATGTTTGCCAAATTTGTGAAAGGTGAAGCCCATATTAAGAGAAAGACCAGACACCGTATTTTACAACTTCAAGGGCTTTACAATCGAATTACTATAAAATTTTGTTATTTGCTTGATGATTCCGTAATTTATTTATCATGTTATCACTAAATTTAGACGTCTATTTAAAAATAGAAGCAAATGCAGTTAAATTTCTACTTGATTTCTTCCTAATACGATCTAAAAATCAAAACAGAACCTTTAGAAATTTTATTTTTGCTTCATTAATCAACTGACCAGACCACGTGGAAGACTCTCCATGTTAGAGCAACTTTCAAAATGCTGTTTGTTTTGTACAAGCAACAGCTTGCATTTGTGTATTGTGAAGCTCGTGTTTGTGTTTACAGACATGTTAACAAGCTGTTTCTGATCTCTAACCATTGCTTACTCTTCAGATTAGTTGTGAATTCGCGCATGTGTTTTGTCACGCAGGAGTTTGTGGTCGTCGCTGGTTTACTCTAGTTCATTCTCTTTTGACTTTACTACGTCATGGCTGCTGCAGTTTTGATAATAGAATTGCGTAGAGACTTCGAGCTAGAACCTGGCAAATTGATATGACGATGAAAAAACATGACGAATTTTGACGTCATGCTTTGGTAGAGTAATATAATTTTTTAGGGTTGAAGTATTTGGCTTTTGTGCCTCTTATTTTCATGCATGCTGGGCTAACACATTCAATTCTTCAATGTGTATATCCACTCTAATATCAAACCAGAATTTTTTTTTAATCTCTAGTACAATATTGCGGCAGTATAGGTCCTAGTTAAATTTTATGTCGGCAAGCCATATACGGTTTAAAAGCGCACTTCCTCAGCTACAAAACCGTATCTCCAACATACCCTGTAATGCATTTCAAAACTCACAGCGATTCTCACAACTTGACGGCCCAAAAATACACTAGATTTATGGGACACTCTAATAATAAAAAGGATTTTTACTACGCAAGATGCCCTTAGCCAGCAAAAAACAAACCTATGACTTTGCAAATGCGTTGTAGAGATCATTCAGACCATAAAAACACCGATAAAATTATTAGTTTTGTGACTTATCGGTGATCTTCTACGTTTTGAGATCGAGGTTTAGTAAAGCCATCGTCGGGAGTTCCCTTATCGGGAATTTCTTCATCGTCATAAATGAACAAAAAAGGAGTCCCTTGGAACTCGATTAGAGCATTCCAAAGTTTATGGCCTTAGACGCCACTGATAAAAAGTTTTGTTTTTGCGACTGGTCCCTGATCTCCGACATATACGATTCGATTAGGGAGGTAATGTGATGACAACACAGCTTGTCAAGGACTTCTCTAGGTCAAAAAATGCCCTTTAGCAGGTAAACAGAGAAGAAAATCCTTGAATCGATCAAAACACCTTGTGCGTTCATGGACTTTCAATTACCTCAAATCAGCTGCAAAACAGCACAAAAATCGTGAAAAAAATCTTGAAAGAAAAACAAAATCTCCAAAAACTTCTGAATTCTCCGTTAAAAAAAGGCGGAAATGAAGTGCAACATAGTCCGGTACATTAAAATTGCGAATTACAAAGCATTCCGAAGTTACTCATCGAATCTTCTTTTTCTGGAGAAGTCAACTAGAAAGTGCATTTGTTCATTTCAACTTGAAATTCTAATTTTTTTAAATGTGATTTTCTCGGTACTTACAGAGTGCATGATGACAATTTTTATACGGCTAGAACGAGGGACTTTCAGAGTATCAAATTCTTTCCTTTTTTAGTTTTAAAATGTCTACTACAGCTAGCCGACAGCATAAAAAAGGTGCACCCCATTGGATTTTTTTGTTTTTCGTAACGCTGTGTATTGGAAAAGTTATTTATAGCGATCTCTCGAGCAGCGAATGACGATTGATGGCAAAACAAATACACAGATATCTTCAAAAAATAATTTCTTGGAAAAACTGGCCAACATTTGCCTCTACGATTTGTTCTTTAGCGTTTACAGGGTATCTATCTCATAAAGTCCGCATCTATGAGCACATTTTATTGCTGTTCAGGTCACATGTGGTGCGTTTCCTTTAGGGTATTATGCTTATTATTAGACCTTCCTAATCATCTATTTCCCCCATTCAGACAAGATAATGCGCTTTGTTGTGAATTGATAATTCCTTTTAAAATTCCGTGTACTCCCGGAACTGATAACAAACTCATAACAAAGAAAAATTCAATATTGAAAACAGGCTTTTTTATCTTTATCAGACACGTAATCTCTACTACTCCCTGTTATTTACAAATAATCTGTGTCTTACCACAAGATTAAACCTACAAAGCACTGGTTGTGGTCTGTTTTCCATGTGTTTTGTTGAATTGTTCCGACTTTTAACCGACTACACAAGAACTGGTGTCAGAGTCAGCGATTCTCTTGTTTTTGCAGTAGTTTGTACCCTTCTTCTACTCGGTAAAGAAAGTTACACTTTCCCGCGAACCCAGACCGAACCCATCTGAGCTGTAACGTCCGTTGCGGGCTCTTTGCTTAACTTTTTCTTTATTTTTTGATCGCGGTCTTTTGACGTTCTTGCCCTTTGGCTTATAGTTCAGAAAAGGGGGCGGAGCCGATTTTATCTCTGCTTTTCCTTCCCCAAATTTGATATAAAAGGAGAAAGACGGTTGGCAATTTCATCAACTGTCTTTTAGCAGTTTAATAAGTGCCTAAAAAGTACTGAAAATGTCCGTCTGTTCGAGTGCCTCCACCTCTTCGTTGTCCTCCATTTTGGTTTCGGACGGCGCTCCAGCGACTCATTCCAATAACCATGTTCGATTTACTATCCCAAAATTCTCGGAGCATGTTTCGTTCAAGAGAGACTTCTTCAGAGAGCCTTCGACCTCAAATTCTCAGCCTATCAAGGCGAAAAAGGTAAGATATTATAATAATTTATATTGTACTTGACTTCTTTTGATGAGAAATCTAAAATTTTGCAATCTACTGTTAAAATCACTCTGCTTTTTACTAATTTTTGTTATTTTCAGAATCCTAAAGCTCCAATGGACGAATTGGAAATGCTAAGAAATGGCTACAAAAACCAACACGGCCATCTTGTGCACAGTGACAGCGATGATGACTTTGTCGAAACTTACAGAAGGATTCTTGTCTAAGACCTCGTGCTTACCATTATCTGTACATTATTTATTGACTAATAAAAAAGAAATATTAAACTTGTATTGGTGCTTTTTTATTGGGTGTCTTCGTTTGAAATAAGTTTGTTTTTGAAATCTTTTGGATCAATGATTCAGCCTCGCAAGTGTTCGCCGGCGGACTGCACGATTGTGCTCAATGAACTCTTCGGCTTTGAAGTCGAGGAAATCGTCCATAATCTAGAAAAATATTAGGGTAAAGACGTCTCGGTAACGAGGAATGCACACTGAATCCTTGCAAAAAGAATCAGTGCTTTGTACAGGTGTTTCAAAAAAAAGTGCACAAAGTTTTTGCAAGTATCTTGGTGCTCTTTGCAGCTATACAAGAACTTTCAATTAGTTTTAAAACTCGAAATCGAGCAGTTTTAGAATATGCAAAAGAATTTTTCCTCGTGTAGACCATTTTTTGGCGATGACATTTCACGCCTTTTTTGAAAATTATGTCTCGTGACAAAAACCAGACATCTTTACTACGGACGAAACAAGGCTTGTCACATCTACTAAGATGCATTCTGTTAGTGTCAGTGGCTTGGCGGAGGTTTCACACACTGGCGAAGGCTCGACGGAGATTTTTGTACCGGCTTGGGGGCGTGGATTTTGAAAAACGGATGAAAATAATTTCTTTTTTCAGGTAAGCTAGATCTTGCACTAAAAGGCTTCACCGGAGCAAGTGAAGTATGCATTGAACAGGTGCTTTTTTTGCAAAAATTTCATATTCAACCGGAATGAGACAAAGTTATGGGAATTCATTCGAAAAGGAAAATTTGTGGATTACGGTAAAAAGTTGGGCATTTTCAACGGGCCAAAGGGTCAAAATCTCAGTTTGCTTGCTTTAATAGGTGTTATTTCTGAGCAAAAAACTTTTATGTGCCAAATTCTAAAGTTTATCGAGCATTCTACAACCGGTTATATGTAGAGTTCTGCTGTCCTCCAAAAATTTCATCAATTTCATTGTATTATTCACCTTTCGGAACTATCACAAAATTTCCTTGAAAGGATACGAGCTGTTGTCTGAATTAGCATAAAGCTCTCTTTAAAATGCGCTTACTACAGTATACTACCAAAATTTCACAAAAAATTATATTTTTGCGTTTATGATGACGCTACAATGTTTGTATTTATCGCAATTTTTAATTAGGAGATTGCGTGGGTATCAATAAGATGATATCAGACTTAAAAATTAATAATGACAGCATTAAGGGATAGCCCAAAATTTTAATTTCCGTTTCTTATCACATTTTAGATACATTAAGAGGTTGTTTTTGGATACTTCCGCTACTGGTTGATAAGTAAAACTACAATATGGGCGATTGAGCATTGAGAACTCATGATTACTATAAATACTTGCTGTTTTCTGCAGCAGACATTTTGTTCAGCCTAATGCTCGATTAATTGTCTGTAAATGAAAAAAATGCAACGTAAAGTTAGTCATCACCTTACCGTATAAAATTTCCGTTTTAGACCAAAGTATCGCTGCAACTGGAATTTCTTCAAAAAGTCGCGCGTATCAATTATGGATCATCAAGCCCGTAATGCTACCCACAGTTACGATCACGCTGATTCGCGCGTTCCTTGAGCAGTTCTTTACATTCTGCTCATCCCCCAAGAAAAACATTTACCTACCAGATCATACGAAAGAGGATTCTTCGTCCGACAAACGTTCTCTGGGGTCTTCAAGTTCTCGTCAACCTTACAGTCAGGCCTCTTGTAACGAAGGCGTTTGGTCCCCGGCATTTCTTGGATGTTGTCTGAAAAATAGGTCATCATAAAGGGTTACGGTATTTTCAATAGAAGAGAAAATGTTCGTAATGATTTTGGGTATGCAAATGAGATTTTGAGACCTAAGGACAGAGAGAAGGGCCATTACAGAAAGTTTTTTGTCCAAAAAATTTAAATTTTTCCCAGAAAAAAATTTTTAAAAGTATTCTGCTCTTTTTCACTAACATAAATCTTGATTTTTTATCAGTCTGTCGGGAAAATAATGACCACACAGCCGCAGCGAAAATCGTGTAGTAAAAGCAATCTGATTTTGCCACGACTAGGCATGGCTCCGGGCCGGGCTTTGCAAAATTTTCCGGCCCGGGCCGGGCCGACTAATTTCTCGGCCCGACTCCGGGCTTCGATTTTCAGGCCCGGCCCGGCCCGGGCCGGCCCGGTTTTTTTGAAATTTGAGTTTTGCCCGGAAAAAAGGAAAAAATAAGCTTTTACAATAGGATTTTTCATTTTTTCGAACACACTGCTGATAGCGAACGTAAAGTGACCTTATGTACCTAGGTTTTGCTAAATTTTTCTTTACATCTTGCGAAAGTTTTCCATAATTTTCTTTTCATTTCCCGCTTTCTTTCTTTCCAAACTAGTATAAAATTTTCCGGGCCGAACCGGGCCGGGCTTTCCAAATTTCCCAAGCCCGGGCCCGGGCCGGACTTGGAGATTTAAGCCCGGGCCTGCGGCCCGGGCCGGGCTGGCCCGGTTTGCAGCCATGCTTAGCCACGACACGATTAATTCGCCGCAATGAAATTTTCGTTGCGACATTGTGCTCATTATTTTCCCGACAGACTGATAAGAACTCATAATTATAAAAATAAATTATAAAAAATTGCCAAATTTCCCCCTTTTTCGGCCTAAAAATCTCTGTGGTCTCCATAAAACGCAAGCTGAAAACATCATACAGACCTCAAAAAATTGTAACCTCAGCCAATTTTCATCAAAAATTTGTGTTTCACATCATACAGTATCCAAATATTTTCACTTTACCTCTCCGAATCAGCTCTCCCACTCTCTGCAGAACGTCGTACTTTGCTTTCAACTCTGTTTTGAAGTCCACATACGTCTCAATGATTTGATTTTCTCGCTCACTAAAGATCAACATTTCAAAATTCAATAAATCGACTTGCCTTTTACACTTTTCGATGTAATTCTTCAGACTTCCCTCGTATGGAATTGGACTGTAGAGCAAATTCGGGTCGCTGATTCGTCGTTTCAAATTCCGCAACCGTTTTCTCGTCATTGTGTGGAGATCCACAAAGGCCAATGCTCCGGCTTCGACCGCTTTATCAATGTCAATGTTGCTGATTCCCGTGTGATCTTCGGCTTTGACTAATTTCTCGGCGTTTCTTTTGAGAGCACGGACTTCTTCGAGGCCAATATTGAACTTCTGAAAAAACGGAGTAATGGAAAAATACGCCTAGCCATACAACGTGCAAATATTACAAAATCTCAAGATTTTCAAAGGATAATCTAAAACTTATAATACAAATATCAAATTGAAATGCTCACCTCTTTATCAAAGTCCTTCAAGTCCACAAACTCATCTTCCCGGCCCTCATCGCAGACTTGATTGAAATACTCATCCAGCCAGCTGAGGAAACTCTCCCATTGAGATGGGTCTTGTTTCTAAAAGCAAGGTTATTATTCTTTACAACTTTACAACCAAGCCTCTGCAGCACTCTCATACAACAAAACCTCTCTATAAAAGAGAATTTCAAAGCCAACAGGGTCAATTTTAGGACTAATTAAATGTTTTTACAACAAAACCTTTCTACAACAAATATCTTTTGACCCATTGCGATTTGTTGTACAAAGTGACTGCTGTGACTTTTTTTGCTTACATTAGAAAACTAAGTATTAGTATACAAAATACGATGGAACCTGTGTACCACAAAAAACAGAGGCGATAAAACAAAGGCTCTGTATAACGAACAAATTCAAATGTCTCAAGGACCAATTTTAAGCAAAAATTAATCCTTTTACATCGAAACTTTTCTATGACAAAAAATTTTCCCCTTGTTATTTTCTTCTTTTCATTTCTGGCTAATTAAAAAAAGCAACTAAATATTATATACATACATTTGTAATGTAATCACACTCACCGAAGAAGTGCAAGGCTCTTCCAGATCTTTCTTCAGTTCCTCTGCATCTTTCTCCTTTTTCTTGGCCACTTTTTTTACCACAGCTTTCGCAGGTTTAAAGAAATTTCCTCGAGGACTGATCGCAGCCAAAGTTTTCCTCCGTGAGATATCGCGACGAGGAGTTTCACCAGTCAAATCACTCAACGTTCTGAAAAATATACTAGTTGTATCAAAGAAAATTTTTTAAAACTTGCCTTCGCCTTTGCATGGTTAGATAAATACAATTTTTACAGAAAGGAAAGAAAAATATGCAAAAAAGAGCTCAAAAAATATTTTGCGCGGGAAACTGGGCGCTTGAGAGCTATCGCGACACAGAAAAAAAGAAGACACAAGCATTAATAGGTCTGGCATTAGGATTGCGTTCAGGTAAATAGGAATGGCAAACAATAAAAATATGTAAATTAGAGGTCAAAATTTTTCCTTGTTGATATAAAATCCTCATTAATTTGATTAACAGTAGTACAATTTTATTAAAAAATTGCAAAAGTATTTGGCTTGCCCCAAAAAAGAAGTTTTTGGAGTACAATAGTAGAAGCATAGGGACATCAACAATCAAAAACACGGAATGTTACCAATCCCAACCGCGGACATATGACTTGACTTGTTGTCCTTGATGAAGAACACACTGAGGTTCACTGAGGTTTCTGAAAGTCCTTCATACCTCTAGTTTCGAACGTCGTAGAGTTGCAACGATTCTTGAACTACTGGGGCGCATAAAGATCGAGATTGCACTGAAGTTCAGCAGCTTTTGATTCTGGGAATGTCAAACAGTGTGTTCTTGAGATTTTGGCGACTCACACATTTCCTACAAGGACCCGCAGTTCTTCATCCAAACAATTATAGATAATCTAATGTAAGTTTCTACATGAGGCTTTCGTTCTCATTGTCGGAGATCAAAACTGTACATAATACTAGGCGGGCTAAGAAAATCTTGATTGTGCGCCGTCGTGCAGAAAATTCACGCACATTGCAAAATGAATGCTTTTGAAAGGGGTTGAAAGTGCACAGTGCGTTTCCCATTCGCACTGTGCTGATTTTTTGACGCAAAAACCACTTTCCCACGCCAGTTGCACCGTGTGGAAACATGTCAATTTTTTTATTTTTGGCCGATGTCAATAAGAGAATTTTCAAATTTCTCTGTACCTCGCCGGTAGAATTAGCCCATTTCCCCAAACAGCATTTACGGAATTCCTCATGAAAGCTGTTGTGCAACCTCATTGTCAAATTATTCGGCGAACCCAACCGCCCGTGAAATCTGTCGTTTTGCGTGTGGATACTTGTTAATCGTCATTCACATCTTCATTACTTTCATCGCAATAAGTTTTAGCTTTCTGGAAGTGTCTTCTCTCGTCTTGAGGGGATATCTTCAATTAATATGGTAAATAAATTATTCACAGATCCCTTTCCTCAATCGTATAAGTGAGAAGCGGTCACAGAGAACGATCGCGGGGTTAGATCTGGGGATGGGATGGAAGTGAGACTGTAATACTTCCGTAAGAGGGGGTTTGTTTCATGGGATTATTGTCATATATTGATTACATTATGTATGTGCATAAAGTATTTGATGATCAGTCGAAGAAAGATGTTCTTAAAAACCATCTCTTGCTCCCAAATTTGATGACTATAAGTTATGACATTAATTAAGACCATAGTAAGTGCAACTCATCCTTGAAATACACCTTGCAAAGAATTCCGGGATTTTTAGCGACCTGCATGGACAAAAGACAATAGAAAATTAGTAGAGATGGTCATAGAAAAAACTTTTCTTTTTCACGTCCTTACCAGGCAGAAAGATGGGTTTCTTATACAGTCGCGGCCATAACTGTAAGCCCCTCGATTGTGGGACTATGAAATTTGGCGTGAAGGGCACTAAATAGATTGCAAATCGAGTTATCTTACACAAATATGTAATAGAACCCATTAAAAAGCTAATGGCGTAAAATCATTCAATTCTAGGCCTTTTTTCGTACTAAAAAATCTCAGCAATTTCTACAAAGCGCAACCTAAAAATCTTGGGGATCTCTTATAAATAAATAACATTATTTTTTGTCAATTTACATCAGGATCTCATCGTTACACACTGATCAATTTTCTTGTTAAATTTGGCGACCTTTTACTCGACATGTTACTGTGTTATTTATTTTTCAAGAACTTTCTAAGATGACATTTCAATCCATCTTCCTTACAGCGCTCATTGATCAACTCTTCGAATTCCACCGATCCCCCTAAATACTTTAGTAAAGTAACGAAAACCAGAGCGAAAAATGGGGGGATGGGGGGAATCGAGTTGCGCAATTTTTGGGCTGGAATCACATAGAGTTTTTATTGGTAATTCCTCGTTTTTGAGCTCGCAGAGGCGACATTATTTTAGTGGTTACACTTTCCCCGTCTTCCCGATCCCTTTAACTGTCTATATTGTAGCAAATACCAAGGTAATTGCAAGTTTTTGTACTCGAATTTGATTGTTTTGCTCTTAATTCGGTCGAGTTTATGTCGCCCTATCTGTATTCCACTCTCTTTCTCTTGCGCTGAAGGTCAGAAGGAAGAGATTTGGAGTCGAAATGGAAGTGAGAGGAGAAGAAGAAGATCCGCGGAATCGAGTGCCCCCTGTTTGCTGTCTTATAATATTCCCTTTCGGCATGTCGTTCCTTAATGTTTTCCAGTGACGCTGAGTGAAATTGTGTGGAGTCTGGAGGAGCGGGGATGAGGGTTGCGTCGGACTTTTGTTTCAAATATTGTATAATTTCGAAGTTTTTGGGAGTTTGAGGAAGTAAAGTCGAAAATTTGTATGGATTAGCGACTGTTTGAGATCGAAATTGATATGTTTACTATTCTTATTTTATTCGTTAAGCCGCAAACGGTCTAACTACAGTGAGGGACCAGATCTAGTGGCAAAAAAACGTACCATTTTGCATCCGGAAAGTCAAAAAAGTGTTCAAAAAATGTGGCAAAATACCTCCCTCTATAAGTAAAAAAACTCCGATTTCAAAAGCCCGCCCGCTCTTTTTGTGAGGGTCCCTCATGAGGGACTTCTAAACAAAGTTTTTTCACTTGGAGGTGGAAGCATTTTGCCACATTTTTGGTGCTTCCGGATGCAAAATGGTACGTTTTTTGCCACTGGATCAGGTCCCAAAATGTATTAGAATTAGAATGCCCCAGATTTTCTCCAAACTTTGCATATACGTCATATCAATTCCTGAAAATTCAGCGCGCCTGTTTCAAGGACGTCCGAGATATTTAACGATTTTTTCGATGCGCTAAATGCGGAGTGCGGTCAGTAAAAAATTGTTTTTTGGCAATATCTCGGCCAATTTAACGCGGAAAGAACTTATTTTTTATCGTATCGTTGCCTGTCTGGTAAAAATAAGGCTATAACTTTTTTATGCATAAATTCGTAAAGAAAGTGTCTACAGTGAGGGACCGGATCCAGTGGCAAAAAACGTCCCACTTTGCATCCCGGAAGGGACCAAACCGTCTCCAAACCCTTCCCTTCTCTAGGCTAAAAAACTCCGTTTTGAAAAGCGCGCCCTTTCCTTCAAGAAGGAAAGGGTTTGGAGACGTTTTTTGCCACTGGATCCGGTCCCTCACTGTAGTTTTGACTGACTTTTTGAACGAAAAATCTCAATTTTTTCAAGCTGTGAATCTCAAATATATCATAGAAAATCTTAATTTCAATTTTTGTCAAGTTGAAATTAAAGATCTGGGGTTGTTTCTCTTGAGGAACTTCAGTGTTATCCTAAACACGCGTAGATTTTTTTTGAAGTGATAAAAGACCAGCGTATTTTAAGAAGTATTTCTTCTCAATTTTTCTCAGGCAAAATTGTTTTTGATACTCACTAATATCACTTCTTTACAACATTTTTCCTTTTTTAGTCATCATTTTTCCAATTCTCACCTTTTATCGCTGTTTTCTCTCCCAAACCAACAAGTTCGAATTCCCCAGTAAACGCTCGAATTCCTCACTTACCACACCTTTTACCGTCCCCGAATACCCATCCCCAGCGCCGGTGCAACCAATTTGTTGGGGCTTATAACGGTTTCCCCTCGCTTCGAACCTGTTTTCCATGCATTTTTCGGTTTCCATTGATTAATTTCTCGTCGGTTTCTTTTTCTTTTATTAAACCCTTAATAAAGACTCTGTCACCCCTTTTTACATTATCTTTTTTGTCGTCTCTCGCGCAATTAGACGCTGATTCGCCGTGATTTCGGTCGTGTTTTACCTTTGTTTGTCCCGCATTCCTGGTTTAATCGATATTAAACTAGATTTAATTTGAGAAAAGTTTTGGCTGTTTGGGGCTGGAAATTATAATAGATGAAAAATGACGTGAAAGTTTTGATTTTTTGGCAAAGTTTAAAAAACCGCGTTATGTAGAAGTTTCAAAAAATATATTTTTTTTTTGAAAATATGAATTAAAAAATTATTTTTTTTTTATTTTCGATAAAAATATTTGAATTTCTTATCTTAGTTTTAACAAAAAATCATTTTAAATTTAATTTGACGTGTTTTTCGGATATTCCAAAATAAAAAATTCCATTTTTTTAAAATTTTTGGCAAAGAGTGACAAAGAAAATTTATTTTTTTTTAACAAAAAAATTTGTTTAAAGATATATTTTTTATAAATCCGTATTTTAAAAAAAAATTGAATTTAAAAGTTTCAAAAAAATTGGCAAGATAAAACACAGATTTTTTTTTGATTATTGTATCATTTTTCATTATTTTTTTTTGGTTCATCTCAGGCAATCACACGTATTTTACAATTAAAAAATCGATTTCCGAAATTTGAGAGGATTTTTTAACCTTGGCCGAGACTCTCATTTTTCTCCTTTTTCTCAACAAAAAATCAAAAAAAGTATATATTTTCCAGCCATGGCAAAAGTGGAGGTGCAGATACGGCACTGTTTTTGTTGCGGTCTTCACATCGGTTCCTTCTTCGTCGCCATCTACTCCCTTCTCGTGTTCCTGTTGCTCGGAACCCTGGCTTTATGGGGTCTGTCGGATCTGACCCAGAATGGCGACAAAATATACGATGATTGCGAGAAAGAGGCGCTCGGCGTCATCCGAACTGGTGGGTTGCGATCAACTTCCTCATACTTTATTAAACAATAAAAACGCCATTGAAAAATTGGAGTTTTTTGATGGATTGAACTATGTCGATGAGTAATTAAAAAATTCCTTCGGCGATTTTTGATCGAAATTTCTGGAATTTGCTTTTGAAAAATTGAGAATTTTTTGATGATTTATGAAACAAGGCACAAATTGTGACTAAAATTATCCGAGAGACATTCGATTTTTTGGGAGAGTAAAAATATTTTAACCGTAAGATTTTTGCCCAAAAATTTTATTTTACAAGTCAAAAAAATAAATTTTTTCTTTATAAATCATAGGCTTTCGACCAAAAATTTGAAGATTTTCGCCCAAAATTTTTTTGTCATAAATTGAGAAAAAATTTTAAAAAATGGTTTTTCTGATTTTTTGGCCCAAAATTTGAAAAAAAAAATTCGAAAAAATTAATTTTTCGATTAAAATTTTTACTCACAAAAAATCAAAAAAAATCCCAAATTTTCCATTTTTCAGACAACCGAAAGCTCCAATTCCACGAAGGCCACACCACCGTCATCGTGGAGGACTCTAGTTCTTACCATTGCTCCTTCGGTCTCTATACCGAGGAGTTAAAATTCGCTCAGGATTGTAAGAAAATAAATTTCCCTCTATTTTATAACTTTATAAAGAAAAGCTTTACTATTTTTTATTTTTAACATTTTTTCAGCCAGATTCTTTGCCCTCTGGTTTGACATTGGCCTGTACGCTCTTCTCGTTCTGGCTTCAGTGATCCTACTGGTCGGTCTGTGTGTTTACAACCATTTCTTCTTGGTCCCATGGATCTTGTTGATGGCTGTGGAGGTTGTCAGAGGGGTTATTTCGACTGTTCTGATCTTTGTTTACAGTCATGTAAGTTTATGAAAATTTTTGAAAAAAAAATCAAAAATCTTATTTTTTTACTTTTTTTCTTATTTTTCTAAAAAAATTTCAGGGAAATCTTGCGCGAATTGCCACAGGCATCTTCTTCCTTGGGGTCCAGTGCTTCCATGTGAGTTTTATTGCTCATTTTTTACTAATTTTACATAACTTATCCCTCTAAATTCGTGTAAACAACGTATTTTCAGATCTCAATTTTGCTGGTGATAATTGCCAAAGCGCAGAAGATCTACAACCGAAAGCACGGAATCCCCACTGAACCGGTAAGTTTTCACCAATCTTTCGGGTAAAAACATGCCCAAAGAGGGACCTTGTTTTCGAGTGCAGCGAGTAATCACGTCTAATTTTGCTGACAGCTGAAAGAAAGGGCGATTTTTTACTATCCGAAAAGTTAGTTCCATGACCCAGATTTTGAATGACTCAATAAAGACGATTTTTTTGGATAAAAACTGCTAAGAAACCGAACCAATTTCAGAGCGTATTTTACATTAAAAAATCAAGTTCCAGCAGAGCATTCATGTTGACAAAACTTGTCGCAAATAAAGACGAAATTTTCATCATGTATACGGCAGATTTTTAATGAATTCATTGCAAGGATAGGAGGCTTTTGAGGCCAAAATATTCTCAAAAGTTTGTGGTGCTAGCATGGTACAAAATTTGAAATTCACTGTGTAAAACAGCTTCGGGGAAAAATTCTATGGATTTTTGAAAAAGCGTAGAAGAATGGGAGAATAGAGGTCCACAAAAAAATCAAAATTTCCTGGCTGAAAAATGCTGCAACTCGAGCAATTGTCCTTAAAAATTTTAAACTTCCCTCGAACCTCTTTTTCCCGTATTTTACCCTTTAAAAATTTGTACAAATTATTTTCAGTACGATCACCGAGTAGTCTACCCTTCCACCACCCTTCCTTCCAACTACGCTTACTCTCCGCAAGTCCCTCGTTCGGCCCGTGATCCCTATCCTTACTCGGACTACTCTCCCTCGCAGAAGAATGCTCCGTATTACGACCAGACATACGGTACTCATCGGTATTAAAAACGGTACCTCACGAATTTCTCAATGCTTCTACTTATTTTTTGATCCTTTTAAAAAGTGTTAAGGATACTTTTTGATACTTTTTAAAAGTGTCCAAGATACCTTTTGATGCTTTTTAAAAGTGTCAAGGATACTTTTTGATACTTTTTAAAAGTTCCAGGATACGTTTTGACACTTTTTAAAAGTATCCGAAACAATATTTTTACGTCTTTTGAAGGTACATTTTGATACTTATAAAAAGTGTCAAGGATACTTTTTGATACTTTTAAAAACTGTCACAGATACTTTTTGATACCTTTCAAAAGTATCACTGATACTTTTTGATCTTTTTTGAAGGTATCCCATTATTTTTTTCTTGCATTTCCAAAATCAAGGACTCTTGTTGCCATATCGAGCTTTTCTCTTCGCTTTGTAGATATCTAACTCAAATATTTGAATAAACAGAATTTATAAAACAAACAAAAGTAAAGTTATATCGGAAGTATGAGAGTAATACATTGTAAAGTATTTATTACGCGAAGGTAACACCGGAATGCGCAATACTTACTAATTGGAGCGGAAAAACAATTTTAAAATGGTAATGAGTAGAAAAATGAAAAAAACGGAGAGAATCGTTGAGCAAGATTTGCAAAAAATGGATGCAAAAAGTAGTTGGATGATACAATTGGATGAAAAAACTAGAGTTTATGGATTACTAGTTAATTTCGAAGTAAAATATAGTAAAATTTAGCTAAAATACGAATTAAAAAAAGCGAAAAAAAAACCTTTTTTTGATGAAAAATAGATCAAGTATAATATCGAATAAAAATTTTTTGTTCTAAATATTTACTAATTGAGATTTTAAAGCTATAATTTTAGCACTTTTAATATTTTTGTGGCAGAAATTTACAAGTTAAAGCTGATTTTTTCAACTTAAAAAATTGAAAGCAAATGGTTTCAAGTGGGAGAAAGCTTACAATATAAATTAAAAATACAAAAAAAGATCAAATAAATGTCATCCAAACACTGAATAGAGCAAGAGGAAGTAAAGAAATGCGCAATGAATAGGCGGACCGTTTCACTAACATCCAATCTTCTTCTTCTTCGTAATAATCCGACTGGGCGTCGTTGTTTTGCTCGTAGGAGTCTGGAAAGTGAAAAAAAAATATTAAAAAATCTCGTTTTTTAGCTGAAAAATAAAAAAATATATCGTAATTTATGAATATAAAAAGAATATTTTTAAAAAGAAAATGAATTTTTGATGAAAAAAATAAAAAAAATTTTTTTTTTGTAAAATACGGTCGGTCTATCTCCAGCTCCTTTAAACCTACCCAATTTATTGAAAACAGCATCCTTTCCTGGTTGTTCCGTATAGACCCTCGACTTCTCATGCTCAACAACAGCTCTTGAAGCCTTGCTTCCCACATGGGCTTCGTGATACAGCTCATCGGAATGGGGGTGTTGCCCTTCCCCGTGCTGATATGGATGAATGTCGTCTTCGCTCTGGACTAAATCATCATGACCTTCTGAAAATTAACGGGGTATAGTTTTTGAACATACTATGCTGTAGAAGCCACATTAGAGAGGATAAAATCAGAAGAAATTACTGAAACATCCTGAGTTTTTGAGGCCTGAACTCGAACATATTTTTTTGCTCAATGTGACCTAAAAATCTTGCCCTTATCTTCTGCAGAACACAAGCTAAGAACTTGGTATGTTCCTCAGGAAATTCCAACCTAAATGTGGGCTCAATTTTGCATATAACTTTTAGGGTGAACCAAAAAAAATCCAATTTTTATTTATCTTTTTGTCCAATTGTTTTTTTACTCATGGCCCTTTCTTCCTACTAAAAAACGATATTTTCAGCGAATAATGATGCTCTATAGAATAAATAGCGTTATCAACTACTGTATTTTGAATTTCACAACATTCCAAGACTCCCAAAGCAACCTACTATAGCCCTCTTTATTCGCATCATAGTACCCATCATTTTCATTTTTCGCCTCCTCTTCCTCGTTGATTTCTTGATTTGCCTCGGTCGTCGGAACTTCCGTCGTGGTTGTCGAAGATGTTGGGACATATTTGAACTGACAGAGATCTCCATAGTACATATCAATGAAACACATGCATTTGTGGACCTCCGGGTCGTTCCTTTCGTAGGCACAGACACCTCCATTCAGGCATTTTACTTTGCATTCAGCTTGGTTTTTCATGAAAACTAGTGCTGATGAGGAGGATGAGAAGGAGAGAAAAAGGATGGCGAACAATGTTACAGTTGATTGGCGGGGAAAACTTGACGAGGCCATCCTGGAAACACAGCAACAAATCAGTATTATAGCTGTTTGTTACCAAAAAAAATCGAAAATCGCAAGTCTAAAGTTCAAGTCCAAAAATAGCGTCAAAAGTTTGGGGATATAATAGCAAAAAGATCGTTTTATGATGAGAGGAGATACCCAATAATATAAAAAAGCTATTAACACAAACATTACTTTACTATACGCGTAAAAAGACCGTTAGCGAAACGACAGGGTAGAGGGTGCTTGTTCAAGAAATTTCAGAGGGAAATAGTGGGGGTGCGACGCTCAGCCTTTGATCAAAGTTGGCACAAACATACTGCAGTTTGAAAGTAAGGTATGAGTTTTCATAGCTTGCGCTTTGAAAAAGGTATCGACGCTCTGGAGTCGAAAACAGCCAAAATTTAACTTTTTTTTGCTATTTGGACGACGCAAAGTCACCATCCTGTTTGATGACTTAGAGCACGATTTCTGTTGATTTATAGCAGAAAACTAGCTTCTTTACACCGGATTCCAAACGTTACAGGCAAAAAAGATCCTTTCCCAACGCGTCTTTACTAATCTTCCGCCAAATATCCATACTAGCCATAATACTAGCCATAAATATCCATACGGCAATACTGGCTAAAATTATGAGGAATTTAAAAATCGCCTAGAGGGAAAATACATTTTTGAAAAATTTGAAGCACATCTGAAATCCCGTCTTCGAGCAATTCCCTTGCAAAATAAAGCCGCTTATAACATAACGCCTATTTAACGTACTCTCCCGGCGAAAAATCCTGGGAATTTCTCGAGGCCCCGAATTCTGTTCAGATGCGACGACCTCGTGCGTTGCGCTGAATTATCGCTCTAAAAAATGGTAATTTGTTTTACGAATTATCGCACAAAACTCACTCGCAGCAAATTCTCAGGACCTTTTGCCGCAAAATTATCAAACCATCTGCACCTCCCGGAAGGAACTCCGCCTAAAAATAGCCACCTTTCCCTTTGAACTGGCGACTTTTCAACGCTTTAGCTAGCAAAAGCAACCCAATCCAAAGACATGCAATCCGATCCGTCCAACAATACGGGGATCGCCTGCAGAAAAAAGACAGCTGATCCGCGTTATAATCGATATAAAAATTATCTATCCTCATTTGATTCCTCGCTGCCTCCGGGGTTTTTTGCTTTGCCTTATCCATCAAGCCCCCTCCCCCTTCCGTGACAAACAATCAGATGAATGAATGGTCCTTTAAAAGAGATCACTTCGAGTGACCAGTTGTTTTCGAAAGGGCCAATTACAACGCCCGAGGCAAGGGATTTCGTTGCTTTGTTTTCTTGGCAAGAAAAAGTTTAACAGCCTGTTAACAAGATGACACATAAATTTTGGAGAACAAAGTTGAGAGGGCTGAACCTTGGTCTGTTTTTTAATGTAATAAATTAGAGGGAGGATGGGGGGAGAATTGGTATTGGATAAGAAGGTACTTGGGCTGTACGAGCTCTGCAATTAAACAAGATTGCAAAGAATGGACGGCAAATTTTGGGGTAGTATAAAACAGGGCCCTGCAGGGTGGCACTAATGGGTAATCGTGCTAGTTTTGGACGATTACTCTAATTGTAGCAGTTTGAATCTTTTCAGTTGTTGATAGAATACTCTTCGTTGGCCACCGATCAATTCCTGAAAATCTTGGCTTTTGCTTTCCAAGCAAAAGAAAGATATTCAGAGATCAAGAATAGTAGGTAAAATTAGAAAAATTGGACTGACAAAGCCGTTGTTTGGCCACAAATCTGCGTATCTTGTCCAGTAAAAAATTTTTTTTTCTTGCATGGACAGCGTACTGCCCTTGGCAAATTATCTTTTGTCAGTAAGAAGATTTTCAAGAATACAGCGCCTTCCCGGAAACTTCAGGACGTCGATAGTAGGCCTCAAATGGGAAATCGCTTAAATAAGCCTGTAAAATACAAGGCTTCTAAAATTACAACAACGTTTTTTCTTATTAGTAATCCCACCTTATTGGCCGCCGCGTTGCATGTAATATATTTTGACACAGCGAAAATCGGCAAGAGTGAAAAACGAGAAGTCATCTTGAAATTCTACCAAGATTGATCGGAAAGACAGAAAAACAAATATAATAATAAATAGATGAGTCCGAACACCCGACAACTCATGTTATAAAAGATTTCCGGAAGTCCGAGACCTGATTGATAAATGGATTGGCCATAATAAGGTGACAAAGATCACATAAAACTCTTTATTTATGTGTCTCATTGGCCATAATAACTCAAATTCCTTTACTATACGTCTGAATGGCCAAGATGAGTTCAAAAAATCGATCTTAAAATAAAATTCGCTCCTGATTTTTATAAAAAAATTTGAAATTTTTGTATATTCAAATTTTGAAAAGTTTTAAAAAATACTTCACGTTGTCTTGGCGCATTCTTTAATAAACTTTTTGGCTCCGTAAAAGAAAAGAAAATCATTCCCTAAGGGGCTTCTTGCGATAAATTTGCATATTATATCATCTTCGGGCGTTTTGCAGCAGAAAATCTCTTTCTTTTGATAAAATCTCCCTTATAAGGTCACGAAAACTTAAAAAATTGAACCCCAAATACCCCCACCTCTCCGATATAGCTGACCCCAAGGACAATTGCCCCGGGCTTAAAAGGATTTTTATGTCATAAAAGGCGAGAAATTATGGCAATAAAACGGGCGGAAAGGAATAAACCGTGCCATTTACTTTATCGCCGGCTGGTCGGCCGGAACAAACACGTGAAACGTGGGGATGAACAGGTCTAGAAAGGTCAATGCACGAAATAAAAAATGAGTTCGACTGGGAAAGTAAAAAGTTGTAGGAATTAGTAAGGTCGACCAAAAAAAGGTTCGAGCAATTTTGCCGAAATTTTGAAAGGGAAAATTGCCCTCCAGGGAGAAGAATGGAGAGTATTTTGTTCAAGGATCAAGGTGAGATAAGGCGAACTTGTAAGAAACTACTTCTTGATAGTAATTTCGCTTTTACTAGCCTTAGATTATATAGTCATCAAAAGGTCATGATGAATATAAAATAGATGTCAGGCCGGGGAACATGCCTTCACAGTTGACGAAATGGTGGCAACATATTTATAATGGGATAAAAAAGATATGTAACGGTCATCTGCAACTTTTTTGAAAGTTTTTTTAGTTACTTTAGAGTTACAAAAAATAAAAGTTCCAAAGTTTGTACCAAAAAAACCAAGGTAAAATTTAGTCAAAGCTATATGAGAAAAGGCTCTATATTCGTCTATCGTCACCCAGAAGTTATCTGTCTGTGATCTACATGACCTAAAATGTAAAAAATCAATCACAGGCAAGGCATACAAAATTTGATGACTCTTGCCAAAACAAGGTAAATTCTGTCAATCAAGCAGTCACTCTCGGCTCTATACCAACTCTACAGTAATATTGAAACCCCCAAGCTCGTAAACTACAGGGTGTTTCAAGAAATTTGGCAGAAACTAGTTGCGAATATTTTTGAGCTCTTGCTAGTTATCGCAGAAATTCTTTTTGTTTCTAAAACTTGACAGCGGGCGGTTTTGTACTGAACAAAAAAAAAAATTTTTTTCGTCGGCGGAGAGGCCAGTTCTCGGCGGAGGCATTTAGGGCCTTTTTTTAAAATCACACCTTATTACATCGTGGAAACTCTGTTACAGTGGCCAAAATCATGTTTACGTTAAACCTCCGTGGATTTTGCGGTATGCTTTTTTTTGTTGTCGATTTTCGCTCATCCGCGGAGGCACGGCGGAGACCTCAGGTTTAGTCTTAGGAGTCCGGGAAAAAACTCAGCTACAAGAATCCATCACAGCAACACCATTTTTCTTATTTTTTGATCCGGCGGACACATCGGCGGAGGTTTCGGCGGAGGCTTTATCAAAAGAGTCAAAATTTTGTTTTGACCCTTTGAGAAAGCCTCCGCCGAATCCTCCGCCGGGGGAAAAAAGTACAAAATTTTTGCCCTCTGTGCATCGGATGACAACAAAAAATCGCCCCAACCTTTTTTCCAACATGGATTTGCAAAAACCGAGGGCCCAAAACAAAGTCCGCCGAAATCTGAGGTCTCCGCCGCGCCTCCGCGGATGTTGCGTAAAATCGAAAACGCAAAAAAAGCATACCGCAAAATCCACGGAGGTTTAACGTAAACATGATTTTGGCCACTGTAACAGAGTTTCCACGATGTAATAAGGTGTGATTTTAAAAAAAGGCCCTAAATGCCTCCGCCGAGAACTGGCCTCTCCGCCGACGAAAAAAATTTTTTTTTTTGTTCAGTACAAAACCGCCCGCTGTCAAGTTTTAGAAACAAAAACAATTTCTGCGATAACTAGCAAGAGCTCAAAAATATTCGCAACTAGTTTCTGCCAAATTTCTTGAAACACCCTGTACAAAACATTTTCCACCAAGCCCCTGAAATCACCGTGAAACACAAGGATCAAAGCCCGCTTCCGAAGACGAAACCCCCCGAAAATAACGCCGGAGGTTTCGACGGAGGTAAAATGCGGGGGGAACGCGACGAATGCAAAAGATATGGCCCTCCGAATACCTCCAGAGTTAACCTCGCCGCCGCTCTTCCCACTGATCTTCCCGAGAGTGGAAATCGAAGAGTTTCTCCGGGCGGGGTGAGGGGCCGGTCATTATTACAACCGAAATCCCTCGTTTTTTGCGAAAAGAAAAAGGTTTCCGAAGGATCTGCGAGAACAGGCTTGTTGTCTAATCTTTTCTCCCCCCGAGGTCCGAGCCCCGAAGGCGGGCCATAAAACCCGGGTTAACGAATCGCAAATACAGCCAAAAAGCCGGGGGATTTCATGGATCTCGGGCGGTGATTAAAATCGAACGAGCTGCCGGTTTGAGACAAGAAATGGAAGGTTGTAAAAAGTCGTGTAGGTGGGAAATTTTGTTACAGTAAACTTTGGAAGAGGAGATATCTCGTTGAAATCAAAAAATTGGATTTTCAAAACTTTGGCATGACTTATTTTTCAAATTACAGTAACAAGTCAAAAAAGTCACTCCACCGGAAAAAACTTGAAGTTACAGTAATCCATAGTACTCATAAGTCCCTCAAATGCCAATATAAGAAACAAAGATCTGTATTGCTTATATTCCAACAGAACGCCAAAGAAAACATTCGGATTCATCACCTTTCACCTTAATTTAGACATCCACCATCAAATTTTCCAAAATTGAAAAAAGTTTTGTTACAGTAATCCTGTCAACATAACCTCACTTTTTAACCCTCTAAATTTTCATAGGACAAAATTTTCGGCCTCAAAACCCTAGTAAAAAATCAAAATTAGCAATAATTTATATTATTTTAGCTCCTCATACGAACAAAATTTCAAACTTTCTCCAAAATAAAATCCGACGACTTCAAGAGCTCTCCGATTAATATTCGCCTTCAAAATAAGCTGTTTATTGTTCACTTTCTTCACGCTCCACATATCCGCCGTTAAAATATCTAATTAGAGGCATTTGCAATGAGAAGCCTCTTATAAACAAACAAAAAAAACTTCGAAATTCCCCAAATTTCGCATGTGGTTTTAATTAATCGTGGCGGGGTTTTCTTGATTCCGTTGCGTAATGCGGTTTATTTCTGGATCAGAAATTAAAAATATGAGATTCTCCAAAATCTTTGATTTTTATCTCATGGATAATATAAAAAAAATAAAATTTAGGGTTTTACTTTTATTTACATCGACTTATAATTACAAATACATGATACACCCGTATTTAGAGGGCGTTAAATTGAATTTAACCTGCCAGAGATTTGAATATTCCATATTCTTGAGCCAAAAATCAAAAAATTCTTGGAAAATTGTTGAAAATTTAGAAAATAATGTCCCAGCACTTTTATCTAAACCTTTTAGGGCTCCCTTTCGATATGTTAAGGTGCTCTCTTCTCCATCCAATACTATTCGAAGCATCAGAATCATCAGTGAAGTCAGCCGAGAACTTGGTGCTATCTTTTTGTCCGGGTGCTGGTAGATCTTCTTCATCATCGCTGTCATCAGTGATATCATCGCTATAATCCTCATTCTCATACAGTCTACTATGCTCATGCAACGAGGCCAAAGAAACATCACTTCCCGTGACCAGGAAACTTCCAATTCTACAAATAAATCAAAAATATTATACTAGACCTACTATAATATAAAATTGATCCAAAAAGTATGCAAAAACAACTCACGCATCCGTATTTCTACATTTCCTGAGCGGTGTGGTCCTCGAGTTAAGCTGTCTACAATTATCGGCCAGATATTGTCGAAGTTTTTCCAATTCTGCGCGGGTCGTTTCTTCCGCTTGTTCTCGATATTCCTCTTCGGTGAGCATTTTGTGGACTGGTTTGGGCTTCCAGATGTAACGCATTAGTCGACTTGGCTTTCCAAAGAACCGATGGAGACCTGAAAAATAAAATAAAAAGTCATTCATTGCAAAAATTTAAAATTTGTAAGTTATAATGGATAAATTTTACCAAAAAAATCTATAAAGGCCATTTCAAAGACAATTTAAAATTGTATTTATATAGCCAATAGTCTGTATAAGTCCCAATCAAACGTATATATCAAAAAAATCAAATTATGATACCATTAACCCGCTAAAACTTCCAATTTCCCCTCTCAAACCTAAAGCAATATCCGAAAATCTTCAAAATCAAAAAAACTTAGCTATAAAACTTTATTATCAACCGTACCATTAAAAGTAGTGACCAAAACAAGTATTGTTCCCACCGAGAACACCGCGGATTGCGAGGCCATTAGCACCATTCCCACAGCAATTGCCTGGAGAGTCCATTGGAAAACATTCTTCAGTCTGACATTGTTGCTGACTCCGGAGACATAACAGACGATCACAGATGCCACTGCAGCTACAACCGTGTAGATCCCGAGGAATTTCCAATGAGTGTAAGCCAACTCATATAAGTTGTAATAGCCAAAGTAGTAGGCATACGAAATCGCTGGCCATAACATCCATTCCAAAGGGACGAAAAGTATGGATCTGGGCAAAAAACGGCGTAAAAAGAGGGCTAGGAGTATTATTGATGCGAACACTCCAATAAAAGCCGAGCTGGTGTAGACGGAAACGGTTCGATGACAGATCTCCTTGGAGAGCAAAAACAAGGTGCAGGCGACGATGTAGGCGGCAAATCGATAAATATTCACAGCTAAAATACAAAACACATAATTATCCTCATATTTCAAGATTTTCGCAAAAATTTTTTATATTATTTTAGCCATCAGATATAATACTTCAGCTAAAATAACATCTAAAATCCCCAATTTTCACACACACAACAACTCACGATCATAATCCACGGAGATTGTGTAGCTTCTAGAAGTGGAAACCCCCACTATTCCGTTCATTGCAGGGATGGTATCACCCTTTCTCGTTCTCAGCATCCAATCCAAAATATTTGTTATACTGAATTCAGCTTCATCGTGTTCATAAGCCTCACAATTTGGCCATAAATTTACATGAAGGTCTGAGGGCACTTTGTCGAGTTTGAGTTTAGCATCAGCAAAAGGGAAGAGGTAACTGGGATGATCGACGACGAATTTGTATACCTTGGTTTGAGTCCTTCCATTGGATGCAACTTCCCTGGATTGACCGATTGTTACTGAAAAGGTCGGATTACAAAAATAAACCTAACTGACTTCTAACTGATTGTGAGCCTATCAACTACCAAATCTACCGTTTCAATACGTTTTCAGCATAGAATTATATTGTAGTAGATACATGAATCGAAAAAAATTCCAAAAACACAAGAACAGTACACTCAGCAAATATTTTTCAGCTTTCCAAGACCATTTCAGAACTCTTAGAAATTACTGATAACGTTGAAGTGTTTACATCTCAAATTAATTACCTAAAATCAAAAGGAACCAATCAAAATTAACTTACACTTGATTGCACAGTCATCTGCATCTGCATTTGCTCGAGTTCTGTAAATCGAGGCAAAGAAGATGATGCCCCAGGTCAGCATCATGACGCCTGAAATTAATGTGGACATTAAAATAGGAAATTTTAAAAATTAAATTATTTTAGGTAACAAAACAAAAAAATCGTTGAAAACTGGAGAGAAAAGGTGCTTCAGGGCTAAATTTAAGATTATAATATAGAAATAAGAACATGGGAGCTATTATTATGTGATTTACAATGATTTTTTAGGTTTTACTTTTTGAAACTCACATAAAGTTATGATAAACTCTCGTAAAAACTGCCGAAGAACATTTTTCTCGATTTTCAAAAGTTTCATCGCAACAGTTACTCCAAATCGAAGTTAGTTTACAATTTAGGAAGCAATTAACAGAATACTGTCTTGGAAAAACCATAAAATTACTCCTTTTCCAATCAGAAAGCGCTCGTTAATCGCATGTTCAACTACATTTTACTCCGCCTTTCCCACATCAAACAAAGTGATCGACGGAAACAATGATGAGTGGCGACTTGATAACGAGCTTACTTTGATAAAAGACCGCTCACATGTTGAAAATGTAGTTTGCGATATTACACTAGTACTAGAAGATCGGGAAATAAGTTGAAAAACGTAGGTTTGAAGAGTAAGATTGCAAAAGAAATAGTTGGATAACACGTTGATTTTGGTAATGACATCAAAATCTTTTGATTTCAAACAATTTTCACCTTGTGTTCATCGAAAATACTATATTATACATGATGAAAACTTAATTTTTAATGTAAACCTGCAAAACAAAGGTGAAAATTCGCAAAAAATATAAATAACACTCCAAATTATGATCAAAATCAGACAAGCCCATCAACATTTTAGCGAACGCTTATTTTGAAACCATCAAATAATATTTTTGGCACTTCGCAACAACAAAATGTCACTATTGATTGGATCAAGAAATCTTTATTTTACGACAAAAAATAGCATTATTGCGTGATTAGCATTGTTCCCAACTGACTTCCACCCTTGATTTTAGTTAAACGTATTGCTCGGAACAGTGTGGACCACATTTCCAAACGAATTTCCACCACCCGAGTTGCTGGCCATCGTCGATTTGACGCGAATTCGGATCTTCTTGAGGAGGATCCGTTGAATACTCCGGTTGATTAGAAGGTAGACTATTGGTGGAGAGCCTGCAGAGAACGTTTTATTAGATTTTTAGGGGATTGATATATTTTTTGATAATTTTTATTTACCTTGCACTAGAAGCCACAAGATGTGACTAACTTTAGCGATCCACAAAGGCAGCGGCAAGAATTGAATGAAGGTATAACCGGTGGCAGCTACAGTGATGCAGGCACTGATTATACAGCATTGAATGAACAGCTGAAAAAAAGGTTTTTATAGGGTTTTCGACACTTATATATTGTACTGTCAGATGATCTCATTTTTTGTCAAAAATCAGTTTTTTATTGGAAAAAAATGCGTTTGCCTTATAGAAGATGGAGTAAACTTACACTGAAATCCTTTTTCGAAGTTACTGAGTTACTTTTATTCCTCAGTAAGGCTCGGTTTTTCAGGAAGAAGACGAGGTAAATTGTAGGCAGTATAATGCTGAAGGACAGGTTGTCTGCGGTGTGAATTGGCATGGAATACTGAAAACGAACTTTATAAGGGATTTCAGGCGTATGCCAGACATCTTTCCTTATTTTAGAACATAAATTTAGTCATCGTAATATCAAGGTATTACAGTGACGGACCTGATCCGGTTGCAAAAAATTTACCATTTTGCATACGGGAAGTATCAAAAAATGTAGCAAAATGCCTCCTCTACAACTAAAGAAACTCTGTTTTGAACCTTTCCCTCACAAAAAGAGCGGGCGCGCTTTTGAAATTGGAGTTTTTTCACTTGGAGAGGGAGCTATTTTGTTATATTTTTTGATACATCCCGGGTGCAAAATGGCACGTTTTTTGTCACTGGATCAGGTCCGCCGCTGCAGTCTAAAATAATATAAAATTTCTATCCTTTTATGTAGAACTTACAAGGTTGTTTACATCCACCACACTCTCGATGAATGGATTGAACGTCCAGCTTCCCAAGATGGGAGAGTACGCGACCGGGGTTCCAAAAATTGAAGATACTAGGCCAACTAGCAAGGGGATGGACAGCCAGAAGTAGACGCGATTTTTTCGGAACCAGTGTTCCTTATCAGTTAGCGAGGCAATGCGGTTCAGCGCTAGGATTACCGCGGCCCAGGAATATGCCATCCAAACTCCTAAAAGGTCAATTGTAATATAATTTTTGTGGTGTAAAGACTACTAAGCTTTAGATTTGATGGTAAAATAGGCTTTGCCGAAATTGGAAATAAAGTTTCTTACCAAGTAGTACAGTTCCAACAATATTATTCATCAGTCTTGCATCACAATACATGACTCCGTAAAAGCTGAGAAATCCGGATAAAAGACCGGTGATTGGGATGGTAATGCAGTCGTAGCAGGCCATCTGGACCATGATCTTGTAGCAGGGATTGGCGTAGAGCTCTTTCCTGGTCATCGCGTACAAACATGGGACGTACAGTACCTAAAGTAATATAATCTTAGGTCGAACTTTTAGTTTAAAGTGACTTTTCCGTCGTATCGTTGTTTCCATTTACGTCTTCCGTAACAATGTTCTTGGAAACTTGCAGTTTTACAGTAACATTTGTAATCCTCAAAATTCCAGAAATTTTCGAAGTAAATAACCTTTCCGATGTTTAAAATTTCAAAAACAACGTGGAACAAAATAGTGTAAAATTCAGTTTCATGAACCTACATTTCTTGACACATGTTAATAATTGGACTTTTGGGGAAAAATATCCGAGATTTTTAAGACCATTTTTAAGACTTGAAGTCATAAAGGACAAAATTTTCATTGACCACAAAGAAAATAGGGCATTTGTAATTGAGTGGAATGCTAAGCCATGGGTTTAATTGCCGAAGTACTTTTGCATTTTTTGCTCAAAAAATTTTCCGTATTTTTTGTGGTTATGGCAAATTCGCCTTCTCAAAAGCAGCTCAAAGTTTTGCCAAGCCGGAAATAATGAGTAACTGCTGCGGTAAACGCGATAAAACTATGAGAATACACAATTTCCCCGCAATTTAGCTTAATGGACCGTAAACATCATGTATAATTTGAGCTATAAAGCTTTCGAAAAGTGCTGGACGTATTCCTTGAACTTTCCTGTACATACTATTAGCGATAGGTCAGATACTAAATCCAAACGCAAATAATGGCAAATTCGCCTTCTCAAAAGCAGCTCAAAGTTTTGCCAAGCCGGAAATAATGAGTAACTGCTGCGGTAAACGCGATAAAACTATGAGAATACACAATTTCCCCGCAATTTAGCTTAATGGACCGTAAACATCATGTATAATTTGAGCTATAAAGCTTTCGAAAAGTGCTGGACGTATTCCTTGAACTTTCCTGTACATACTATTAGCGATAGGTCAGATACTAAATCCAAACGCAAATATAAAAGAAACCAAGGTGTTTAGCTAGTTGTTGAAGGCCTTGTTGAAGCCCTGACGTCTTAGCTCCTTCAGCGGCTGTTCAACGGTCTTTCTACGAGAGAGTACGTAAAATGTGGAGGGTCTGCCAGACAGAAAAATTTTCTTTCTGTCTGGCTGACTCTTCGTATTTTACGTACTCTTTCGTAAAGAAACCCGTTGAACATCTCGTTGAAAACGGCTAAAATTTTCGAGGACTAGACGAATAGTCACAATATTACACTTGCGATTCAGCTGAATTTGCCTCAGAAACCACCTAATTGTAAAATCGGAAAATCTGGTCCTCCTTACCATATAGACCACACTGACACTGAACAAAAACAGCCCATAAAAGGGATGTCGTCGCTCGCTCTCCGGAATCGCACTAGCATTGTATTGTGAGCAGTTCCAATGGGCCTCAAAGAACTCATGTCTTCGTATCATCAAATCCATGATCACAGCACGCCTCTAGCGAATTCCTAACACAATAAGCGACTTTTTACCGGCGTTCTCATCCAGTAGCGTGCCGGGAGGCGAGTCCACGCCCCTTGGCCGAATTAAACTCTGTTTTCACGGGGAGTGACATATGACATCCAGACATAAAGAGGGGTTTGCTGGAAATGGGCCCCTTTGCAATATTGTTGGAACTGTATTCTCCAGGCAGATTTAATGGTAAAATACGGTCGTAGAAACATTACAGTCCAAATGAACATAGCAACAAATTATATTTACAAAGGCATGATTGGTCAAGATAAAGTAATGAAAATTTTTGTCATGTTATGTGTGGAAATTTTTGTTTTACTACGGTAAAACCGCAATATGCTTAATTTTCTGTAAAGTCAATTAAATTACTGATCTGGAACAAACTTGACTTTGGTATTCGTACATATGTTATCATGCTTTATTAAGCCTACTTCTAGAATTAACTAGACGCACGCCAGGCAAAAGGCACGTTTAACCCGGAAGAACAGGTTTGAGTGATGCAGTGAAACAAGCTACACCCTCATAAACGATGTGCTTGAAATTGGTAGAAACAGCAAGCCTTCCATTACGATAATATTTCCTTTTCATATGGCACTTTTTTATTCTTCTGACCTCAATTAGTGCCAACAGATGAAAGTGGAGACTTTTTGGCGAGAAATCATGGCCGGGCTATGGACTGGCCTCATCTCTAGCGCTTCCAAAATGCACTTACTCTGAATATCGGCCCCTGAGAATAGAGAGCGAAGAAATTATGCGAGGCTAGATAAAACCTTTAAGCGAATTTTAAGAGTGTCTGGGGTCACTCCATAAGTATGCATCGGTCTGTCGAGAAAATAATGTGCACAGTTTTTCTGGGCTATTGAGATATTTTCTGCCAGAATCACCGACTTTTATTCCTATGAATTACCGAATCCTTTCGTGATAAAATATGTAGTTTGTATAATCATCAAAAATTTTAGGGGTTGGATAACCCCTAAAATACAGTATCCTAATTTTTTTTTATATCTTCTTAGTCACTTGACAGGGGTTTTTAAAAGTGCTTACATAGTTAGTCGACATACCTATACAGGATTAAAGACACAGAAGGTTCCCTTTTCCCACTTGAGTTCGTGCATAATGTAAACGGCACTACTACAGTAACATGATAATAGTGCATCGTTTTTCCTTCTAAACAATGTCTCATTTGGATCGCATCGTCGACCAGAAAATGAATGGCGTCGCAGCAATATCTTTTATTATCTTCTGTACTTCACTTCACCGACCTGATCGCGACATTGCGCTCATTGTTTTCACCGACAGACCTGACATTACGGAAGTAAAGCCATCGTACGATTGGCATTCGACAGTAATGTATGTAATTATTTTCATAAAGTGCATCAACATTGTTTCTTTTTTGCACAGTGATTTTCAACTTTTCCCACGCATGTTGGCGAACGAATCTCTTCTTGCACAATACTCACTTCAAAGAACAGCCGTTTGCAACGGTGGAAGTTCCGAAGAGATGTAGTTGAACTATGCTTAAGCGATATTTTGATGTACAGTGAAAACCCAAAAAAAAAGCAAATTGCACGGTGCAAAATGGGGGTTTTTTGTGGACGATGCGGCGTCCATAAACTTATGAAAATAATAATAGTCTCTACGTCCCAAACTACGTCAAATCTATAATTTTCAACAGTGTTGGAGGATTACCATTCTTGCCGACAAGTGCTTTCGTGATCCCATAATTGCTCCTAACTTTTGACGACGGAAGCGACACGTGGGATATGAGATATTTAGTATACTAATATTACAGTAGTCTGTCAGATAGCAACACTTTCGAGGGATAGGAAATATAAGTTTCAAACAAATGATATTAGGACTTACATTACTCGGGTAAGTACTAAGGTAATGGTTTTTTACATGTCAATCAGCACTCTTTATTTTTTGAAAGTTTGCTTTTTTTCTCATGTACCATAACAGAAGGTACATGAGATTTTTCATGTACCATAACAGAAGTTGTAACCAAATTTTTCAGAACTGTTTTCAACAGTACAAAAGTTTTTGAGTTTATTTCTGACATTACAGCATGCTTGCGGAGACTTCCTGTTTTCTGATTTAACGAACTTGGAATTACTCCGAAAGGACTCGAAATCAAGTGTGGTCATGTCACGACAAGCTTATGACGCTGTAATAAATTAATTCAATACCTAAAAGCAGACATCCTTTTAAGCCTGGATTACAGTAGCTACAGTAATCTTGTGGCAAAAAAATTTTATTTTGGCGTCTGGTGGAGATATAAGACAAAAATAATACTTCCACAATACAATTAATGGCTTTATATTTCGAATTTGTGTTAAAAATGTTTGCGTGACCGAACTCCCATACTAGTATTACTATATTAAACACAGCTATAGTACAAGCTTCTAAAATTTCCATGCGAGATCGTGCTCCTTGTAACGCATAGCAAGATGGGGAAGGCAGACAAAGAAAAAAGTGAAAAATACTTTGATCACACACATATAACAGTTTTTTTGACTAAAGTAGGGTGAAAATTGGTGGTTTCGATCAAAAATTAATGCTTTATGGCCAAATAACTTTCTCTTCGCCCAATCTTGGGTGCAAACAACTCAAAAGTCCAAACGACAGTACATACACAAGTTTATTAGAAATACAAAAGCAATAATTAACGTTATAAGAAATGTTAAAAGACGTTGTTCAAGACACAACAAACAAATAGAGTGCAACACAACGGTAATATTGCTCAACGGTTCATGGCTTGCCCCGACATTTACCGGTTGAAAATGACGGAATTCTTCATGTAGGAATTGGAATCGGTGAGATTTGTGAGACATTTTGGACCATTCAAACAGACCTAAGCGGTTGTCCAACAGTTCCTCAGGACGTTTCTCGCTTTCGCTTTAGGCACACACCTCGTGCTCTTGGAACGTTTAATATTTACAATACAACTATACCCCCCCCCCTTTCAGCATTTATTGGTAAAATACGTTGAATAAAAACAGGAATTATGGATTGGGCTGGACTGGACCGGGCTAGCCTAGGCTGGATTGGGCTAGGCTAGGGCAGGCTGGATTGGGCTAGCTCAGGCCGGATTAGGCTGGACTGGGCTAGCTCAGGCTGGATCGGACTAGGCTGGATTGGGCTGGACCGGGCTAGCCTAGGCTGGATCGGGCTGGGCTAGGCTAGGCTGCTCTGGGCTGTCACCTGCATTCCATTCAGATATTACTGTTCATATTAAAGTACATATATTCGTATATAAATATATAGGTATATGCATTGTTCCATGCATATACCTATACATCTAGATATACTTGCATACATGTTTTTATAATATATGCAAATATCCCTGCGACGGGGGGGGTCGGTTGGGCTAATCCCAAAAATTTCAAATTCAAATTTACCTTTCTTCCTTTTTTTCCAATTGATCCGGTTGTTCCATTTGTCCAATTGATCCATTGTCCATCGCTCGGTCGGTGCTGCCTGCAAATAAAACCCCCACCCCCAATTTTTAAAATAAAAAAAATACCCAAATTTACCTCCCTGGCCATTGATCCAACTCGGCGCATCTGTGCTTCGACGGTGCCCATCCATGTTGATGTATCTGTAAAAAAGCGACGCGACAAATGGATTAAACAAACGCGCAAAAACCCCTGGCCATCCAATTGATCCGTGTTCTTCCCCTCCTCCTCCGGCGACGTTGGTTTAACGTCGAAGCACGCTCCATCGTGCCCATTGATCCCACCGGCCCGGTCCGTCGATCATCTGCAAAAAAAGAGATTAGTTTCGGTAAATTTGTAATGGAAAGGGCCCATCCCCAGCTCTAGTTTAAGGTCACAGGGTCGGATCTGGAAACTCGAAGAGTTTCCAGATCAAAAGTGAAGCCGGATTCGCAGAATCCGTTAAGATCTGAAAGAAAAGATCATCTGGCCAAATCCATAGCAATCCAGATCCAAGAATCAGCACTCCAATTGTCAAAGCACCAGTAACCATCGCAAAACAGGCCAAAATTCTGAAAAAGATCTATCAATACGGTTAAAAACGGGGAAAATGTCATCAAAAGTATACAGAGTAACTTATCTGATCATGAATTCCAATGATTGCTCCCAAGATGCCCAGAATTGCCAAAATCTACCCGCATTGTTCTCAGTGGGCAACATGAAAATAAGACGACGAAAATGGCTGGATGATGTGAAAAAATGATAGGTTTGGTATCTGAAAATACAAGATAGAAAAATAAAGGTTTAACAAGCCCAAAACAAGTTTAAAATGCGTGAAATTGTGATAACCTGAAAGAAAAATCTTCAAAAAATTCAAAATTCGAAATACAGTATCCTAAAAAACCATAAGTCAATTCCCTTGCGACACAAAACACAAAAAAATCGCTCAAAATTACCAGAATGACAAAACAGATCCACAGAAAGGCCAGAAAATGTCTCACAAAGTCTTACGGATTCGAACTCGAGTTTCAAAACCACACAGCCCTCGGGCAATCGTAACGAGCGACCACTTCGACGACATTACTCACGAATTCCGACCTTATGTCGAACATTATGACCGCAAACCCTCATAATCTCTCAATTCTCATCATACCTTCAGCATTTCCACAATCAATCAAGACCCCAACAGTCATCGTCTCAAAAACCCTCAAAAGACCTCACAAATCGCAAGTAACGCACATTCAGACCTCAAAGGCTCTCTTCAAGATATTTTCACCCTCACAATCAGACTTTGTACAAATCCTCCGGCTCCATCCACATCCCTCATACATAATAGTCAAGGATGCCTCCAAGAAAGCCACAAAAACCTCAAAAACCCTCAGAAATCGCGTCATCACTCTCTTTGACAAGCAACAGTTCCGCAAGATCACACAAATCTCTCTCAGACCCTCACACCGCCACAAGCCCTCAATACACCCGACGAATAGAAATACACACTCTCAGATCCCAGATGTTCCCTCAAATTCACACATACTTGCCCCTCATCCCCCCAAAGATATTAATTTTTCAAAATTGCCCGTATACATCCGGCTCCATCGAAGGGTCCATCATCTTCCACCATCGGGCAGCAATTGGGACCGACCGACCGCATGCTCCAAGAAGAACCATTCCAACAGACGAAATTTCCGAATTGCTGGATGAGAAGATCTTTTTGGATTTTTTAAAAATTTTTAATCCATAGAATCGGTCGATTTTGAGTGAAATTTTTTGAAAAAATTAGAAAAAATGCTGGGGATACTGTATTGGTAGAGATTATTTTTTGGTTTTGCTGTGTGCGATTACTCTGTATGATGTGTAGTTCTTCCTGTGAATATATTTTAGGACTTTTTTTCAAAGAAATGTCGATTTAAAAAAAAATTTCCGCGAATTTTCCTTCTGAAGCCAATTCGAAATTTCATTTTGGGGTTTCCTCACAATGTCAGAAAGTGAGATGCCCAAATTACCTTCAAATCTTGCTCTTCTCGGTCTTCTTCTCCATTCCACGGACGTTTTTTTGTCAACCAAATTTGAGGCAATAAAAAAAGGAGTTTGAATATTCATAAATTAAGTGGAGAAGCCAAAAATTTTCAAACTAGCGTTGAAGGCAAGAAGCTTTAAAAAATTAAACTTGTAGAGATTATAGTTTTTGAAATTAAAGCTTTGCAAAATACGCATTGTTCAAGTATTTACAATTTTTTCTGATACGAAATGCTTTTAGTCATCCGAAAAGTTTGTGGCAGAAAACAGCTTTAAAGCTGCAGCTTTATTTTGGCATCAGGTGGAGATAGGAAACAAAAAGACTTAATACACCTAATGGTTTTATAATTCGAATTTGCCTTTGCGTGACCGAACTCCCATACTTGTATTACTATATTAAACGTGGCTATAGTACAAGCTTCTAAAACCTTCACGCGAGATCGTTCTGCTTGTAACGTATAGATGGGGAAGACAGGCAAAGAAAAAAGTGAAAATACTTTGATCTTACAGATAACATATCAGTTTTTTACCTAAAGTAAGGTTAAAATTGATGATTTCGATCCAAAATTAATGCTTTTTAATAACTTTCTCTTCGACCAATCTTAGGCTGCAAACGACTCAATAGGGCAAATGACAGTATACTTCAAGTTTATTCGATGCTATGAAATACAAAAGAAATAATTAACGTTATAAGCGATGTTAAAAGACGTTATTGGGATAATCCAGATACAACAAACAAATAGAGTACAACACAGAGGTAATATTGCTCACCCGTCCACGGCTCCACCCGAGATCGCCCACGGAAGAATGGTGGCTTTTGGCTGGGCAGCGGGACCTTTGATCTGAGGGGGTGGAGCGCCTAAAAAATGTTCGCGATGGCTCGGTCAAGGTCCCAGTCCACGTAGCTCAGCTGCGAAATCACTGTGTCCTGAAAATAAACAATATAAAAAGAGATAAACATCAAGAAGATCTAATTTTATATTCCACATGAGTTTTAATCAGAAATCTTGTAACAGAACCTAGATTGTGACGTAAGTTCAACTTAACTCCGATTAAAATCTCAGGAAATTCAACTATAAAGCTATTTCCTACCAGATCTTGTCAAAAAATCACTAAAACCCATCAAAATTTAACTCCGATATTATACTAGTCCCATCAAGTACAACACAACTCACCCTGTCCACGCCCATCTCACAAAGTTTGGAAACTTTCAACTGCAGCTCCTTCTCTTTCTCACCAGGTCCTTCAGCAAAATGTTGAGCCCAAAATCGAGCTGTCCGATTGAAAAGAGCAGGATTCTTCATGTATTGTGATGCCACTACTGCGTCTTGAGGATCCTTGGGTTCAGGAACCGTCAACAATGCCTGAATGCTGAGAAGAACCGTCCTTATTGTCATAGTTGCTGCCCAGTTCTCCTTGAGGACATCTAGACAGATGACGCCGGTTTGGGAGCTAATATTCGGATGCCAAATTCGAGTGATAAACTTGCACACGGGAGGGGAGAAAGGGTAATTTTCAGGGATCTCTATGTCCAGCTGTAGACATGCCCCATCATATGGGGAGTCCGCCGGACCTCGGAGATATCCATGAAGATGTGAGAGATTTCCGTCAACGACTTCCACAGTCAGACCACCTTGAGCCAACTAAAACAAGGTTAAAATTAGTTTTTTTGCGCATAAAGTGAGGGAAACGCAGGAATTTGGATTACAAAAAGGTCGTAGCAGCTGCTAGCAGCAAGAACTCGATGCAATCAACCTAAAAACCAAGGAAAAAATTAAAATACTTACATCTTTACTCGCGGCCAACTCTCTGACCTCTCGTTGAACACGCTTCAGACTTTGCATGCTCAATCACCGGGAAGAAGTTGACCCGTATATACTTCTTCTAAATTCGACATCAGAAGCGGCAAAAAACCCGGAGGAACCGCGAAAAATTTCGATATTACACTTGATAATACAAAAATAAAGTAAAAAAAGACAATAACGGTTACAGTCGAGACCGCAGACTTGGCCAGTCACGTGATTTACGTGACAAATTACTCCGGAAAAACCCGTTTTCCTGCAGATTTTTCGAAAATGAAATTTCGAGAAAAAAATGAAAAATAAAGCCCTTTGGCATTGTGTGACAAGCCGCAGGGAGGCCGGATTTTGGCGAGAAATTAGAGATTTGAAAGTTTTAAAAATCCAGAAAATCAAAATTTGAATAACACAGGTCGAGCTTACAGTTTGTCACATTTTACAAAATAGATATTTCCTTAGGCCAACTCTGCCCATGGATAATATCGGAAGCTAATTTTTGAGCCGATCTCAAGCCCACAAAAACTTGAAATACCTTCATTGCACTTTACACCTACATTACGTGCCCTTCCTTAAATTAGCGGAAAATCAGAATATTTCTGCCTAAATCGTCTTATAAATCAACTTGAACCGAACAATTGCGCAAAACCTTGGGTTTCTCTGCGTTTCTCGGTGATTTTCTGCTTTCATAACCTTCCTTATAAAAGCAGACTACTTCATTATTCTATATTTTCGCTTGTCCGAATCTGAAACTTCCTGTTTTATCACGTTTTTCTTTCATTTGTTCTGAAATTTGAGTCTAATATCAGAGGTGTTTGTTGGCATCTCGCTGCAAGCTGAAGACATGTCGGCAATGGATCAAATGGATGTTCAAATGTATTCTGAATTTGAATTTGATAAGCTGGACAGGTTGGAGTGGAAGTTGAATAAGAACGGATCGAAGAAACTGCTGTCCAAAACTTTCTCGGACCTCCACCCAATTTTGTGCACAGAAAAGTTGGTCAAGTTTTTCGCTCCAATTTCCAAGGAGCCAGAAGCGAAAGTGTCTCATTTCCCAATGTCTGACAGTGACTTGGTTATGCAGGTAGGCCATTTTTTATATTATTCATCAGAAAATTTGCATAAAGATTAAAAATTATTAAAAAATTGAATTTTAATGTTTTTTTGTTTAATCTTGCATTCTAGTGTGTTCAAACCATTTCTTCTCGTCTCGAAGTCCTTGAAAATCCTCTGAAACACCTGCTGAATGATGAAGTAAGTTGTAAAATACGTTTTTTATTATACTTATCCAATTTTTAGACTGAATTGCGATCCGAGGAAGAGTTATTGGCCGAGATGATGGAAATAAACCGATCTGAAGACGAGAGGATGCAGAGGAAGAAGTGTGGAGCCATCAAGAATGGTGCTAAGGTCCATGAAGTGATTGAAAAGGCACAAACCTTCTGCATGAAGGAGCTGTTGCCTAAAATACGACCAGATCTCGTTAAAGAAGAACTTCCGCAAATTGCTGAAGAGCCCATAGAAGAGGAGGATGAGGCTCCAAAGAAGAAGCGAGGACCTTACAAGAAAAAAAGTAAGATTTCATTTTTTATGACGTTTTATAATACTTTAGGCCGTCTAATATAATATTTTTTAGAAATCGAGGATCCCGTGTTCAAACCTCATCATAGAAATCTTGCCAACGGTACCTCTGTTAGTTCTAGAGGCCGTGTTTGCAAGAGGATCTCCAAAGAAAGTCTCGATTATGATCCAGTAAGTTTTTTACGGCCTTAATTTGCATTACTTTTTAGAATCAGAAATGCAAAATGGTGCCTAAACCGAAGAAAGGAAGACCAACAAAGAAAGTTAAAATTGAAGTTGATGTCAATACAACGGCTGAGATGAATTCCACAGCAGATTCGAGCAAAATGGATGTTACTTTAGACATCATGGAGAGCCGAGAGAACAATTCGAATGACTTGAATGGAGAGGATGTGTATAGATGGCTGAATACCACAGAATCCGAGGCTATCACAAGTCGGAAGATGTGTTTCAGTCAGACTCGAGTAGTGGTGAGTGATTTTTTATATTGTAGTAGGCAAAAATGGAGCAAAGATTTTTGCTTTTTTCCTTCAGATTTTTGTTTAAAATACGTTTATCTTTTGTGGTTTCTAATTTAAATCTGATTTAGAGTCCGTCGGAAGCCTCGTCCGACTCCGGCGTCGGCCCATCCACTCCACCTGATGTACCCAAAAATAATATGATTTCCATACTCCTGCGACGACAAGGTTATGGCTCATTTGTCTGAGCTGTTAATCATGTAAATTTGTTGAATTTTCGTTTTTAATAAAATATTTATTCCTGGTTTGCTCGAGTAGATTATGAGTCAGAAAGGGAAAGAAGATTTGGACGAAAACGACTCCAAAAGGAGGGCCCTTGTTTTTTATTTGAACTGGGTCATGACGTTAGTCATGGGGATGTTTGTAGCTTCATGGAGGAAAAATAAGCAATTGTAGATTTGCAAATGCTCATATTTTTGTATGGCGACAAAAAGTTTGGGCAATTTTCAAAATTCAAAGTTTTTGAGTTTTATTTTTCGTGCCGCGCGAATATGTAAGCGTAATTTTAATCGCGTTTTGCAGAAATTTCTGGTATTTTGAGTCGAAATCCTCAAAAGTTTATTTTTTTCGGACTTTGAAAAAGTCATCGTTTCTTTAAAAAAAGATATTTTTTTCAAACTTACAGGGGAAGTACTCCAAGTGCGACGCTCAGATTTCCTTTAAAATTTGCACACACGTCGGGTGTAGACTATATATCAATTCCTGAAAGTTTTAGCTCGCGCTTTGCGGGCGGCGCCGAGATATCGAACGATTTTTGCCGCCGAGAGACTACGATAAACGCGGAGATACTTCCCCTGTTAGTACAATAAAGAGAGTTGTAGCCGGAAAATTTTTTTCTCTGACTAACCTCCTCATTGTCCACAAATCTCTTTCTTTGAAGAAATTTACGTTGATTTTTTCTCACAAAATATACGCTAGATTTTTAGCTCGAACTTTCGCTGTGATGGTAAAATTCTACATTGTTTGCGAAAACGTTAATGTCAATCTTGTTATCGTTCTTATTACAGAGGTCAACCTTTCTAAAAAATAATTTTTTCCAATCGAAATTGACAGGCACCTACCAAAAAATGATTTTCTCTTTGACCGCCCTCCGTTTATCCCGTGCTCTCTCGTCTGCAAAGAATATACAGGGCCAACAGTCAGCTAACAAAGGAAGTACTCCAAGTGCGACGCTCAGACTTTCTTTAAAATTTGCACACACGTCGGGAATGGACTAAATATCAATTCCTGAAAGTTTTAGCTCGCGCTTTGCGGGCTCCGCCGAGATATCGAATGATTTTTTCCGCCGAGAGAGCACACTAAACGTGGAGAGCGGTCAGGGAGAAAACACTTTTTGGCCATAACTTTGCTAGTTTCGCGCGGAAAAAATTGATTTTTTGTGGAAACATTACCCTCTATGGTAGAAACAGGTATGAAACTTTTCGTGCCGAAATTCGGCAAAAAGTTCTAAATTTTCGCCGACTTTCGATCTAAAAATCTCGGTTGTTTCTGCAAAGCACGAGCTAGGATTCTCGCATATATCTTAGAAAAAATTTTCTAAATTTGTGCCAAGTTTCATCAAAATCTGAGCGTCGCACTTGGGGTACTTCCCCTGTAAATTGTAAAATTTTGGCTGTCGATAAGTGTTCCCAGTCTGTCGGGAAAATAATGTGGACTTGCCGCATCAAAATGTCTCTCCTCGCCGCAGTCGAACGCCAAATTCTCAGCAGCGGCTAGTCTTCGCAAACCAGTGATGAGCGATTTCATGGCACAACAAGTTCACATTATTTTCGCGACAGAATGTGACAGAATCAGAAATTTTTCACATCGTAAAAAAGGTTAATATTATGTATCCTAATGAAATTTTCCAGCACGTTTCCTTTTATACTTTACGATTATAAATATAAAAACCCTACAATCAGCCCATATCTCCAAGAAAACTAATCTCCAAATCCCAAGGTCCTACTGTAATCTATTTCTCTTTTCTGTTGGCAGAAATCTGGATTAATGCCAGTTTACTTTCAAGTTTGCGTGACTCAAAGCAAAAGAAAATTTTTTGAATGCATGAGATTTCCGGACCAAGGTATTCACGCTGCCAGAGATTGGGCCAAGGGAAGGGGGGAAAGACCGCTTTTCATATTAGATTGGCCTACCATAACAAAAATATTATAAGAATAGTATCAAAGGGAACACAAAAGGATCTTTTTTTTCATTTTTGGAAATTGTTTTTTTTAAGTCCTGAGGGAGTTACGTGGCGAAGATAGTTGCTATTTGAGGGGCTATCGGGATCTTTGAAAAGTTTTATTTTAGACGATTGAATTTTTGATGACATTTCGAAATTTCAAGTGGATTTTTTCGCTGAAAATTCATGAACTTACCATACAAAATTTTTGAGGATTTCTAAATCTATTTGAAGGCTTTTTAGTATGACTTGAAAAAGAAAGGGTCTCCGTAATGACCTTTAGGAGATGAAAATTGCAATTTTTCTTATAAAAAATGCAATGAAAGGGCCAAATTAAAAATTTATGTCGGATGAAACTTGGCAAAAATTAAATTTCACTTTTCGAAGGCATAAATAGTAGTTTTAGCTTACAATTTGCGGAAAAAATCATGTTTTTCAGATCGAAAAGGTGCCTCGATTTTCAATTTTTTGGTCGTTTTTCCTGATCGCCATAATCTTGCTCATTTTCAAGGATCGTCTAATATCTGGGGATTTTTTGAACATAATCAAGATCTACCGAGTTTATTAGACATTATATACACGCTGTAAACTGATCATAATATTATTTTAATGTCCAAATCTACCCAATTTAATCGTTATATCATCCATTTTCGACAACTTTACTCTTATTCGTAATATCACCTTTTTACTCTCCAAATTATTTTTTTTTCAAATCCCACTTTACTTTACCTCTTTCACTTGGGCCGAACTTTAATCCCGCCAATTTTCAGACATTTGCTTTTTCCCCAAATTCTTTTTTATGCTGAAAATGGCATTCACGACGATTTGTCCCCCGGTTTTTATTCTCAAGGGAATGCAACCGGAAAATTGCTCGGCCTCGGGAAACGGGGGAACTTTTTTCGCGAAAACAACATTCTACATGAGGTCACATGTCGATTTTTACCAGTCTTTTTTGTGCTCTTCCGCGCAGATTAATGGGATCTTTTCGGCGGATCCGCCACATGCCCGATTAGAAGCCGATTATGCCGAAAAAAGATGGAAAAGGACCGAAAAACGGGGCCTGGCCCGTTTTTTGGGCCGTCGGTTTTTGGCCAAATTTCGGCTGATGTACCCTGGGTTCCGTTTTGGGGTGTTTTTGTAAGTCATTTTTCTAAATTTTTTGTTCCGAAATTCTGGCCTTTGTTCTCCATCCGAGTTGGCCACAGATTTTTGGGAGCGGGGCAAATGGCCAAATGATGGTTGAATTAGATCGGCGATGATAAGAAGGACCGATTTCGAAGGGGGAACTGTCAGTTTTAGAACGCTTTGGACTTGAGAGGGGCCCGATTTTGGGGTTAGGGAGAACGTATACGATGAAATTTTATTTTTGTAATTTTGATGAAATTTGGTTACTGTTTGATTACTACAAATATAAAAAAAAGACACCATGATCAACTTGCCGTATTTTACAATAGCAACATCCCTGAACTTCTCTTTTTACCATTTTTTTATATTAATGGTTATGTATAATATAAGAAGGAAGCCCAGTTACCTATTTAGAATCCCTTTTTTATCTGAAATTTAAATTCCACACCTGCCAGAGGCTTTTTTCCAAGGTGACATCTTATACGATGGAATTTTGTTTTTGTCACTTTACTGTAACCTGTCTACTTTTTAGTGACTAACTGAGAAAAAATTGTGAAATAATTGAAAAACAACACCACAAACAACTTAACTGACTTTACTCACCTTGTTTTAGTCTATTTCATGTTAATGGCCAAGTATAATATAAATTGCTTTTTTCTGTTTTGGCTTCGAAATAATAAGCAAAGCATATGTCCCAAGGTAAACTAGACCCCTTTACCTATCTAAAATCCCTTTCCCATCTTCCATTTCCCCCGTTGGCGACGTAATATTACCCTTTTTCCGAGAAGCGTGAGTTTAATCCACCTTGCCGAAAGCCGTGGATTAGAGAGCCATCTAAACTGCTTAAGCGGCCTAAAATCTTCTCCACAACTCTCTATGTTCTGCCAGCTTGTATACTTCGTGCTGGCCAATCGCTTTTGCGCCAAGGTCAATGTGAATTCGAAGGGGTGGAAACGTCCTTGACGTGACTCGAAATTCCAAAAGTTTCCCTCAGTTGTTCGGAGTTTACAAGAAAATAAAATGTTCAGAGTTTGCGAACAATTTTTGCGGAGTTGGACGGAGCGCAGTTGAACACAGTTTGAATAATTTTAACGACTTTTCCGACAATTATAATATTTCTGGAGTTATTTATTGGAATTTTTTGGGGGGAAAGTGGAGTTGCCAGTGGGATAGAGCGGGGATTTCGACTGTAAACAAGCTATTACTGCTATTGCTGGATATTGAATTAAAAATCGGTCAGCTGAAGTCTTTTCGCCCTTCAAATCAGGATTTTTTATATTGTTTTAGTCATCTGTATATTGCGCTTGATAAAATTGATTTGCGAGACAACCCAAGGGCTTAGATCATCTGTATTTTACCCCAAAATTCTTCAGTATTTTTAGATATGAGTATCTTAACACCGATCACTTTTGTCTGCCTCATATCCGCCGTTTTTTCGGCCGATCTCTCCAAGGATGTGAAGGAGATTACCACGACCGAGGTAGGATCCCAATTCAAACATGAGTCATGCTGTGCGAACTCTGAAATTTTAGGCCTCATTTACTCTGTAAGAAGCGGAAGTGAGTCATAATGGGGGCACTTGCCGCTCGCATTTTGGCAGGTTCTTTTTTGAGACCAAATTTTGAAATGAAACGAAAAAAACTTTAAATAAAATAGTAAAACATTCACTTTGTTACCCGTATTTTACAATAAATGATTTTCAGGATGGAGCCAAATGGTGTCCTGTCCCACTTGCCGGGACCCAATGCCCAGCCTCTTCTTTCTTCCATTATTACACTTGCTGTGGAGATCTGCTGAAGGAATGCTGCTTCAACTTCCAGGTAATGATCTTATACGATCAGAGTAAAGAGTAAAAAACATAAAATTTTTTGTCATGTGTACAACGAACCTCCGCACAACAAATTCTGTCTATAACACATAATTTTAGAGGTCGTAAGAGGCATTTTTTGGACCAAAAAGAATCGCAATACAACGAAACCACTCTATCAATCTGTCGGGAAAATAATGCACTGTGTCGCATCGGAAACTGCATCGCCGCTGATGAGAAAATAAATTGTCTCGCTGCAAAAAAATTAGTTCTTTTCACTTCAGCGATGCGATCCGCGCAGCGGCATGGTTTTCATTATTTTCCCGACAGACTGATACGAAAAAAGCTACTCTAAATGTTTACACATCAATTCCAACCGCAATATTCAAAAACCTCTTTTTTTGCGAGAGAGCACACAGAATCAGGAGAGTCGATCAGACAAAAAAAAGTTTTTCGCCGATAGTCCTCTTGATTGCGCTTAGAAAAAATTATTTATTTTTTTGAATGAACATTGTTCTCCTCCTCTCTAACAGATGCTAATTTTCTAAGTCAGAAATCACCAAAAAAAATACTGACTCATTCTAGCTTCAACAAAATGCGCCAAATTTCACAATTTCAGCATAGCGAGGGCTAGAAATTTCGCGTATTTTTGGAACATTTTGGGCATAATGTGTGCCAGGTTGGAGCAAAATCAAAGAGTCAAGATAGGGGTGCCTTCTCTATAAATACAGCAAATAAAAAATTGAAATATCAATTATTAGGCTCGCTGGAATTTCCAATTCTCATCATTTGCTATTTAAAATTGCCAAAAATGACCTTCCAATTTCAGACCTGGGTTCTGGTGGTGTTGATCGGGATCGGCGTGCTGGTCGCGGCCTCCATCGTCCTCTCACTTATCCGTTGTCTTTTCTGCCGCCGCAACTGATGACAATACCCTTCTCACTCATCTTGCCCTCCATTTTATTGTACATACAACTATCAGCTATGCATTTCCCCTCCAGGCATTCGCATAATTCGGTTTTTCGTAGATCTCCCAGCTGTTATTTTTTCATGTTTTAGACAACAAATAAATAAATTTTTTTAAATTTTGCGGAGGTTTTTCTTAACTTTTCTTATCAGAGAGGTGTTTGATCTGGGAAATAAATGCGTCAACAGGCCAATAAGGTTGTTTGCAAGCCAATAAGAATGTTTCGGGCATTAGAGCGACGATAACAATGCAAATGACGGAAGAATGCGGCATTTGGAAATATCAGATTTGAAACAAATCGAGGGAATGACAGGTATGTGATGTTTGAGGAGTCAAATGGAACGATTCGATAATAAATAAACATCTCCCTGACATAAAAGTCATCAAAGAAGGTCTTCGGGCATGGACCAAACGTTGCTTGCTATAGTAAATATCCTGTTTTTCTCTGTTGTTTGGAAGTCTTTTTTGGCCAAGAAAAACAAATTTTTCGAGCTGTTATGCTCCAATTTATCTCCTAATTCGTAATACATGTAATGTCTCTTCCTCACAATAATACAAGGCAATAGCTTTTGCTTTGCAGGGGCAGTAAAGGCAGCCAAGTTTTCAACGATACTCGTCCATTAGAGATGACGAAAAATGCCGAGATCGGCCATAGAAAAGAACGATTTTCTAACAAATCTCTACCTAGTAAAAATAAATTTTCGTGAAAGACTCAAAAGGTAAAAGATGTGAAAGTTTGTCATGCTGAAGACTGGAAACAAAAAGGTTCAAATTTTGGCCAATTTTTGACGTAAAAATCTTGGTTGTTTCTGCAAAGCGACAGAAATCTGGCAAAAGAGAGGGGTCCCAAGTAAATTGAATGTTTTTTCGCCCATGTCAAACTTTTGCAATGTACAATGCACAGAGATCGCCTATTGTGGGCCTTGTACAATGCAGAGGTAAAAATTAAATGAGTATACGAGATGATAACGGCAAGGAGGATGGATAGTCTGGAGACGAGGTCGACCGGTCAAAACAGAGAGCTTATTCGTCAAAGACGGGAAAATAAAGAGTAAAAAGTGTATTCTTATGGCTTTTATAGCCAAATCCATTATGCAAATTTGGCACTATCGCCAACAATGAGCGAAACTCGTGATTGAGCCTTGTGGGGGAAACTTTAAATTTTCCCTGGACTGTAGGCGATAAAAAACTTGCCTCAATTTGTACCAAGTTTCCTCAAAGCTTGATAGTCAAACTTCCCCTGTAAGTAAAACTACTTGCGTATCAAGAGTATTATGTCGTTTTATCCAATTTTCTCATCTAAAAAGCAATCTCCATTCAAATCCTCCAAGAGTAACGACAATGCAGTTGTAACAAATTTTCTGTTTCCCATTCCCAATCTAATCTCATTATTTCGCAATGAATAAAACATTTTAATCACCAATCTTCGGCCAAGCCAGTGACCATTAAAGGGGCCGGCTTCGAAAGCGTAAACAAACCTCCCCTTCCATTGGCCAGTAGTTGCTCAAAGATCACTTTTGTGTTGTTTTGCGACTGCAATTTCGTTTCCACACGTTGTTTATGTTATTTTTGCGCTGTTTCGCAAGTCGTGAGTAAGGGGTGGAGGCCGTAGAATTGGCCTATAAAAAGGGCAGCAGAGTTGTTTTCAAGTTTGCTGATGACCGGATTTTCCCTTTTCGATACTTTGTCGGGTTTAATCTTACAGTAGTGCGGTTTAGATGTTTTTGAAGTTTGGAATGGATGATATAAAAGGGGGAACAATGGAAATTCAAGGCTATGGTTTTGATAAAACCTGGGGGCAGATTAAAGTTTAGCTTTCCAAGATGTTTAAGAAAGAAATTTTTGAAATATTTCATAAATTAAGTTTTTACTGCAAGGCTAGAGTATTATATTGACGTTAAAAAACTGTTTTTTCCTTGATAACTTCGTGTTATTGCTGAAAAACCCCATCTCTGTCCGTCTCTCCTCATTTTCCATACCCTCTCGTCTTTCAGAGAATGGTCGATATCTCGGCGGTCGTTCCAATGTATAAGCTAAAATTTTCACGGATTAATAACTCACCTATATAGATCGTGTTGACAAAATTGAAAGACAATTTTACTCGACTCTCGCTTTTTTTACACTCTTAAAATTTTTGTTCGTATAAAATGTCCCCTTTCCAGAATCAGCTCAAAAATGTTTCCAAGAATGCTGTCGATTACTCCAATTGCTCTCGGATTAATCTTGCCGATGGTTTTCGGCGCCACAGTCCCTCCAGAGCTCAGCGATCGTAAAGACGTAAGTGTTGTGTTCCCATCGAGCATGATTACAATTTTCTCAACATGATGTTTTTGATTTCAGGAGGGATCAGTTTGGTGTCCCGCGCCAATAGTTGGCCAGAAATGTCCTGATGGCTCCATTTTCCATTACTATTACTGCTGCGGAACCGCCAACAAGGACTGCTGTTCGAGTCTTGAGGTAAGAGGGGTGCCTTATTTGGGAAGGGCAGTGTGCAGAGTGCGACGCTCAGATTTTCTTTAAATTTTGCATCTGCGGTAAGGCTAGGTCACAGATGATTTTTTAAAAATTTTAGCAGAGGCGGCCGAGATATTCAGGTAAAAATTTACGGTCAAAATTTTACGTGGACAAAACAAAAAATCGAATTTTTTCCAACTTTCGGCAAAAAATCTCTATTTTTTCTGCAAAACGCGAACTAGAAATCTCGCATATGCCTTTACAAAAGTTAATCCAAGTCCATGTTAAGTTTTATTAAAATCTGAGCGTCGCATTTTGAGCCCTTTCCCCATTAAACTGAGCTCTTCGACTTGGGAATATTATGACACTACCGATTCCCTTGCCGCGAAAAATCTCGTGACAGTTTTCTCCTAATTAGGCCAGTTTCCAACGGGCCAAACATCGGACTATATGCGGCAAAACAAAAAACATTGGTTTTATAAACAATAGGCCCTTTTTTGGAGTCCTCAGAAATTAGAGAACAAGATTTCCTAATGACCTTTTCACTTTTAGACCTGGTTCATTGTCGTGTTGGCGATCTTCGGTATCCTGGTGGTCAGTGCCATTGCTGTTGGGATCCTCCGTTTCCTGAAAAGACGTGGATAAACAACCCTCTAATGCATAGTATAATCAGGTTCAGGTATTGTACATAATACGTCACAACTTTCTCTTATTCACATTTAATATTCTTTTTTATTCTTTAATAAAATAATGTAGCACAATATCCGAATTTTTGTCTGAAAACGTGGCCGGAAAACGGCTGATTGCAAATAAGTTGAAATGGGGAAATTTAAAGTCACAACTTTTTTGAAGTGAGATTCGAGATTTTTAGCTGTTGCTTTTCAAGCATAGCAACGCACAGCATTCCGGGTTTTTTCTATCGTCACCGATCAGTCCCTGATTTTCGCTCAAAGTGACAACGCACAGCAACCCGAAGTGTTTCCTGGCTCCTTTCGACACTTCGCCCCATTTTGTATCGGCTGAGATAAAACGAAATGTCACAAAAGCATTTTTCGTGAGATTTTCCGACCGAAAAATATTTTTCTCGGAATTATTTTATTTCTTTTGTCAATTTTGACACTTCGTTTGGACGAAACTCAAAAGTGGGCGGGAAACATTTTTCTTCTATTTCGGGTTGCCGTGCAACGCGGCTGTGCGCCTCAGCTGATAACTAGCTAGCACAAAAATGAAAAAAGAATAAAAATTGGTTGCTAAATATTAGAGTGAGAAAAGACCCACCGAAAGATATAAATAATTTCTGCTAAAGTGCATAATTTTTAATAAATGGTCTACTCAATATCATATTGCCTCTGCTATAAATGTCCAAAAATAAGAAAAATTCTGACCCTTGGGGATCTACTCTACAATATCACGACTAACTAGTTCTTCGGGAAAGCCGTCGGTTGATTTTTAAGTTTGCACTGTGCAAGAAAAGTCTAGATGCAAGCCACAGCCAAAAACGCCATTTGCGCGCGTGCGCACGATGCAAACAGGAAATATTGCACAGTGCACGCTGAGCTTGTGGCTCTTCTTTCAGCCTCTAACTCTCACACACGTTTCCAAAGGTCCTGGTTTAAAGATATCGGCGAATATCCCGGCAGTGCTTGAAAAATACGAAGTAAACTTGAGGGAGTTGATCTTCGGGCCGCCAAGTCTCAGCCGAGCCTTCGCCGAAGGTCGGCCGAGCATTCAACGGCTTTCGTAGGCCGTTGAAATTTATAACGAAAGTGGACACAATAGGGAACGATAGGGTTTGTTGGCCAAACACGAGAATACAACGCTAAGGAGCGAGAGACATCGACTTCTGAGAATAGGGGAAAGTGATCTGATGAAGACTTTGTCCTTTGATTTTATGCAAATTCGTGGGAAAGATTTGGCGGTTTCAGTGTAACAGTCGCCAACAGGCCTGCTATTGTTAGGCACCTCCCACCACCTTTTTTGCCCCCAAAGTTGGGACGTGAACATGTTCTATATATTACTAAATACGTTCTATTATTAATATTAACAAGTTCTATTAATAAATAAATACATCTGGAAAATCGCTGGAATGATTTCGGCGACATGCACTTTGAGAAAACAAAAGTTCCCTTGCACTGCGCAATTTCTGGCATTCTGCACCACGCAAATGGTTTTTTGACCTTTTGAACTCCCTAACTCAAAATCCGAACTCTCCCTTCGTCTCTGCACCGTTAACAACTTCCGTCGCCCATTTGCATGACGCAACCCACAGAAGCAATTTGATGGCATCCAAACTAGAAGAATATTGGCACGTTTGACGGGCAGATTCTCCGCGTCGACTTCACGTGTTCGCCTTCAATGTGGCCTCAGGGAATTATGTAGACCCGAGTTTCTACTCCCACCTCCATCAAATTCAGATGAAGTGGGTGACTAACAGCGGAGTCGTAGTGCTTAAAAAAGTGTTACTCCTGCTATCTAAACGTATTAATTTTAGAGAGATTGCACTTTTCTGAATATTTTTTGCCGTTGACTGGTTATTACGGGGTTAGAAATGACAGGAATTGAGCAAATCTACCGTACGAGCGACGTTGTGGGCTCTTCTTTGGGGGTCATCATCAACACTTTGGTACTCTACATTATCAAACAAACTTTTTCCAAAAAAATCGCCGCATATTCGAGGATGTTGGTGGGCTCAACAACCTACAGTATCCTTTATGGGCTCGTCGAATTTACCACTCAACACGTAAGGAATTCAAAAGATGTAAAAGTTTTGATTTCAGTTGGAGACTTCACTATATTTTGAAAATTTCAGGAGCTATTTATGAACGATGGAATACTGTTTTGTGTACCGAAGGGTTTCGAGAAGTACCTAGGTCGCACCTTTCTTCCACTTTTTTTGTTCCCTCACGTGACCTTGAGCTGCTTTGGACTCTACATTTTACCGTGCAATTATCACTACGAGTATTCACTGCTATCTGAGTAGGTTCAAGTAATTTAGAGGTATCAGTCTGTCGGGAAAATAATGAGCATAATGTCGCTGCGCCGATCGTATCGGTGAAGTAAAAAGAAGATTTTGCCGCGTGGCAATGGACTTTTGGCTGCGACTTTCAATGCGATAGAGTGCTAACTTTTTCCCGACAGACTGATAAAAAAAATTTCTAGAATCCCCAGCCCTGATTTGTACATATACTATCCCTCAAAACACTTACGAAGATAGGCGCTAGGACTTTTCGGCTCAGCGACAGTTCGAATAGACGATACTTTGGGGGGCGCATGGATTCGGCGTTGTATTCATGGGGAGGCAAGGGGAAACCTCAGTTTACAGAAAGGGTAAGATTAGTTACATCGTAGGATAGTTTGTTACTTTTCTGAGGTATCTTACATGTAGTACTGTAAGAATATCCTGATAAAGCTTTCGGATATGAAAAAGCAGAGGTGAGCAATCTCTAAGATTAATATGTCTTCGCTAAGTCTCCGCCGAGCCGTTACTGAGCGTCTCCCAAACATCCAACGGCTTTGCTAGACAGCGTAGGTACCTCCTACAACATTTTTTTGGTTCTTCGTCTGCTCTGCGCTTCGTATCGATTGATCCCGAACTGTCGTGGACCCGAACAGTCCATACGTGTGAATATATTGCAAAACGGGAATTGCACGAAACATAAAGCGTTTAGGGATTCATATATGACCGTTTAGAGTTCACACTACAAACATAAAGACATACAGCATGTTCGCCCATAATGGGCAGACGAAAGACTAATGGGAGACCACAATATGTAGACAATATTCTTCTAATGGGATTTACACTCTTGTCCTTTTCTGCATTCAATTTTTACAAAGCATTTATATTTACAAACTTGCAAACACATTATTTCTGCAAGCATACGAGTTGTTTTTCTAACAAAACACATAATACTTTTCAAAATGGGAGTGTTACTTTCCCTATATGTCTTTGAACGAAAGGCCAACTTTCAAATTTTTTCATACCCTTGTAGAATCTTTTTCTTTAGTCCCACCTCCGTATCAAGAAACACATTGCTTCGTAACATTGCGGTCTCCTTGATTGGAGCAATACTCCCCGGAATCCTTTCGTTATTTGCGGCAAAAGCGGCAGGCGCCCGGCCAGAAAAGTACTACAAAGACATGCTCTCCCCTGAATGGCTCACCGAGGGAGAATCCACTTATATGGTCCCAATGGACGCAGTAAGTACACATTAGATGCATTTTTATTTCATAAAAGGTCACCTAAATTGTCTCTGTTGCAAAATTTCAGCGCGACATAGAGACCCAGGTGTACTTTGGGACGGTCGGTGCATTATCAACTTGTTTTTTCTTTGCCGCCCTTTATTATGTTTGGAAAATCCGAAGGTTTTTTCATCAGAATCAGAAGAAGAGTACGAAAACAAAGAGTCTGCAGGACCAATTTACGAGGGTTGTTATTACTCAGGTAAGTAACAAGAAGACTCTCCCGCATGTAATAATTGGATTCATAAATCATTAGGGACACCTTTTTGAAAACATAGATCAAAAACGAAAGGAAGCATATACCATCGTATATGCCTTAGAATAAGGTGAGATATCGCGCGGTCTTTCTAATGTCAGTCTGTCGGGAAAATAATGAGCACTCTATCGCATCGAAATCACATCGCCGCCATAAAATGAATTGTGGCGAGGCAAAATCAAAATTTTGCCTCGCAAAATTGAAATCGGTGGAGCGACATTGTTTTCATTATTTTCCCGACAGATTAATAAGTTTGTTTTGATCTCTGCAAAAGCCAAGCCAAAATTAGTAAAATTTGACCTTTAAGTTCCCTTTCAAACAATATCGAAAACTAATAATGTCTACGTTTGAACGAGCAATACGTTCAGCACATACCATTCTCATCAAAAAATTTCATTTCAGGGGATCAACACCTTCTTCTTTGCCTTTATTCCCTTGAGTGTTATCAGTCTGGGAACCTTGGTGTACGTTCCTTTGGAGATGATGGGTTTATTGGTAATGATCCCACTCTCCTGGCTGCCTGTGGCCAATGGATTATATTCACTGTTGGCGATTCGAAAATACCGAGAGTATTTTTTGAGAATGCTGGGGAAAAAGAAAATCAACGCAGGGCACAGAATGGTGTCTACAGTGACAGAAAATACAATGGGAACTAGCAATACTATGGCCACTGAGGAAGAGGAAGAGAAGTCACATGGACAATCTCATTGAGTAGTTTTCAGACATTGTTGTAATAGTACGATATCAAATAAAATTTTTGTTCAGAAGGATCAGAATGTCCAAAGCTATATTCAATTCACCCAAAACGGTGACAAATTTAATTTAGTCACAGAAACCAACGTGTCCTAATAATAATCTACTTGCCCGAAACAAGAGAGATTAAAGGCGCAAAGGTGGGGGCTGCGAGGCTTGGGAAGCTCGGCAATGCCCCGGCGGAGAATTTCACTTTTTTACAAATTTGAACCGAAAGGGACAACTGCAACTATATACAAATAAGCGTTTACTTCATCTTCGTCGTTGCTGTTGTCATAGTCTTCACTAGACTAGCCTTCTTCTGGATTTTCTACCGCCCATGTTAAGAACCTGCTCCCGTTTTTTAGGTGTGTCTAAGATAACTGATATCACCTTGAGGTTCGAAACCCATAGGACATGAACGTCTATCCATCGTCATCGATCAAATCTCCAGCCCCACCGGAAAGCTATTTTAATTCCTCCTTTGCATTGCACATGGCCAATAGTAGTTGGCAGGGCTTTGAGGCTTTGGAACTTCGGTCGGAATTGACCATCCCAATTTAAACCACTCGGCTCACGACATCCTCAAAGCGTCCAATTTACGAATACTTTTGAGACATGTGCGCGGGCAACAGAAGTGTGGGAGATTCAGTTGCTCGCAGTGACCCAACTGTTCCTTCTAACTCCCTGATAACCTCCAGTACTCCGTGATTTTGCGTTTCCGCTCCTCCAGGCGTAGTTCCATGTCTGCCAAGCGTAGTATCGGTTGTTCTTCGATCATCTCTGTCTGTGCCATTCCGGCATGTCCATCGTCAAGTTCTTCGTGATCCATGCGTTCCAATGGCTCTTGTGGACCGTCTTAGAATAGAGACCAAATTCTAGCTTACGAGATCAATCTTCTGACTTACCCGTTCTCTTTCTTGACCTTCTCTCCAGTGGGCGTGGCTCATTGAAGCCCTTACTGCTTGGTTATCTCCACCCTTATCATCAGATAAAACGAGCTCAATTTGAAGAGGAATATCTCTCTTCAATGTGTTTCTCACCAGTGACCTCACGTACACTCCAAAAGCTTTTGCTGGATCACTTCTGTGGATCATAGGAACTTCTTTATACTCCATCATCGATTTTTTCATAATTTACGGTTGGAGAATCTTACAGTTTTCAAGTTACATAAAGAGTAGGCCGTTTCCTTTCTGACACCTTCTGACATTTATGTATTGCTCGTCAGTCAAGCCAGCTGCATCTCTAACGGCTACCGCGTCTTCATCAGCGATATCACCTCTTTCTTACTTTTCTTGGAGATACATTAGGTGATTTTACGAGTACATCAATTTCAAGCTGCTTGATACGTCTTTTTTATGAGGCTTGATGTATATTCTAAAATCAGGTGATAAATCTTACCGATCCGGACGAAATTCCAAAATCTTCATCATTTTAAGATATCGTAACATCGCCATTATCTTCCAAAGTTTTACGTCTTTTTTTCTGTCCTTTTAGCAGTCATAACACTTCATCATTCCAGGTATTGGAACATAGATATTTATTGAGGAGACTCCTCAGAGCGCGCGTCCGTACCCTGGGCCTACAATAAGCTCGATATGATAGAACGCGGGCTTTGGTTGGCTTTTCCCCTCCGCTTGGGTAACGCGCTCCAAAAGCTCCCGCGACATCCTCCCCCGTCAAGGAAAACGATGACCGCATCGTTGAAAGCTAACAATTTGAATTTTAAAAGACAGATACAACAAGAGGGGATAAGTGCAAGGGCCTATATACATACAACTTGTGTTCTGGGGTCTTAGAAACATGTTATTAAAATTACCTAACACATTGGATAGCTTACGGGTTAGAATGATCATAGTCGATATTCCCTGAAAAACGACAGTTTCTTCTCCGCCTTGCAAGAGGCTACTTTGGATGTCGCAGCCGAGCATGATTTTGAAAATCTACTCGATTTCATCCATTACGTAAGTTAGAAAACACTATCCCTTAAATTTCAAACCAACTTCACGAGACACCGGTTGAAAGCTGTAACGATGCCCTAAAATTCCGTGGAAAAAACATCCTAAAGTTTCATCCCAAAGGTGCAGTTCACCAAAATTTACACACCTTAATGCACCTTCTGAAACCGACCAACAATTTATGCAGAAATTTTTTTCTCTGTATTTTTTATGTAATTTCTGATTTGTCTGCTTTATTTCTGCGCATTGTGATTATTTCTGCTGATGATGTTGCTATTTTCTGCCACGGTGTTTCGGAGATGAACAGTTGGCCAAAATGGCCGGGAAGACTTGACCCGATCAATTTTTTCCATTTTTTATGTTTAGATAAATTGCCGTGATGGTCGTATTGCCATCGCAAAACATGAATTCACAGTTATTACCTTTACCGTTCGCCATTTCCGTTACCAATTTGCATGGTGCAACAAAACAAAGCAATGGCGTCTAAACTGGGCGCGGTTGATTGCAAATTTGATGAGTAAATTACGCGCATTGACATCAGGAGTTCGCCTGCAATCTGCCCTCAGGGAATTGGACCCGAGTTCGACTCCCACCTCAGGCAAGGTTTCGGGAAGTGGTTGAATAAACGACCATTATTACGGCTAAAAGCGTTATTCCTACTGTCTAAATTTACTCTTGTTTTGAGAGATTACAAGTTCTTCTAACTACTTTTTACCGTTGTTCAGTTATTATACAGTCATAAATGCCAGGAATAGAACAACTTTATCGAGTCAGCGACACGTTGGGATCCTTTTTGGGAATTGTAATAAACACTTTGGTACTATACATCATCAAAAAAACTTTTTCCAAAAAAATCGCCGCGTACTCGAGGATGCTGGTGGTCTCGGCAACATACAGCATCCTTTATGGAGTTGTGGAATTTGTCACGCAACATGTAAGACATCACCCTTTTTTTATTCGTAAAAATTTTTATTTTTGTCATAAGTAAATTTCAGGAGTTGGTTATGAAAGATGGAGTGTTATTTTGTATACCGAAAGGTCTCGAAAAGTACCTCAGTCGAAATTTGTACGGAGTGTTTTTATTCCCCCACGTCTGTTTAAGTTGCCTTGGACTTTACATTTTACCATGCAATTACCAATACGAATATGCTTTGCTGTCGGAGTAAGTGAAAGATTTTTGAAGGTAAAATACGGACATTTAAGTTTATCGATTAAAAAGTTCTTGCTCTCTAGTTTCTTCGCCAGTTTGGAAAAAAAATATTTATTGTAGAAACATTACTCTCTATGGTAAATTTTTATGTTTCGCCACAAAAGTAACTTGTTGTTAGAAAAAATTTATCCAACAAGGGAAGTGCCCCAAGTGCGACGCTCAGGTTTTTTTAAATTTTGCACACACGTCGGTCATGAACTAAGTATCAATTCCTGAAAGTTTTAGCTCGCGCTTTGCAAGCGCCGCTGAGATATTGAACGATCTTTGCCGCCGAGAGAGTACGCAAAACGCGGAGAGCGGTCAGAAAAAAGAACACTTTTTGGACATAGCTTTGTTAGTTTCGTGCGAAAAAATTGATTTTTTGTGGAAACATTACCTTCTATAGTAGAAATAGGCACGAAACTTTTCCTGCCGAAATTCGGCAAAGAGTGTCAAATTTTCGCCGACTTTCGATCTAAAAATCTCGGTTGTTTCTGCAAAGCGCGAGCTAGGATTCTCGCATATATCTTAGAAAAAATAATTCTAAATTTGTGCCAAGTTTCGTCAAAATCTGAGCGTCGCACTTGGGGTACTTCCCCTGTAAATCAGTGCAAAGTTTCATCAAAATCTGAGCGTCACGCTTGGAGTGCTTCTCCTGTGAGAAAAATCTTCCAAAATGTCAAGAAAGCCCGCTTACTGTATGTATGCATAGATAACACCTAGAAGTTCCAAGTTTTTAGTGTGTTCTTGTATGCACCTTAAGAATTGTATTGCTACTCATTGTATTACTGCTGCAATTGTAAGTCTTTTTATATCCATTTCAGTCCCACCTCGGTGTCCAGAGCCACATTAATCCGGAATATTGCAATCGCCTCGGTCGGGTCTATGTTTGCCGGAGTTCTTTCGTTATTCGCGGCAAGAACGGCCAGAGCTCGGCCAGTGGAATATTACAAAGACCTGCTCTCCGATGATTGGATGACTGAAGGGGACTCAACTTACATGATTACGATGGATGCGGTAAGTGCTAGAAATACGTTTACTTCATAAATAGTTGTTCACAATGTGTGTTTCGCTATTTCAGCGTGATCTATCGACAAAGTTATATTTTGGTTTGGCTGGTGCATTATCATCGGGTTTCGTTTTGGCCGCTATGTATTACGTTTTCAAAATTCGAACTTTTCTTCATCAGAATCAGAAGAAAAGCAACAAAACAAAGAGATTGGAGGACCAATTTACGAGAGTTGTTATTATTCAGGTAAGTAACGAGGAAGTGAGCATACTACATATAAAGAACTCATAAATCCTTACTATTATTATTTATATTTATAAAAAATAACTGGCTATTATTTCTGCTTTTATTGCACGTTCACCTGCAAATACTTGAGCAAAACTGCAGTGACGTAGTTGAAAAATTACTTCCTATAGTAATGAAAAGTCGACCTCTGCGAAAATATCAATCTGTCGGGAAAATAATGTGGTTTTATTAAGCCTGGGAATCCCATCATTGCTTTGAAACCTCTAGCCGCTGCTGGAGATTTGGTGTGCGACTGCGACGATACATTTTTATGCGACAAATCCACATTATTTTCTCGACATACTGATACTAGTAAAAGTTCAATTTCTGCATACGTTTACACGCAGATACCGCTGAAAAGGGAACTAGTTCGAACTCCTTGCGATAGCCAAGGCCCTGAAAGTTCTCGGAATTTTTGGCAGTATTCATCAAGCTTCTTTACACAAAAGCGCCAAAAAGCGGGGAGTCGGCCATACGCAATACTGTTTTTTGAGCATAACTTTTCTGTTCCGGCATGTAAAATAATAAAAAAATTGTGGGAAGATTATAAACCATAATGGAAAATTTCCCCATCAACTGCTTTTTTTTGTTACATCCAAACTGATGAGGTCTCTGAATACGTATATAATACGTTCAGCACCTATCATCCTCACTTAAAATAACATTTCAGGGGTTCAACACTTTCTTCTTTGCCTTTATTCCCCTGAGTGTTGTGAGTCTGGGAACCTTGACTCACATTCGTCTGGAAATAATGGGCTTACTAGTAATGATCCCGCTCTCCTGGCTACCAGTGGCCAATGGTTTGTACACACTGCTGGCGATTCGAAAATACCGAGAGTACTTTTTGAGGATGCTGGGGAGGAATAAAATTGAAGATGAGAAAAAAATGGTGGCTACAGTGACAGGGAATGCAAAGGGAAGTGAGGAAAATGAGGAGGAAGAAGAGATCGAGCAGTCACATTCACAATCAAACTGAGTATATTTTTAGTGTATCTTTATATTGTTTTATGAAATCAAATAAATATTTTTTGGGTCAAGTCTCAAACTTTGTAGTATTCCCATAAAAACACAGAAAATTTCAATATGGCTTAAAATCACCAAATTTTCCTAAAATTACCAATGTTTTTGTCAAGAAGACCAATTTTCCCAAGCTGACCATCTTGCCCAATATTACCAATCTTGTCCAAAATGTTTAATTTTTCCTAAAGACACCAAATTTTTCGAAATTTCTCAATTTGCCCAAAATGACCATCTTGCCCAACCTGACCAATTTGCCCAAAATTTTCTCAAAATTTGCCAAATTGTCAATTTTTCATATTTAAATTTATTATGTATTATATAATATTATACAAATTTGATTTTTTGATTAACCGGGTCCACAAATACGATATCTTTTCATCCTCTCCCCTCTCAGCAGATCCGCATCTGCCCGAACTCATTGACCGGCTCCTGAGGTAGGCGACGTCGCGAGGATCGCGGCGAACCGGCGTGCGAGCCCGGCCTGGATCCCCTCAGGCTGGACTGGTTGGAGCCGAAGCCCCGCGGCGAGTTCGGCGTGCAAACCGACGCATCGAAGGGCGATTTCGGGGATCGTGGGTAAATCCCCTTGGATTTCATGTAGGAAGTGAGCTGCCCCGGGACCTCGTACAACACCTCCTTGGCCAGCTTGGCCTTGGCCTCCTCCAGATCCTCGTTTGAGAGCTCACGGTGCGGCGGAAGGAATTTGCGGAGTTGGACGAACTAAAAATAGAAAAAAATATGTTTTCGAGGACTGTTATGGCTGAATGGACGGGTGAAAAGGAGGTAAATTGGTGGAAAACAGCAGCTATAGAAGTTCATAACAAGTTGAATTGAAAACAAAATTAAATTTCCGATCAAAAGAGTCGGGAAAATATGTTTTCAGATCTTTGGTCGAAGCGAAAAAAATTAAATTTTCAGAGGGCATTAGCAGAAATTGAGCTTCCATTAGGGCGAAAATTTTACAAAAAATTTTATTTTGAGCTATAAATTTTCAAATAAAAAGATCTATTTTCGAGTAAAATTGAGTGAGTTTTGGTCGAAAAATCTCAAATTTTCGGCATTTTTCGACCTAAAAATCTATGTTTTTCATGTCAGCTACAAACCAAAAATTTCAAAAATCCTTTTTTTTGAACATCTAGTTTACATTGATACCAAATTTCGTCAAGATCAGCACATTTTTCTTTTCGTATTTTAGAAAATTTCAGAATTAAAAAAAACCCTTTAGATTTTCACGATTTTCCAAAAAAAATCAGGCTACCCTTACCTGAACAATATCCCTCTTGGCGTACTTCCCATTCGCCGATAACATGTGATTATCCGAGTCCAAGATCTTCATCTCATCAAAAGAATCGTACCCCACGCCCACCACAATGATCGACAGAGGCAGAGTAGATGCCTTTACAATCTCCTCTTTGCTCGCCTCAATATCCGTAATAACACCATCAGTAATTATCAGCAAAACACTGTATTTGGAGCCATCTTCTGGGAGAGCGGCGGCATGGCGGGCGGCAAATCGAATAGTTGGGGCGAAATCTGTTGGTCCGGAAAGTTCCACTCGCCGTTGGGCGATGAGATAGGCGTTGAGGAGGCCGTCAACGCCCGCGCAACGACAGTCATTCGTTTCGAGGTTCTGAAGAAGAAAAAAAATAAAAAAATGGCACAAAAATGATCCATTTTCAGTAAAGGAAAGTAAACTGCGCAGATTTTGATGAAAATTAGCATAAATGGAGCTTGGAATACAGTATGCGTCATAATTATAACCGCACTTTAAAAATGAGTGTAACTTTTGTGATTGTGAATAGAAATGTGTCATATTTGGCACCAATGTGCATCAGTGTACTAGAAATGATGTCCCAAAAAATTATTTTGAAGAGTTTCCGTATTTTAGAGAAAAGCTGCAAAACCCAAAATTTTGATACTTTTCGGTGTCGCAAAATTATAACCGCACTTGCGAATTTGGGGTATTACCCTAATAAAAACGCAGGATATCAATAACTGATGTTTAGTTACGCTCCCTGAGGCCTCAATAACGCCCATCACACGACCCGAAACCCTCTGGGCAAATTTTTTTGGCGCAAACTGACCCATCTTGTCCCTGAATCGAAAAACAACAGATTTTCGCTTAGTTACGGTAGAATACCGCTTGTTGTAGCGATGTAATAAACGGGCGAGGAGGCCCCACAAGTTTCCTATCGGATTTAAACCCAGGGAATATGCGAGCGAGTCTATGGTGGCAAATGCCTTGCTGTCAAAGGAACTGGTATGTCGACCTGCTATGGTGGACGTGGGCATTCTCCAACAAAAGTATAGCCAGATTGCCAGTACGGTACCAGATGTTCGCCTAAGACTTCGTAGTACTCGAAGCTATTCATTTGAGTTGCTCTGGCCGCGGACGGAAGGCCTCCGTCTTTTTTGAAGGCGCCCCAACTCATCAACGGGCGGCCTCTATAATTACGACACGAGAAGCGACGCGATACGTTTTTAATGTCATGCCATTGGTATGTAAAACCGTCAGGGCATCGTGTGACTACGCAATCCACAAGGAATATGGTATTACAACTGTCCAACGTCGGTTTCAGCGACCTTCCACTAATCAACCTTTGTTGTGAATGTATCCTTGGCAAATTTCGGCTGTGGATTGCCGTAAACCGTAGTCAGCTTGGGTCACAGCTTCACATAATACCTTATGATGATGTCGCTGTGTTTTCCGACCCTCAGCACGGTGCTTCCGCTACTAATGAAGCTCAGTTCTTGATTTAAGTGAACCCCAGAGATGGCGGAGTTAGAAGTCCGGCGGATTATTTCTCTTCAACCAGAAGCAGTGGTAAACTTTTGTCTGCCATAACATTTAGATTTGTTAAAGGCTTCCGAGACGACCAGGAAGTTGATCACAACTTGAGCCCAACGGTCTAACTGAGCGAAAATCTGCCGTTTTCCGATTCAGGGACAAGATGGGTCAGTTTGCGCCAAAAAAATTTGCCCAGAGGGTTTCGGGTCGTGTGATGGGCGTTATTGAGGCCTCAGGGAGCGTAACTAAGCATCAGTTATTGATATCCTGCGTTTTTATTAGGGTAATACCCCAAATTCGCAAGTGCGGTTATAATTTTGCGACACCGAAAAGTATCAAAATTTTGGGTTTTGCAGCTTTTCTCTAAAATACGGAAACTCTTCAAAATAATTTTTTGGGACATCATTTCTAGTACACTGATGCACATTGGTGCCAAATATGACACATTTCTGTTCACAATCACAAAAGTTACACTGATTTTTAAAGTGCGGTTATAATTATGACGCATACTGTAGGCTAATATATGTATATACAAACGCGATTTTTTTAGCAATTACTGTGAAATATTCAATTGGATTCCTTGCCGGAAATAAGTAGATTTTTTTTCAAATTTTCAAAATCAAAAAATTCCAAAATATAAAAAAAAAGTTTTGTGAGAGAATGTAGCATGAGGAGAGAAGGTCATAAAAAATAATTTATGGCTATAGCTCTATACATAAACTTGGCCTAAAAAACAAAAATTTTTGCAAAAACAAAAAGCGCTCCTTTTTTACAGACACTACCTCTTTTATGCCCAAAAAAATCAAAATTATCTGCACAATTTTTACAAAGAGCAAGCTAAAAATCTCCAACATCCACCAGAAAATTATAATTTAAATTTGACCCAGGTTTCATCAAAATTGAAACCCAATTTTATTGAAGCCCTTGAAAAAACCAAAATCTTCCCCTTCAAGTCAAACCTACCAAAGGGAAATTGTAATGGACCCTTGTATCGGGCGGAATTTTCGCTCCAAACCCATAAGCTTTGAATATTTTGCTCGAATTGTAATGCTGACAAATATCGGCGACAGCAGCGATCGCAATTTCGTATTGATTTGCCCTGTTCTTATCGTAGTGATGGAGGGAAGTCTCTTCATTCATGGGGAGATTGGATTTGGTGAAATCGACGGCCACACTGAAGTCGAGTTCAGTTCCGCCGGTGATAAAGTCGAGGAAAGTGAAATCCATCCAACAGTACACTTTGTGGAAGTGCAGCTTGCCCGAGTCGGTGTAGCGCTTCGATTTGGCCGCTTTTTTCTCGTTGATTAGCTGGAAAAAGGGAGACAATTAGACAAAATCGTTGAGAATCTGAGCGAAAAATCGCATACAGCAAAACCTCTCTATAACGAACAATTTCGGAAATATAAAGAATCAATCTCAGATTTTGATGAAACTTGGCACAAATTTAGAATAATTGTTTCTAAAATCTATGTGAGAATCCTAGCTGACGCTTTGCAGAAACAACATTGATTTTTATTAGGGTGGTCCAAAAGTCTTTTCGTTTTTTTTGTTAAAACTTTAAACATAATTTTACAACAAACGAAAACTAGTTAAGTTTCGAAGTAAAGGCCATTTGAATCTATGGCTTGAACCCATCTATCGGCAAGTTGTTCGATCCCGCTGCGGTACCACTCCTTGTTCTTAGAGGCGAAAAACTCGCGGCACCCGTTTTCGACATCGTCCAGATCATTGAGGCTACGACCACGCAGAAAGTGTGCCATGGAGCGAAAAAGGTGATAGTCGTGTGACACAATGTGCAGACTATTCGCTGGATCTGGAAGAAGTTCAATGGCGTCGAGAGTTTTGATCTTTTCCTTCGTTTGTTTGGCGGTGCGAGGTTTTGCGTTGTCTTGTTGCAGGGGTGCGCGGGTTCGTTTGATCAAAGCGGGATATTTTTTGCCAATCGCTGCATACATTCGATCGAGTGGAGCGTAGTAGAGCTCTGCGTCGCTAGTCCGACCATTTGGAACGAAGTCGAAGTGAATTACGCCTTCAAAATTGCTTTTTAAGACGTCTTGCCCTCGAGGTCCGTGTCGCCGTCGTTGAATCGCTTGAACCAATCGCGCAGTACGATCTGAGACCACATTGTAGCCTTCAACTTCGCTTATCTTCTTTGCTGCTGCAGTTGCGTTGAAGCCTTGTTTTCGGTAATAACGTAAAAAAACACGAATTTCGGATTTTTCCATGTTTTTTCTACAGCTTAAAAGATTTTAAATAAAAGACCAATTAAAATTTTTAATATATATTATGATAAAGCAGCTCAAGACCTTTAAAAACATATATAATACATTCATCTAAAAGTCTTTATTTTGTACAAAAACAATTGGACAAAAAGACACCTGAAAAAACGAAAAGACTTTTGGACCACCCTAATAGATCGAAAGTCGGCGAAAATTTGACACTTTTTGCCGAATCTTGGCACGAAAAATTTCATGCCTATTTCTACTATAGAGTGTAATTTTTCCACAAAAAATCAGTCTTTTCCGCACGAAACTAGCAAAGTTACGGTCAAAAAAGTGTTTTTTCTCTGACCGCTCTCCGCGTTTAGCGTACTCTTTCGGCGGCAAAGGCCGTTCAATATCTCGGCGGAGCTTGCAAAGTGCGAGCTAAAACTTTCAGGAATTGATATTTAATTTATGCTCGATGTGTGTGCAAAATTTAAAGAAAATCTGAGCGTTGCACTTGGGGCACTTTCCTTGTAAGCCGAAATGTAACAACACCTTTCTGTAATAAAAATTTCTCAAAGTTTGAAGCTTAGATTTCGATAAAACTAGGCCTCAGCTAAGCACAGCATTTTTTTGTCATCTTGTAGGGGACATGCTGAATTTTAAAGCCGACAAAAGACTTACCGGCAAGGTTTTATCAATTTTGTTGAGCAGCCGATTGACAGTGGTCGTGCAACTTCCCACCAGATCGTGATTCCCATCATTGTCCCAATCGTAGCACTCGATCAGAAACTCCCGATCCTTGTCCCCGTAACAGAGCTGATTGATATGGACCTCGAAGGGCTTCCATTTCGGGTTCAGGGTCTGCTCGTGGTACCGGGTTCGATATGCAAGCTGTAGACTGAAAATGAAGCGATAGCAACTGGGTTGATTAGGTTTTAAAGTTGACTTTTTTATTGATTTTTTGGAAGAAAAAGTAAAAATCACAAATTTGGAAGGGGTTTTTTTTGAAAATTCGATATGTCCCCAAAAATGTTATCCCCAGACGGCCAAATCTTTGTTGACTATTGCTCGAATAACTCTGAGGATTCAAAGATTTTAAATTAAAATTATTTTTTAGAGACAAACACGTCTTACATGTCAAAATTTGATGACTTTTACATCAAAAAATATATATTTTTTAGAGGATTTAAAAATGAATGCAAAAATTGCAACTTACGTTCGATCCTCATTGTATCGGAAAACCTTCAAGAAGGGATCGCATTTTCCCAAAAAGTCTTTCCGATCCAAATCCGAGGCCGAAACAACAAAATAGACCGATTCTTGGCGTCCTTCGCTCAACTCCTCGGCCGTTACAGTGATCGTCCCGTGAGCCTTGCCTTCTTCGCTGAAAAATCAAGAAGGTAAAAAAATCTTAAAATACGTGATTTTATAATATTCATCGTATAACGAAAAGTTTGCCAGGAAAATTTTAATATTCCAATTTTCAAAATAGAAATTTTTGGTCATTTTTTTTAAAATACCAAATTCAGTTTTTTGCATAACGAAAGGCAAAAAATTTAATCAAAATGAACGGGTAAAAATTTGAATATTAAAACATAATAAAAAATAAGAAAATTATTTTAAAATACGATGAAGCATTTTCAATTGAGCTTTTAAAAAATTTTTAATATTCAAAATTTATTCAGATTTTTGTAAATAATATTCAAATTTTAATGTTCAGAATTAAAAAATATTCAAAATTAAAAAATTTAATGATCAAACTTAATTTTTTTTACTGTAAAAATTAATTTCAATGTTTTTAAAATACGACGTTGTGAGTTCAGAAACTTGCTGAAAATAAAAAAAACATTCAAATTTTTATTTATTTTATTTTTTCCCCAACTTACTACAACGTCTTTGTCTTCCGATTATACCGTGATCCCACCACCTCATGCAGCAACATACTGGCCACTCCCATTCTCTTCTTATGAGCTCCTTGTTTGTCGAAAATCTCGAATTGTAATCGTTGCTGTTCCTCGAAGTAATAGGTCAATAGTATTTTTGTGGCCCATTCCGGGTCCAAGGTATTTGTGAGCATTTCGGTTCGGCCGATCTCTTCCCAATGTCGTTGACGGGCCATTGCGGCGTCGGAGACGCTGACCACGCAATACGGGTCGTTACCGCCATCAGGATCGACGTCTTTTAGGTCGCTGAAAAAGTTGATTTTTATGCTGTTTTTGATGATTTTCTTGGAACTTTTGCTTAATTTTTGTCTTTTTTACAGATTTAAGAGTTAAAAAATAATGAATTCTCAAAATTGGAATTAAGAACTTAGAATTTTCTATGAAAATTCCAAAATCGGGTTATGCAGAAATCGCGTTATGCAGAAACAACCAAATTATGACTTTAACACCAATTTTCTTCCTTCAAAAATTCAAAAAATTAATTTTTCCCACCGAATGACGAATTAGTAATACAATTTTTTCCCCTCTAAGAACCATAAATCAGCCCCAGGCCCTTCCAAATCTCGAGCACTTAATCCGTGTTTTTGCTAATAAAAGTGCACATTGTTGTTGTTTTCCCAGGACTTTCTCGCTTCGGATTGACATAAAGCGTATATACTAGTCATAAAAAAGGGGGAACAGAGTTAATGTTCGAATAAAAATTTACTTCCGTTTATATAAAAAAACAACTTTTTTACTTTTTTATTCCCTCAGGAGGTCTACTATATTATTGTTTTGAGGGCAGAAATCAATTTTTTTCTTGTTTTAAAATTGAAAAAATGAATTTTTATGAAGTCATCAGGTCATAATAGATTTCATTTATGAGCTATGAACTTCCAATCAATCATAAAATTTATGAAATTTAATATCCAAAAAAACCCATTTTGTCTAGTACAATATGGCAAAAAAAGTAATACAAAAAAGCTTTTATTTTGTTTTTTGCAGCTCCTCGAGGGCTTTCGAATATCTTACGTTCGTCTTTCATAATTTTTTTCCAATATTTTTAATGTTTTCCACACTTTTTACATCAAAATTCAATTTTATTTGTTTTCCCATTGACCTTGAACATGTCGAATCCACTCGAAAAAAGCAAAAAATGAGCGAGTTTCCGGTGAAAGAGCAGATATGAAATTTTATCATAGTGACAGGTATTTTTTAATAGCATAATTTTTGTAAAAAGTGGGGTAAGAGGGGACCAAAAGAATTTTTTTTTGGAAAAAGTCATCAAAAAATGGATTTTAGGAAAAAACTGGAACAATATTAGAAAAGAAACGCCTAGGTATTGAAAACTGCGTAAAAAAAGAATGAATATTGGCATGGCAAGGGGTGATGGGCAATATTTTTTTTGAAATTTTTTGATTGAAAAATGGGGTTTCTTTAAAATTTTGGCAATTTTCCCTAAATTTCTCATTTTTTTTTTGGAAAAATAGCCTATGGTATTACAAAATCCACCATCCAGAATTCAAATTGAAACATGTGAAAGTACAATAAACAAATTTTTTTTATAGAAACTGTAATTTTTGGATCAAAAAATAATGTTTTTTATGATTATGTATAATATTTTTCGATGATTTTTTGAAATTTTTATAAGCTTTCCCCAGGCAAAAAAATGCCTGCAATATAAAAATAGATGCCTCAAAATAAAAAATAAAGCTACGGCAAGTGTTTACCAATCAAGAATTAATCTTATTTTGATCTTTTTTAGTTTAAAGATCATCAATTTCATTGTTTTTCATCATGTTTTCCTTCGGCATTCAATTTTCATTTCCAGTATGACCTCCAAAAAACTTGGTACATTCATTTCCCGTTCTTTCTCATCGCCATTTTCCGTCGGGCCGCGAAAAAAATTGGAAAATGTTATTTTTCCAAAGCGCACCGTGCAGAAAAAGATAAGGATTAATGCGATGAGAAAATGGAAAAATAAATTAGCCAGGAATTAGGACTCAATAAATCTTTTTTACTCTCGCTCTCAGCCCGAATTGTTGAGTGCTTACAAAACACGGCATTTGAGGGAAATGGCTGCGAATTAGCATAAGGGAATAAAGATTATGGCGAAAAAGGCATGTGCTTTTAGGGGTAAATAGAGTAATTGAACTAAATTTGAAAGGAAATGGGAGTGTTTTCGAAATGGAAATGAGATTTTTGGCTTTTGGAATAAAGGCCGTTTTTGGCTATAAATTATACATTATTTTAGATGGAAAAATTGAAAAATCTTAACATTTTTGGGTTTTTCAAGGTAAAAGAAAGTAAGTAAACGTGATATATCTTGTCGTATTTTACATATAACAATTTTACTATTAAAATATCAATTTTTAAAAATTTTCGCTTTTTGAAATTTTCATGTTTTTTGCTCAAAAAATCAGTGGAAATTCGAAAAATATCAGCAAATATTATTTTGTCGTATTTTACATCACTCCTTGAGCTTTTTTTTCAGTTTTTCACTTTTCAAAAATTTCAAAATTTTCCCACCAAAAATCAATCAAAATTAAAAAAAATCAACCCCAAACAGTCACTTACTGAGCAGAAATCGTGAGCATAACCTGCGCCGAGCGGCGCTCCATGTCCATTTCGTCGGCCATCGCCGATCTGGGAGGCAGCGAGAAGGTGGAGCCGCCGTACACAATTTCCGCGTCGAATGCCCCGCGCCCCGTGCTCATCCGGCGCATGTCCACGGAGTTGCGGACCCGCTCCAGGCCCCGCCCACTCAGCGCTTGGACGGTGCGATGCTCGGCGGCCGACTCCGCGAACGCGACGCTATTTCGGCGGGGCTGCGGCCGCGGGACGGGCCGGTGCTCTCTGCGCTCCGTGTTGTGTCTGTGCGGCGTGTACATGGCGGGCGGCGGGCGGCGGGAATCGGCGGGGTTTCGGAGAAGAAGAAAGTTGGAGGGCAAAATCTCTCGCGGCGAGGCCCGAAAGTTGGGGCCCACTCTTTTACTGAGGCCCGAAACGCCGCCAACTTGGCCCCAATGTCCCTTTATGGAGTTGGCGAGACCTCGAAGCCAACGTTCCAGGTCAGAAGACGCTCGGATTCGCTTGGAACACTCTGAATTCGAAGCTGGATGCTTATTTTGTCTTCAGCTTGCTTCGAAGTCAACAACGCGTCCTCGGAAGCGCGGCCATCCGATTGTAACGAGCGTTGACGTGGAGTCGGGCGAGATTAAGGAGATTGAGCGTAATTTTCGGCCGAAAAACGATTAAGATGGAGGTGGAGGCCAATTTCCGGCCTTCTGGATGTCTGAGTCAGTCGTTTTTCCCAGCGGGCAAGATTCGTGGTACCGTGTAACCAAAGAACCTAAAGTTTGGGGATTAAATTGGGTAAAAGTCCAAAGAGTTTGGAGGAAAATGGAGTTGCACGAAATTTGGCGGAGAAAATTAATAAAAAAATTAATTTTGACATAAAAATTTTTAAAAAAAGTTGCAAAAATTCAAAAAAATGTAAAAAATTAAATTTTTTGTAAAAATTACATAATTAAACATAATGAATTTTTAAAAATAAAAAAATAAAAAAAAATATTTTTTTTAACTCAAAAAACCCAAAAAATTGTTTCCTTTGCTGCCACAGTACCCTAAGCATACAAAGCAAACACCAGTTATGCGGATTAGATTTCAAAGTTGCTATTTTCCGAAAGTATTCCCATTGTTTTGAATTTCAAAGGGAAGAAAAGCTCGGGGTAAAACAAAGAAATTAAAAGATGATAAAAAAAACATCTAAACGTACTCAACAAGAGCTCTTATATAATACACTATAAGCAAGCAAATCAGTCACAATCGCGGGGCTCTTGTTGATTGCAAAGGTCAAGATTGGACTCGTTTGAAGAGCGTCCACACCAATTTATGAGAGAGATTTTTGGAGCTAGAACCAATGTTATTTAGGAGCGTAAATAATAAATAATACATGGATTAGTATAACCGGGGAGGAATGAAATTTATTATGCGGCTAAAATTAGTTGTTCAGCTAGGAAATTTGGAGCGGACAAAGATTGGGATTTTTGAGCAAAAATTGCAACTTTTTGGATAAAAATGGGCATTACTCCAACTGAGATGCCAAAATTTTGATTTTGCTTGATACAAGAAAAGATTGGCCTTTTTGAAAACTACATTCTAGATTTTTAGCGCCCCCTAGATCGAAATATCCAAGATATTTCCGCGTTCCAGATTTTCGGATCGACGAAAGATCGAGCCAACGCAAGATCAATCGACACGAGGCGGAGGACTGGCAGAGGCCCAAAAAAGTCTGTAGTAGGTGCCTACGAGGCCTGGTCAAGCCCTTGGATGCTCGGCGATGACTCGGCGGAGACTTGACGAAGACTTACATACAATACAACCCCTTTTTCCAATGCCTGGCAAAGCCCTTGGATGTTCTCGGCGGAGACTTGATGAAGACTTTGGATATGACCACCTTTTCCAATTTCAGCCATTGCTTACATTAGTTTGCAATGCCTGGCAAAGCCTTGGATGCTCGGCGGACGCCTGGCGGACGCTCGGCGAAGACTTCCAAAATCACTATCATTTATAATTTCAGCTATTGCTAACATTAGTTTTCTTGACCTGCCCTATCGTAACACACAAAAGACCGAACGCTTGCTATAAAAAAAGATAAATCAGAAGTTGATATACGTTCTACATAGAACATTTATCATGTGTGCAAAGGAGATATAAAAATTTATTTTTTCTCCAAGCTAAGTTTACAAAGATCCCTCCGATAAACCGCTTATCAAACAACTGCAATGTAAATAATATTACGAATGGCAATATCGAACAACACAACCCACCTCAACCGGAAACCCCAAAGAGTAATCTCCAACGGATTAGATTACTATTTACCTGATGGAAATTGCAGTTAATTTCGGCCTTGGAGATAGCACCAAATTACGGGGCTTTAGATATTTTCGGAGGCCTGACGTTCTCCAAATAAGGCAAATTACTCAAAATGTAGGGAAGGAATCACGAATGTAGGCGGTGTTCGCGGGTATTTGAGGCATGAAATGTTTGTTGATTGCAAAAATTGAAGCGCAGCTTTTCCTGGAACAAGTTTACATTCATTTTTCGATGACAAATGCGATTTTCTCAGTTTTTGAAAAAAAACCGGCTTTTTTACACTTTTCAAGTTGGTCAAAAATCATCATGTTTTTGCGAATCTATAGATAAAGAAATTGTCAGCCATATTTTCATTAAAGACAGCAATGTTTCAATAAAAAAAAATCATTTTTTTTAACGACAAGACATTACAGTGAGGGACCTGATCCAGTGGCAAAAAAACGTATCGTTTTGCATCCGAGAAGTATCAAAAATGTGGCAAAATGCCTCCCTCTTCAACTAAAAGCTCTAGGTTTTGAATCCCTTTCCCTCACAAAAAGAGTGGGCACGCTTTTGATATCGGAGTTTTTTCACTTGGAGAGGGAGATATTTTGCTGCATTTTTGATACTTCCCGGATGCAAAATAGTACGTTTTGGGTCAATGGATCAGGTCTGCCACTGTAGCAAAGACATGTATGACTATCCTTCATTCGGGGGGCACATTTCATTTAGACCAGACCAGGTACTGGCCCAATATATGTAGCTACAGTTCCAAAATTCTTTGATCAGCTGGCGAATGAGTTGAAATTACAGCCAGGTTTTCAACGCCTTGTCAAATTCACTAGCCAAAATATCAGAATGGCCGTGAAGCCTCAAAAAAAGGCTTGCCAAATGGCTAGAATGGAGGTCAAAGAACCGGTATTACAATTTTTTTTTCATTAGCCAGCCAAACTGTCAAAATCATCAGTGTAGGTCACATAAAAAAATTGTAAAATTTTTCATTCAGATCTAAGCTTCACACGTGAGCAATCCCCTTTTCATAGTGTAAAACAAGTCTCAATTTTCGACAAAAACACCTTATCCCCGCCAAACTTTCCCAACGAACTTTGAAAACATTCCAAATACCGGCACTTCCTTGGAAACGCCGAATTCATGGCCGAAACGCAACATTTCACATCGCTGCACATAACAAAGATGGAATAAATGTCTCATTTCTCGCGGGGTGAGCGGCTTTTCGCGTTCCGAAATAAATGCCCTCGAGGAAATTAAATTAACTCATTCCCACTCTTATGAAATTCCGAGTGAGTACAAAAGATATCGAAACCGAATTAAAATAATATTAGTTTTAATCGAAAAGCGGGGAATTAGGATGAGGAAACGGTATTGGGCAGGGTCAAAGAACACTGCCTTCAGCGCTGGTCTTATAAGGACCAATTTTAAAAGAGTTTCACCCCGAATTAAACGTATAAATTTTGGATGAACCTTGGCCAAATTGAGAGAAAAAATTTACCAAAAAATGAAAAAATACAAAATTTTCGGTTCGTATTTTAGGCTCCAAAAACCGAAAATTGCCAGAACTGTGATATTTTGTCTGCGATTTCAAGGGCCAAAAAATCAAAAAAGAATATTTTTTTCAAAGAAAATTCAAAAAGTTGCAGCCAAAAACATTTTTGTCTAGCCAACTCTCCTCATTTCCTGTGCTCTCTCGCAAAAAAGTTATAGAAAATCTTGGCTGCCACAGCAAAAATTTAACTATTTATGCATTTTCTGTTATATTAAAAAATTCAATCTGGCATTTTCTCCAATAGCATGTGAAATTTTTTTTATTTGTTATGAAAAAACCCCATTGTCCGCCGGCTCATTTTGACCTACAATTGGCCCATGGGCCTACAAATTTTTTTGTTGTAGACAGCTTTTGTTCCTCTGAGGTTCTACTGAATAATGGTCATGGCATAAAGTCACGACATATTTATCGCGGATGTCGCGCGCGGAAAATGAAGTTAGCTCGCGCGAAAGTTCATGTCGCTAGTGCAAAAATCAGGAATCGCCGCGACAGGTCCTAAAAAAGAAAAAAAAAACACGGTAAAAAGGTTTCGGGACTTTATGGTATATTTTATTAAAGCTCTAGTACATTCAAAGTTTTTTTAGAAATTAAAAAACCACCCTAAAAGTCCCTCAAAAAGGTCAAACTTTGATTTTTCATCAAAAAAGTTTTTATACATAATAGCAATTTGCATCTTTTTTGGGCCAAAACTAAAAAATTTCAGTGCCTTCTCAATTTGCAAAAAAGCAGAGGCATTACATCTTTTTGAAAAACGAAGCTTATAATTCTTCCGGATCCCCAAAAAATGAAAATTGGCCTAACTAGAACAACGAAGAGCCTTCTGAAGCCGCTCTAAGTTTAAAAGAATATTCTTTTCCTTCGATTCCAGGTGAATTGTTCAAAGTTTGAAATGCAAAATAAATGTGTTGAAATGAGCGTGTTCTCTTGGAACTTGCGGCTATTTCTGAGCATGGGAGGTACGAAAGAAAGGGCAGGTAAAAATAAACAGGCTTAAAAAGAGATTTTGGTGAAAAGTTTTTGTGTACATGCACTTTTACTTTAGAGAAATGAAAGTACATTTGAAATTTCAAAAAAACGTCCAATTAGAATTTTTGAAAACCATATAGCTTTGTGATAACAAGCACACATACAATAAACCTTCTCTTTTACGAAATATTTTTGCCCCAGTGAGATTTAGAAAGGCTGTCCCAAAAAAAATAGTTTTTCTCTGACCGAGTCTCTTCATTTTCTATACTCTCTCGCATAAATCTTCTTAAATTGTCGCCCTTGAAAATGCCGCCCTAAAATTTCCAACAATTGACTTGTGACTTACTCAGAATAAGTGTTCAAAATTTGAGGCAAATCCGACAATAGCTCACCGAATAAATTCAATTGCATTTCCGAAGTCTTGGTTTTTTGAGTCAAAAAAATTCGATTACAAATTCTTTCTTTGAAAATGAAATTTAGGTAGAAATGCTGTCTATGAATGCAACCAAATGATTCTCATGTTGAAAAAAAAAGTAAAAAAGTTAATCCCGAAACAATAAATTGCCCTACAACGAACGTAGGCCTCGTCTTGAAGAAAAAACCAGCCGAGTTTCTCCAGCGAGCCCTTGACTTTCCGCTCGTATGGGTATTAAAAGTCTTAAACTCGGGACGAAAAAAACGAAGAAACTATTCGAAAAATGGCAAGGTGGAAAGTGGAATAAACAAATTTTAGTTTTGTCGTATGTTCTTGGATTTGAGAGGTCATATTTTAGGTTGATCCTTATTTCAGGGGCCATAATAAACAGAGAAAAGTTTTTTTTGAAAATAAAAAATTTAGTTGTGCCAAATTTCATCAAGATCTATCAGTCCGTCGGGAAAATAATGTGGATTTGTCGCAGCAAAATCTCTGGCTTCTTCGCCGCACCAAATCCCCAGCTGCGACTAGGCGTCGCCATAGAGATGATATGTGATTCCAACGCACAAAAAATCCTCATTATTTTCCCGACAGACCTGCTAAAGTCATCATTTTAAAAATTTCAAACTAAAAGCCACCCAAAAAATCAAAATTCCAAAAAAATGTCACTTTATTACACCTATACACACATATATACGTTCTTATTTTCCCTCCCCAGCAACATTCGCATACGTGTCCTAGGTGAGAGACAAGATGATCTACAACAAAAGACATCGCCGAGTAAACACCCATTCTTACTTTATACGATTACATCGCCTCAGTTCCAAAACAAATTATCTGTAGGCGCGAAGAAAAAGAATTTCCGAAGGGCGCGTCAGACGCGAGAAAAATGAGATTTAATCCGAACGATATTTATGCCGCATTAAGGCCGATTATTAGAGAGTTTTTTTGGGGGGAAATAGTAGTTCGTTGAGGCTGCGAAATTTTGTGGTAATTTGAAAGTTTTATTCAGGGCTATATACTCGGAAATAAAAAGGTTTATAGAGAGTAATTAGAGGTCGGAGGGAACTACGAGTGCTTTGTAGTACTAAGTAAGAGTTTACTGAGGATCTGGCGATTAATTTTGGGAATGGAAGTTACAGTAACCAAGTGGAAGTGGTCAACTTTTGCAAAGTTTGGAACAAAAAAACCTTGTAGGTTTTCTAAGAATATCTGAAAAATTTTAGACATCACTAGATCGCGTTATGCAGAAATGACTGAGATATAAGCCAAAAATTAGTGGCAAAAGTTACAGTAACCCAATTGAGTTACATCAAAACAAAATTTGGCCAAGTCAGAGGGACATCTTTTAAATTAAATTTGGAAATCTTCAGACCGCGTTATGCAGAAATCAACATGTTCAAAAACCCATTTTTTTTTAATTTTTGAATTATCTTTGCCTCAAATTTTTTTTTTATTTTTGCAAAATTTTTCTGGCCAATTTTTTTCTTCCTTCTCAAAATGACGGATTTTTTGCCCAATAAAACGTCATTATTTCAAAATTTTGAATTTGCCGTCATACAGAAGCCGCCAACGAAGCAGCAGCGACCCGGAACCAGACCCACTGAAACCATTGGCCTTTCATCCCCCGAAAAAATTTGGTAAACGACAATTACGGAGGGTCGGGCTTCTTAAGGCCTTGACAAATTGGCTTTTACAATGCCGCAGGGCATGTCAGCATTCTCCGAAATCTCGAAGATTTTGCACAAAAACAAGCGCCTTAAAAGGCCCAAAAGATTTTAACGATTTCAGAAGAGGACACAACAATCTTCGACTAAACAGTAATGTAATCTGAAATTTCCGCAAACGAATCGCGGAAAGTCAAATAAGGCCTGAGGCAATGAGACGGAAGTCGGCGGGTCGAGAGGAAGTCAAGGAGGTAAGATATACATCAAGGCAGTTGTGTCGGCTTACGATAGCTGAGATGCTCGAGGTTTGCGGCTTTCCAGCGAACAGTTGGATAGATCTATGATTGTAAGGAAAGTGCTCAACGGAAGTGCCTGAATAACCGACAAATTTTGCACATATTTACTATCTAGGGCATAAATCAATTTCTGAAAATATTAGCACACGCTTCGAATAAAGATTCAACAATCATGAATGCGGGAAAAAGTAGGATCATTAGCTGAAAAATGACTTTTCTCAAGGGTCATTCTTGGGGTTGTTTCTATAAAATTTTGCTTGAAATTTCTCTTCAGACCGTACTTCTATCTACTGCAGAAAAATCCGGCTTATTTTTAATTATCATTACAAGCTAGCCGGAATTTTTAACATCTTGCTGGACCGTCATTTTGGAGCAATACATGATGTTCTCAATGGGAATACTATTCTTTACCCGAACACACAGTTCGCATATCTTCCAAATTTAGTATATACGTGTATCTAATAGCCAGCCACATATTGATTCATGAAGATAAAAGCTCGCGCCTTTCGTAAGCCAAGATATTCATGGGTACCTACAGAAACTAAAATGAAAATCAGAAGTCGGAGAAAAAAGTTATTCAGCCATATTTTTTTGGATTTATGAGATAAATACCAAAATATTACCGTATAAATTGTAAGTTCCATCCCCAAAATGATATTCTAGCCCATTTCCCTCCCTCTAAAGCCTGTTTCATCCTGTGTAAACCCTACAAGACACACTTGTAGCACCTCTCAAAGGCCATTTCGAGCCATCTTCTCTTCGGAAATGTCATCAAATAATGTCACACAAAAGATATTACCTCATTTCTTTTGCAGTGAAAACAAAGAGGGTGTTTCATTGGTCATGCGATCCGAAGAAAAGGATATTCCATTTCGATTTGTAAACCGTTTATCGGAGAAGCGGATTAAACGAAATCTTTAATCAGAGCGAGTAGTCGTAATCTTAATCTCCGCATGCCATAGTGCTTACACGTGATGAACAAGCGAAACATCTCGTTACATCATCAAGATATTTACAATTTAATTCGGATATTGCGGCTAAAAATAGAGGTTTGGGGGCAATGATTTGTGGGCAGAAAGTTGCTCGCAAATATTCTGCAAATGCGACATCTGCACGAAACTTTCGGTCGATGGAAGATTCTGAGCAGTTGTCTAAATGCATGAGGTTTTATTCCCACCCATTTTATCAATTTTTTTGCATATCATCTATCTAGTCCGTAAAAAATTGCGGAAATTTATTACACGCGTGACCCGTAACACTAAAAAATTTTGTAAAAAGACGGGGCCGGGACTACTACAGTGGCCCACCTGATCCAGTGGCAAAAAACTACCTTTTTGTAAACGGGAAGTATTTTAAAAGTAGCAGAATACCTCCCTCTGCAAGTGAAAAAACTCTGATTTCAAAAGCCCGCTTTTTTGTGAAGGAGAAAGGCCTTCAAAACAGAGTTTTTTTTGTTAGAGAGGGAGGCATTTTGCTATATTTTTTGATACTTCCCGCATGCAAAATGGTATTTTTTTGTCACCGGTGCACTGTAGTCCGTTTGACAAGTCGCTGAAGTGATTTTTGCGACATGCACTGTGAGAAAGCATAAGTGGACCTTGAATATAATTTGTTGATTTTTGCCCCATGCAATAAGCTTTTTTGGGCTGCCACTTTTACCTTGACCTTTTTTTGGACAGTTGATCTCGTAGAAATCATTTCAGCGACTTTGTCAATGGCCTAGAATCCTAAAATTGGGGAAAAGGAATACAAAATCGATCTTTTGGCTAGCCAGGTGAATTTTTTGCTAGTCCATCCTGACAAACCCCGATACATACTGTTTTTTCAATTGCCCTGGCCTTAGTAAACCACAAAAAAAAACCAAATTTCACCTCAAACACGCTCTAAAAATCTTGGTATTCTCTTTAAATCCGAAGCTTTTATATTGCCCCATATTGGGCCAAAATCAGAAATCACTTGATTTATGACACCCCAAAGAATATTTATAGCAGCACTTACAACTCCACACACATCATCTGCACACGCCGCAATTCTAATTTCGATCCTTTAGAGTACAAACCGGGCTGCTAAGCGGGTCGAACGATGATCCCCGCAATTGCCCAAAACCAAAGCCAAATGAATGATGTGCGGTGTCAAGCGCTTCGTTTCAAATTGGTCCAGATGTGAAGTGTGTGTTCGGTTAAAAGTCTTTTTATCTTTGGATAATAAAATAAGGGAAATACAAGAACACTTTCTTGTAGTTTATCATTTATTTTGGGTTTTTGGGCAGGTGGGAGAGATGTAATGTGTCTTTGATTAGCCTTTGAAATTGCGGTTTTACCGAGTCCACAGGGGAGCACTGTAGCGTGCACAGCGTTCTGATGTTTTTCGCTGACGATAAGTGTCCAAAAAAAATAAAAAGTGGCCATAAGGTTTTGATTAACTTCGAGATTATTGCCCCAAATAACCAGCCATCAGCAAGCAGCATGGAAACGAAATTTACATATTTGAAAAGGAAAGCTACTGTACAGAATACTTTTTTTATTTTGTTGTTGTCATTTCCGGCTAGACATAAACACACAAAAACTCTATGGCCACTTTTTCGACTTTATTTTTTTCGGACACCGATTAGTCAGCAAAAATTTCGGAAAGCTGTGGCGTGGAGAATAAACATAAAAGTTTAGAAAATCATGATGGGAATGGCAATCCGGGATACGAAATTTTTAGGATGATTGAGGATCTGACCAAGCTAGAACAATTAGGCCCAAACTTTGTAAGGCACTGCGTCTCGGCTGCTAAAAGTTTTCACTTGTGTCTCCCAAATCCGTTAACTCTTCTTCGTCAGAGAAAAAATGCCTGATGTGCAAAGCCCATACTTCTACAAATTAACAAGGTTTTTAAGCCTATACGTATTTTAAATTTTTTTTTTGTTAGAATCGAGCTTTGTCTTAGCAGCGAAACACCGGACTGCAGGCTGGCTGAAGAATTTATTTTGATGCCAATATGCAGTCTTAAACTGAAACCTGTGGCGATGTTTTTCCTGTCAGGGTTGCGGAAAGGAATCACGGAACAACCATATTACGTGTACTAATATGTATAAGTGGGAAATCTTTGCATATGTGCTACCACAATTATTCACATGAACTTTCCTCATTTTCAACAGTCTCTTGACTGCAAAAAATCGTTGAATTTCATCGCGAGGATCGCTGAATGACACCTTTGCCAATGTTCATGTTTTTTGTGACGTCAAGTCTTTTGTCGCTCCAAAAGTGCTTCGTGCTTTTCAGACTGATGTATCGGCTGCCTGCAAAATAAAATATTTGGGAATTGACAGATGTCATAAATTCCCGCAAATTTGGAAGAAGCTTTGTTTTTTTGCACATTAGCCACTCCCATAACAAAATATAAAACAAAAACAAATGAAAAAAATATGACTTTATTTTTCCAAACTCTATGTACATCTTATACATAATTAAGAGCAAACAAAAATTCAAAATTTTCTCCAAAAATATGACCAGAGAAAGCTATTGAAGACAAATACAATAAAAACAAAAAAAAATTCAAAAATTTTTCATTATAACAGTCTGATCGCGGGATCAGGATTTTCTTGCACCGTGATTTCCTCATTCAAGTATCGATATCCCCGATAAACAACGCGCAATAAATAATACTCCACAAGGCCAATACCCAAACATAGCAGGGAAATGATGATGACAAAGAGGAGAGTCATCGCCTGGTCCTCTTCAAAGTATTCATTGGCTCGCAAAGTCTCGGGTAGCCCCACAATTAATGCGGTGACTCCGAAAAAGAACATCACCACTGCCATCAACATCGTGAAGACTAGCATCATTCCCTGAAAGAAAAAATTTTTTATATTTACATTTTTTTTTGAGTTGATGAATTTTTTTTACTTTTTGAGTAGACGAAATCTTGTTTTAGCAAAGTCACTTACATTAATCACCAAATGCGGCCAATAACAGCACGGGATTCCTTGTCGATTCCCCACCAACAAACACCATGGTGAGATGCCCGAGGCAACGGCGACGAAGATCCCACTGTATTCTTTGATCGCTATCGACGCGGCGACCATGGGAAATGCGGAGAGACCCCATTGGATACAGCCGAAGAGGGCGATGAGAAATACTCCTTGCTGAAGATAATTGTGGTTGAAAAAAGTTTAGAATGACGGTAATTAAGGGTTTTTGAATTATAGACATTGTTTATCATCACGTATTTTACAAATTTTATATTTATAAAAGTTAAACTCCAGCCTTTTTCTAGCAAAATTTTGTGATTTTTTAGGTGTAACTTACATGAACATGTGTACCACACAAACATAAGTAGTATTCGTCATACTGGTTCATTCCACCCTGAAAAAAAGAAATCATCGGTTGACAGTCAACCACAAGAAAACAGAAAAAAATAAGATAAAAATCGGTAACCACGTATTTTACAATAAAAATTATAAATCAGAGTACATGATAAGTAAAAAGAAAATAGAATCAAGAGAAATGAGAAAAATCTTAGAAGCCTGAAAAAGTCTCCGGAACAGCGTCTTTGGCGTGGAAATACGGTCTGTAGACGATCCACATTTCTAAGAGATGATAAATGGTTTCAAAATCAAAAAAAGTAGCAAATTTCTCCCCAACAAAGATCTAAATTTTGGAGGCGTTTACGTAAATTCGAAAAGTCATAAAGTATATGTAGCCTCAGAATTTAAATCTATAAATTTCATTCCAATTTCTGGGCTATAAGATCAACGACAGGTCTTCAATGAAGACAAAAACCCCCGTCTTTAATTTCAGAGAAACAAAATTTTTTCTCCCACAAGAAACAATTCAAATAAATCTTCCAAGACTAACAAGACTGATCCCATTTTAACGTCAAATTTGAAATGCAACAAACTGCTCGGCACTTCTTACTACTTTGTCTTCCGAAACGGCTTTATGAGTAATCTTTATGGGGAAATTGAAAAAAAAAACAAATCCCAAAAAAACTCGGAAACCCCGTAGAAAGGAGAATGAAACAAACCCGGGGCCAATTCTTTTTGGGGCTCTTAATTCTTTTTCTATCAGTTGGAGAAACTAACTGCCCGAAGACAACGGACAGTCCCAGTTCGAATGAAGATTAATCTCGAGATTGTTTTTGCTTTTTCAACGATAATCTAAAGAAATAGGAAGTGAGAGGCGCTGTAAAAAAATTATGTCTGACTTTTTCGAATTTTAGGACTTTTGGCATTAGACGGTGTAAAATTTCCACAAAAAAAATGTCCTCCAATCACGAATCCGAGAATTAAAGCTGATAAACCGATTCTGCTTGTTACTAGTCCGTTCGCAAAGTCGCTGGAGTGATTCCGCGACATGCAATGTGCGAAAACAACAGTCCGCCTTGCACTGTGCAACTTCTTGCTTTCTGCACCGTGCAACAGGCTTCTTTGGGATGTCGCTCGCACCCTGACTTTTGCACTGTGCATATCGCCAAAAATCACACCAATGACTTTGCGGACGGACTATGTAGTGTTACCCTGGTCCATCAAGGACGGTGAATATCACCGTTGCGCCTAAAAAATAAAAAAAAAATTTAGTCATCGCATAACAGGAAAGTTTGTCAAAATCTGTGCACTCAAAAGAATCGAAGAGTCTCACTTGGGTTTTATGGTTTTACATGTTCCCCATGTAAACCTGGTCCGAAGCGGACACCTGGGGGAAGAACGCATCTGGGCAAACAGTGCACTTTGATGAAAAATTATATGTTAAAAGACGATTTTTTGGCTCGCTGCGTCAGCGGTGGACATAGGAAAAAATTGATTTTGAGTTTTTTACATAAAAATGACCGCCGACATGTGCTAAGGAAAAGCGAACAACAGTTTTTCTCAATTCTGCCCGGAAGGCATAAATTTGCTTATATATGTCTTTTTTGGAATTTTCGACTTGGCGACGTCATAGAAAGAGCAAATCACCCAAAATTTTGCTTGTATACGTTTTCGACCATTGGGAATTCATTTTTTTGAAAATTAAGTCTCTCAGATTACTGTAACATAGGCATATTGTAATCCGGTCGATAAAAATCGACCGTAACTCCTTCGTATCAAAAATCCCACAGGATTTTATTTCAGATTCGGAATCAGCATAAAATTCTGCATATTATACACATAATGTGAGGTCATAACTCCAGGGGGGAGATCGCGTAGTATATTGGATTTTGGCAAAAATTACGTTTGAAAGGTCGCGGGTTCGATCCCCGCTTGGTGCAAATATTGAAAACACGGCGGAAATTGCGTTTAATGGACACCTAGGGGTTATATGAGATACACTAAGCAATTTTAAACATTAATGCATATCTAATTGCGATTAAAACTTTTTTTATATAATTTTTGGAGACTGAATATACAAAAAATGAAATTGCTTCAAACCGCTTGAAATTGGCAACACTTATTCTAGGGTCAATTGTAAGAAACTTTTGTGTTAACTTTTTTTGGCAGATCACCGTACCATGGATTACTGTAGCATTAAACGTGTCCTGATTAACAGCAATTTTCTTCAAAATTCTTGCATAAAATATTAAATCGTTTTAATTAGTCGTTTTAGACAGCGAAAAGATCCAGTTTCTATATATGAAAGAAAATTCGACCTTAATTGCAACGCGTCTTGATGTCATAATCAATTGGTGAAAGTGCGTCAAATAACTCGGCCATTCCAAACGGTACAGCCATAAAAAATTTTTTTTGTACACAAGAAAACCCTTTCTTAACCATTCTGAGCACAATGATGACAATGCGACTTCTATGCGCCATGTGGTACACGAAAAACCAAATCAGGTTTAATGTTACAGTAATCCATGGTACGGTGATCTGCCAAAAAAAGTTAACACAAAAGTTTCTTACAATTGACCCTAGAATAAGTGTTGCCAATTTCAAGCGGTTTGAAGCAATTTCATTTTTTGTATATTCAGTCTCCAAAAATTATATAAAAAAAGTTTTAATCGCAATTAGATATGCATTAATGTTTAAAATTGCTTAGTGTATCTCATATAACCCCTAGGTGTCCATTAAACGCAATTTCCGCCGTGTTTTCAATATTTGCACCAAGCGGGGATCGAACCCGCGACCTTTCAAACGTAATTTTTGCCAAAATCCAATATACTACGCGATCTCCCCCCCTGGAGTTATGACCTCACATTATGTGTATAATATGCAGAATTTTATGCTGATTCCGAATCTGAAATAAAATCCTGTGGGATTTTTGATACGAAGGAGTTACGGTCGATTTTTATCGACCGGATTACAATATGCCTATGTTACAGTAATCTGAGAGACTTAATTTTCAAAAAAATGAATTCCCAATGGTCGAAAACGTATACAAGCAAAATTTTGGGTGATTTGCTCTTTCTATGACGTCGCCAGGTCGAAAATTCCAAAAAAGACATATTTAAGCAAATTTATGCCTTCCGGGCAGAATTAAGAAAAACTGTTGTTCGCTTTTCCTTAGCACATGTCGACGGTCATTTTTATGCAAAAAACTCAAAATCGATTTTTTCCTATGTCCCGGGTCCATTACGGGCTGACGCAGCGAGCCAAAAATCGTCTTTTAAGGGGGACAAGGGCGGATTTTTTTGAAAGGTTTGTTTAAATATATAGTTTGTGAAAAACTCGCACCTTGGAGTAAGATAAACCAGCCGTAAGAAGTTCTTTTACATGGGTTATACTTTCTACATACATAAAGACTTCTACCTACCTTCCGCCTGTTCACAAGTTCGAGTTCTTTCTTACGAGCCTCTTCCTCTTCTTCCTAAACAAACGGTGATTTTTCATAGATATAGATACCTTAAGGCGTCTCATTAATTCCGGGATCGATGGTCGTTCCTTACGCAGAGATTCTTCTTTTATCGACACATAGTTTTTGATACTTTTCTTACGAATTTTTTGATCCGCAGAGACCTAAAAAGCTATGATATGTCGCAGTTAATTTTTTACCTGACTACGAGATACTGTATTCAGGTGTTCGAACAGCAAAAGACGTTGTGGTTTCTGTGCTTCTGTGCCTTTATTGCGAATACTATAAAGATCACGATCGTTTCTCCTGAGTGGTTCCGAGTTTTCATGGCGATACAAACCTTAAGATAGAAGTTGCAACGCCCTTCTTAAATCTCTAATCAAAAAACACCTACTTTGTTTTTGAGGAAATAACAATGGGCCCACAAGATTGCCAAATTGTGGCCCTCCTCTTTGACTCCTTACGATGCCAAATTGTGGCTCTTCCCTTTGACTTCTTACGATACGAGTAGCAGCAAAACCGTGAAGCTCCATGAGATAAGCACAAATAAAGCGTTGGAAGGTAAAAATTTAGTCGCTAGGATGTGATGGTCGCGTCTTTTTTGGCGCAAGAAGGCTTTTTTTTAACATATCATTCTTTTTACATAGCAATAAAAATAGATGGAAAAAATCTGCCTTGGCCTTTTACGATATACATTTTTTCGCAAAGCGCTATGCTTGCCCAGGTGCCCTCTTCGGATCCAACAAAATCAGCAGACAAATTATACATCTCTTAATATTATATAACAAAAAACAAGGTTTCCTAACTAACGTCATTTTGACAGATAAAGTGTTATTCCAAATTGTAAGCCACAACCATAAAAAAATTTTTCAAAATTAAAACACGCGGTGAGTAATTGCCTCAAAATTGGGATTTATCCACTCAATAAAAACCAAGGACCAAAACAAAAACAAGAAGAGTGAATTTGAATATTAGATTCCCTGTTGCACTTCCTCACATAGCAGTGGGTATGACATTCTGTCCCTTTTCCTAATGAGCCCTTAAATTTAGGGCCAAGAATAAACGAAGAGGGCGGTATATGTTAATTAAAACCTCCTCAAGCTCGCTATTTTCTACTACTCTTAACGTGTGTATTGAATGAGGGAAAATAAGATAAGAGTCTGGTACGAAAAAACGTAAAAGGTAAAAGAACTTTTACAGTATTTTCAGAGGCTAGAGCTCAATTCAAAGCGTTGAACAAAGGATTGATGACAAGGGTAATGCGGCTAGCATATACAACTTACAAAAAATATAGAAAGATCTTGTTTTAGTCACATTCTTGAGATGCTTATCAACAAGCTTTAAAAATTTTATCCACAATTTCAGTGGGGGACCTGATCCAGTGGCAAAAAACGTACCATTTTGCATCCAGGACGCATCAAAAAATGTGGCAAAATACCTCCTCTCCAAGTGAAAAAAACTCAGATTTCAAAAGCGCGCCCCTCTTGTTGTAAGGAAAAAGCCCTTCAAAACGGAGTTTTTTTCACTTGGAGAGGGAAGCATTTTGCCACATTTTTGATACTTCCCGGAGGCAAAATGATACGTTTTTTGCCACTGGATCAGGTCTCCCACTGTATTTATCAACAACCGTAAAAACTTTTATCCATAATTATATGCACTTTTATCGCAAAAGATTGACTTGAAGCGCTTTACACCCAATAATTAAGTTAATTTATGGCAAAACAGGTCGTCTAGCCTGTTTAATTTGCCGTGTTGGTCGCCTATTTTGACCGTAATGCCCTCTGAATTCGAGGAAATTCAATTCCACTGTCCAACTTTGATTGCACTTTCATAAATTATGCGACATTGTCCGTCACTTGGAGGTCGTGGATGTCTTAAAATCGGAATAAATTAACATAAAAACCTCTAAAAACAAACGCCGAATGTCACGTTTTGTCTCTGAAAATACAGTAATCATATTCTTGAAGACAAAATTAGACTTTCAAATATCGTCTCCGGCCGTTATTCGACTGAAAAAAATCGCTCTATTTTTAGGAAATATCCCCTCTGACATCTGGTGAAATTGAAAAGTCCCCCTTTCTTCGAAAATCTTGTTGTTTTCAGTGATACAAAGAACGGGAAAGCCGTATTTATTCCGCTGCATAATCAATGTCCAATCTATCAATGGACGGAAAACAAAGCCCGTCTCAAGTTCTGAACTGCGGATTTTCCATTCCCAATTCTGGTTGCGCAAAAAGAAGGAGGAAAACATCTCAAATTCGCATAGTAAATCAATTGCTATGGCTGTTTTTCGACTACGCAAAGGAAGATATTCACCCTCAACTGTCAATGAATTCATTTTTCATGCAAAAAAATTATATTACAGTAGATAAAAAAATGCAAAAACCAAAAAATTGAAGGTCGAAATAAACTTTTATTGCTCTTTTCGACCACTTATGGGCCAGTCTTCACCTTCAACCATCAAAAAATTCATTTTCTCATCGCAACTTATATTACACTAGACAAAAAAATGTTTAGAAATCCCAAATTTCAAGCACCCGGCCAACTTTTTTTTTATTTTTCCGACCACTCACAAACTAAGCCTTTCCCTCAGTCATCAAAAATCCCATCTGTCTACCAAAAATAACTTACACTATGCAAAAGACAACTAAAAATTCCAAAATTTCTTATAAAATAAATCATTTACTTTTCCAAAAACAACAAACTCGGTAACCAAATCAAAAAAAACACCAACTTATTAATTTAGGCGACTGCTGGGATTTCATCAACAATTTTTTTGACATCTCGGAGCTTGAGGATGTACTTGATGTAATGTTCTGTGATTCTTCTGTCCACTTTCGACTCCGCGACTACAATCATTCCATTGTCAACGAAGAAGTCGAGGTCCAGGACAGTATCATCATCATCGGGATCTTTCTGCTCGGCTCTTTCTCTCGTATCTTTTCCAAGTTCATTGACGATCAACTAAAACAATATAAAATTATTTTTCAACATAAAACTAAACTCCAAAATCTCTCAAGTTCTAATCCAACGCACCTTGAAGGTCAATAGTTTTCCCACAAATGTATCCAGTTCAGATTCTCCAATGTCCATGAACGATGCCAATTTAGCGACTGGAAGTGAGGTGTACAATTTCAAGTATCCTCGAAGAACAGGCAAACAAATTTGTGACTCAATTCCCTCCAGGAAAACATTACACTGCCGGATCAACGGTTCCGAAGCCACATTGGATCCATCGAAGACGGTGGTTGTCGGAGACAGAGTCTTCGGAGCTCCTTGCATAAAACAATGTCGGAATTCGTCGATTTCTCTAAAAGATGACGACGAAACATTGTAAAATACTCATTCAATAGTTGATCCATCTAAATACAAAAAACAAACAAGAGAAAAACCTTACCCATTAGACATTCTGAGGACTCTCTCTCCCAGCCGGTCCATCAATTGAGTTTGAATCGCCTCATCGATGCGTTGTGGTTGAAGACACAGGCAGATGGCCAACAAATAATACAATTGCTCGTGGGTTTTGGCAATCTAAAATAAACATCAATTTTAGCTTTTTCAATCAAAAATTATATTACACATGCCAAGTACACCATAAAAACAAACAAAAAAATGTCTGTTTTAACACTCAAAACTTACAACATCGTATTTGGTTGGCTTCTTAGCATTCTGCTGCTGTCCTTGAGGTTGGAGGTTTTGAGTTCGCTGGATGTAAAGCAAACAATTGACGAAGATCTTGGTAGCCTCTCCATAATTTCTCATCATCATGTGGGAGAATCCAACAAAGTAATGGAGAGTCACAAAGCATGATGGAACGGCGTTGTAGAGACCCTAAAAATTAAAAAAGAATTGAAATTGGACTCACCTTTGGATCGAACTCCAAATTCTCCACAGTTCTCAGAGCTTGATGATAATCTCCAAGGAGCACATGCATTCTCAACAACCCAATCAGAGCAAAGTATCCCAGCTTGAAGTACAACGGGGAGCGGCCAAATTCATCAGCAACATCATCGGGATTACCTAAAAATTAAATAAAAAATCATAAAAAATATCAAAAAGTGTGCTTACGTCCTTCCCGAATAGCCTTCAGCTGCTCATTAACCTGTGATTTGTCCAAGAGAGAGTAGAGAATGTTGAGAACTGGATAGATATTCCACACGTTCTCTAATTCTTCAAACTCCAACATCTCTTCATTATCATCGGCAGTTCTCTTCGTAGGGTTGGTACGGTACAAGCAGAAAGCTTGGAATTGATAGACGAACTCATCAATGATATTCCACAACCAAACATTTGGGAGGATAATATCCGTTGGTTGTTCTTTTCCACAAAGAAGTTCAGAAAAGAGCTCCTGATAGTTAAGATAAGATTCGTAGCGATGTTGGAGCGATGGTCCACGGCGAGAACGTTGGTAGAGATCGCGGTAGTAGAGCTCCTTGTAAAGGACGATGAAAAGATGGTCTAAACGTTGAAATAATGGAATAAAAAGACTTACCGAAGCTGTTGGTATCTTCTAATTTCTTGGCATCCGGCCAGCTTCTTTCAGAGAAAAACCGGTCCGACTGTTCTCCGAAAAAGTGCTTGTACAGTTCGTAGACTTCATCCACTTGTTTTTCCTGGATAATTCGATGCAAATAGATCAAGAAATGCAAGACGTCCTCTTGGATATCTAAAGTAATATCCTTAGAGTATAAAAATCTAAAATCATAAACAAAAAAATCATAAAACCACCTACCATGAGGGTTGCTGACCACAAGCTCATCAGAGCTATTTTCGGACTCCATTTTTTCCGGTTTGGCGACCTAAAATTGGATATTACACATGATCGAAAATGTAAAATAGAAAAATCTCATTCTCGCAAATCCTAGAAGAATAAACTCATAATAAAACGCTTGTATATACGTTTGAAAAAGACATCTTCCACTTGTTGGCCAGAATTTCCTCTTTTTTACCCATCTCTGGCTTTCCGTTAAAGTGGGCGTTTGTTTTCGTGGTGGGACTCAAGTTGAGAGTTGACGTTGAGGAAAATTTGAATATTTTAGTTGGTTTTGACTTTGAAATTTGAGATTCAGATGACAAAAAAACTTTTTGTGGTTTAGTTTGTCTATTAGTCAATAAAAGAGATTTTTTTTGTTATATTTTCATTAAAGATGTTATCCATGATAATTTTTCCGCTTCGCTGTCGACAGTCTGTTTCAATGTGAAGAAATCGATGAAATTTATGAAAGCAGGCAAAATTTATGCAATTCTAAAGCCAATAACACAATAAATTTCAAGTTTATGATAAGATTATAACCGTATTAATTGAGAATATAGGAAATAATTGGTATTTCTTGCAAAAAAAAATTGTTTCTAAAATCACAGCTCCACTCTAAAGTTCATCGTGTTTAGGCTTCAACGCGGGGTAGACGTTCTCGACGAACCAGCTGAACGGTTTGCACTCCAACTTCTCCTTGAGGGCCAGGCGTTCACTCAAATCTCCGGCGTCCAGTCGAGCGGCGCTTCTTCTGGCCTTGAAATAGTCTTTTTCGTGGTCTCCCAGCCAAACTTTGGCGATTCGCAGGGTGTTCAGGGCATTCGTGTCGACTCCAGGCTTGGTTTTGTATGGGCGACGCATACGGAAGACGTGGCCGACTCGACTGCACGGGGCGATTTTTACCTTTCCACCGCAAAGCCAGGCCTGAAAATTGGGAAATTTTAGAGGGAAAGGGGGCGAAATAAGGATCGATTTGGATTTTAATCACTTTCTAGGGCGTTATAGTCAATCTACTGTAGATAAAATGGGAAAAAATCAAGAATTATGACATTTTTTAGCGAATTTTGATGAAAAAGACCTTGTTTTTGGCTAAAATCTCAAAAATATCTTTGGAAATCGACTTTTATGGACTGATTCCTTTGTCTCAAGGCCTGATACTTATTCTTCTGTCCCTATACTTCATTGCCATACTATCTTTACTAAAATTTCAACTAAAAATCTATGATATTTTAGCCATTTTCAAACCCCGACATCGCTCCAAAAACCTCTGATAACTCACTCTAATCGAGATCTCAATGTTCTCTCCGCCCCAGATCTCCATTCCCATGTCGAATTCTCCCAATTCCTTGAAGAATTCCCGGTCCACGGCCATCAATCCGCCGGAGAGGGCGGGCGAATCGAACGGCTTCACGTTGTGTTCCTCGGTGTCGAAGTAGGACCAGTCAAAGTATTCCCATTTGAAGTTCAACGCCCAATCGAACCCTCCTTTCGCTACCATGCTCTGCTCGTAGGCAAAGTTTTGAGGGTTGATGAGGTCGACAATTGGGGCGACAACACTGGAAAAATGATGATTTTTTTGGGTTTTTGGTGTTTTCTTGTATTTTTTTAGGGAATTTGAGGAAAAAAGTGGTCTAGAATTATAAAAAAGGTACTAAAAATATATTTCCTATGTTATAATTTTAATTTTGGGCAAGAAATAAGCCCTTGACATTATAAATTATATTATCCATGACCAAACATTGAGTCCCAAAATTTTTACTCTCAAATTTTCTGGAAGTTTAGTAAATATGTTTTAGATAGACCATAATTAAACTCTTCAAAATTTCAGCACTTTCTTTGCAAGCAGAAAAAAGATATTCACAATTTTCTTTGCGAAAGACCATGGCCAAGACCGGTTGTGTCCCAAAAGTACAGAATGCCGTGCATGGGAAATGAGGAGAGTTGGCTGCAAATTGGCAAAGTGCCTTAAAAACGCCTTAAAAAGTTTTATTCTCAATTTCTGCCTCCTTTTCTGCCCTTGACTCATTTTTAAAATCTTTTTTTGCTACTGTAATTTAAAAATTTTTCGAGAGAGTACGTAAAATGAGGAGAGTCGGCCAGACAAAGAAACTTCTTTTGCTTATAACTGTTTGAATTTCTGTGGGAAAAAGTTGATTTTTTGAGGAAATAGTGTACTCCTCAGTTGAAACAGACGCTGATCTTTTGAAGATTAAAATCGGAAAAAAAGTTGCGGATTTTTTCAAAATTTTAGTCAAAAAAATCCGGGGATTTTTAAATTGCGTGTAAAAAATCTTGCAAATTTTTGGAAAAATTAACATTCTTATTTTGGGCTAACAGAGGAAGTACTCCAAGTGCGACGCTCAGATTTTGATGAAACTTGGCACAAATTTAGAATAAGTTTATCTAAGGTATATGCGAAAATCCTAGCTCGCGCTTTGCAGAAACAACCGAGATTTTTAGATCGAAAGTCGGCCAAAATTTAGGACTTTTTGCCGAATTTCGGCACAAAAAGTTTCACGCCTATTTCAACCGTAAAGGATAATGTTTCTACAAAAAAATAAATTTTTTCCGCATAAAACTGCCAAAGTTATTGCCAAAAAGCGTTTTTCTCTCTGACCGCTCTCCACGATTAGCGTGCTCTCTCGGCGGCATAAATCGTCCGATATCTCGGCGGCGCCTGCAAAGCGCGAGCTAAAACTTTCAGGAATTGATATTTAGTCTATTCCCGACGTGTGTGCAAAATTTAAAGAAAATCTGAGCGTCGCACTTAGAGTACTTCCCCTGTAAGTTCTATGTATTAAAATTTGAGGGGAAAAAATCTTACGTCTTCCTGTCCTCCTGGATGACCTTGATCAACGGCTCCAACCATCTGTGATTCACCTCGCAATGCGAATCCAGGACAACAATAATATCTCCGCTCGCTTCTCTGGCGGCCAAAGTCTTGGCCCGGATCAATCCCTGTCTCTCCTTGGCCGACACGAATTTAACCTTTTTCCAGCCATGGGACTCGGCGTACTCTTTGAGCGGCTCTTCGATGCTCAAATGGGACTCGGAATAGTCGTCGTACAAGATGATTTCGTGCAGTAATTTCTCTGGAGTCCGATCGAAGATTCCGTTGATCATTCGGACCAGAACGGAGAACGCCTCGTTGTGGTAGATGATGATAATGGAGGCGGTTTTGTGGAGATCGGAGTAATCGATTTTGTCGCAGCTGAAAAAAGAGGGTAAAATACGACAGACCATACACAGTAATTTTCTAAAATCGAAAAAATATTTTGGTGCGACTTTTATTTTTATTTTTTTTTGAATTTTCGAGTTCATTTTCGAGACAGCACGTAAAATGAGGAGATTCGATCAGATGAAAAATGTTTTTCGCTTGCAGCTCTCTGAATTTCTATCAAAAAAAAGTTTGTTTTTTGTAGGAAAATTATAGTCATCATTTATGACAGACCACAACTTTTTCAAAGCCGGATTTTTGTTTCGTTCCTGTCTTACAATCTCTAATCTTTGCAAAAAAATCGGAGCCCCAATCGAATACAATTCTAGCCAAAAAATGGCTTAAATGCTTTCTTTTACATCTTTAGCTGGCGCCAAGCATAGATTTGCCAGAACTAATTTTAATTGTTGAGCAGTAAATTTGGCTTACAGTAGGCCGCGGCCGGTTCTCTTTGGCCTAGGGCTTTTCATATCAGCCTGTCGGGAAAATAATGAGCGCTCTGTCGCATGGAAAATCGCATCGCTGAAGTGAAATGACTTTGCCGCGACACAATTTGTTTTCTCGGCGGCGATGCGATTTTCGATGCAGCAGAGCGCTCATTATTTTCCCGACGGATTGATAGCTCATTTTTAAAAGTGATTAAATCGCTTTTCAACTTTGTCAAATTAACTTGTAGTTACATGTGATTGCAGAAAAAGAAATTTCATGAGCTGAACCGTTGCCTACTTTCTTTGAACTGAAATCCTACAGACAATTCCTCACTTACAGCTCATTATAAGTCTTGGGGACATCCCTCTTTGGCCCAATCTTGTCGCTGGTCAAAACATTGAAACTGTATGCATTTACTCCCTCCTCGTAGTACTTGTAATGCTTGTGTTCGTTGTTCAGTTTGTGCTCAGTGACATTGCAATTACTGCGATCCAATTCGTCCCATTCCTTCGTCTTCCGCAGGGGATTTATGTGCTCACATTCCGGCTTTTCATCGGCTACAACGGCCGCTAGGAAAGCGGCGAACAATAAAGCGTATCGCATGAGAGTTAGAGCCCGCTGAAAATGGTAACAATCTTAGTCTATCGTAGAAGAAGTCATAAAATTTTATGAAAAAGGTGAAAAAAAGAAGAAAATTTGAAAAAAATTAAGTTTTTCAGGGGTAGTCTAGGTTCGATTTTCTTCAAAATTTCTTCTATATACTCTTTATAGCCCTCTTCTTAATCGCTGAAAATTTCAGCTCTCTCTTATTACGCGCAGCCGAGATATTGCGCAATTTTTTCGAGAGAGTACGTAAAATGAAGAGAGTCGGCCAGACAAAGAAACGTTTTTTGCTTGTAACTCTTTGAATTTCTTTGGGAAAAAGTTGATTTTTTGTGGAAATAGTATACTCCTCAGTTGAAACAGATATTGATTTTTTGAAGGTTAAAATCAGAAAAAAAAATTTCGAATTTTTAAAAAATTTTAGTCAAAAAATTTCGGGGTTTTTAAAATTGCGTGTAAAAAATCTTGGAAATTGTTTGAAAAATTGCGTTTTTATTTTTGGCCAAATTTTATCAAAATTTGAGGGCAATTTTCCGATCAAATTTTGAAAAACCGCTCAAAAAATGGGTTCAAACCCAAGTTTCAATTGAAAACAAACAAAGTTCCCCCATTTTTATACCCAAACCCTTTTCAATTGGTCTGTAACCAGCCCCCACACCTTTTACAACACCTTTTTCGAAAAACTAACCCCAAAAGAATGGACTGTAAACTCTCGCAAGATCTCAGTGGACGCGCGGAGAGTTTTGAGAAAAACAAAAAATTGATTGGGCTTTCTCAAGGCCCTTTCCTTCAAGGTAACCTCATTCGTTGCGTCTTATATGCGACGCTTTTTTGGGGGGAAACGTCGAAAAAAAGACGTCGCGTTGGAAGGTTCGCGCGATTCCAGAAGAATCTCAAGGAACTGGTGGACGAATAACAGATTGTAATTACACGTCAGCGTAACCAGGAAATTACTTAAAATTTTTTTTTTAATTCCTTTTTAAAGTAAAAAAAAGTAATGCAAAAAAATTTTTTTTGCACAGTGCAAAAATAAGTCATCATTTTTGCTGACTGCACTGTGCAAAAAACAAACCATTTCCTTTTCACTGCACCGTGCAAAATGTCAAAATTAAAAATTCAGATGCACGGTGCAAAAAACAAAAGCACCTTCTCTTCATTGCACTGTGCAAAAACACAGTCAATTGCACCGTGCGAAAACAAAAAATCTCATTCTTCACTGCACCGTGCAAAATGTCAAGATCGATAAAACAGACGCACGGTGCAAAAAACAAAACATTTCCTTTTCGCTGCACAGTGCAAGAAAAGAGCCCATTGCACTGTGCAAAAAAAAAAGAGCTCATCCCTCACCGCACCGTGCAAAATGTCAAAATCAATAAAGCAGATGCACGGTGCAAAAACAAAAAGCACTTTCTCTTCATGGCATTGTGCAAAACCCCAGTCAACTGCACCGTGCGAAAACCAAAAAGCTCATCCCTCATTGCACTGTGCGCCCGCCGCTTTGCAAAAAACATGCGACGAATGTGCACTGTGCAAAATTGAATCCACTTTCACGTCATTCCACTCGTTATGCGACAAATCAATTGATCGAAATCACTGCACAGTGCAATTGAATCAACGACAAACATCATTGGCGACAAACCCACGACGAATGAAAAGTTTGAAAGATTGCACAGTGCAAACCACATTTCGGCAAAAAAGTTCAGCGACAACACCATTCTTTCGCGATTTTCCGCTTTTTGTCGCTTGCGGCGGAATCTTGTCGCTGCGACAATTTGAAGTTTTGATTTTTTTCTGCGACATCGCGGTCCTTGCATTCAACTTGCCGCCAGTTTCAGTGCAACATCGAAAAGCGACATGTCGCGACCGCCAAATGTCGCAGAGGTTTTGAGGAAGAACAAGCCGGATGTTTGGTCGCTCGATGAGGTGATTTTGCACAGTGCAAAAGGGAATGAGTGCAGTGTTGGGAAAAAGTCGGATGCACAGTGCGGATTCTTGAATTGTTTCGGTTTGCTTTTTGGGTGGTGAGAAAAGGTGGCAGGAACAAAAATTTGGTGATGTAGGGCTAAGCAAAAGGTAAAATACGCCACGCCCTCCTCGACTTTCTAAACCAGGCAAGAGTTGAATGGATTACAGACCAACCTCTTGTAGCTTTTGTCCGCTTCTTATAAATTAATGCAATGTTATCAGTCTGTCGGGAAAATAATGAGGGCAATGTCGCTGAGCCGATCGCGTCGCTGAAGTGAAAAAAAAAATTATGATTTTGCCGTGACACGATTCATTTTTGCAATTTTTGATGGGACGTTGCGCTCATTATTTTCACGACAGACTGATAAGATCTTATTAGGTGCAAACTTTCTCTCATCGTCAGAAATTCAGTTTATCACTACTTTGAAATTGAGGGTCGACTGGAAAGTGATAGCTCGTCCAATCTTTCACAAAAACATTTTTCTTTCCACTCCTCGAGCCTGACCGCATTCTGGCCACTGTCAAAAAGACAGACTGCGACATTCAAGGTCTCGGAAAAAGGGATGGTCGGATTTGGCTTCGTATTTGAGTGTTCAAGTTAATTGTAAAATACGACATTTGTTCCAAATATAATAGCATATTATTTTGCATCTATCTCGAAGTTTTTAAAAGAAGAAAATTGATGTGATTTTTTTTATACATGATGATAAAAGTAGGGGCAAACGCAGAGTTTTGAAAACAATTTTCAATCCTTCATGCATGTACAATTACTTTGGCGAAATTTGGATAGTTAACTGAAATATAACTATAAATAAAAGTTTCCATTTTTTGGGCCACCCTGTAAGCTGATACGTATAAGTGTGCAATTATATAATCCAAGTGCATATTATCAGTCCGTCGGGAAAATAATGTGGATTTGTCGCAGAAAAATGTCTCGTCTCGTCGCAGTCGCCCAATAAATCTCTCGCCGCGGCTAGCGTCACAGAGCGATGATGGGGAATCCAACGTAATAATCCATGTTATTTTGTGATTTTATGTAGACTAGTTTTCAGAGTGCAAGGAAATAGTTTCTGAAACAATCGAACTTGAAGTAAGATTTCATGGAGATTTTGAACTTGACTTTCACACACGCAAACGCCAGATTCTTGGCGGCCTGGACTTAACATCGGTCTGTCGGGAAAATAATGATTATTTTTCCTGACAAACCGATGGGTTTAAAACTCCCGGAAAATCCTTGATTTGATTCATTTTCTCCGCGACTTTGCGATTTTCGATGCGACAGCGTGCTTATTATTTTCCCGACAGTCTGATACGCCAAAAATTTTATTATAGAAAAATTGCCATCCATTGAACATTTGAAAATTCACAAAAATGCTTTAAAAAACCTCTAAAATCTTACCGTATTTCCTCGACGACCACAAGTAGAAACAGTGATTGTAATTTGCCTTAAGAGAGCAACTCCATGACAGTATCTAAATCTGGCTCCAACTGTCAACAGGTGGCTCTCTTAGGCCAAATCACACACCTTCTACTACAACATAATATTTAGTTAGAATAGCAAATATTCTGTCATCAAAATGTAGAAAAATGATAGAAAATAAGGCAATATCCTCTGTTAATACTTTAAAATTAAGAAAAATTATTAAATCGCGGTTTAAAATACGAAATTCTTCAATTTCCAATCAAATAAAATCACCAAATTTCGCAAGAACCACAAAGAAATGACGGGAATAAAGAGAGGTTTTGGTTGGAGGCATCTACAGGCATACAAGAGCATAAAGTTTTTTGGCGACAACTTCAATTTCCTCGCCCCTCTCGAGAATAAAATTTGACTCGAGAATAAAGGGGAAGAAGGAAAGTGCGGAGACAGTAATGGAGCGTGAAGAAGGAGACTTACTTTTGTTCTTTCCATTACTCCCTTCCTCCGGATCGGGCAGATCCGCGGACGAGCGATGGGTGGGGTAAGAGGGGATCAATGTTTTTGATGACTTATTTTTAAGCCTCTCTAATGGCGAGAGAAAGGACAGGGCCAAAATTTTTTCGTTATAGAAGGGATTTGTTGTATAGAGGCTCATTTTCATGGCCTAAGATCGACTCTAAAGATCTCTGATATTGTTTGTTATTAGGGTGTCCCATAAGTCTTGCAAATTTTTGGGTGGTCGACTTGAGCGAATTCTTGTAAGCTTTGAAACGCATTACGGAGTATGTTGGATGTACTGGTTTAAAGCTCAGATAAAGCGCTTCTAAACCGTATATGACAAAGCCACAGAGGATCCACCTGCTGCCCACACTGCCCCGATATTGTACTAGACATTAAGAAAAATTTTGCTTGCCGATTTTAAAACGGATATATGCTTTCTAAAAATAGATCTGTGGGCCCACTACACGTGAAAATAGGACGCATGAGAGCTTCGAATCATATTCTAGTCCACGCTGCGATACAGGCATGGGCACTTTTGTGGTGGTTTGACCAACATGAAAACTGTTGCACTCACGTTTTTCTGACCTATTTTTTCGACGGTAGAAAGTGTTGGCCGTAGCTCTGCATCGTGTGTAATCTACGCTTGCTTGTGAACATAATGAGGCTATGATTACCGCCTGTATCAATTTTTTGCCTTGAGATATACATAATTCAAAATTTTCCCGATTATTTTTAAAATTTACAGAAATTTTTTTAAATTTAGTGTTTTTTCAGCCCTTTGCACCGCTATTCCAAAATCCTCTTGCTAAGATAAAATACATATGTCAATGTTTAAAAGACACTGCACTACAAGATTATTTGTATCCATGCCAACTTTTTTGGTATTGAGTAAATGCACCTCATTTTTTCAAATTTTCTTGGGTTAGCGGTAATTCAGAACAAGGTAGCCAACGGATCCGTTCTTAAAACGCATAAATCTAACGCTATTTTCATTATGGTAACGGCCCGACCTGAGAAACCATCCTCAAAAAAATTTATACGTAAAAGTATATACATCGTGATATTCACCATGGCGCCTGATACAAGAAGCCTGCAGGACAGCGTCATAAGCAAGAATTCAGTGGAAAGCGCCGCTTTTTTAGAAACAGAGTACTCATTAGATTTATAAAAAAGTGTGGTTGCAAAGGTGCAGCCTCACTTACCAAAGAACGGAATCGTTTTCCTAACCCTTCCCAAAACTGGACAATATTAAAGAGTGCCAAGTATTTCCCCGGAGGGCACGTGGTTAGTTAAAATTTTTATGCTGTTAACAAGTGTAACAGATGGTGGTCTTAACAGTACCAATCATTAAGAAGTATAGTTCTCTAGGCCCTCGAAATGAGACGTTAATTCTTAAACCCAAAAATTTGCAAGACTTATGGGACACCCTAATATAAAAAGTTTTTGTTGTACGCAAGTTCTCCTGCATATAAAGAAGATGGTCAGCGAGTATTCGCAATATGTCAATACATTTTTACCATTGAAAAAATCATGATTTTTGCAAGATTAAAGGGGTTTAGAAAATGATGATTTATATAATTTAATTATAAATCATCATTAATTTACTCTTTAATTTACAAGGTTTGACGTCAAACATTGACGGTCATATTTTCTCTAAATTTTTTTACATGATCTTCTAGGCCAAATATCAATCCGGATTTTTGTAAAAAAGAAGCTAAAAATGTTGCAAATACCATTTCAAATCGCTAAATTATTAATGGTAAATCTGGTCGAAAATCCTATCTAGAACAACTCCCCTAGCCAGATATATAGTTCCTACGAAAGTTCATTTTTGCCTACAAACCAATTTTTTCCACAAATTCTTTAATAATTCCACCGATATTTGTTTAGCCTCTTTTTAGCGGATTTATTAGACGTCGTGCGAGAAGCTTTTCAATTTTTAAAGAGCGCTCGTTTTTGTTACACGGGCTTAACTTCGGAAGACAACAGAACAAAAGATGACCTACATAGAGTTGGCCTACAAAAAACCAAAGTGGCCATCGCGGCCAAAGCTATAGTTTAGACTTTGAAAATGGTGACAAAATTTACTGTTAGAGGCAGCTAAGACTTGCAAATTTTGGCTTAAAGGAGCAAAATTATAGAGTGGAGTTTCTTGCCATCATACTGCTACATGACGTCATCTGCTAATATCAAAAAATTAGAAAATTAGAAGGTCTTCTTTACCGATTTATAGGCCAAAGTGGACGTCCAAGCCCCAGTTTTGGATGTCCGCTTTGGCGGATTAAACCAAAGAGTTTGTTGATCGCTTCAAAGTCGTCGTACAAAAGTCCCATCGAAATTCGAAAAAGTACTTTTTTCCTCACAAAACTCCACAAACAAAGTCGTCTTGCCGGCCTCTGATTAGCTCCATTTTCCATCGCCTTCCGATCTGCCCGCACTCTCCGCCAAACTCGGCCTTCCACACCGCCCAACAACTCGTATAATACGAGAGAAGCGCGAAGACGTTTGAAATCAAAAACGAATTCCCTTGAATATCCCCACCTCATGTAAATACAATCGCAACACTTATGTTCATTTCCGTCGCCCATTCTTCGCCCATTTGCGCGGCCCTTCTTTGTGCGCTCCACTTTGCTCGCGCTCTCCTTTCCCTCCGCAGCAGAATTTCTTGATTCCTTCCACTTTCGAATGGCTGAACTCGGGGTGGGTGCTGTTCCATCGTGTGCAGCGGGATCGGCAATTAATCGGCATGTAAGAGGGCAAGATTGACTCGAGGATCTCCACGGTGTTTGTACACGAAGATCTGGGAGTAGGAAGGACGATGATCAAGTTGCGAGTGGAGGGTTCTGGTCAAGTGTCTTTTGGGTGAAGGAGTGACCATTTGGGGCAAGGAATCAAGGAGTACGATGGGTGAAATGTTCAAAGATTACTCCTTAAATATTTACTTAAAGGTCAGCGTGACCTTCTATTCGATGGGCAGGAAGAAACTGCATCTATATACACACATATGAGGCGTTTCTGGAGTGACCAGAGCAATTTTGGACTCCGCAAACATATGTATTAGCTTGTCCAATAAATGATGACCTTGAGAGGGGCAAAGTTTACAGTCTCTAAAAACGGCAAGCAATGATGGAATTTCTAAATATGATGTCTTTTTGTAGCTGAGATCTCAGGATATATCCCAATTATCCGAGACTTACCTAACAATGAAAGCGCGAATTCAGCATGCTAAAAACTTTACAAGCGGGTTCAAAACTAGCTACAGACTAATCCCCAAAAGTTTTAACTTCCACTTTTCAGTGGCCGTCTAAATTTCGACAGCTTTCTTGAAGAGTTGGCTAGAACAACGGTTTTTGTCAATAACTTTTCTTATTTTACAAACTTTAAAGTCCGCATTAGAAAACTTATTAAATGAGCCTGAAATTGTCATACTCAAAATCATAAAACAGTGTCAATCTTTTGGCAAGATACGAGCAGATAATCTCAGCAACACTTCAAAAGCAAGAGCCAGGAATCTCGCACATCTTCGTAGCGCATTTGAGGATTCTTGGTCTAAATTTACGCCAATTTTAATCCTATTTTGTACGGTTAAAAGTCATCAAACCCCCTGTTTTTAGCTTATGCCAAGCCTTAAGATGACGACGAATACACTTGGTATCTCACATTGGAAATGATGACTAAAACTTTCCTCTAAATTAGGCCCTCCATCCCCCGTTTCAGCTCCCTCCCTCCGTAATCGAGCTCAGTCTGATCATACGCTATAAGAAGCCAAAAAGAAATCGTAAAGAGACTTACCATCAGATGAAATTACAGGGCGGAAAATGGTGCTGAATCAACATGTCTTTAGTCACGAAACGAAAATTTATAATTTCCAAAACAAAAGGAGACGCAGAAAAAGGAAAATTCGCAGCGATGATTTCTAATGAGATTTTGGGTTAATCAAATTAGTCCAATTAAACCACGAAAAACTACAAGTTTCCAACAGTTTCGGGCGGCATGAAGGTGGGCAGATCCCTCACAGAGTCCGGCTCGGAAAACTGGAACAATCCGAGGTTAACGTGATTAAAATTAGTGCGCGAAAATTATGGAGAAAAATGACATGTCTGGAGTGCGAAATGAAGGAATTTTTGTGGGAATATCTGTTATTTTAGCGATTTTTTGAAGGAACATTGCAGAAATAAGAAAAAATAAAGTTAACGATTGTATAGTACGACAAGCACTTTATGGAAACCCTCAGGACTTTCAGTCGAAAAGTACCAAAAAATCGATTTTTTTGAGATTTTAAAAAGATGGAACTGCTTCCCGGACGTCATAAAAGACAATTTTGACAGAGAGTGAAGCCTTTCCTTTCGGACTTTAACAAAAACAGCCAAAAAAATTCTATCCATATCTATTATCTATAGTATTTATTACATCCATTTCCCAAGTCTCTCGTCTACAATAATCAATGAATTTATTGGCTGTCCTTGCATATCCCAAGCTAAAATCCTCATTAAATTATATGTTTCTTATTGTTAGACAAGATATGTAAGCAAAATCTAAAAAAAAATTTAAACGCTGCATACAATCATCAAACGATTGAAATCAGCCGTTCTTTACGGTCTCTTTGAAATTTCATGACTACAATTTTTAGCCGTTCGCCAAATATTTACAAGCCTTGAATAACCAAAAAAATCGTGTTTTGAAGGGGCAAAAAGCCTCAATCAAACCTAAGAATGTTCCAAATACGCACATACTTCCCAAACTCATCCGTACCATTACTTCTACTAGAAGATCAAAACTCCAGAACCCCTCAATCTTTCATTTTCTCGCCGAACAATGGAGAGAAATGAGTTCGGACCAGGAATTTGCTTCAATTACAGGATTCTCGGACATAACCTCCTTCTCCTTTGCCTCTTTCTCTCCTTCTCTCTTCCCCGCAACGACCTCGATGCAATTTTGAGCGATGAAAAAAGAGGAAGGGATCATCAAAGATCTTGTTGTTACAGTAGGGGCCATGGTTGAAGAGATCAAAAGGGACTCACTGCTACGGGTACGTTTGCATTTTGAAGTTGTTTTGCGTAAGCAAACATTGTCCACGTGCGGCTGAGCAAAGAATCGTGCAGTGTGTACATTGTAGTGTGAAAATTGGATGGAAATAAAGATCAATACGTACGGTAAATGAACAACAGATTCTTGCACAAAAAACGACATAACCAACTTTGACATGAAAGAGGTTAAAATTTGATACAAAAGAGATGAAATAATTCTTTCAACCTTCTTATATGTGATGTTGCGGGAAAAATTGAGATATTCAACGATCGATTGCAGTATAAATTTCAGGTCTTTCGTATGCCCTAGCTTGCTGATACCATCCTCAATTTTTTGAATAGACTTTAATCATAAGGTGAGCCCCTTTTTTTATTGAGTCGATACAATGATAAGGATGTTCTTGGGCCCTCTTTTTGTTATCTTTTCTTCATTTACTCCCAAAAGAACGAAAATCACAATTGAGATAATTTTTGGGAAAAATTAATGAGGAAACCTACTTTCTAACTTTGAATTAACTTTGACTTCCCTGAGTAGTAGAGTAGTTGCGATGACAAATCAACAACAGGTCTCCGAGGAGACCGAAAATCATATTCAGTAAGTTTATTTTTAGATCTATGAAGCCGTACTGGAAGATTTGTAATTTTTACTATACCATTTGGATAGTTCTAATTTTAAGGATGATAATGTAGGAGTATTACTATTTATGAACTCTATTTACACTCACGATAAGAGCAGAAGTTTATATCGAAATTGTCGTGTCGTTGCCCATAGAAAAGCAATTTTCCATAAAGCCAACGTGATCAGAAATTCCTGGCTTTCTTATCATGAGGCTGGCAAAAAAGAGCAACAAGTCTTCTAACTTTTTCCTGCCAAGATTTGAAGAATCAAAATATGTAAAATCAGATATTCTTTGTCCCTTGTATGGTCAGCTCTCCTCATTTTTTCTTGGGTAAAAGCTTGTTTTGGTATCAGCGAAACTGTAAGGGTCAAACTAAAATGTATCATAATTCATCCTTAATATTTCTGGTGGAACAGTAAATTCTGAATCCAAACCGAATAGCATACTCCACAGGGTGGGCCACTCGAAACGGGTAAGTTTTTTCTTTGAATTTCTCCGCGGAGACTCCGCCGATTTTTCTAAAATTTAGATTTTTCTAGAGCTGGGACCCACCATTTTTCGGCGGAGTCTCCGCGGAGAAATTCAAAGAAAAAACTTATCCGTTTCGAGTAGCCTACCCTGTATACGTCGTTTCAACCCATCAACTTTCAGTGAAAGCCGCGAAGTTCTGATCCGAAGCCAGCTCAATGTCTACGAACGCCAGAAGACCGAGAATTCGATTACTCCGGAGCAAGCTCTCATCCATTTGATCAAGGTGATGATGGGCACTGGAATGCTCTCCCTTCCTTTGGCCTTCAAACACTCTGGATTATTTGTAAGCACGTTTCTAATATAATAAATACTTTTTAAGTTTAGCTCGGCCTCCCATTGCTTGTACTGATTTGTTGTGTTTGCACATATTGTTGTCGTATCTTGGTCCATTCATCGACATACTTATGCCGCCGGAAAGGTCAGGAGAAGATGGATTACGCGAATGTGATGAGAAATGCGGTGGAATTTGGGCCCGAGTGGATCAGTGGATGGGGATATTTCGCGAAGTAAGTGATCTTTTTGTGACGGTTCCAAGAAGCCAGAAATTTTGAAAAAAAATTGCTACCAACTGGAAAAGGCAGTCGGGAGGTTCTAAAATCAAAATCCCTATAATCTCCCTATGTACTGGCATAAAATATGGCATTCTTTTTGACTTTTCGTACTTTCTACACTAAAATATCTTCTTTTCGGTACGAAATTTGTGACATTTTTACCAAAATAATGCATTTTTTACCTCGACCGATTTTCTTCAGAAATGTCGTCAACTTGAACATGTTCATTGCCCAGATCGGATTCTGCTGCGTCTACTTTGTTTTTATGGCCGACAATCTGAAGCAGTTCTTCGACGAGACATCAGAAATTCACATCTCTCAAGCCGGTTGGATCGGTCTTCTTCTGATCCCAATTTTCTTCCTTTGCACAATCAGACAGCTCAAAGTTTTGGCGCCATTTGCTTTGATCGGAAATGTGGTTTACATAGTCGCTGTGACAATTGTGATCTATTATTTGTGCTCGCATTTACAACCAATTACAGCGGTCAAATACGTGGGACATTGGGAAGACATGCCTCTGTTCTTTGGGACAGTGATGTTCGCGTTTGAGGGGATTGCTGTGGTAGGTTTTATCAAGTGAATATGCCATGTTTATCATTTTCGATTCTGGTGAAATCAAGGCATGAAGATCAGCATCTTTTCAGATTCTTCCAATCGAAAATCAAATGGATGAACCCCATCATTTCATCTCCAACACGGGAGTTCTCAACACGGCCTGTTTACTAGTCCTCTGCGTATATTGCACCACTGGATTCTACGGCTACTTAGCTTTTGGAGAAGCAGTCAAAGATACCATCACTTTGAACCTTCCCAATGAATGGTTCTACCAGTGCATCAAACTGATGTTCGTTGGCTGCATCCTGGTCTCGTTTCCATTACAATTCTACGTTCCAATTGAAAGGATCGAGAAATATATTTCGAGGAAACTACCGCAAGATCGCCAGGAGTTCTTCATCTACTTTGCCAGATATTCGTTGGTCATTGTGGCTTGTAAGTCATACCCATTTCGGGTCACCCTATTCTAGGTCTGCTCGCCGAATTGATCCCGCATTTGGCTCTGTTTATCTCCTTGATTGGCGCCTTTGCCGGAACGGCGTTGGCGCTTCTCTTCCCTCCAGTAATTGATCTTCTTACTCATTGGGCCCAGTGCACATTGTCGCCTAAAGTTTGGCTACTGGATCTGGTACTTATGGGCTTTGGGTTGCTCGGCTTTTTGACGGGAACTTATGCGAGTTTATTGGAGATTGCAAAGGCCTTTGGAAATGAGGATCCGCTGTAGAAGCAATGATTGTTGTTGAACGTGTTCAGTTTTTGTTTTTGAATTATTTTAAGATTGTTTTATAGGATTTTTTTTGCCAAATAAAGTTTATGTTGAATTCGGTAAAGCTTGGTATAAATAACGATGAGAATGTTTTCGGAAGATTTTTAGGTTTGAGATGGTCAATATATTCATACTTGTATCGATATCCGCCCTATAAAATCAACAATTTATTGTTCTTTTCTCAGCCGCAGCTTGGAGAGTAGTGGCCAAAAAAACTTCACTTCGCTGACTAAAAATAAAATATTTCTCGTTTGCCAATAGTCAGCCGCATTTTTCAGGAATTCATCTGTGCAGTAGGCAGCGTATGCATATCTAACTACAGTCATCGCACCAGCGGTACTTCTTCTGTCAACGTGTGTTTGTTCTGACCATTAGTCCTAACTACCACCAAAATTGGACTAAATTCCTCCCCATTCTCCATTCCCCACCGACCACCAACAATCATCCTTTGTAACCTATGCAACGACGTTCTCCGTTCCCTTTTCTCACTGATTTTCCGGGATTTTTCAGCTGGAAAAGGAGAAGTGAGCTGAAAAGGAGTGGGAAAAGATTTTCACAGAGGCGAGGATTCCTGTTTTTGTTACTCTAAATGTTCTCGTACTTTGAAAAGCGGGCTTTGACGCACCGCTGAGCGTTTTCATCAGCGAGATTGGGGGGAGTTGCGAGTCGGTGGAGATCAAAGAACGAGGAAGGAACAATGGACAGGGTGCGGGAAAGCAGGTGTTTTAGTGATAAAACAGACAAAGGGCTTCGCGGTGATACTGGTTTTTGCATATTTTACGCAATTTTTGCAGCGATCTTGAATAATTTTTCGTGAGTCTGATCCAAAATTAATTTTTCTTCCAGAAATGATTACTTTTCAAATTTTCACATTACTCAATACTGCAAGTTTACTCTCTGACTCATTCCAAATATTTGCCAATTTTCCTGTACAGTAATTTTTATTACTTCCCCCAAAATTTTCGCACTTTACGGGCCTATTTTGAAATTTCGACCATCCTTTTCCTTTATTTGTTTACGCAAAAGTCGATTATTCAATAGGTCCATTTCCAATTCATTTGTCAAAAAAATCGGGGACCGCGAGGATAAGAGCGATGGACATATCGAATTGATTTTACCCCCGTAAAAACAAAAGGTGAATCAGGTAGAGGGGTTTGGTTTGATGACTCAAGACGTCCTCATGGATAAGGTGGTGGGTCAGCGGGCGAAAAGGGTCGATTGAGACGGTAAAACCTAAGGAACGTATGGTGGTGTAGCCTAATTGCAGAAACTAACGGGATCCGACAACAAAATCGCTTTAAAAATTGTTAAAATGATGATAGAATAAAGCTTCATAGCCTGTTTTGTAGTTTTGTTTCCAATTTTTGTACTGCTTCCCGTATGCTTTCCCATATTTGCATAGCATTCCATGAAGGCCTGTTTATCCGCCCACGTCGAGGTCACAAACCCCCCTCCGGAGTACAAATCTCCTCCTCCCAAATTACCCATTTCCTATAGCCAAATATTTTCGCACGATTTCTTGACCGCGCGCCCCACCGCCCTCCCCTAAATGACCATCTACCTGTGAGAGACGGTCAGCCCCGTCTACAAAAGCCCGTAAAAAGCAAGTCCGCGCAGAGTGCGTGCTGATTGCGGAGGTTGGGCAGAGAGAGTTCGCGAGAATTTTCCCCTTACCGAGAGCGGCGACAAAACCACCTTTTGCTTCGCTTTTTTTGCTCAACCTCATTCATATCTCGGCCTGTTCAAACAAATATTCCTTATGGGCTTTACAGTTGGGGCTGGAGTTGCCTTTTTTGGGGGTTGTTGACTTTTGATTACTCTTTGATTTCTTGTCACATGAAAAGGTTTTTATACGTGTAGCATAACTTTTCAAACAAGTCAGAAGTTCCCTTTGGCGAATTCTTTAAATTCCAATAAAGTCATAGTATTTCGGGGTTATCGCCAAGCCTATGTTTGCTTTCTTTGCAACGAGATTATCAGCTCCAATAGAAGACAAATAGGAAATGGAGTTCGATAAGACCCCCGGCATATTTGGCTGCAGTAAATTCAAAAAAACGGATTTTATTTCCGCTTTAATTATTTGAAATTTTGATAACGCAGTTTTTTTGCACTTCCCCTAATTTATTCAGCAATTTTTATCAGCGATTAATTCCCGACCTCCCCAAAATGACATTGACCCCGAATGTTCGCTTTTCCGTTCGTCGCTGATTTTTTCGGGCGCTGAACGATCGAAAATCTTTTTTTTTTTGGTTGAATGCGCGAGCTGGAGGGCGAATATTGCAATGGATGAGAGTGTTTTAGGGCATTTAAAAAGTTTGGGAAATAGTGCATCACTTTGATGACCTTGTAAATACGTTTATTTTACTCAATTTACAATCTACCATAGGCACAAAATTTTCACTTCTTCGATACACCCGTATTGCGTAGAAAAAAAAGTTTTTTTGTTGGTCTCTTGAATTGTCATTATGCAATCAAAACTTCGAACCCCCTTGAATAAACCCTGATGCAAATATTTCCTTTCGGTGACCGCCACTGTGACCCTTCTCTCTGCTGTAATTGCCCATTGCGTGACAATCGCATAACGTTCTAACAGTGATCCGTCGGCTCTTAATCGTCGTTTCTTTCACTTTTTGATTCCTGTTTCCTTCCGCCTGAGCCTTGTTTAATTCCTTCTGGATCTAAGCTTCTGCTCATCTGATTTCCTTTTGTTCCCTTAAACGTTCACAGATTGGAAAGTGCATCGAATATTCTCCGTCTTGCGCTGGAATCAGCTTCTTAGGTGGTAAAGATGAATTGTAAAACAAACCTTTCCGTTGAGTAATTAGGAAGTTCTCAGTCCAAGTTTTATTGTTTTTATACGTAGTTATAAAACCGAAAAAAAGGACAGTAAAGATGTCTGATCGCCTTGTGACCGCTCCTGTTCGTCTAATTGTAATCTTTTCGAGTTTTACGACCTTCTGACTTTGAAACTTTGATGATTTCTTTTCATCTTCTTGTTGATTTAATTGATCTCCAATTTTCACCATTTAAGACTGGTCTCTGGCCGATGACTAGTCATATTCTTCGTCCCAATGACTGGGCATATGTTTCATATGATCCAAATTTACGCGGAGGGCTCATTCAAATTCGAGGCAAACTTTTTACGATAAGGCCCTCTCCTTACGGGTGCGGGAATGGAGATGAATCAGGCGGAGAAAGAACTGATATTCTGACCGAACTTTTTGCTGGAATACCAGCAGTCTTTCCGCTGCACCGCCGCGGGTTTTAATCGCGGCTGAACGGGATTAGCCGCGAGGGTTTAAACCCGTTTAAGTGAGGCGAATGAGGACGGTGAAGATGGCGACAGGGCTGGGAAATGGATATTTTTGTTTAGAAAAATGGCTATATTGGTAGTGGAAGGTGAGAATAGCCGGTTCTTTCGATTGCGTATGGGTTCCTGAAAAAATAATAGAAACTCGGTCGCAACAGGGACAAAACTAACTTCCGAAAGTTTCTGGTGCTTTTTGTTCCAATTTTCCCTAAAATAGACATTCGTAGAAACTGACGTACGTTATACTACACAGAATTTCAGCGTTTTTGATCAAAAATCAATGAATAATCAAAAAATTCGGACATTAGCATCTTCATTACGAATTATCAGTTCCAAGCATTATCTATTTTCGAATATTATGAGTCACAAGTCATTTGGCCATCCTTCGACTTCCTATTTCCACTCAATTCGTTCCCAGTCCTCAAAAAATTTGAATTTTCTCACTTTTTTCCGGCTCCCATCTGGCCAAATGGCCAGTCCGAAGAGAAAGTTGGCGCAATTTTCGGCGTTTGAAAAGCGACTTTCTCCCCTGAATCTTTCGGAATTAGTTTTCGCTTGATTTCGTCGTCGGAAAAGCGAAATTCTCCTCGCAAAATTAGGCGTTTTTGTCGGGATTTTACGGATTTTTACATTGTAATTAGCGATTTGATGTTCGCCGAAAGTTTCGATGGATTCTCTGGGATCCAAGTTTGCAAGACGCGCCGGGATTTCGCGGGATCTGCGAGTTTTATGGGAGATTCGCCGGATATTAGATTCGATTAGCAAAAATTGGCTTGAACTTTTTGTTTTTGAAAGGTTTGAGTAACAATACCCTAATTATGGCCTCTAGAAAATCATTTAGGCTAATTATGGGCCTATTTTCAATAGTCTTTTTGAAGGGTTTGACCTTGTTTTAGGTAAATTCGAAAAAGATCTGAAAAATAAATTTGTGGTTTCATGAACCTCTTTGTTGGTTTTTACAAATTCGGCTCATATTCATCATTTGAGAGTTAGAAACATACTAATTTCCGATGTTCCGGTCAAAGATTTTATTGTTCTAGCTAAAAAATAGGTATCCTCGACAAAAATTTTCGAAAATTTGTTTTTTTTTAGATGTTCTTTGCTGTTCTTAGATGTCCATTATGGTTGATTCAATTATCTTTTTTTATGGCGTTTTTATACGTGTTTACATTCATTTACTGCCAATTACTGAACTCATTTGATTTCGCTGTTTTCCAATGAAACTCACATAAATTTACATGAATTTCTTGTTGTTTTAGGTGTGCCGGTTCTGAAATTAATGTTTCATTATCGTTTGGTTTTCTGCAATTTTAGCGCGGTTTGCTTCAAGTACAATATATTTTTGTTCAGTAGTTTTATCTCCATTTTTTGTAGATGAGGTGAACATCTAATAATGGCACCGATAATCGACCGATTCAAGAGCTTTTTTCGAGGCGGTTCACAGCCATCGACGGTGAAACGACCTCTCACCCACGTTATCAAATATGATGTGGATCCTTCGGCCGAATGGCAAGTGATAGGAGAATTAGGCGATGGGGCATTTGGGATGGTCCAGAAGGTCGTGAAGATCAACGATCCGGGAAGATTTGCCGCTGCTAAGGTATGCTTTTGATGTTGTGCTTGTTTCGCTTTTAGGTAGAAGAAAACATCGTCGAATATCGAGATGAGTAGCTAATTTTAATGTTTTAGTGCATCACCCTGGAAGACGGCGAGGAACTGGAGGATTTGGTAATTGAAATTGCGATCCTCAGTGCGTACCCTCATCAAAATGTCGTCGGGTTGATTGATGCATACTTCATGGATAACAAGATTAGTGTAGGTCCATTTTAGCCTTAAATCTTGGCTTGGCTATCTTCTAAATATGAAGTACAATATAATGAAGAGTTGTTTTCAGATGATGTTAGAGTTCTGTGCAGGTGGCGCTGTGGATGATATTATGTTAGAGCTGGGAAAGCCCCTAACGGAATCTCAGATCTGCTACATCACGCATTATGTTGTTATTGCACTGGAGTATCTTCACGCGAACCTTGTAATACATCGAGATTTGAAAGCTGGAAACATATTGTTGACTTCCGATGGAACGATAAAATTGGCTGATTTTGGAGTTTCGGCAATGATGAAAGAAAAACAGGACAAGAGAAACAGTTTCATTGGGACTCCATATTGGTAAGGGAATTGGGAAAGGGATTTTGGGGGGAAATCATGCGTTTTTCTAAAAATGTTGGTCTAGAAAAGGTATTACAATTAAATTTTTTATTTTTAATAGCGATTTAGACAGTTTGTATGGTCTAAGATAATTTCTAATGCCCTAAAAAAAGAGTAGAGCAAATTTTACTCGGGAAAAATATAAAACAAACTCCTCTTCCCTTCATTTTTCTCACTCCGTTTTCTCGAGGGAAAATACAACGGAAAAGAAGAACGAAGCGGGGCGTGGCTGAATGGTCTAGTGGTATGATTCTCGCTTCGGGTGCGAGAGGTCCCGGTTTCAATTACCGGTTCAGCCCAAATTCTATTTTTTTGGAGTTTTTGGTTAAAGATTTGCATATTTTAGTTTTGCAAAAATATTTTTTGATGCTTGCAAAGAACATTGCTACTTTTCCAAGAATAAAAAAGTGAATATGCGGGTTTTAATTTCCCGTTTTTTCCTTCAGGATGGCCCCGGAAGTCATGGTGTGCGAAACTTTCAAGGACAAGCCATATGATTGCATCGCGGACGTCTGGTCGCTTGGAATCACTTGCATAGAGATGGCTCAGATGGACCCACCCAACTATCAAGTCAGCGCGATGAGAGTGGTGATCAAAATCCAGAAATCGGACCCACCAAAATTCGACGATCCAAAGAAATGGTCGGCCTTTTTGAATGATTTTGTGGCTTGTTGTCTGGTCAAAAATCCGAATGAACGGCCGTCAGCAAGGGATTTGAAGACTGTAAGTTGTGGTTTAGATAATTTTTGAGCGTTTTAGAATTTGAATTAAATGAAAAATTAATCCAAATATTATTTTAGCACCCATTCATCAAAGATACCCCGGATCGACGCCCAATTATGGCCTTGCTCAGCGAGAAGAACGCTGACATTGTGGACGAAGAGGTCTTGATGGAAGAAACGGCCTCGGTCGATGAGTCCGGGTCCGTGAAAACGGTCGATTTCGAATCCGACGTGGAGTCGCATAAAATTTCACCGAATAATTCGGGCGATTTCTCAAATCCACAAAAAAGACTGGCCGATAAAATTTCTCCGGAAGCAACTCCAGTGGCTTCAGAAGCTCAGAAGGTCGCGAAGAAACGATTTGCAGCCCCAAAACCGCCTGAACATGGAGAAGACGGGACTCCGTTGGCCAGAGATCAGCCTGATCGGGTGTTTAATGGAGTAAAGGTGGAGAAAAAAGAGATTAGAAATAATGGAGATGTAAGTGTTTGATTATTTGTGAGATTTTCGGGGAGTTTTTGGACTTGTGACGAAGATTTGGACCTAAATTATATTATTTTAGGTCCCAAATGCAACTCTAACCGAAACCCCGACCCGACCGGCCCTGTCAAAGAGCGCGACGAGATACGAAGAGCCTCTAACGGAACTTCAGATCACTGGAGAGGATAGCCCCAGGCATAAAAGGAACATTTCGCCCGGAAAACAGGCCATCGAAATTTTGGATGACCTCTACAATGCTCTGGATAATGATGAAGGTGAGTGGAAATTGTTAATTTTGTATGTTTGAAATTTTTAGAAAATCAAGTCCAAGAGAGCACGGAAATTTTCACGGAAGAAGAGAACCCCTCAAACGGAAGATCCGAGCCAAAATCGAATCGAAATTCCCATCTTATTCATGCTTACGGCCACGAATATGAGCCAGAGACCTCACAGGAGAACTCCTTCATCGCATCGAATGGTCGGCCGACTTCGAAGATTGGCCAGATTGCCAGGGAAAATCAACCTGTCAATTTGATGGTCAATCAGGAAGATGAGGTAAAATTTGGATATATCTTTGTTGATTGAGGTGTTTATTAGTGTTAAAAGGCTAATCAAAGTGCATTTTAGGTGTCGTTCACCCGTTCGAATCGATCCTCAGCCCCTACTCTTGATCATCAACGAGTTCCTGATGTTAAACACCCACCTCATATGGCAGCAACCCATTCTCAATCATTTGACGATCAAAAACCTCGCCCAACATATCACAGATTGGAAGAAGGCCTAAAACCCTCGGATTCCCTCCCAAATACCTTCAATGCATCCCTGGAAAGGAAGGCGAAACTCCCAATGAATCACAAATTAGGCCAGATGATGGAGAGGATCGAAAGGGTCGAACCGACGGTCAGAAGTCGAGAACCGAGCGGAGATTCGAGCAGAAGAAGGTTTGAGGAACCAAGACATCAGAAAATGGGAAGGTAAGAGATTTGGAAGGAAAAATATAGGACTTTTTTGGAATTAGGCCTAGTGTAATATAATTTTTGAACAAGAAATTTTATTTTTGGGTTAGAAGGTCAAAAGAAAGAGGAAATTTAAATAGAGGAGGGATTAATGAACTTCTAAATAGAAGATGAGATATAGAAACATACAATATTTTTTATGTTAAGACCTAGTGTAATATAATTTTTGATCGAAAAATGGAATTTTTGTGTTAGAAAGTGAAAAGAAAGATGAAATTTAAATAGAGGAGAGATTATTGAACTTCTAAATTGAAAGTGGGAAGTTGAGTTATAGAAACATACAATATTTTTTGTGGCAAGACCTAGTGTAATATAATTTTTGATCGAAAAACTTAATTTTTGTTTTGGAATCTAAAAAATGAGCGGAAATAAGAGTTGATACTACGAGTTTAAGGGGTTATTTCTTGTTTTTCGATGTTTAAAATGAGTATTTCCAGTGCTTCCACATCAAATTCATCCCCGCCTCCACCTGAACCCCCAATCGATTATGATGACCCCAGAGCAAACAGGTCGAATCGCCAACAGGCGGAACGGGGTTCAATCGTATCCGGAGCCTCCTCCACAACATCTCCCCGGCTCTCAAAGCACATTGGCGACGTATATCAAGAGCCGATTTCCTCGATATCAGCCATTGATAATGACCCCCGACTTCGACGCCCCACAGACCCAACGCAGTCCACCTCGGCCGACGAAAAAGAGAATCGACCGGTCGAGAGGGTCGATGGGAAGATCCAGGTGGAAGGAATTCAGCCTCAGATCAAGTCCATGTTGCACAGACAACAACCAAACAGGGCTACGGTCACGCGAAAAACGAGGACGTATATGGTCGATGGAGTACAAGTAACCAGCACAACTTTGCATGTGTTAGGAGCTCAGCAGGATTATGCAATGAGGTTGGTTTAGGGGAATTTTGAGGGAGTTTTGAAAGTTTTGAACGGGATTTTGGCTTATATTACACATGGTTTAGAAAGAAGGAACTTCAAGAATTAAAACGACTTCAACGACAAGAAGCCAGGGATCGACAGTTGTTGAACGAACGAAATGAACAGGAGAGGGAAACTCAGGACAGGAAATTTGCAGATCTCCGATATGTAAGTGAAAATGAAATTTTTTGAAGGAATATTGAGGGAAATTGATGATTTTTTTGTGTTTTTAGAACGTGATCAAATCTTATGACGCCGAAATGGAGCAATTATGCAAGCTGCAAAAGAAAAAGATGGAAGAATTAGAGAGATTGCAGGAAGAAGAGAAGAAACAGGTCGCCAAAAATATCAAACAAGTCCATGAGAAGGAGTACAGGGACTTCCAAGTTCATCAAAGAGAGGAAATGAAGCGCCTAAAATACGAGACCGATCTCCTACCGAAAAGTCAAAGAAAAGACGCCCTCAGGCATCGAAAGGACCAACTGGAACATATCCAAGCGGAAAGGGTAAGAGATTTTCAGGTTTTTGTCAAATTTATATTGTTGTAGGTGATTTGATGGAGAAATTTGAAATTTTTTTGATTTCGAAAGTTTTTATGGGTAGTGGAAAGGTTTTTATTTTTACTATTTTTTTAGGAGAACTCATTCTTCGCTCAACGACGGCGCGCTGCCGAAAAGATTATGGAAAATCTGCAAAGACAGCATCAGGAGGCCCTGGCACGGCTGGACCGTCAGTTCTTGAAGGATAAACACGATCTGCAGAGAACGGTGGAGTCTACGCTCTGGGAACAGGAGCGACAGCAGATGAAAGAGAGGTTCGGATTGAGACGGCAACAGTTGAAGGTGAGATTTTGAGATTTTTTTTTTTTTTTTTTTGATTTTTTTATATTGTACTTGATATGAGGTTGAAAAATTGTAGAATTTATTTGAATTTGGGGAGTATTTGAATTAAACTTGATATTATTCTAGGGTAACTTTAACAACCAACGCTACTTGATGCAACAACGCCATGCCCTCGAGCAAGAGCACATCCAAAAAGCTCATCAAGCCTCCGAAGAACTGTTGGTTCGATCCCTCACCGCCGCCAGAAAGCATATGCCGAAAACGTTGAGAAATGAAAGCAAGACGAGGGTGCAAATGTTTAGAGAGTCGTTGCGGATCAACTATCCGGTAAGTTTATTCAAATTATTATTGGATCTTTGACCTTGTATACAGGGTGTCCCAAAAAAAATGCATGTTTTTTCCATGGGTCCTGACGCGAAAATATTTAGGTCAGGCCAAAAGATTTTTGTACTGCTAAAATCTCCGTGTTTTTCTGCCCTAGTCATTTCAGTTTTGTGTTCATATCGATTAAGTAGCATGGTTTTTTAAAATGTCAAACAAAGGAACTGCGATTTTGTCACTATTTTTGAGCCGTTCAAGTTGTAAATTTGCCCAGTATAGAAAGGACGTTGTGTCAAAAGTAATCACGCGATGTAAGGAGCTTGATAACGATAGTAAGCGTCCAGGACGTAAAAGAAAACGCACCGCCAGCGGTTCTGTCAACCGGGAGATCACCAACAGCAAAGCGCTATTTTCAAGAAAAATTTGCCTGTGAGATCAGCATCAGCGACCGATCGGTCACCCAAATAGTCTATGATGAGCTACGCCTCACGCTGTATAAGGTGTAAAAAGCTCAGATCTTTAAAGTAGACGGCAAGTGCGTGCGGCGCGAAAAATGTCGAAAACTCAAGGGCTGGGCCGCAACTCACAGACGTGAGCGCATTCGTTCGTGGTTCAACATTTGGCGGATGCACAACGACCAGAACGATTGGATCTTCTTAGATGAAGCCCTCGGCACGTCGGCTAACGTCGAAACCCCTCAAAATTTGGGCCGTCATCGCCTAAGGCGGAATTTGTGCCAGCGGCAAGAATTCCATGGTTTTTGCGGATCAAAGGGGCACAATTCTAGCGCCGCGTTAATTTCGATTTTCTCGTACTTCTGTTAACTCAGAAGAGCATTGGCAATGCAAATTTGGTGGTTCAGCTAGACTCAGCGCCGGCTAACAAGGCAAAATCGACTCACGACCCGGAATGGGACCGATTTTCCCGATTTTATCCCGTCTGAAAAATGACCGTCTGCTCGCCGGATCTGAATCCGATGGACTATAAATTTTTCTCAATAATGGGCCAACGCCTGTACTACACGTTACAAAAGTTTGGAGTCGCAAAGTAATCGTTGCGCCAAGAACGGGACCGATTTCCCCGAAAAGAGCTGCGGCCCCGAGCCCAAAATTTTAAGTCACGTTTGGAGCTCTATATCGCCTCCAAAGGCAGCCACTCTGAAACCGGCTTGACATGTTATCAATAACCCTCTATGTTACTGATATCCATCGTTAGTTTTGCTAAATTTTGTTTGGTATATAAAATGTAGCCATAAAAATAACATGCATTTTTTTTGGGACACCCTGTAATATAAAAATTGTAATGAAATAGGGGTGATTTTAGAGTTTAAAAGGAAAGAAATTATTTTTTTTCCTTTCAGAATGAATCTTCAAACCAATGGCATGATCGAATCCGCGAATTCGAGGAAAACGAAAAACGAAGCATCCGCCAAAAATTGGACGAATATGATCTCAAATGCAAACGAAGGCTGGAAGAGCTCAAAGAGAACAATGAAATGGCTCAAAGAGAATTAGAACAGATCCAGGTGAGGATTTTAAAATAGATTTTTTGATTAAATTTATATTACAATGGAGCAAAAAAAATATTTTCAGACGGAAAAGTCGGAGATGATCCTCAAAAGCGAAGAACAGAAGGTGGCCGAGTACGAAGAGGAATACCAACAACTTCTGGCCGACTGGGAGCAACAACTCCCCTTCCGGAAACGAGTACGTTCACCCCCGAAGTCTCTGCCCCAGTCTCCGCTCTCTGAACGCTCCTCTTTCCATTTCTCTCAACACTCGAGTCCCAGTCTCTCCAGGTCTTCTCAACATCTCGGCTCGCACAGGCAAATGGTAGGGCTTGGATAAGGCCTGTAAAAAAAGATTTGAAACTGGGTGACTTTAACTGGGATAAGATAAAGTTTAGGGGAAATTAGAGGTGTATTTGGCTGAAGAAACGGTGGGAATTTAGAATAATAGGGGTTTTAGATCTATTAGGAACTGTTGGAGATAGGAGTAGGGTGAAATTGAGGGTGTGGTAAGGATCGACCAAAAAAAATTTTTTTAAATTTTTCGTACCTAGTCGATTTTTTAGACTGAAAAAAACGATGTTAGGAGGATATTTATTCAAAATGGGGCTAAATTTTGAAGTTGCTGTGATATTAATTTTGGTCGGAAATTTTACCTTTGGATTTTACACTAGGCAACAAAATCAAAGAAAAAAATGTTTTTTTTGTCTTTTTTTGTCTCATAATTTACGTGTCTTATCTGTCCAGACCGCCGAAGAGCCCTTGTCTTCCCGTCTCAATCCAAATTACACTCTGGCCTTGAGTCTCCGCCATCGTCTTCGCCGTCTCGGCGATCGCTTCGAAGAAGAGGCAACTTCTCACACGTCTTCCCCAAGAACAAGTGCTAATACAAGCTTTGCGGAGATGGAAAATCCCGACGCAACGACCAGTAGATCGGAGAAAAGTCCAATTGGAAGACAGCAGAGTGAAAAGTTGAGAAAAAGTGCTGGGGTAACAAGAAATGCAAGTGACATGGAAAGAAGAGAGGGTCTAAAAACATTTATGAGCCCAAATATGGGCGAAAGAAAGCTGGTACTCCCGGAACACAGCAAATGGGATAAGTTGGCGAGAAAAGGAAGCGGTCCATTGGAATGGAACCCTCGATTTGGCCTAAGTCAGCGTAGTGAACCCGGAAGAGCGCTGGATAGACAAGCCAGCACCAGATCAGACCGCTCGGAGGGAAGAATAAGAAACAACAGGAGCTTTGGATTGGACAGGATCAGCGAGGATCGTCTGGACTTTGAAGGGGATCAGGTTGAGAAAAAAGTTCATCCCAGAAGTGCCAAGTATAATATATCGTGGAAAACCGGAGTAGAAATTGATGAGAAGGAGTGTAATCAGTCGAGAGGACTTCGAAGTCCTAGCCTGCGGTGTAAGCATGAATTGGAAACAGATTCTCCGGGTTCAAATCCATTAGATCAGTTTAGTACACCAAGAAGAATTGGCAGAAGAAAGACTGAAGAAATTGGACAATATTTCGAAAGAGAAGGAGAAAAGAAGGCTCCGTTGAGAAGAAATGGACAGTCAATGACCCTCCCAAGACACCATTTCGACAGCACGATGGAGGAAAGCATCCTCGAAGAACATAACTTATCCTTGAGATCTCTGAGAAGTCTGAACTCTTCCTTCGTCCAATGGATCAGGAAAAAGTTTAGCAATAGCGACAATTAGAGGTGCAGAGGAGCGCCGACGCTGTTTACAAGGAAATTAGAATAGTTGTGGATGTGATAGTTAGACAATATTAGAATAGATGTGTAAAGTATAATATTAGACTTTAATTTATGATTGTTGTTTGTGGCAAGAGCTTAGAGCGATGGAATAGATGTCATTTAGAATTCTATGTTGTTAAAAGAATAGTAATATGGTTACTGTTCCCTGAGTTGAATGTTGTTTTATATCCATATCAAAGACCCCTCTCCCATCTGTCGATCTCGATAATTTTCATGTAATAAATTTATGATTCCGAACTCTCTTGGTCTTATTGTCTCATATACTGTCTATGAATCGAAAGTTGAACTCGAAATTGGTAACCATTCGCTTTTAGGAACTGGAAGATCGGTTCCAGAAAGAAATCCGCGACCAGGAACTGTTCTACGCCCCACCCAACAGCGCTCAACTACCCCCTCTGGGCATGGAGAAGGCCGACGAAATCTCCCACTAATCCATCCCCCCAACAACCAGTGCCTCACAAATTTTTACATATTTATATTGTAATTATATTGCTCTTGTTGACTCTTCATAAATATTGTCCGAAAATAAGTTTTGAGCAATTTTGCGACACCTTTGGAAATGCAAAGATCAATCCAGAATTTTGACGTGAAAATGAGTTGAAAAATTGATTTTCAAATCGAATTTTTGTATTTTTTACCGGTATAAAAGCCACGGAAAGCTGAAGAAAATTCATTGCAAAAGCCGCAGTTTGAATCAGCGCAGTCGACGAGAGTCTTCGTTCCATTGGATTGGTCGGATCAACAAAACGGATCAGGTCATTCCGTAGCAACGGCATTCTTGGTAAGTTCCGGACATGAACTTAGGCATGAAGTGGAAGATTTGGGCGATGTAGAAGAACCTATTGTTAAAGAGTGCTAAAAAAACCTATGAATTAAGAATTTTACTTAGTGCTGACCTCTGAAAACGTATTCTCCCCGAAATTACTGTAGTTTCCGCGGTTTGCAGAGAAGTCTAGGGCGCGGGCTGCGGACTGGGATACTGCTTTTTTTCGTCGAATCCGCGGATTCATCGACTAGTCGGTGAAAGCATGCTATTTTATATCTTATTCCACGGCATTCCTGTCCTAAGTGCTACAGAATATCGCCTACGATCACATTTTCTCCATCCACGAACTTTGGCTCTCATGGAGAAGATAAAATTCGCCTGTTTCCAACAGCCGACCATGCTTTTAGAGTTGTCGTTTGAGAGTAGCCAAAATGGTGTCCATGCCATTCATTATGTTGGTTTTCCTGCTGTCAAGCACTTCATTCGTCCATTCCGCGCCCTGTTCCGAAGCCGGACTTGACGGAGTCAACGGATATCTGCTTTATCGCACGGAAGAAAAACTGGTGTTATATCACCAAGTGTCAAAAGGAGAGAAGAGTAAGATTACGGGGCAATTTGCTGTTTGTTGGATAATGTTTCGGTGTTCCACGTAAGATTTTACGATACGCTTTTAGAGAAATGCCCTGATAAAATCAAATTTCCGAATCCGAGTAGACTGCGGAACTTCGAGCTCCATTCGTTTTTCTACGAGAACAACGAATTCGTTGTTGTAATTGCGGAAGAGGATCTTGGGAACAACTTGACGAAGACGCATTTTACGAGTTTCTCCGGGTCAGTTGATATTATTTTTATTTTCTAAATTTAGGTACGCCATTTGAGTATCCATTATCTGGCGGTTTTATTCAGAGGTTTGTTTCAGAGCTGGATGTTTGACCTACGACGAAGCGAACTATCTGCAGATGGAAGGCCCTATTTCAGCGATGAATGCGATCTGCACCAAGGATAAGAAGTTCAGTGCATGCAGAGGGGACAATGGAAAACCATGCTCAGACGATGTAAGAAGGACACTCCATAGACTTTATGAGACTTTATTTTGCTATTAAGATCGTTAAAAAAAACTCTTCTTCCAGAAAGACTTCTACAAGAATATCAGATATGTCCATGGAAATTGCGCTTATGGCCCACTGAGGTTCCTCAGGTATAGCTCACAATTGGCAAATTGTCGAGATGGCTTGTGCGTTTTGGATACTGCCAGCCAAAAACTGTCACAAAGAATTGTTTCCAAACAAGTGAGTCAAGTTATATTGTACTTGACCTTGAAATTTTAGTGTCAAAAGCTTATTGCGGTCCATGGACCCACTACGCTGTGCCGGAACGGTGACGAGTTGATCGTAAATGCTTTGTGAGTATAGTTTCTTGTTGTTTTTTGATTTTTAGAGTGCATTTGGGAAAGTTAGCTCCGTTCGTTATCAAGTTTTATCATTACGGTAATTTCTTTCAGTAATGAGCGTGTTTGCGTTCGCAAGCTTGGCCTGAATTCGGAGCTGCATTATGAGGGCGAACTGGTCGCTTACACTTTGGATCTGGCAGCATTCAGCAAAAAGGCCGAGGCTGTAATTGAAGAAGTTGCAAATTTGACAGCGTCTTGTCCACCCTATGATGACGTGAAAATGTTGTTCACTTATGGAATTCATTTCGCTAAATATAAACCAAAGCTGCCTTCCCCTGCTTCTGGATGGTGTACTGAGTGGGTTTTGAGAGAATTTTTGACATTATTTTTGGTCTGGATGTTACTTTATAACTGATGATTGTTTTTTGTAATTTTACTTGAAACCTTTGCAATTTTTTAGTGAAGTCGAGCCATTTGTGAAGTACGGATCAATGGTTTCGGCTACGATTGCAATTTTGTTGACTATGAGTTGTTGCGGAGCCATCATTGGGGTCAGAGTCTCGACCAGGATGATGATCAAGGAGGGAAAACCTCTGCCACCCAAGCCTTGGGGTGAGTTCTTGGCCTGATTTTGGAAAAGTTTTGACAAGAGCTTTGTCAATTTTGCGGATTTTTATTTTTTGCCTTCAATATAATTTTCTAAATAATTTTTATTGTATTTCAGAGAAGAAACGCGGTGGGCAGAACAGTCTGATGACCGTGGGTGTGACTGAGTCTCCTTCGGCGTATGGAACAGTGGCTACCGAAGCCACTGAAGCCACCGAAATTATCCCTACGTCAAGTGCTGCTCCTCCGGACAGTGGATCCAAAAAGCGCCAATGATCGGCTTTGATTGTGAATTTTATTATCTATTGGGCAAATGAAGTCGTATTTTGTCAGTCTGCTCCTATTCTTGTCGATTTTTTCACCTTGCACATGGCCAAAATGGTCTAAAAACCGAGATTTTTGGTCTGAAATCAATGTTTTTTGGTTTGTTCTTGGCTAGAAGTCTGATGTGTGTGATCCCCGTCCTCCCCTATCCTTGTTCCTCCCACACATTCCCCCGCACCTCCTCTCCGACCTTCTCCTTGCTGATCCCTTTCCCTCAGCCCTCGCGCACCCGTGTTCTTGAATTTCCTTCCATCCGGAAAGCCTCTTGAGATCCGCGTTTTCCGGGCCCAGATCGGCTTTACAAACGGCTTGTGGGTCGCGAGAAAAATGGCTGACGACGAACAGTAGTAAGTTTGGGGGTAAAGTAATATAATTTTGGCGATTTTTGATTATTCATTTGGCATTTTTTGGGTTTATTATGAAGCTTGAGTTGTAAGGTTACGTAATTTTTTGATTTCAGCAGCGAAGAAGAGGAGTACGAGGAGGAGGAAGAAGTCGAGGCCGAAGAGGTCCCAAAGTAAGAAAATTTGATAGAAATCGATAAAAAAATGTGTGGAATTCTCTAAATCCGTTTGTATAGAAAGTTATGAAGACCCATCTACACTTTCAACTAAAATTTTAAAACTTGCAGACCTGCCGAATCCAAGCCAGCGCCTCCTCCAGCTGCTCATGATGAAGATGTTGATGAGTCCCAACTCACCGAAGCCGAGCGGGCCATGCTGGAGGCCAAACGACGCCAAAAAGACGAAGATGAGAGCAAGCTTCAGGACTACGAAGAACGCCGGAAAAGCGAGCGTGAACGCGAGGAGGAAGAGTTGAGATTATTGAAGGAAAAACAAGAACAAAGACGGATTCAGAGGGAGCAAGAGGAGAAGGAACAGGCTGAAAAGAGACAACAGGAGGAGGAGAGGAGGAAACAAGAAGAGGTGAGGGTATTTTAGGGATAAAATACAATCGTTTATGATTGAAAAAATGTTTTTTCTATTTTTTCAGAATTTTAGGTACTAATGGTCTAAATCAATATTTTTCAGGAGGAACGCAAAGCCCGAATTGAAGAAGAGCGCAAGAAAAAGGAAGAAGAAAAGAGAAAGAAGCAGATGCTGAGCGCTGGCTTCGCCATGCCTCAGGGCACCGGCCCCAATTATGTTTTGCCGGAGAAAAAGGAAAAGGGCGACAAATTCGGAAATATTGTCCAAGCAAAACAGGAAATGGGAATGACCAAAGAACAGCAGGAAGATCAGAAAATGGCATTCATCAAACAAATGGAGAACTCGATCACTTTTGATGGACTTTCTGGAGCTGAATTGAAGGCCAAGGTTAAGGAATTGCATCAGAGAATCTGCAAGTTGGAGACGGATAAGTACGATTTGGAAAAGAGACATGAGCGTCAGGAATACGATGTAAGTGGAAGGTTTTTTGAAAGATAATTGACCATTATTTTACGCAGACGTTGACGAAATGTCAGCGTTTTTATTTTTGAGACAAAATGTCAACTTTTTTAATGATTGGACGAAATGTCAAAAAAATTATTGATTTTTCGGAAATCGAAGATTATGCAATAACTTTGGGCAACATGGCAAGCTAATCATTTTTTACTGCCGCAAAATTGCAATTTCTTATTTTTTAGGCGAAATGACAAAAAAATTTTGATTTTTTATAAAATTTTTTTTGTAAAAATTTCTTTTTTTTAATTAAAATTTTAGCTGAAAGAATTGAACGAACGTCAACGTCAAGTTGCCCGTAATAGAGCCTTGAAGAAGGGTTTGGACCCCAGCGACACCGCCAACTCACGCTACCCGCCGAAAGTGTCGATCTCCTCCAAATACGACCGACAAATCGACCGGCGCAACTTTAAGGAGAGAAGAGCTGTCTTTGACAAGGTAAAAATATTCTAAGAAATTTATGGAAGATATTTTAGCATTGTATTTTACATTTTTTATTCAAATTTTTTTTTAGATTTTGATGACTAAAATTATTTTTAAGTTTTTATTTTTTTCGAAAAAAAAAATTATTTTATAATTGTTTTATATTACTTTGACTTTTTAGAACAACGCTTATCCCTGTTTCCCCAACGTCCCCCCGCCCCCCGTGATCCTCGAATTCAAACTCCAGCAAGGCTCTCAAGCCGGCGATGGAGATGGGGAACAAAATATGGAGGAGGTGGAGGAGGAATACGAAGAAGAGTAAAGAATTTCATTTCCGAAATATTTTCTCATTATTTTCTTTCCATTTTTCTTTCAATAAAAAGATTTTTTTATTTTGAAGAAATTTTTTTTGAATTTTTTTTTATCCATAGTTCTATTCTTTTGACCTTACTCCCCTTAATAAGACCTCAGATTGTCTCGATTAAAGGGTCGTGTTGGCCATGACAATAGAGAAAAGAATGCACTTTTCGTCGGATTAAGAAAGAGGAAACTGTGAACATGGTATTAATGCGCAGTCTACGTAGGTCGGGAAATTGAGCTAACTATTTTTTAGATTTGTATAGTGACCCTTAAAAAATTTTTTGATGATTTTTCAGAATTTTTTCAATGAGCAATTTGGAACCTAAATTCCCAATATTTACTGCTATTTTTATACAATGGTTTTGTCATAACATAATTTTTTATGTCCTGGCCAAATTCTGTTTCCTTTTTTGACCTCTATTTTTATCAATTTGCTTCTTAAACCCCCAAATTTTGGATCTGTCCCACTTCCGTATCATGTGTAACATCTCGAACCTCTTGTCGCCTCTCCAAGCCCACACACAGTCACACTAATCATCTTTAAAAATCACAAAACACTCTTCTTCTGATGTCCACTCGGCTTTACTGTCTCAAGCACCCAAGGAGTTGAGGGTCAAGAGGAAAAGGACATCTGCAGGGAGGATCTACATGGTCCAGTCTGCTTCGGGTGTTTCGCGCGATCTCCAGTTTTGTGCGCGGCTGGAGTGCTGGTTCGTTGCCTGCGGGGTCAGAACAGAGGGGACTGAACGGTCATTTGTTTGTTATGGTCAAGAGGAAAACGAGGAAATCTGGAGCGGAAACGGACCGACTTTTTTTTCGGGTTTCGTCCAAATTTTTGCAAATATTTTTGTCCGCGTTCGGATTAGACCCCGAGATGGTTTAATAAGTCAAGTGCGGAGGTTATCAACGCGACAAATCGGAATGGTAATTGTTATTTGGGAAGCGGTAATTCGTGAGGGACAGCTGTTTTTTGAGCGCGGTCTTGATGACGATCACTTTGGGGGATTTGAATTTGTGATTCGAAAGTGAAAAAGGTAGACTTGATCAATAGAGAGTGCTACTCGGAAGTTGTTCATCCAGGGCCGAATGTCAGTGCTCGGAAAATATTTTTTGTGTAACTTTTTTTATTGAAGTTTTATTGAGCAATAAGGAACTCGGGATAAATTACAGCGGGAGACCGGATCCGGCGGCAAAAAACGTACCATTTTGCATCCGGGAAGTAAAATGTGGCAAAATGCTTCCCTCTCCAAGTGAAAAAACTCCGTTTTGAAGGGCGCGCCCTTGTTCTTCACAAAAAAAGCGGGCGCGCTTTTGAAATCTGAGTTTTTTCACTTGGAGAGGGAGGTATTTTGCCACATTTTTTTGTTGCTTTCTGGATGCAAAATGGTACGTTCTTTGCCACTGGATCAGGTCCCCCACTGTAAGGTTTGAGCGTTAAAATGTGCCGTTTGCAGGTTGCAAAAACTACAGGGATTTTTATTTCTGAAGGGGCCGGGCATTAAAAATTTTTGAATTATCTAACTGAAGGTTTTTTAAATCTTATGTTCGAGAAATTTTTTCTCTCACCGTCTCTTCTCATTTTCGTTTGTCCCTCGTCTCCAGAAAATCTATCAACAAAAACCCAACCTTTAGTAAAAAAATCTCAATTTTTAGTCATCCCCAAAGTCTTGAAAACAACAGTTTACTTATTTTCTCGTATCTTCTCGCTTATCACTTCTATTTACATTTGAGATTGCGCGACTACGAATTTTGAAAGATCCCCAAAAATAAATCCGTTCCGTTTATCCCCAATATTCCTGGTCTGACTCATCAGAAATCGCGGTATAAAGTAATCGGGAGAGTTTTGTACACATCCAGTCCAACAGAGTAAACTTTCAGCCATGATCTTACGGTTATCACGGGTTTTGCTCGCATTTCTCGCGCTGACAGCGTCCAGGATTCATGCTGGATATTACGAGCCCACACATAATGATATTGAGACGGTAAGAGGGCAAAGATTTTTGTCATAATTCGGTAATATGTTGTTGATAAGATAATGATGATTTTAAATTTTATTTTTCAGTATTTCGATGCAGATGCAGATGAATACGAGACGGTGCTGACGCCTTCAGATTTTGCAGCAATGTCAGAATATGGGCTGGATACGGAGAGGCCGGCGGACGATTTATGGGACAGTGAGGCCATGTATAACCATGACAAGTTTGAAGGTGACATTGCGAATGATGTAAGTGATGTGTTGAGCTTACGTAAAGTCTAGAACTTGGGCAATTTTTATCCTATTTCGGTCAAATGTCATCATTTATAAATATCCAAACATATTTGCTATATTCAGCCTTATTAGTCTCATTCTTTTACTCTTGTAAAGTCCTTAAATTTTCTTCTGTATTTTTACTATATATAAAACACTATAGTTATCACAAATTTCCAGCTAAACGCCTCTTCCGTCGGCACTTTTATCCAAGGAGGTCCGGTCAACACAAATTCCACAAAAACCCAACTCAACGCGATCCGCGATCGTCGTCAACTCTGGAAAAACGGCCGAATCCCCTATGCCATCAGCAGTCAATACAGTGCGTACAGTCGGTCGGTAATCGCATCGGCGATGCAAGAGTACTCAACGCACACTTGCATTCAATGGGCGCCCAGAACGGCGAATGATAAGGATTATGTGTACATCATGCCGGATAGGGGATGTTATTCCATGGTGGGCAGAACCGGTGGGCGACAGACATTGTCGCTGGGAAATGGATGTATTCAGAAGGGAATCATCATCCATGAGATGATGCATGCGGTCGGGTTCTTCCACGAGCAGTCGAGAACGGATAGAGACAGCTTTATTACAATCATGTGGAATAATATTCAGGTAAGGGAAGATACTGGTGTTGGAATGCTAGGTGTGACAAGGGCGGGATTGTGGCAGATTTTAATCTTCTTTTTTATATTAATTTTCTGAATTTTGTTCGGAAAAAACTTATTTTTGATAGAATCATCATATTCCCCACCATAAATAGACTCTATATTTTCAAGATCAGCTAAAAATAGCAAGCCTAGAAATTTAGAAACCCTTTGAAAATTACCTTTCTACTTCGTTTCAAGTTTTTGCAAGATCAAAGTGACGTATCGGGGAACTTTCTTGACCATCGAACAACAAGAATAATCGTTACTTTTTACAGGGTGGGGCATCTTTGTGGCCAGAGGTTGTCTGAGAATTTAGGTAAAAAAAAGAATTTTAAGATTTGGCCAAAAACTAAAGAAGTTATAGAGAATTCAAAGCGGACCACAAGGATGCCCCACCCTGTTCTTTTTTTTATCAATTTTAACATGTTCCTTTCCAGCCCGGAATGCAAGGCCAATTCGAGAAGTACAGCTCAGTGACCATCCAAACCCTCGGCGCGGAGTATGATTTTGCCTCGATTATGCACTACGGCCCTAAGGCGTTCTCTCGAAACGGAATGCCCACAATTGTCCCCAAAAGGAAGGCCAATATTGGGCAAAGAAGTGGATTCTCTCAAACCGATTCCTTCAAAATCAACACGCTTTACGAGTGCACCAACAGGAATACAAAGCCAGTCCAGCCGGGTCAGCCGGTCCCACTGCCAGTCCAGCCAGTTCAGCCAACTCAAGCGCCCAGCCCTAATGTTATTGTGCTTACTTTGGCGCCACAAACTACAACGACAATGCCGACATTGGCCACAGCAGAGCCTTATGTCAGTAGCCAAGCGCCGAAAGGGACGCTGGCTCCAGTTGCAGCGGCTAACTGTTCGGATAAGAGGCCGGACTGCGAGCAGCTAGCTCATCAAGGTTAGTGGAGGTTTGGGGGAATAATTTTAGGGTCTTGAGGCCTTTTTTGATCGTAATTTACTCGATACGCCTTACCAACTCTCCTCATTTTGCATAGTATCTCACAAGAAACCTTTATTTCTCTTCAGGTTGGTGTCAACGCAATCCCCCATGGATGCGTGACCATTGCCCGCTGGCTTGTGGAATGTGCGAGAAGTCCACGACCTGTGAAGATCTCCGTGTCGATTGTCCAGAGCTCGTCAAGCGACGATACTGTATCACTAATCAGGAGTTCTCCAAGAGTTTCTGCGCCAAATCTTGCGGATTCTGCTTTGCGCCACCAACTCCTGAAAGTGCGGTTGCCGGAACAACACAGCCAACTATCGCCACGAAACAACCGCTGGTCACTTTCTGGCCCAATTCGAGGTGAGAAAATAATGAGCTTAGATTGCTGAAATGTCTTATAGTCTTATGTAGTCCTATGCTCAGGTTTCGATGACAATTGGCAAAGATTTTCATAGATTTTTAACCGTTTGTAAACAGAATCGATCAAGATTTTTAGATTTTTTCACGTATACGGATGGAAATTTTGTGCTGCGTTTCTTCTATAATGTAAAAAATTTATTCAAGAAATCAATTTTTATATTCAAAATTTATAAGTAAAAAGCCAAAACCCATCTTTTTCTCTGATTTCTCTCCACATTTCCTATAGTCTCTATGGTCGCAAACATCACTGTGCTTTTTTGGCTGCGGCGCAAGATGTGAGCTGAAAATTTAAAACATTGATCTGTATGCTGTTCAGAATGAGTATGCCAACTTTAAAGAAAATCTGAGCGTTGCACTTTGGACAATTCACTTATTAATTTAACTATTAAAATTTTACTCCAGGCCCTTAAAATTATTTGAAAACTCCATTAAATCTTGCCTAAATGGTTCTCAATGCAAAATGCATTCAATTTCAGGCCTGATGCCTCAACGGCAGCGCCCGCAACCCTAGCGCCAGTCTCCTGTCGAGACAAGAAGCACTTCTGCCCTCATTGGAAGTCGGCCGGGTTCTGCTCCGGCATCTTCCAAGCCTACATGAAACAAAACTGTGCCAATTCTTGTGGCTGGTGTTGAACCACTTGTAAATTACTATAATTTATTTGCAAAACTAATAACTAGATCATGTATAATAAATAAATATATTGAGTTATCATCAAAAATATTAACTTATTTCAAATAAAAAAAATAAAAAATGATGATATTATGTATAATCTATTCTATCGCTATTATCCTGGTTAGGGTAGCCTGTCCATTTCAGAATAGAGTAAATTAAAAGAATCACAGTGAAAACGCAAAACAGAAATACGGCTGTCCAGAAATTGTCGGATTTTGGAGTTTTCGCCTTTGGCAATGAACGGGTGATCTCGTGGAAGACGTTCTCCTGGTCTAGGTTGAAGTAGTAATCATAAGCGGAGTCTTCGACATCTCGAATTGTGATTTCGGAGCCAGGAGAAGTGATGATTTTCAGTTCGACTCCAGAGAGGTCGGTTTGCTTTTCTGAAAATTTGAGGTTATTAGAAGTTCACATAAATTTATAAGTGTAAATTTTTTCCATTTGTAAAATGAATATATAGTTTTGTAGAGGAGAAAAAGCTGTATCAAATAAATATATACCCTTTGCCAAACAACAAACAATCCTTGTAAAGCAAAACAACGAAAAAACGAACGAAATTTCTGGACGAAAAAAAGACGTTATAATAGATCGCCTCTAAAAGGTCTAACTTACTCTCAACATCCTCAGAAGTAACATATAAAGGCATGATCTGCTCGATAACCACGGTTACATTCAGCTCATTTTGGATGTGCTCCATCATCTTCGGCAGGTAATCAAGACCATGGTTGGTCGTATTGACAGTCACAAACAGTCCCAATGGCAATGAATTGGCCTCTTTTCCCACAGGAATGGCAGTTAGATTAGTAGCAAGAAGCGTTAAAAATAAACAAGACAATAACAGCATAGCGTCAAGCAAATTTCATAAATGAACCTCAAGTTTTAATATGGATCCCGTCACAGAAATCAAGGTTTAAAAATTTTCTGCGCTAATGAGCATAGCATTTTTTCTCCCAGGCATTTCGTAATCAACCGACAGTGGCTGAACGGTTGCCGCAGAAAATTTTGCGCAATCGAGAGGCGTCGTAAAAGCCGTGATTTAAAACAGAAAGAATGATGACGAAACAAACCACCTTGTTCCCAAGATTGGTCTTGATTTCAACTTGGATCTTTGGATTCTAGTGTATCCTTGGAAATCAAGGTAAGTTGAGGAGATTAGAGTGTTTTGACAATTGGTATGTCATCTTTTGTTTTGCCATCTCTCGTCGTAGCTATGAGGAAAATCAATTTTTTTTGAGATAAACCGTATGATATTCCTGCAATTAGGTTGCCCACAACCCATGAAAAGACCCATGAAGACACACAAAAGGGATCCTGACCTTGTAAAGCTGTAATTCGTCCACTGACATCTTATCCTTGCAAGGCCTTGTGATTGAGGTCATCACAGCCTCATGGTCAAGTTCTTGGGATTATGAATTGAATTTTGATGATTGGTGGTAAAATTTACTTTGTATAGTAGGACTTGAACCAAACTAGTGATGACTTATTGTTAGATCATCATGTGATCAAATTGAATTTCCACAATGGCTGCAAGAATTGGGCATAATAAAACAATGTATACATAAATATATGTAACAATCAAATTGTAGTACATTCTATATTCGAGCCAGTTCAAACAAGTTCGTAATGAACTTTTATTTTTATTTTTTTTACCTTTTTTTTCAACTGTGTTGAGTCTCTGCTGGTAATCCATAAGCTCCATCAAAATCATCAAGATCCGTTCACCGCATGTTAAAAAATCCCGCAAACATGTTTTATACATGACTTTCATTCCCTCCTATGTGGTCCCCAATCTTCCTCTGTCCAATTGACCTCCATCCCTTCTCCCATAATAAAATAATCGTATTTTCCCCATAAATTCGCGACAATTTCGGAATCCCCTCGGAGACATGGAGAACATTATAACCCAATTTATGCAGACCAGTTATTGCTCGATGCCGCTCCATGACTAATTTATAAGACCGGATTTGATTTCGCATACAGAATTAGGAATGGCGGCCGTTCCGAAAAACATGTAAACACCAGTTTCGGATTGTGTGAAACAGTTTTTCCGCGAATATTTATGGTCTCCGGGGAATTTATGTAAAATTGTTTTTGGGTGTTGCAAAAAAAGATCATGGCTGGTCATTTTAGTTACATTGGAAGCGAAGGTTTGTGATATCGGGGTCAAAAAATATGAAAAGTTTTCTAGGCTTCGGTTTACCTTTACATAAAGCGAGTACTCAAGATGCGAGCTTGTTTTTTCAATTTTTTAAGACGTTCTATGATTGGACTGGATGACATATCATTTTCTGACGGTCTTAGTCTATAATTTGTGAGGGATGAACAATAAAACAATAGTTTGTTCGACTGAGTCCAGAAGACGGGGAGTCGGCCAGGCAAATAAAATGTAAGCCATATAGTAATTTTGGTTCTTTGGGAAACACAGTTTTTAAAATTGCGCATTGCAAATAATTTGAAGAAAAGTTCAAGGATTTACAGCCGGAATACGCTACAAGTTTGTCTCTCCTAGTTTTACGCGCTCTATCACAAAAAATCGAATGTTTGCTGTGCTCGCAAAGCGTGAGATAAAATTTTTAGGAATTAATATTTGGCCTACTTTTATAATATTAAGCTCGCAAAATTTTAAGAAAAACTGACCGTTGTTGTGTACCGTATTTTTACAATTTATTTTTGTCATTCTTTTAAAAAAATTAAAAATCTACATTTGTCACACCTCTATTTTTATCCTCGACAAACTTGGCCACATCAATTCCAAAAACAGGTGCTCCCTTCATTCCTCTTGTAAACGATGCACTGAGCACCTTGACAAACAACAACACCTTTCCGAATGTTCTCACAGTGCCCCTTATACGGCTTCAGGTGAGTTTTTTCCCAGGGCCCGAACACAAAAGGAGTATGGCCATTTGGCCGCCAATCCCATCTAATTCTCCGTTTTTTTGAGGGATTCTGGATTATGTCTTAATTTTTAGTCAGTACCTACTTTTTAATATATTTTTTACTAACTTTAGTAAATTGTAAAAAACTAAAAAATATATTTGTGGTCAAAAAATCCCAAAAAAAGTTTTTTTTCTCGTATGTGCAATATGAAATATTTTTTGTTTTCCAATGTGCCCTTTTATGTGTAAACCCCTACTTTTTACCTGAAAAGACTCGCAAAGGGCCATTACGGCACTTAAATTTATAACAAACATGTTTTTTCCTTGGCCAAGGACCAAAAAAAATATTTTTTTTGGGCTGTAAAAATAGCAAAAGAAGGCTTTACTTTTCGTGGCCAAAGAATGGACTGACCACTTGGAGCAAGTTTTTGTGATGGAAATTAGTAGGACTAGGAAAAAAAATTTTTTTGGGGGTAAAATACGTACCTTCATAGGTTTCGTTTACATTTTTATTGGGTAAAATAAAGGAAGATTAAATATCACTGTAAAATTTGCAACGTTTAAAAAAATTTTTTTTGTCTTTTTTTTAAATTTGACGTATTTTAGACTGAAATTATGATGGTAAAATACGATGGATTCAACGCATAATTTGTTTACTAAATATTAGTTAAATATTTAATTTTGTTAGTTGAAAAAAAGTGTTTTCGAATGTATAAAACACTGTATTAAACTCTTTATTTTTAAAAAATCTATGTTCCATCCAAAGGCCCGAACATACGTCAGAACCTTGAAGTGCTCTTCTCCGTATTTCGCAAGTTTTGTCACGCGAAAACTCCGTTTACAATTATTAAGTGGCGGATTTGGAAATCCCGCCAAGCAGTTAATGTTCGGCCCAGTAATTGGGTGTGAGACCATGTTACTTATTTTTCGTCTACTGGGAATGGGAACATGCTTTCGGTTTTTTGAAAATTGGGGAGTTGATTTAATTTATGACACTTACATCGATGGGAAAATGTAATTTGAGCTTTCTCGAGGATACCTAGACTTTCAAACTTGGTGGGATGAAACTGTGTGCTGGGCTGGGAACGGAGGTGTCTGATGGAGCAGGGAAGGGCTGGAAGAAAAAGTTTTTTTTTTTGAAACTTTCTTGGTTTTCTGACAGAAAATACAAATTTTAAGGACAAGATTTTTAGCTGGGGAGAAATTTTGTAAAGAATTTCCAATATTTTACTTTTGGTGTGCTAAAATTTACCAAGATTTTGAGGCGACAAAAATTTATCGTTTTTCTGATGATTTTGGGCTTGAAAAAAACTAAAGGTTTCTTATACTCCGCGTACAATGTTTTGACCCCCCTCCTAACTCGGTCCAAAGTGTACTAATTCGGACCAAATTTGGCATGTGGTATACTCACAGGCTAGTAACAAAAAATAACATAGCAGGACATACCTTATAGTTGAATTTAAAAATCTAGGGGCAATTTTCAAAAATCGCCTTAAAAAATCGAGGAAAAAGTTTTGACCCCCCTTAAAAAAAGTTAGATATCGCCAGCGGATGCCACGCAAACCTATTGTAATCGACGTCCCATACCTGAATACAGGTTAATAAATGGTTTTCCGTTGAATGCTTCGTTGCATTTGAGGATTCAACGCGTTAAACCGTTTTTGATGTAGAGGTGCCCAAAATGGTTAAAATCTTCCCCTAGCGTTTTCCAAGAGCTCTAAATTGGGTTTATATTTTGTGATTTAGACCTGTATTTACCTTCCCCTTTTGATAAAAGTGCATGGTGGCCTGGGAGTGTAGATTCGGCAGATACCCTCTTGTCATGCCCAGCCTTGGTGAGCCATTTGCTCTTTGACTAAAGGTCGAGATGTGGTCGTTAGGTCCTCAATGTAATCCTGAGACTCATATTCACCCTCAGTAATGTAAAATGTTTTGATTTGACACGTTTTGTAATGGGTTTCATTCACCTTAATCTTAAGTTTGCCGTTACTGTAGATGACCCCGAGTACGATGACATCCCCACCTCCCATTTGGCGTTTCATACGTCTCAAATGAGTATGGTGGGTGCTGTAGCGTCTTAAATTACCTGGTCCATCAAATGAAAGCCGTTTTTGGTGGCTAAAAATCCATTTGAAAAACGCTGGTTTTTCGTTAAGGCGCAGATCGGCGAAGTTGCGCCTGCAAACCATACGAGACCGTGTCAGCGGGAGTTTATTCTTCGTTTGAGAGTAAATAGGAGTCTCAGGATTACATTGAGGACCTAACGACCACATCTCGACCTTTAGTCAAAGAGCAAATGGCTCACCAAGGCTGGGCATGACAAGAGGGTATCTGCCGAATCGACACTCCCAGGCCACCATGCACTTTTATCAAAAGGGGAAGGTAAATACAGGTCTAAATCACAAAATATAAACTCAATTTAGAGCTCTTAGAAAACGCTAGGGGAAGATTTTTACCATTTTGGGCACCTCTACATCAAAAACGGTTTAACGCGTTGAATCCTCAAATGCAACGAAGCATTCAACGGAAAACCATTTATTAACCTGTATTCAGGTATGAGACATCGATTACAATAGGTTTGCGTAGCATCCACTGGCGATATCTAACTTTTTTTTAAGGGGGGTCAAAACTTTTTCCTCGGTTTTTTAAGGTCATTTTTGAAAATTGCCCATAGATTTTGAAATTCAACTATAAGGTATGTCCTGCTATGTTATTTTTTGTTACTAGCCTGTGAGTATACTACATGCCAAATTTGGTCCGAATTAGTACACTTTGGACCGAGTTAGGAGGGGGGTCAAAACATTGTACGCGGAGTATATAAATGATGATAAAAGTGTGATTACCATCTACGAAAAATCATTTTTATTCTCAGAAGCTCATAGAATTATGGCCAAAAATTATTGTGCTTTTCTCAATAGGCGTTTGCAACCCGTGAGCAACTATTTTTTCTTTCTTTGGATTTCTCATT